TTGTTTTAAATTGGTCTCAAGTCTTCGGATTGACGGGAGGAGCAACCCCCCCCCCCCTTATTAACGAGCCACAAAGAAAACCCAACGCCCCCCCATGTACTTCGTAAATCGTTCTAGGGAACCCACGTCCTGATGCTCTCCTCCGTCACCCTCCTCTGCTGCACCACCAGCTCTTCGTACGTGTCCGGGAGCCTCGCCCACTGCGGCTGCGACCACTCCTCGCCGGCCGGCACAGCGGGATACCCGCTTTTCATCGTCAGGACGGCGTCCACCGTCTCCTGGACCTCGTCCTCGTCGACCTCGGAGTCCGCCTCGTCGAGCGGCGTGCACGCCTGGAACGGCTGCTCCCTCCTCACGGCGTCGACGGCGTCCTTGATGACTTCCTCCCACCAGTCGACCTCGTCCCAGGCTTGGTCGGCTTCGTCTTCGTCGAGAGGGACCTCCTTAACCTTCACTTGTCCGGCGCTGTCGATTTTTTCCACCAGGGTACTCTGCTGTTCGTCGTCGTCGATTTCGTCGTCGATTTCGAGAACGTCGGGTTGTGTGGGTTCCGGAATCCTTCTCCCGGGCTGCATCGCATGGACGGCCTCAATAGGCAGACCGGTGATTATGGCCACTGCCGTCTCCACGCCCCTCTTCACCGCCAGCGCGCTGAGCAGCATCTTGAGCGCGTGCTCCCATCGTCCCTGTAGCATGAACATCTTCCCCCGGCACCACTCATACTTGATGAAGTTTCGGTGTTGGCTCGGTCGGCCCCAGTACTCCCGCTGTAACTGGGCGTAGGCGATCAGGGCGTTCATCTTATCCCCGGAAAGTTCGTACAGATATGCCAGGTACTTCAGAATATTCCTAATCTGGGCCTCGTCTTTGTAGTCGTCGGATGCAGAGCGTTCGATTTCGAGACATTTCCGGTACTCGTATGCGGCTTCCTCGTGAAGACCGGCATAGCGGAGAGTGTGCGCGAGGTTAAGGCGGGTTTCAAGTGTTTGTTCGACGACGCGTGCGACGTCGCTCGCTTCGCGGCGGCACATGTCGCGCAGAATGACGATGGCTTCATCCCACCTGCGCAGGGCCTTGAGCGCGGTGACATGATCTTCCATATTCCTCAACGTGACTGGGCTGCAAAGGCCGAACCTCGCTCTGTGTTCATCCAGCACCCGTTGAAACCTTTGACAGAGGCCTATGACCTCGTCGTACTTTTTCAATCGCAAGCTCGTCAAACGTGCCAGTTTCAGCGTCCATTCACCGTTAGCGTAGTGCAGTAGGTCGGCAGCCAAGTCCATTTTGGCAATCTCGTCCCTCGCTTCGTTATCCTTGCCGCGCTCAGAAAGACACATGGCGATGTTATAGTCGATGGCAGCCTTTTCTTCGTGCCCGAATACCGGGACGTCCTCGTTCCAGTCCCTGGCAATACGGTAGGCCATTTCGGCCTCTTCGTACTTGTCCTGGTTGACCAGCATGCTCGCAAGATCTCGTTGCGCCTCAATGGTGGTAACGTGCCGCTTCCCCCTCCTCTTAACCAGTGTGGGCACCAGCTCGCGCAGTAGTTTTTCGCCCTCGGCCCAGCGACTTGTGTAATAGTAGATCTCCCCCAGCTCAACCATGGAGTGAAGACAGAAGTCGCGCCATGAGCCCGTGAATAGCGTCCATCGAAAGGTCTTGCCGGGTCGTTCGCGGCTCTTGCGCAGCAATCTCTCGGCCAAGTGCGCCAGCTCTTCGGCCTCGACAATGTCGCCCATGTCCTCGCGGCGCACAAGGGTGTCACCGAGAAGCAAAACGGCGCGCATGAGGTAAAAGGTTTGATCTTCGCTTGGTGGTAGCCCCTCGAGGAGCAGCTTGGCCATGCGTAGATGGTGCTGGGCGGAGATCCAGTCCTCTGGTGTCTGATTGCGGTAGGCATGGCCGACGCTCAGCAGGGCGAGACCTTCGGTGAGGGTACCCAATCCACGGGATTGCTGCAGAGCGAAGTTGCCGAGGCGCAGTGCGAGAGACCATTTGCCGCGAAGTTTGAGAAGCTCCGAGATGCCCAGCAGAGTGAGAACGGAGGCTTTGTCGGAGTTGCGGCTCGCCGCCCTCCATCGCGGGGCCCTGGTGAGGCGCATGGCGGATGGGGTTGTTGGGCTGGCTCACCGCGTCGGGGGTTGTGTGGGGGAGATCGCCCCGGGGATGGTGCCTGTCTGCCGTCGGGATCGTGGGTATTCGTCTGGGGGTTGTCGTCGTGGTCGTGGTCGGTCGCTTGTCGTCGTTTCCTTGATGTCGGATAGTTGGAATGAATTCTCGTTTGAAACCCCGAGACGCTGAGGGGAAGAGGCGAATTGAGCATGGAATGCGACCGTTCGAATCGGGCGAAGGTGAGATGAAAGTGAGTCAAAATTTGATGAGCGATGCTCGACAGCAAGGTGAGCAGACTAGACGGGACGTGTGGCCGAGCCTCCCTGATCAGCCAAGCCCAGCCAGTCCCGAGCTCTCGTAGGCAGCCAGGCCGGAATGTTGAAAGGAAGGAAGTGAGTGAGTGACAGGTGAGGGCGTAGCGAAGTGTTTGGAAGGCTGGATTGAGTGAGGTAAGGAAGGCCGGTAGAGTGGCTAGGGCAAAATGGAATTCCAGGTTCTCGTCGGGCCTTCGAATGGCTCGCCGGGTAGCGTGAGCGTGAGCGTGACCAAACGAGGCGAGACAACCTGGAAGGGGAGAGAGAGACCCGTACGTACGGGTTACGGGTGTAGGGCGGCGGGACGGAGCTTACGCCTGCAGCTTGCAGCCCGAAGACGCCCTTTTTTTGCCATTTGCCTGAGCGAAAGATGAAGGAATAATAATAACAAGAATGAGTTGGTGCCTCCAGTCACTATTACCGTAGCGCCATGTTTCGAAGTGAGCTAATGTAGCCGGGGCTGGACGGCCAAACACTGGACATGGACAGCGTGTGCCATGGACTTCGATTCGCACAACGCGGGTATTCGTACCTTACGGACCAGGTTTGCAGGTCCAGTCAGGACAGGACGAAGCACTTGGCCTGCAGATCAGGACGTGCCAGTGGTCGTGCTTGGACGCGATGCCATCCGACGCCCAATCAACCGGAAGGCCCTAGCGGTAGTCGGCACTCGAGGCACGACCAAGGGACGAAAGGGGATTGGAGAAAGACGAGGTCATGTTGTGTCAGATCGACATGCAGATGAGATGTTTCCAGGTTGCAGTAGAGTACAGTACAGACATCCTATGTATCTATCGAAAAAAAAAAAAAGAAGTAGAAGAAAAGCAACCGGAAAGAAGAATTAGCGACTCGAGGAAAGAAGTCGGATTGGCGGATAAAATGAAAGGTGCGCAAGTTCGAATAGGAAGGGGCGAACCACTGACCTCTCCTTCCTCCCTGAGCGCTAAAAAGCATCGTGCCTTCCCCTCTAAGCCGTATTACCTAATCAAGCAAACAGCGCTATTGGAAACGGAAAGCGCCCCGTGCATCCCAGCAGAGCATCTTTCCTCCCTTCCATAAGGTACCTGACCTTACGTAAGGTATCATTTGCGTGAACTGTTGCCGTTGCTCTAAAGGATCACCAGCTTACCCAAATCTACCCTAGGTATGGTTGCGATTCTTTTGAAGTAAAACTAGCACAAACTCCGTGATGGATGTCAATCAAACATATGGAAACAAATAGCAGCAGAACTGGCATCGACTAGGTAGGGTATCATACCACATACACTTCAGTTTCCAAGCTAACAAAAGGCTCTTACCCTCCTTACCCTCCTCCTTACCCTCCTTACCCTCCTCCTTACCCTCCTCCTTACCCTCCTCCTTACCCTCTAGGTGGTAGATTCGTGCCAAGGCGAACTGCCGCTAGGCCGAACACTGTTCAGTCTCATTAAGCGCTGTTCAGTGAACAGTACTCAATAATTGAATGAGAGGCATCTTGACGTCCATGAGAGATGAACATGAGAGATGAACAAGGACATACCATTTGCTTAAGTGACCAGTGAACGATGGGCTATTGAATGTGTATAAATGAGAGATGCCATTTCAGCGTCGAGACATGAACCACAATCTGTCTACAATATAATTCCCTCTTCAGACATCCAGTGACAGCCGCATCTATATGTCATTGAAACCCCTTTTCTGTTTTGACTGCTAAGCGCTGTTCAGTGAACAGTACTCAGTGTTTCATACCTAGGTAGCTTGGCATCTATTTACTAAGGCAGCTAAGGATCCCATAGATTTTCAGAAGTGACTTTAATTAAACATAGTATGGCTCAGTTAGAGAGTATTCCTACTATTAGGCTAGAGCTTTAGCATAGTTCTCCCCTTAGATAGTATTGATCTTCTAGTAAAAGTACAATATGTGTTCTTATTTTCCTAGCTATTCACAAGATTTCGGTCCCACAGTCTATCAATCAACCATTGCAAGGGGTACTGCTTTGAGGATATAGGCTCCGGCAGGAAGTGATACCAATCAAACTTGTCACTTGGTGTCAGGTTGTTTGTTGCCTTCACGCAGTCCCAGTATTCGGGATAGAAGCCACTCGACTCCCAATCAATGATGCCCTCAACCCGTAAGGTTCCATCTTCGCTTCGGGACACCATGATATTCGCCGGGCGGATGTCGCCATGTGTGAAGACGCACTTGGCTGGCGAAGCTGGCATCAGACCGCGCAAGATGTCAGTGTAGAGGGGCGATGCGGTCTTGGACCCGGCGAAGATGAAGTCTTCGAATTGCCTGACATCCATGATTTGCTCAGGGCTGCGACGAACAAATCGCCTCGTATCTTTAACACCGCCCCCCTGCACACCACCTAGTGGAGCGTCCTCCGGGTGGGGAAGCGACCTCAGCGTAGACAGCAGGGTGTCAAGCTGGGAGCTGATGTTGTGCTTTCCCGCCTTGTCGAGTTGAGGCCACATCTTCTCCAAGGTGATGCCCGGAACCAAGCTCGTGAAAAGCAGGGTATGCTTGTTGTGGCGTATGACACCGTGTGGCCTCGGGGCAGGGAAAGCGGGTAGATGCTGTTGAAGGTAGCCTAGCGACTGGTGTTCATTCACAGGAGACGTTTTGTCGCCTGTGATCTTTACGACAATGTTCTCGCTTAGCCGAAAGACCATGACGGATGCTGCCCAACTGCTTTCGTAGAGAACATCGCTCTCGGACAGCAGGCTCACAAGCCCGGCTGAGAGGTCCTCATAGGGTCGAAAGAGTTCCTCTACTTCTGCGGACAGCTCACAAATAATGGTCGATGAAGCGGCGATATTAAGCCTCGAGCGGATGTCCTTCGCCGGGAGAGAAGGTTTGGAGTCCGAAGTTCCATTCGTTGAGATCGGCGGGGCAATCGCTATAGCATCACGAGTCAGCAATGGTCAGCTTGTCGCCGGAAAGGGTTGTCACCTGAAGATATGTGCTCTTGCAGTTCCGCTGAGTACGTGGACGAAAGAAGATTGATGATGTCAGCCTCAGGATTCTTCGCCAGCTGCTTCCCGAGCCAGTCCAACATCTTTCGGTTGTATTTGGCTGCGAAGGTGCTGCGATTGGCCTTGTTCACGCGATTCTCAGGCTGGGTCGGAATTGAGGAGGAGGGTCGGGAGAGACCCGAAGAGTTGGGCGATTCCATGGCAACGTGATGAAAAGCGACAGCGTCCTCACCGGTAGGGCGTGGGCAGAAGAGTGCAAGCTTAGCGGCCAAAAAGGGAGGGGAAAAGGGAAGTTGAGAAATAGCTAATTCTGAGATTCGCTGCTCTGGTGAATCCCGGAGTGGCCAAGGACGCGGTGATACGGGTTTAAAGTGGTTTGTATTGCTGAGTTGGATGGATGCTGGAGGTTGCCTGATTCGATTGATTCCAGGCTGATTTTATCCTCTGTAGTTTTAGTCGCTTTAGTCAGCATCCTTCCCGGATAGCCAGCTTGGCCGACCACCGACCTTACCCAACACCAACACCCAACATGTTACCCAACACCAACACCGCGCATGACTCCTCATCAAGATGACACGGTATTTCGTGGTCAGGCACGTAGCCCATCGTCTTGTTCTGGCGAGCATGACGTCACGTTTAACAGCGCCGGCCACGGCGCTGCCTCCCGGTTAGACCAAAATCCCCAGATATCATGTTGTTCTACGTGCACCACTCTCCAAACCCCTCTTCTCGACGCCAACTGGAACGTGCTAACATCGACAGTGAACCTTGCAAGCTCTTGTTGGCTTTTGTCGGCCTCTTTGATGTCACTTAACTGAATCTCGCAACCCGACATGGATTCCACTCGTCGTTTGAACAGCGCGGACCATCCGTGTGCCATCCGTACCGGGCATCCCGCGACTCCACCCCCGAGATTGTCCCCGCATGCCGCATGCCGCCCGCCGGCCAAGATGAGACACCGCGGCCGTATCTCGCCTGGCGAAATGAGAATCTTGGTGGTCTGGCCCAGCACCGTCTGTCATTTATTCGTCTTTTTCGCCAATTCCATCAGAGGTCTATGGGGTGTTTCGATCATTTCCACACTTTCTACCCTTTCAATCTTGCCGCATCCCAAGCACAGAGAGCGATATCCTCATCGGCTGCACACGGTTTTGCGACTCTGTTTATCGTGGACCACCACTTCTGAATGTGCAATGCCCCGATGAGAGCCGTCGGAAATCGATGCGATGCTCGGAATTTCCAAGTCCAAGAGACCTCAGCTCAGCAGCCTTTGCTGATGCATGGGATGCCAGCAGCCAGTTGCAAGTCCAAAGAAGATGCCCAACCTCATTCAGTGCTGGTGGCTGACCATACCACCTAACCCTTTATCGTTTGAACGCCGCTGTAGTCTTTGACAGATTGCAGGTTGATGTCTATGTCAATCATCTTTCGGATCCCGTTTGCCAGATCATCATTCACCGCTTTCAGAGACGGTTGCCTGCATGATGAGGCCACCAACCCTCTTCAAAACGAAAACCCGCTCGACGTGGAAAACTCCTCACTAGGTAACGTCCAACCCCAGGCCAACTCAACGAGGCATGAGCCAGATACTTTTTCCTTCACCCCACGCGGCACCACTGCTCAATCGTATCTAACCCGCCAATCGATGCGTCATGGCACCCTACAACACATACGTCGCCTACAAGCGAGACACCAGGCATCTTGTCTACTGGATGATTCGCGCGTCAAACTCGGTCATCAAAAGTCTTCCCCCCGAAGATGACTCATCTCCTTCGTCCCCCTCAGTCACCTTGAATACTTCGGGCCAGACCACGGTGGCCGGCTTTTTGGCCATGACGGAGCTCGTGGCCGAGCACCTGAGGCCCATCCCGACAGCAATTCTGCAGCTCCTTCAGTCCGTTATTGCGGCGAGATCGGCCCATCACGCCGGGTATCAACAACTTGCGGCCGCGAATCCCGATGCCCAGATGGAAAAGAGCAACGCGTCTCACAAGTACTTCGTCGATGCCCTCATGAGAGCTTTCAGTGTGCTTGGTGGGGATGCTTGGACCAAAGACCAAGAGCCAGACGCTGAACTCGATGATGGCAAGATCGAGGAAATCGTGTTCTCGAACAAATTCTCGGCTCTCGAAGTAGAGGCGGACGAAGGTGAAGACTCTTCTGACGGGGATGAAAGCGTCCCTTTCACTGTGCCGAGGGGCCAGAGACGTAACCAGAGGGGGTCTGGCAAAGGCAAAAAAGGCAAGAAGGCCAAGAAGACCAAGACAAGGAAGGGCCAGAAGCCGGCCCAGGCAAGGCATTCCGACTTGGACGCCGTGCCCCTGGAGAGCTACCGCATCATCGAGGCCGAACACGGTATCATGACCGACTATCTCATGGCCGTCTGCTCCATCGCCCATGATTGGGCCGACTTACGAAACTACCTCCAGTCCATCTGGAAAGACGTCGCCTACCAGGGCCTCAACAGCGCTGTTGCCGGAACGTTGTCCAATTTGGCCATCGAAATGGTCAAACAAACGGAGCTGGATATCTTTGTCGAATTCCCGGGCCACGAATCATACGAGACCCTGTTGCAGACCATCGGCAAAGGAGACATCGACAAGGTACAGAGCTGCCTCGTGGCATCTGTGGAAGTCCGGTCGCCCGACGCGGAGTCCAGAACAGTCAGGGAGGCCATCGTCGACCTCAAGGAACATGTTCTGTTCTACGGCTACAGCGACCTCGTCGACTTCGTCGAAGACTTCCAGAAAAACAGAACCGGAAAGCCGACAAAAGCCATGCTGGCCGAGATCGGCAACTGGAATCCGGAATTCGACCTGCAAAGAGCGACCCGCGAGCAGAGGCTGCAGTGGCGCCGCTCTTACACCATCAACTGGCTTTACGACCTAGTCAACGTCTACTCGAGCGTCGCAATCCAACAAATGCGCTCGAGAGGAAAGCCTTATGCTCTGGAAGACGTCGACTGGTCAGCCCACGGCCCTTGGGCGCAACATCGCGTCATTTTCGGCCTCAACGACTTCGCCGCTGTCATCACTACACTCGCCATGCAAAAGCCCGGTAAAGACGCCCGCAAGAAAATCCTGCCTCACCACGTCTTCCAGCTCCAGCTGATCATCGACGCGTTCACCATTTCGCGGGGCTGGTCTTTCAACCTGTTGGAGGGTCATGTGTTGGAGGCCCCGGCGGGCGACTTTCGCCCGAGAAGAGACGTCGACAGGTTCCTGGATCGTCAGGAGGAGCATCAATGCGGGTGCATGATATCCATGAGAAGTATCCAGAGGCGACTCGTGGCGGACAGCGGGCCGATGCTGAGCGGAGACTTTTCGCGAACGCTGTTGTGTTACGACATTCTCGACAAGCTCCGGGCGGACTTCACCGACTGGCTGGGCGAGAGCAAGTACAAGGACGGACTGGAATCCGTTCCTCCTTCCCGGTTCTCGAAGTCGAATCCCAACGGTCTGTGGGAGTACTCGCCTTTTCTTTGCGGCGTCGGTCTCGTGGAGGGTCTCGACCTGAGTTATCGCGCGGCCATGACTGTTTGGGATGCCATATGCGAGCCGACTTTGCTCGTTCATCTGCATAACATGCTCGTGCAGAAGGGCCACCTCGCCGGACCGGTTGGTGTATATGCTTGTCTGGAGGAATTGCTGGCCGAAGATTTCTTCGAAAACGGCATCATTCCAAAGTCAAACTTTCACGCTGCTCTCGCTGCAAGGATGAGGAACGCAAAGTCCAACCCTCGCAAGGCCCATTCTAGGCCATCAGCCCTGCCCCAGCAGGATCTCGACCTTCAGACACTGCTGGACTTGCATGCCAACAAAAACTTCAGAATGAAGTCGAATTTGCTGCTGTACCGGGAGGCCGGCTGGAACGTAGACCGGATCCCCGACTCCGACATCGAGCCGCGCACCATGTTTGGCTGGGCGCGCATCAGCCAGACCAAGCGTGTCATCGATCTGGCGACGGGACAGCAACGGTTCGAGGACACGGAACTCATCCGCCGAGCCAGAGCCAAGGGTGTCCGGGAGGAGCACATCATCCGCGAGACGGAGCGGCTGACGCAGAAGAGGAAGGAAATGGACGAAAAAAGGCTTGCAAGAACCCGATCGTCACCCTACCGTGGAAAAGAACACCACCTCTCCGACGCCGAGTTCAACAAGAACCGTCAGCGTCCCGTCGGTCCCGGGCTCCATCCCACGGGCCGCCAGCTGCTGGAGTACGTCAAGACCGACCTCCACGGCGACGTGTGCGGCGACTACCCCGTGTCCGCCGTCAACTATCTGACCGTCACCATGTTGCTCAGTGAGCTTTTTGAGGATCTGGAGGGGGAGCTGAGTCGCCTACGAAATCCGCTGTATGTGCGTGCGTATGAGACGACGGGCCGAGCGACTACTACCGCGCAGAAGAGACTGGAACTCGTCGTGTCGGCGATGCGCGAGGAAGATGATGAGTGTATGCGGGTGATGGCGGAGCAGTTCCTCAAACACGGATACAATCTCATAGCCTTCATTTATTGGGACCGTCTGGTGCCTTTGGAGGAGATGCGGGCCAAGGCGAGTACGGATAGGGGCGCGGTTGACTATCTCGATTGCGCTGTGATGTGAGAAAGCCAAATAGATGATGATGTCGACTCTCTTCGAAGTCGAATCAATGATTTACATGTATGAAAGACGTGGTGTCGTTCCAGCTCTGCGAATGTTAGACGGGGGAGACGACGGGATTGTCGTACTGTTCTGTGTAATTGTAGTCAACAAGGAAATTCAGATGAATCACTTATCATCCCTCCCCAATCTGGTTCCCCTTACGCATAGCTTTCTTAAGAATGACATCTGGATGCAGGAGGATTGTCATGACAATATTGAAGGATTGAAGAGAAACGAGCCAGAACGCTTTAAAGATGCTCGGTTGCTCGAGACTAGATCGCCGAGTACACCCATTACGATGGCGTACATAGGCGACAAAATTCCCTAATTCCATGAGTTGGCCAAGAGCCAGGGCACCTTCGTCACAAGAACGCAATCATCGCCCACCATCCTCCCAAACCCCATCTCATGATCCAGCTCGTTCACCCGCCCCGTCTTCATCCCCCAAAGCACCTTCCCCCTTCCCCTTCCCCCTCCGCAACCTGCCCCGCATAAAACGTGTCCCTCTCCCAGAACCTCAACGCCTCCGCCGCGGGCTTATACCGCCAGTGCTCCTTCCCCGGCAGCGGCGCCGGGTCGAAGACCAGACGGAGGCGGTGCCGCTCGAAGAAGTGGTTCCCGCGCTCCTTGGGCATGAACGCGCCCCTCTCGAGGCGCACGCTGTGCTCGCGCGGGAGGAACGCCGTCTCGTGCAGGCTGCCCTCGTTGACGGTCCAGTTCGCGGTGGACATGATTCCAATTTTGGGGATGCGGCGGGTTGTCAGGGTCATTTGGATGGTCAATTGGGTTGAGAAGTGGGTGAGGGGTTGGGAGAGGGAGGAGGGGGTCGTGGGTTGCCAGTCGAATTCTGCGCAGATGAAGGGGCTTAGTTCATCGAAGAATATGATCTGTGAGGGTGGATAGGTATGAGTGAGTTGTTTGAGGGGGGATAAAGGGGGTTGTTTACCTCGCCCACGCCGTTCTCATGAAATTTTAGAGTGTAGGTCCATCGGGGATTATAAGTCCATGTTTTGTTGCATAGGAGGGAGAGAATTGTCTCGTTTTCATCGTCGGCCATGTTGTTGAAGTTTGTATTTCTGGTTCTGTTGTGGGAGTTGAATGGAGCAAAAGAAAAGAAGGCAACTAGGAGGAGCAGATATATGGCAGCCAGCTGGGAAGCGACTAAAAACTCTGAACTTAATTGCGTCGTGACTTCTCGACTCTCACGCACTCTGATGAAAGAAGATCATTTTTGTTGGAGGAGGAGAGAATAAGCTTGTTTATTAAGCATGGAATTAGGTATTTGTGGCTTTGACGTGCGTAGTCGTGCCATTGGGGGTGGCTATGTAGATCGGCCCACGCTAGCCGGGTACGGAAGAATGAAGTTCTCTCGAAGTCGCCCGACAGGCGAAGAAAAAGAGCCCTATGGGGTCGGTATGCTGCGCCGCTTGTGCCAAGAGGATGACAACTCGCCGGATTTTAATTGTTTTTGAAGCGGTTTTCGCAACGGCGCAGCAGCATCGCCGGTGTTGTTGTTGCCCTGCGGCTCACTTGGCCAAGTTTATTTTACCATTAGCGAATTTGAAACAGGGAATGTCGAAGTCTTGGGAAGCTCTCGGTGCGTTTTACCAAGAATAATCTTCGTTCGAAGATGGAGTTGCCTGGTGTTCAGCTTTCTGGATAGTCGCCGTGCTTACACGTTCTTTCGGGTTCTCATCCTCAACTTGGCAACTGATGTGCTTGTGGTGAAGTCAGGACAGCTCTGAGGAGGAAGTTGAGTAAACAACACAACTCGACGAGTATAAAGATTGTTACTTGCTCTCTCAAAACAGTTCTCTCTATCAACTCATCATTCAACTCATAACAAGCACTTTCAATCAGCCTTCGACACAAAACATACATCTCAGCCCCAAGATCTATCCCCAAACCACAGCAACCTCCTTCAAGAATCAACCATGCTCTTCGTACCTACCGCTCTTCTCACTCTCCTGGCCGGCTCTGTCGTCGCCGGCCCGGTCTCTCTGAACAAGCGGGACCAGCGCATCATCGGCTACAGGCGTGTCAGCAAGGTAAGCCGACGCTCTCTGGATTACTTCGCGAACTAGCTAACAAGCCCCGCGTTATAAAGGCGCAAGCCGACGATTACAAGAACAACAAGGGCGTTCTCAACTGGGACAAGAACCTCGCCAGCGGCGGAAGCCAGCTCGGCCCCGGCGTCTACACCGCCCCCGTGCGAGGAACCTGGAACATCGGCAACCCCAGCGATTGGTAAGTTGCAGTCCTTACACGCTCACTGTAGCTGGTCAAACAAACAAAACTTCCACGCGCAAGAGAGAGACGAAAAAAGGCTGACAGACTTGCTTCTTCCTCCAGGTGGTGCGTCATCCGCGGCGACGCCGAAAAGATCGACAACACCGGCGCCGTCTGGATCCCGCACTACTTCGAGGATCTCAACCCCATCTGGTACGAGGAGGACACGATCAAGAAGTACATCGGCGTGGTGGAGCCGGACCTTGACGCCGGCAAGGTCTTCCGCCTCGGCCGCATCTACAACATGGAGGACAACCTCCAGCTGCTGATCCCGCCCGGCCTGCTGGCCCAGGAGGGCGGCGACCTGGGCCTCACGGTCGAGTGCAAGGAGAAGTGGGAGGACCTGCCCGACGAGAAGGTCGACTACGAGCAGTTCAACCCGTCCGGCGACATGGACCCCACGCTCTAGGAGGCCGCAGGCGCCTCTGTCGGCGTGGCCTCCCTTCGTGTCTGCTCCTGCTGCGTGCGGTCTTTTGGCTCTTTTCGTTTATTCGGTCGTATGATTTTTTCACTATGTCGCTCTTTTTGACGTGTTTGTTATCTGTTCGTTTGGATAGACTTTGGTATGTGGGAGTCGGTCTTTTTTGCAGTCTGCTGGCAAGATTTTGGAGCTCTGATCGTTATGTTGGTGATTCTTTGAATTCGAAATCATTACTATGAAACCATGACTTTCCCTTTGATTTGTGATAAATCTGCATTCTTGATTGTGGAACTTGAACTCTTATGTAGTAGGAGCACCTTCCCATCGTTCAACGGGCTCAACCAAAGATTTTTCCGCTGCCCGCACTACGAAATATCTAGCTCAGACTTGTGCTTTCATTTCCATGAACCCATTTTTAGCTTTTCAAACGGGAAATGCCAATCTAACGTCAAAACGACAGTTAGATCTGGCTCATATTGATCAGGTAGGGACGTGGTAATGTTGGATAAAATGACCCAAACGGTCATGGTCTTGACTATGTACGTTGATATAGGGTTCGCGCAGCAATTGTGCTACTGCCATGTAACCAACAGCAAGTATTTACAGAGGAAAGTAAAGTTCAGGAAAGGAAAGAAGAGAGAGGAGACCCAGGCTCTCCATCAAAACAATTACGCCATCTCGGCACCATCGAAGATGGCAACACCAAACTTCCTGGTCCACGTGCTGCCCTCGCTGTCCTTGACGGTGACGTCGAAGTAGTCAATACCCTTCGCGGTGCCAGCCTTGTACGTCGCCTTGCTTCCGCTGACGGTCACCTGGCCCTTAGCCGCAGCCGTAGTCGTGAACGTGGGGCTCTTGAAGCCGAGAGCCAGCGTGGCGAGGTCGATCGTGACCGACTTGGAGGGGGAGACGAAGGCGTGTGGGTCGGCCATGAAGTTGAGGTATCCCTCGATGGGCGTGTATCCGTCGCCGCCGGTCGAGCCGTCCCACCAGTCGGCGATGCCGTCGTTGTTGGCGTCCCAGGTCGCGGAGCGCTTGGCCTCGGGGAAGCTCTCGAGGCCGCCGGCGTCCTTCGGGTCGTCGATAAGGCCCTGCTTCCCGGAGACGGAGCCGACGTATTTGGCGGTCCCGGTGAGCGTCTCGTTGATGATGCGGACGTCGTGGTCGTCGCGGACGGGCTGCGTGACGCCCGAGTCGGAGACGACGCGCTTGTAGGCCTCGGTGGAGGTCTGGGTGGCGACGTAGGACTCGAAGAAGGACTTGTCGAAGAAGCGCTGGTAGGTCGGTGCTGGGGAGAAGGAGACCTTGGCGTAACAGGCGATCTTGCTCGAGATGGAGGTGCCGTCGCCGGGAGGGTACTGAACGGAGTCTTGGTCGAAGACGCCGACCATGGAGTTACCGGCGCAGTGGTATTGCTGCATACCCGGCAGGTTGTCCTCGTACTGGACAAGGTTAGCGTTTCTCTCGATCAGGCAGGGTGGTCATTCGAGACTTACGGTGGCCTGGAGAGCGTAGGTCAATTTGCTGGCGGGGCCCGGCTTGTAGTAGTTGCCGACGAAGTTGACCTTCTTGGCGCCCCCATCGGTGACGCGGCCGCCAAAGTTGTAGACAACGTTGTTGCGAATGTCCAGCTGTCCGGCGAACGCAGCGTTGTCGTCGACACCACCACCCATACTCCAGCTTCGGCCCTCGGCGTGGGCGAGGAGGTTGTGGTGGAAAGAGCCGACGTCACCGCCGATCGTAGCGGCGTATCCGTGAGCGGTGCCGGCGGGGTAATTCTTGTGGCCGGCAACGTTGAGAGGCTCGGAAATCATGCTGCGCTGGAGACTGATGTTCCATGCTGAACGGGAGCTGAAGGCTTCATCGATGGTCCAGCCCTAATCGTGTGTTAGTCGTAACCGCGACACATGTCGTCAACGTTCTAAAAACTTACCATTGAGCATCGGTCGAAAATGCAGTGATTGGAACCCTGCATGCCCATACCGTCGATGGTCTCGCCTGAAACCTTGCCGGGACGAACACGGAGATGACGGAAGACGACGTCGGAAGCACCAGTCAGACCGAGAGGGTAGCCTTGAATGACAATACCCTTGCCGGGGGCAGTCTGACCTGCAACGGTAATGTACTGGTCGTTGACGGACATGCGAGAAGTTGTGGTGATGACACCAGCGACGTCGAAAACGACGATGCGAGGACCCTTGGCAACAGTAAGAGCATACCGGAGCGTGCCCTCATCAGTAGTGTCCTTCAGACTGGTCACTTTGATGACCTTGCCGCCACGACCACCACGGGCGAATCGACTGATTGTGTGTCAGAATCTTTTCAAAAGCAGAATCAGAATTGGAGTGAAGCTTACCCCCATCCCTCAGCACCAGGGAAGGCCAATTGTGCAACACGGAACATGAAGACGCGGCCGGTGTAAGTCATGCTTCCTGAAACGACATCCACGCGCCAGTAGAAAGTATCAAAAGCATTGAGGTCTGGAAAGAGTCAGCTTGTTTTCTTCTTTGACGTAATCCTACGTGTTGGAGTTAATCGCAACGTACTGGTAAGGGTAGTGGTGGTCGTGGTCAAGCCTTGGGCGACAGAGGTCAAGTTGGAGGGTGACTTTCCAAGGAAGACGTTGTACTTGACGCCAGAAGCCGAAGCAGGTGCACGCCACGAAGCCTTGGTGCTCTTCTCGGTGCCAATCTCAATACGCTCATCGCGGTGCTTCGGCGTCGGGAAGCTGATCTGGTTCTCAGTCGCCGGGGTGTCGATTTCAAAACCGTTGATGAAAGCACGCAGGTCACCTCCGGTCGGCGTGTAGACCACCTTCACCTCCTGAGTGGCTGACGTCACGTCGAAGGTCAGGTAGGACTGCGCGGCCTCCCAGATGTTGTCGATACGGGCAGATTGCTTGACTCCGGTCTTTGCGCTCTTCCCGTCCACCGTGATGGCGAGGGTCGCGACCTCCTTGAGCGCGTCCCAGGCGTTGTGCCAGGTCAGCAAGCTGTGCTTCCCGACCGGAAGACCCTTGATGGACAGAGTGAGCGCCGCTCCGTCCTTGGTAGAGGTGCTGATTCCTTCGTTCACGACGCGCTCTCCGAGAGACGAGAGGAAGCGCGTGTACTGATACTTATAGTAGTTACCGGACAGCTCAGCACCGCCTCCGGCTGCGAGGGTGAAGGAAATGTCGTTATCGGTAACGTTGGTGACGGAGAGGTTGGCAGTGGCGGCACCCGGGATGGTCCAGGCGATGTAGTCGGTGTCGACCAGGTTCCGGATGTTCGCGGGGTTGAGGCGGACACGGATCGGAGCCACGGCAGGCAGGCGGGCAGCCGGCGCCTCCGAAGCTTCGGGAATGCGGGACGTAACCAGAGTGGTCGGAGCAGGTGTTCCGGACCCGCCGGACGCTGAGGCCGAGGCCGGCGCCGACTCTTGGGCCACGGAGGCCGTGACGAGTACGGCTGCCGCCAGGGCCTTGAGGAAGCCCTTCATGATGGATGCAGGGATGATAAGAGAAAGACTGACAGGACGAAACGAATGAAACGGGTTTACGATGGGCAGCAAAAAACCCGGAATACGACGACGCGGGCGATGGGCGCTGGGGACGCCTATATGTAGGCGATTAATACCTTACCCGGACTAATTCGAGTCCATGTTTGTCCCGAGCCCACCCTTTTGAGACCCTTTCATTTACTTCTTTGGACGAACATCTATCAAATTCAGACGGGGCATCTGACCTCCTTTCGATCTGGTGCATCCTGTTTCCCAGATTAAAAGGCAAACAGATGGGGAATCGATGAGACGACACGCTAACCGGTTCCTGGCCGCCGGGGAAATCTGGGACTGTCCAATTCCACGAGTAGGGACCAGGGCGCCCCGCAATGGGATCTGGGTTACATCCTGGACCGAAGGTAGCGCTCTTTTCTTACCGGAACCTTGCATTTGGCTGCAGGCGGGCTTGGCGGACGTTTAAGCTTGATGAGGCAGCTGGAAAGAAGAGCTGCGCTTCGTTTGCAGGGCGGATTTCCCGCCGTGCATGCTACGGGCTGAAAAGTGATTGAAATTGCGCAAGGGGCTCGTGATCGTGGGGACTCGCCGGCCGATCTGCAGCCCTCGAATGCGACACCATCGAGTCACGTCATGAGAGTGTCTGAAAGGGGTTCGGGATGCGCTCCGTGTCGTTAAAAGAGTTAAGACTACGTGAAGATGAAATGGTTTGGATTGTTAAATACAGTGCAATCCCCTCATTGTGGCGTTTCTATCTCAGGAAAGCACATCGCCATGATGAACAGCAACCACATTGAATCCCTTGAGTCAATTCAGACAGCATTTAAGAACAATGCGATATTGAGCTGTAACTATTGTCAAGCGTCTGCCATGTGTGGAATACAGTTCATCTGAAGTGCCGGCCGTGAGTAGACAGCATGAACCATGCCTAACGCCGGTGAACATAGCTACATACTTAAACAACTTTCATCATGGAGAGGCTGTTTAAAGACAATGACAGTGAAGTTTGAGAGGCCTAGATATACCAAATCATCAGACTCTCAGATCGATCACTTGACGACTTGGACTTCATACGGTCGGGCCCCCGAACATAGTCGTGTACCGTACCCGTGTAATTCGTGGTGAAACGATTCTCCACCTAATGGATCAGTAATGCGGGTGAGTACCAAAACGGGTATTTTTTCTGATCTCAATACCTCAACACTTTTCACAAAGACCGGCGTTCGGGAGTTGACTGTTTATTTCTCAAACTTGTACAAAACAAATGACATGCGACTGGAGACACACTGGTGTAGATGAGCAACACTCCTCTCCCTCTACTTGTTGAGATACTCCTCAAATCGTCCACCGTAGCGTTGTCCTGCCACAGGCAAGCTCTCGATCAGCTGCTGAATCTCCTCCAAATCCTCCTGGCTTAGATCCACATCCGTACAGTTCTCCGCAATCCGTTCAACCTTGGTTGATCCAGGGATCGGAATGGCGCCCTGTCGTCTGACCCAGGCAATGGCAACCTGCGCTACCGTGGATCCCTTGCGCTTGGCGATCTTCTCGACGGCCTCGACGAGCTTGAAGTTTTGCGAAAAGACTTCGGGCTTGAAGCGCGGCAGCATGTGTCGCATGTCGTTTGACGGAAGGTCCTCTGGCTTTCGGAACTCGCCCGTGAGCAAGCCTCGACTCACGGGGCTGTATGCCACGACAGCAATGCCAACTACGAATACCAAGTCAGCTTTTGTTTGAAATCAACCGGCTCCTGAATCCTGCGTCCGGAAGCAGATCCGTCTGGTTGAGTACTCACGTTCGTGGCATGCATCTGCTACGCCGTTGCTGAGAACATCAGGCGTGAAGATGCTGAGCTCGATCTCAACCGCCGCGACGGGGTGGACAGCGTGCGCGCGTCTAATCGTCGCTGCGCTGACCTCGCTGAGACCAATGCTGCCAATCTTTCCCTCCTTGACGAGCTCCGCCAGAGTCTGGATGGATGTCTCGATGGGGACCTTGGGGTCAACTCGTGCACACTCGAATACGTCGATCTTCTTGACGCCGTCCAGGACTCTGACGGCTTCTTCTACCGATGCCCGAATGCCCTCTGGGCTGCAGTCCGGGGTGTGCGTCTTGGCGTCGTAGGCGCCTTTGATGCTGAGTACTACCTTGCTGGCATCTTCGGGGTATTGCTCGAAGTAGTGCTTGAGCAGGTGCAGTGAGTTGGCGGTCGGCGTTCCGTAGTGAATTCCCTGTACTCACGTCAGTCTTCGGCGACTCTGAGGCGTGCATCGGTGATTGTTGGACTCACCCCATTCCAGAAGTTGGCACCCTGCTCCAGTGCGGTCTTCATGACCTTCACGGCAGCAGAGTACTCGACTGGGTCCCATGGACGCGTGAGACCTGCCATTGTATCAGTTCCGCAATTTTATGGAACGTCTTCTGCGTTCTGGGAACTTACCCATCAAACCAAAGCCAACGGGACCAATGGTCTGGCCGGCAATGCTCTTCGGTGCAATGGATTGGCTCATTTTGAGGTGTTGAAAGAAAGCTAATGAGATATTGTTTGATTGTGTGAATGAGATTGACTGTTCGATGTCTTGTGTTCTGTGGTTTGAACCTTTCTCGTTCTCTTGGAGCAAAACCAAACCACATATATATATGTCTGTTTTGATTTACCTCAGCCAAAGCTAGACATCATTCATTGTGAGGCGGCCGCCCAAAGTCCGGGGTGTTATCTCCACGGTCCGAGCCGTGATCGGCGCCGTGCCCAAGCTTTCGCCCAGCGGACAGATTCGCGGTCGCCGGAAGATATCCTAAGTTCCGGTCCGACCGCCCAAAGTCCCTATGTAAGCGCAGTTTTGGTGGACCTATCGGATTTAGATGAGATTGTTTACTGAAAAGCGTTAGTGCAAGTGAGGTGAGACGGGGTGCCAAAAGAACTTCCGTCATTGAGCGACTAAGTGGGATCTCGCTGGACTCTGATTGAACAGGCTACGATGCTGCATCGTTCTTGATATTTCGATGCCTATATCCGCAGCCCATTCTGCCTCCGATGTTCCGCATCATGATGCCTAGAGAGAGAATGAGTGTCTAGATTGACGTGGTGAACCTCCCGCTTAATGTCGTCAAAAGCATTAACATCCAGAAATGTCCCGGGCTTAAAAGGCTCACTGCTTAAGTCCGACTGCACTAGGTCCTGTGGCGCTGTTGGTTGACGAACAGGCAGCGACAGCTTCAGAAAGAAGGAAGACTGCAAGTGTACACCTGTTTTCATAGCAATGGAAGGGTTGCTTCACATTCTGTTTGACATCTCAACTTCGAAGTGCTAAAAGCAATGGAAGATCTCGATTGGGCGTCATTGTTAGCACTAGAGTAAATGGGCGCTGGTTGTATTGATTATTATGTTCATGCTGGACTGTATTAGCCCTCAACAATGAGGTTATGCCTTGTTAAGTGTGCGACTGCGTCGTTTGAATCGGGTAGTATTATATGGATATACGCCCTCCCAGCCCCTATGCTGAAAACTAAGCTGAGAGGGCTTGTCATGGGCTTATAAACTCTTATTGTGTTGAGTGTTAGGTATTGTACTTGTATCGCGTTATGTGGAAACTTATTCTTAAGGTGCTGCATCATATAATTTTTTTTCTTTTCCTTTTTTTTTTCCGTAGCTTGCGATGTCCTCACTTCTTCTGGACTGTATTATATGATTTCTTTCTGGCAACCCTTCAATCCTTTTGTTGTATGAATGTCACTCAAACCCGCCGACTCAGATTACCGTAACTTTCAGGTTTTCTGATATTTATTGTCCGTATGAAGCGTCGCATATTCCAAGCCCTCTCACGTTCACAACTTTACTACTCTCAAGCGAGTATCACACAAGTCCAAACACCTCAACACTGGTCGACGATGCTTCTAAATTTTCAGCATCGTTTCACGGACTATTACGACTTACTTCTTCATCAGGGCTCAGAGTCGTTCTACGAAAGCGAGGTAGTATCACGCCAAACAACACGACATGATGCCGAACACCAGTTTCCTCTTTTCGCCCTGCTAAGCAACTTAATATCCCTTTTTATGGATTAAGTCCAGAACATGCTCATTCTGCAAGTTTGTACCCGCTCGATCACATCGCATTTATGTTCCGTGACTTTTGAAGTTCGTCTGATTCCTTGCGCAGGGGATGTAAGGTTCTAGCATTTGAGCACGACCGCGCCGCTGGTCATATCACCAACCATTATTCGGCTTACCGACGTCGCGGGAGGCCTTGGTACGGTATGTATGTTTTAATTTGGCAGCTGTTTAAGACTTTGATCGAAGCGACCGATCTTAAGAGGCTGGCGAGTACCTATCAACAGGTGTTACCTGCGCATCGCCTCAGACGTTGACGTTTCGAGGGTTGAACTTACAGAAATGCCTCCTTTTCTCACCATTCATTTATGCACACCACGAATTTTGACAGCTCGATGGATCGCCATTTGGTTTGGAAGCGGCGTTGGAAATCCACAAAGAGGCCCCGGGAATCTTCAGGCCAACGGAAGTCTTCGATAATAGTGGTATTCTGTACGGAGCTGATATATTAAAGCCTCTTACGCTGGGCGTGAAAGCCGTCGACTTGGGACGTTCATCCATGTTCGCCAACATGTACGGAGCGGATGGGGCGGCTAAGACTGCTCAACTTTTGAAGCATGATATTGCTATCGATGCAGCTAATCTCGGCGTTGCTGACATGAAGCAGGTCAACTCGTCGTTTGTAAGCCCACAAATCTCAAAGGACTTTTGACTTATTACTGAACGGATGACTAGGTCAAGCTCCAGTACAACAACTGATACAGCTGAGATACATTTGTATTTGGGATCCATCTGATACTCACACAAATCTCAGCTGATTGGGCGGGCAAGACGTGGATATAAAGCACCAATAAGCACACCACTAGATGTATTCAGTCCATTCTGATTATGTTGCTAAGCTAAACTCCGTGGTATATATGTGTACGTAAAAAAGGAAAACACCATCCAACATGCAACTCAATAACGCTTGCTGTCCGCAATCCCTTTGTTGTGATTCTCATTCCTGTCGTGCTTGTTGTGCTGGACTCAGCCGTACGTGGGTGCCAAGAGCGGATGTGGTCTCGGCACAGAGCTTGGCTGCTCTTGTTCATGTTTGGCAGGGCCTTGGGCTTGCTTCTTCATTTCCACAAGAAGCTTGGTAATCTGCTCCAGCCGCTCGTCGATCCTATCAATCTTCGCTTTGCTTGTGTACCGATAGGTGTCAGCGATCTCGTTTCCTACTGAAAAACGTGTTGAGTTCGAGATGGTTTCACTGACTACTCGGGCGAGATGAGTACCCTCTGCGCTTGTGGTTTGTGCTTTGGCAGAAGTTTCCGCTCGCAGGCTACCTGTGAAGATTTGCAGCTTGAGCAGGGCATGCCTTTATCGCACCGTATCTGAATGGCATTGACGGTAAGTATGGTGTGCGTTATGCTCTCATGCCCACTTGGAGCGTTATGGGTAGACGATGTACTGCGTGGACAGCAATGTAAGTGAGTTTAGACTACTGACCTTTCGAGAACGGCACCAGTCGCACTATGAATGCTACTCATTAGCCTTGATTCTGAGTGATCGATGATCCGTCGACTCGGCGTCTACGGATATGTGGTGCTTACCGATCGATGTACCGGCGGCCGCACCCCGGCCGCCGTCGCATTCTCCACTTTGACTTGATCCATACCGGCGAGTCCGATCTCGACGGACTAGATGACCAGCGGACAATGGCAATTTTTTAGACCGATTGTAAAATGAACTCGTCAGCTCTTGTTAGTAGATCGAGAGTAAACCGATCGAATTAAATGATTCAGTCGGGTAGAACCAAGTAGAAGAACGCTCAGCTGTGCCTCTCGTGTGGGCTCGCGATCCGTCATGTGGTTATCTCGGGCGCCCGCCGGGACCCGCGTGTCCCGCCGGCGAGCCGGTGAGACATGGGAATTCATACTAAGATCGAATGATCTGCTGCAGAACTCGGCGCCAAGATGCGATCTAGAATCACTTTTTCATTTTCATTTTGGTTTTGCCGGCTAGGAACTTGTCACAGCCCACAGGTTCGGTACCGGTGGCATGCGGTTTTACCCACATCCCCGGCGTGATCGAGCAATGGCGTCGGGGGAGCGCCCGACGCGATTGCACGCCATATAACCTTAAAACCATCGTCGAAGCACCCATCCAATGAACGAGTTGAAGACTCATTTCCTGACGGCAAACTCAAGTTGATTGCTGCTGCTGAGGTGAGGGATGAACCCGACCAGTCACCATTATGATTGACATGAGGGAGAACAATCTAGCGAATATTCCACCATGAGAGTCTGGCCTCGGCGCCGAAGCGCAGTTGGAAGGCGAACGGGTCCCGACGGTCGCGGAGGCCGAGGAACCGGGGGCCCGCGGGAGTGCGGGTTGGCGGGTAAGGTGAGTTCTCATCGCGGCCATGCCGCGGGCCCGGAAAAGTGGCTCACTAACGGTGGGATGCGGGAGAGCATGAAGGCTTAAATATCCTCTGTTGCCAACTCATTAAAGGTATCGAAATTCTCGAGAAACCAATTCAACACCATGATAAGTTGGATGAAGTGCGGACCACTCATGGAAAGCGATGAACCCGTAAACATATCGAAGTCATCTTGAGTAACAACTCTCCTGTCTTCGTGTAATGAAAGTCCAATGCAAATGAGCAAGAGCCTTCTGATTCTCTTTGGCTGACAAGTCATTCAAGGTGCTTGTCCGTGATCTCGAAGGAATTGAGATGACACAATATCCATCCTCCGTTCTCAAACCACATTCCCTTCATGTGTTTTCCTCTTCAAGCAATGACACCGAGCCAGGACCAGTAAGCTTGTCTCATCAGTGCTGTGCCACCTTGGCACAGCGGCAGCCGTTGTTGGTTGGCGGAACATCCAGTCTGCGACACACATTCATATCTACATCTCGATCACTTACAAGTCCCAACTACACTCATGTAATTTGCCTTTGGGACATCTGTTCACGACACATGACTCGCGCAACCCCACGCTAGACAACTGGCGATGTCTGCTAGTTCCTAGCATTTGAAAGCACCATCTCTCATTGGCATGGCTCGGCAACTAGTGGGGGTTAGGCGATAATAAAGGCTGCTATGATGCGGGGATCAGTCGCAGACAAAGAACTGCCGGGAAACAAAATCTTGCCGCTGAGGAATCTTGTTTCGAGAAAAAGCATTTCCCCCAGCATGATCGTCTCCGGGAGAAGCCTGAGAGAACTTCGGCGGTGAAACATGTCCCACCCAGCAATCCGATCGTCGTCAAGAACCACATAACACAGACCCGGTCAACATGTCGGGCGTCGTGAACCCGTACCTGGCCGCCGGGGCGGCGATCTTGCTCGCAATCGTCTTCACTGCCCTGAAGTCCAAGACGAAGCAGCGACTCCCGCCCGGCACGACCCTCCCCCCGGGCCCGAAACCGAAACCCTTGATCGGGAACCTTCTCTCCATCCCGCCGGTGCACTCATGGCTCGCCTTCCACGAGCTCATCAAGGAGCACGGCCCCGTCGTCCGGCTCTCCATCCCGGGCCAGGAGCACGTCCTCCTCGGCACCGAGACCGCCGCCAACGACCTCCTCCGCCAGCGCGGCAACATCTACAGCGACCGCCACTACGCCCCCGCGTCGTCTCATCTCCTGACCGACGATCACATGCTGCTGCTGCTCCCGTACGACGAGCAGTGGCGCAAGTATCGCAGGTTCCTGCACCAGGTGACCATGTCGCCCGTCGCGCCGTTGTACGAGACGGAGCAGAGGATCGAGGCCGTCCGCCTGCTGCGCGACTTGATCCGCGACCCCAAGGACTACGAGGTTCTTTTTGAGCGCTTTAGCGTCGGGATTGGGATGCGAATCATTTACGGTTTGCGGCTTGAGAGCGGACACGATCGCGACGCGAGGATGATTCTCGACATCGTCCACGAGCTCGAGCGCGCCGGATCTCCCGGGGCGTACCTCGTCGACCTGTTCCCCTCGCTCATGTATGTCCCCGAGTGGCTCGCGCCCTGGAAGAAGTACCTCCGAGCGCGGAGACGACGCGACGAAGACTTCTTCGACGAACTCATCGACCGGAGCAAGAAGCCCTCGTGGGCTCGGAACTGGCTGGAAACGCAAGACCAGTGGGGCCTCACGCGACGCGAAGCGAGCTGGATGCTCGGCTCGGTCTTTCAAGCTGCCGCGACGACGTCTGGCTCGGCGCTGGCGTCGTTTGTTCTGTGTATGGTGCGGAATCCGGGCTGGTTCGAGAAGCTCCAGAAGGAAGTCGACGCAGTCGTCGGGCCTGACAGACTTCCCACTTTCGCCGATATGCCGCAGCTCCCTCTTGTCCGAGCATGCGTCAAGGAGACATTGCGAGTCTATCCCATCACCGCCGGGGGGTTTCCGCATCGTCTGACGGAGGACGACACCTATAATGGGTACTTCCTCAAGAAGGGCACCGTGGTGCACGCCGTGCAATGGGCTATCCAGCGCGATCCAGAGCTGTACCCAGACCCCGAGGTCTTTAACCCGGACCGATGGCTGGACTCGGCATTTCCGACTTACAAGGAGCCCCTGAACATGTATCCCAACTTGCAGAACTATTCTGCCTTTGGCCATGGCCGCAGAATTTGCCAGGGCATTAATATCGCTGAGCGGAGTCTCAACCTTAAGATTGCTATGCTGGCCTGGGGATGTAATATCAACAGGGCCAAGGATTCTGGCGGAAGGGACATCATACCGCCTGTGTACAACTTTGTCGAAGGATTCAATGTTCAGCCTAAGCATTTTGATTTTGATCTGAAGCCCAGGAGTTCGGAGCGAATGGAGCTGATCGAGAGGGATTACGAGCAGTCGCTGAAGGACGACCCCTTATTGCAATAGCCAATGCTTTCTTACCATTCCCAACATTAAACGAGTAATAATGACGACAATACCTGAAAACCAGGGAAATCTATTCAGTCCAGTTGCACATTCGCACATATCCTGCTAAATTAAAGAGCAAGCCCAAGTCATGATACCCAGTCCCGCCGGCCGTTGCCTCCTGATCGTAAGCCGCTTCGCCAATCGTCAAACCCATATGAATACACTTTACACAAAGCAGCAATTGCAGAGATGGTTGTTGAACGCCGAACGCAAGCACGCCACGCTCCGTTGACCGCAACCCTAGAGTCCTGTACCCAAACCAAACATCGGCGTCGGCGCGTTGGTCCCGGGCTCATTAAACCTCCTCTTGACCTCGACTCCCAGACTCTGAATTGCCCTTATCAACGGCACAAAGTCCCTCTCTCCTCTCGACGCCAAAGCCATGACGTCGCACACACTCTCGAGCAGCGCGACGTCATCGGCGTGAGCACGCACGTCGGGTGCGTGCAACACGCTGTTCATCAGACACGCGTATGCGACGTAGAGGCGATACATGCCAAAGAGGACGCACATGGTTTCCGGGAACGGGTTGCTCATTAGAGTCAAGTGCACCACGGTCAAAATGCGACGGGAGGCGTCGACGGCCAGCGGAGAGTCGGGGACGTCGGCGTCGGACATGACGGGGCGCGGGGAGTTGGAGCGGAGCACGGAGAGCTTCCGGAGCATGAAGATGATGTAAGTGTAGCCCGACAGCGCCACGTCGCTCATCATCCAGGCTTCGGCCTTGTTCTCGCTGGACATGGTTCTTTGCACCCATCCCTCCTACGATAACCCAATGTCAGCGCTGCTGTTTAATGAACAGGGGGGGTCTCTTACAATATCCCACGCTTCGAATATGCGATTGATTTCGCGACACAGTTCCTCAGTCTTGGGACGCATCTCCTCCTCGTCGCAGTGGGTGTTCTCCAGTTCCTGATAGAACTGGGATAGAACGAAAGTCTGTCTCGAGCTGGCAAGAAAGGCAACGGTTGAAACGGCGTTGATATCGGGTGTGTTCTCAGCAGATAACCAAGGCAAGTTAACTTTCCAGGAGTTGATCTGCGAGGTCATTGACGGCGGCTTGTTGAAGAGGAGCCTGAAGAAGTAATCGATCTGTATCATCTCCCAAAACCCCTTTCGGTCAGTGTCCAATTTTGCCTGGTCCAACAAGACGCTGCTGCTATGGGGATGAGCATCGAGATTGTGGAAGTCGAGCTTCTGGGCGTAATCGCAGGCGTATGTGTACATCCGCCAGCTGAGCTCTTCGTCGAAACACTCAGCAGCTGCGCGACACTATGTTCAAGTCCGAGTCAGTTGAGTCGTTCTGTGCTGATGGGCTGGCGGTTACCACGTACCATGAAGATTGCGGCGATGAAGTCCGTCGTCGTGCCTGTTGCCTCACGCTGCCATAACGGAAGCGAGCGCAGACAGCAGAGGTACAGCATGCGGGCGTAATGCAACCCCTCGGAATCCCCCTCAAACGACGCACTGAGGCCGCAACCGTGATACAGAATGCCGTAGTAAACTACAAGTATGGCCGGATCCAAGTGAACATGGGGGAGATCAATCAAGTCGGGCATTAACTTGATCAGCTTGAGGTTCACAAGGCTGACGAACATCTCAGTTTGCATATGTGTGAAGTAGCCTGCCACATGTGTTAGTATCCCAGAGACTTAACTGAGGAAACGGTCAGTGAAATTACGCTCTGGACTTACTTTCAATCCATTTCCGGCACAATTCTGGTGGTAAATGCACATTCTCAGTGATGGTGGCAGCGGCGATGGTCTGCAATCTCAGTCGTTGCACCTGATCAACCGCATCTTTCAAGATGGCAGCTGTGTCGATCTCAGGGGAAGCACTCGGTGTGGCAAGTGACGTCCAGGGTGATGTCGCTTGCCCACACGCCACGCTCGAAGGAGCAGGGGAGGAGACGTTTGAGGGGGCGCTGTTGGATGTTGATGTATGCCGGGGCGGGGCGGGAGGGTCGGCCCCGGCGGCGGTAGTGGGTACATCTCGGGCTCCGAGTGATTGTCTCTCGTTGGGGAGCGTTGTGACATGCTTCTCGACTCGCTGTAACCGTTCCAAGATTGTTGACAGGGCGTCATCTGTGGTTCTGCCGCTTGCCAAGAAACAGATTTTCAGCCAAGTTCCACGATCCGTCGTAAATCTCATCTCAGAGACGGGGGGTGGGAGGGGGCGGAGCTTACGACAACCGGTCGGTGAGGGTCTTGGTCACTTTCCTCTTGACCCTTTGGGGATAGACGCATTCGATGTCGTGTGTTTTACATCTATCGCATGTCGGCATCACCCGACTGCACCGGACCTATTGAAGTTGATGAGATCGTCAGTCGAAGCACACACAAAGATATCCACACGATGAGTTCTGACTGACCTTTCTGTGTTTGCATCTCTTACACTACCGAACCGATAATGAGAGACAATGTTAGCCATGAGCCGTGAGTAGGATCTCAGCCCTATGCACCTGCTGGTCGAGAGAACACAGCGGACAATGGGCCTTGGGAATCTCCGCTACGCACCGAAAGCGGGTTCAAATGTGCTGACTGATCCGCCATGACTGTTGGCTGGACTCACGAGAGGCTCGGGGGGGCGGAGAAAAGGACCTTTGAAGGGGGCGGATACAAGAATCTGTAAGAGAGGGGGGAACTTGGAAGGACAAATACACCATGTCGAGCCGCTCTGAACCCACCCAGGCCGTCTTGACGCATCATGGACGTGTAAACTCCGGTCTGACATGGTTTTGTCTACCAAAGTCAAATTAGGTGCCGCTGATTATCTTGGCAAGGGTGGGCTTGTTTGACGCAGGTCCGCGCATGTCCGTGTCCCGGGGGCCGCGGACAACTCAACAAGGGATCCCGAGATGACCGGTCTCCCGCCGGAGCAGCATCAACATATCTTCCGGACATTGTTGTCTTCAAGATGTCTGGTCTTCAGCTGGTGCCGACTGGCAATGCTTATTGATTCTAAGCTCACGGCAAGTTCCATGGCCAAGCCACATCGATCGCCAAAGACGTGGCTAGTTTCATCAATACAGATCGAAATTGGATCTGGGGAGTCTTGGCTGAGTCCGAAATGCTATCTCATAGGGCTGAATATCCCACACTAACACTAAAAAGACCCCTTAAAGCGGACTTTCGGACACTTCTCAAGCGAACATCCGAGACTCCATCACCAACAACACGGCTAACGGTAGCAAACAATTGATGACGATGGATAGGGATAGGCTCCTTAAAATTTCTGACATAGTCATGTTGGTTATTTATCGTTCTTGTCCCGAAGATAGGATGACTTGCTTGGTTCATTCTAATTCCAGTCAGCTCGCCCACAACTGATGATCGTACTTCATTACTACATTGGACTGGCTATTTACTACTTCGTATTATTAATCCTCAAGACTTCATCTTTCCTCAAACTCATCCTCGTGCCGTCTGGTCTCATTGACCTCTCGAGCCATAATGCGGTCCGACAGCGACACGGAGACGGAAAGTGGCGTTTTGCCTCCCCCGGTCCAGAACGAGAAGCTTCGTCACCCATCGAGCTCGGAATCCAACTCTGCCACAATCGTCAACGAAAAGGAATGGGCCAAACATGAGGACTCCGCCGCCCAAGAACAACGGATGAACGATGAGGTTCTGCAACTCGCCCGTCGGTTTACTACTCAGTCCCATGGCGCCCCCGGCTCTCTCTTTCCTGTCCCTGCCGAAGGCCCCCTGAATCCCGCCAGCCCCAACTTCAACGCCAGAAAATGGGCAAAGGCATTCTACGACATTCGCACCGACACATCTGAGGGTAACCCTCCCAAGACGACCGGTATCGCTTTCAAGAACCTCAACGTCTTCGGCTTCGGCACGTCCACGGACTACCAGAAGAGCGTCGGCAATGTCTTTCTCGAGGCGGCCTCCATGGTCAAGAAGCTCACCGGAGCGAAGGAGCAACGAATCGACATCCTCCATGATCTCGAAGGCGTCGTTCACAGCGGAGAGATGCTGGCTGTCTTGGGTCCCCCGGGATCTGGCTGCTCGACGTTTCTCAAGACGGTTGCGGGAGACACCCACGGATTTCACGTCAGCGACGATGCAACGCTCAACTACCAGGGCGTTCAACCCAAGCAGATGCGCACGGCTTTCAGGGGCGAGGCTATTTACACCGCCGAAGTCGACCACCACTTCCCGCACTTGACGGTCGGCGACACGCTTTACTTTGCCGCTCGCGCCCGGTGTCCCAAGAACATCCCTCAGGGCGTTTCGAGACGGGAATATGCCGAGCATCTGCGCGATGTCACCATGGCCATGTTCGGTATCTCGCATACCAAGAACACCCGCGTCGGTGACGACTTTGTTCGTGGTGTCAGTGGTGGCGAGAGGAAGAGAGTGACCATTTCCGAGGCAGCATTGAGTTACTCGCCTCTCCAATGTTGGGATAACAGTACTCGAGGCCTCGACAGCGCCAATGCTCTCGAGTTCTGCAAAACCTTGAGAACTCAGGCCGATGTCATGGGCTGCACCTCTTGCGTTGCGATTTACCAAGCCTCTCAGGATGCTTATGATGTAAGTCTTTTTTGTCTTCAAATTGAACGACCAGTCTTCTAACCCATCTCAAGGTCTTCGACAAGGTCATTGTTCTGTACGAAGGCCGCCAGATCTTCTTCGGCAAGACGGGTGAAGCCAGAGCCTACTTCGAGGGTCTTGGTTTCGTCTGCCCCGAACAGCAGACCACGGCCGACTTCCTCACGTCCATGACCAGCCACCAGGAACGCATTATCCGCCCTGGATGGGAGGGCAAGACTCCCCGCAGCCCCGACGAATTCGCCCAGGCCTGGAAGGCTAGTCAGCATCGTGCGCGTCTGTTGGAAGAAGTCGAGGACTACCTCCAGCGCCACCCCTTCGGCGGCGACCACTACCAGAAGTTCCTCGAGTCTCGCCGCATCGACCAGTCCAAGTCCCAGCGCGCCAACTCTCCGTTTACGCTCTCCTACACAGAGCAAATGACCCTGACTTTGTGGCGATCCTGGGTCATGCTCAAGGGAGACCCCAGCATCACGTTGACGATGCTCATCACCAACGTCTTCGAAGGCCTGATTATCAGTAGTCTGTTCTACAACCTCCCCGCGGACACGTCCAGCTTCTTCCGCCGCGGTATCCTCTTGTTCTTCACGGTCATCATCAACGCTTTCGGAAGCATCCTCGAGATCATGACGCTATACGCTAAACGGAAAATTGTCGAGAAGCACGCCCGCTACGCCCTGTACCATCCCTCTGCAGAAGCACTCTCAGCCATGGTTGTGGACCTTCCTTATAAGATCGTTAATGCCGTTCTGATGAACTCCATCTTATACTTTATGGGCAACCTCCGCAGGGAACCGGGCGCATTCTTCTTCTTCCTCCTCATTTCCTTCAGCATGACACTGACGATGTCGATGATGTTCCGTCTCATTGGCTCCGTCACCAAGTCCGTCGCCCAAGCCCTCGCCCCAGCATCCATTATTCTCCTTCTCATCGCCCTGTACACCGGTTTCGCCATCCCGCCGCAATACATGCAAGACTGGCTTGGCTGGGTGCGGTGGCTAAACCCAGTCTTTTACGGTCTCGAAAGTGTCATGCTCAACGAGTTCGTCGGTCGCAATTTTGATTGTTCTACCTTCGTGCCCATGGGTCCTGGATACGGTTCCGTCGCTGCCACCGAGAAGGTCTGCTCCGCTGCCGGCTCTGTTCCAGGACAGGACTTTGTCAGTGGCACGACCTACCTCCTCACCTCGTACGGCTTCAAGAACTCGCACCGGTGGAGGAACTTTGGTGTGCTCATCGCGTACACAATTCTCTTCATGGGTCTCCACCTGGTCGCTACCGAGTACATCGCTTCTGAGCGCTCCAAGGGCGAGGTTTTGGTCTTCAGCCGGCAGGCGATGAGCAAGCGCCGCAAGCAAGGTACAGCTGATGTTGAGAGCGGTGCTGCTGGTAAGGCTCAGCAGAGCACCTCCGAGGACTCCGATGGTGCCGCTGGAATGGAGAAGCAGACCTCCGTGTTCCACTGGAAGGATGTGTGCTACGACATCAAGATCAAGGGCGAGCCGCGCAGAATTCTCGACCACGTCGACGGATTTGTCCGTCCAGGAACTCTGACTGCTCTGATGGTAAGTTTCCTCATCTTGCTCAGAAGACAACAAAGCCGCTAACTGATGGTCCCAGGGTGTTTCCGGTGCCGGCAAGACGACCCTCCTCGACGTCCTCGCAACCCGCGTCACGATGGGTGTCGTGACGGGCGACATGCTCGTCGACGGCCAGCCCCGCGACGAATCCTTCCAGCGCAAAACCGGCTACGTCACCCAACAGGATCTCCACATGCACACCTCCACCGTCCGCGAGGCCCTCAACTTCAGCGCCCTCCTCCGCCAGCCGGCCAAGTACTCCCGCAAGGAAAAGCTCGCATATGTGGACACCGTGATCAGTCTCCTGGGAATGGAAGAGTACTCCGATGCGGTCATTGGCGTCCCGGGTGAGGGCCTGAACGTTGAACAGAGGAAGAGATTGACGATTGGCGTTGAACTCGCGGCACGCCCCCAACTCCTGCTCTTCCTCGACGAGCCAACGTCCGGACTCGACAGCCAGACTTCGTGGTCGATCTGCAACCTCATGGAGAAGTTGACCAAGAGCGGTCAGGCGATCCTGTGTACCATCCACCAGCCCTCCGCGATGCTCTTCCAGCGGTTCGATCGACTTTTGCTTCTCGCGCGCGGCGGACGTACGGTGTACTTTGGGGAGATTGGCAAGAATTCGCAGACCTTGGTCGACTATTTCGTTCGCAACGGTGGCCCGCCTTGCCCTCCTGGAGCCAATCCCGCCGAGTACATGCTTGAGGTCATTGGTGCCGCGCCTGGTGCTCACACCGAGATCGATTGGCCTGCCGTCTGGCGCCAGACTCCGGAATACCAGGCTGTCCAAGACGAGTTGGCCCGGTTGACCAGCAGTCGTCAGGGTCAGGTCGCTGCTCCCAAGGACAACGATCCATCCAGCTACAGAGAATTCGCCGCCGGTTTTGGAACTCAGTTCTTCGAGGTCACGAAGCGTGTCTTCCAACAATACTGGCGCAGTCCCGCGTACATCTACTCCAAGGGTGTCCTGTCCTTTGGTGCTGTAAGTTTTCCCGCCACTCAGACATGTTGAACATTCGACTAACCACACCCAGGCTCTCTTCATCGGTCTCTCGTTCCTGAACGCAGAAAACACCCAACGAGGATTGCAGAATCAGATGTTCGGCGTCTTCATCTTCCTCACCGTGTTCAGCCAGATCGTCGAGCAGATCATGCCCGTCTTCGTTTCCCAGCGCACCATGTACGAAGCCCGCGAGAGACCGTCGAAGGCGTACTCCTGGAAGGCGTTCATGCTCGCAAACATCCTCGTCGAGATGGCGTGGAATTCCGTAAGTCGGCCCTCCATCTCTTTTGCTTCCCACAGTTGCTAATCCCGGAACAGCTCGCTTCCGTCTTCTGCTTCGTGTGCTGGTACTTCCCCATCGGCCTCTACCGAAACGCCTACGCCACCGACTCCGTCGACTCCCGCGGCATCACCATGTTCCTCTCCGTCTGGGTCTTCTTCATCTTCACCGGCTCCTTCGCGCACATGATGATCGCGGGTCTTCCCAACGAGGAAGTGGCCAGCGGTATCGTGAACCTGTTCGCCATCATGATGTTCGCCTTCTGCGGGTATGTCCCCCCTCCAGTCCCCAAAAATAACGTCTCGGACACCTGAGCTAACACGATGACAGTATTCTCGCCGGTCCAAGCACCCTCCCCAGGTTCTGGATCTTCATGTACCGCGTCAACCCCTTCACCTACGTCGTCGAGGGTTTCTTGGGCACATCGCTCGCCAACGCCGCGGTGCACTGCGCGTCGAACGAGTTCGTCAAGTTCAACGCACCGAGCGGACAGACCTGCGGAGAGTACATGGCGGGCTACCTCGCCACCGCCGGTGGCTACCTCGACGACCCCAATGCCGGCAACGGCACGGAATGCAGCTACTGCGCTATGTCTGACACCAACACGTTCCTGAAGGGCATCAACGTCGACTTCAACAACAGGTGGAGAAACTTCGGGCTGATGTGGGTGTACTGCATCTTCAACATCTCTGTTGCGGTGGGTATCTACTGGTTGGTGCGGGTGCCGAAGAAGAGCGGCAAGGTCAAGAAGGAGTAGACATCATGGGTGGACAAGTAAGGCCCAGCGCCAAGGGCTTTTGAATTCCGATCAACGGGTCAATGGCACTGCATCTAGACTGGAACATCATCATTTCTTTGATTCATAGAGTATCTGTTCTCACAGAACATTTCTAATTACTATAGATTTTCTTTTCTCGACAATCCACAAATGTTCCACAACTTTGCTTTTGTTGCATCGCTAATTGCTACCCAGTAGTGGGCAGGTAATATGAGTTTTTGTGCCATCTGCCTCTGTGTATCTCGACGGCTTTCCTTCCACCTGTTCCTGTTGGAACACATCATTCGTCACAAATGGAAAGAATGGACGAAGAAAAGCCGCCAACATGAATTCATTTGTACTATTCCCGCGAGCAGTGCATAAATCTCAGCATGTCTAATGAGAAAAAAAAAAACTACAAGATCAAATGTTCGGATGCGGCACAGGTGCACGTTCCTGTTGGTGCCAGCCACCGGTCCCCGGTCCAGCCCCCGGCCTTCCAGACTTGCTGATGAATTGCAAATCAGAGGTGAGGCTCTTGGCTTCCAGGGATGATGTTTGCCCGACACCCCGACTTCGTTGGCGCTAGGAACTGCATCTGGATCATCATCAGATGGGGCAGCGGAGATATCACAAACTTGGAAGACGGAGTGCCGGTCCGGACCAATAGCGATGCGAGTTTGCCACTCGTCACTGTAGAATATCGATGAAATTTACCCGAGAGAAATGACAGCAGATTTTTACGACGCCAAGCTACAACTACCATCATGTCTAACTGCTTGAAGTATGAACCTCGTAGGTCACTGTGATCTTATCAGGAGACCCAGTTGCGGCACGCTGGCTCCTCCTGAAATCAGGTCCAAGAATCTCCTCGTCGCTCTGGTTATCACCAGTGACAGGCTTTCCTCCCGTTGCGTAGGATTTTGTGAATGGGCCTCCGAATCCCAGCTTGCGCTCCGTCTTCGTGATGGAATCAGCCCCGTCTGAGCCTTCGTCATCCTTGACCTGTTGTCCAGGGTGCATTGGGGCTCCGCCAAATGTTCTCAATCCGTACGACGCGCCCTCGCTGTGCTCTGGGTACTTGTCGGAATCGCGAGAGGTCAGCTTCTCTAGGTAACGCTTGTAAAGTGGCCGGCAAACCGGAATGCCAATGCAAATCATGGTGACAGCAATCTCGGCAGCGGACCACACGATAAGCCCGACAGTATCATCTAATGGGTGTCAGTGGTTTTCTCGCGTGCAGGTCAAATCCCAGGTGGCCTACTAAGATAGTCAGAACTTGACAGCTGGGGAACTTCGATCGTCCGCTTGATTCCGCAAGCTCCGGCGCTGAAACAGTGTTAGAGGAATGTCCAGTGGCATCGTAGGAGGGGTTTCCTACAATATTCCGAGACTCAGACTGCCCAAGACGACAATCTTCTCTCGCGAGTTCATCTGTAGGCTCCAGATGAAGAACCAAGGGAAGACGGCATAGAAGAAATCGACGGTAACACATAAGACTGCGCAACATCAGCTTGGTGCCTTCAGAGGTATCGTGACATAGACTTACTGCAGAGTAGCATCGAAACAGGCGTCGAGTCAACGCTACAGAATCCTCCTGGAATGCGGCGGTCCCATAGGTATGACGGCGGCGTGCACTGCAACCAGAAAACGAAGCAAGTCGAGATGGAGGCGCCCATGAGACACCCCATGGATATCCAGATGACAATCTTGTGCCACTTCTTGTTGACCAGTCGGAGTAAGAAGAGCCCGAGGGACCATTTCGCAACGGCCATGCCCACTACTGCGAATGTTTGGCCAATGGCCTCGAAGAGGATTGCTTGCACAGCGTCATCTGGGTCGGGAATGTCTCTAAGACTTTGGCCGAAACCATAATGCGCCGAGAATGTCGTGAATGTTGTGTAGAGAACGAGCAATATCTGGTGGTAAAAGTCAGCACAAGAGTCGAGAGTTGGCTTGACGCATTAAGACTTACGAAAGCCAGGAGGTAAACGTGGTCGTCGATTCCATATGACTTGACGATAAACGCTCGAGTGTAGATACGGAGAACGACAAAGACGAGTGTGATAGCGGTCAGAGCCCACATGACCGAGACGGCCTGCGGCCCTTTTCCTCCCATTGCCATCTCTGCGTTCTTGATTGATGATGATGTGGAATTTCGGAAATTTGTCTCGGTGAAAAAGCCACTTACGCCTATCCAATACCAGAAGACGAGTGTTTTATATTAGAGAGAGACTTCTCGGATTAGAAGGTCCTCCCTGGGGGCAAGCTTGTTGGCCCGTCGGCGATTGTGGCATCGACTACTGAGACTTTGAGGCAACATGATTTCGATCCGCCAACTGAGAAGCCGCCACAGACAAATTTTTATGCGAACATACCATGGGGCCCCTTGAAACTCATTCACGATATCACGACGACTTGACCATGCCCGTTCAAGTTGGTCAAGGTCATAAATGCTTGCATCTGAAGCCAGAACCTTGTCTGATAAGGATCACCTTTGTCCTTGACGAGGGATCTCCAAGGATTCTTCCGCAAAGAATCCGAGTCATCTTGTTGAGTTGGTTGACCAACAACGACTGCAGACAAAATGCAGCTAGGCATGTACGCGGCCTGCGTGTTTGGTGACATTCGTGTCGCGACGCATGTACCAAAAGCGGGCATACTGCTGCATCCGGTCAACTGCAGCGGGAACTTAGACGACAACTCACTCCGCAAGATGCGGAGAAGCTGTCCGTCGCCGCGATAGACCCTCATTTGATTCCCCATCGTTGTTTGGTTGGCAAGTTGTGTTGCACTACAGCCCGACGATCAGTATGATATGTAATGGCAAGGGTTTGAGTGGATTGGAGACTCCGTCCGAACCCCAGGCCAGCCTGCGAGACCCAAAGCCACATCACCTCGGAAATGCAGACAGATGATACATAAACTACGGCGGTTTCCTGCACTCATCTTAGAAAAGAAACGTGAGAGGGAACGTCAGGCACATCTTGCGGCAAAACGATTGCACCGAGGACTTTGTTTGGAGAAATCGTGCCAAGATGAGTTCTATTGACATCACTGAACTCGCTGCCTTCATGCAGCCGTGGTCTTGGAAGGGCCTCGCTGTTGCTGTCGGCATCGTTCCGATCCTGAGTGTCGCCTTGTGGTGGATCGCCGTCTCCCTCACCTCTCCCCTCAGGAAGTTTCCTGGGCCAGCTCTAGCAGGTAAGCGCACGCTGTTTCACTCGCAGCACTCCGAATAGTGTATCTATGGTACTAACTGGCACAGCCTGGACGAATCTTTGGCGACTGCAAGTCGTAAGGGCCGGGAATTATCACGTGAAGATCAAGGAGCTTCACGAGAAGTACGGGCCCGTCGTTCGCATCGGCCCCAACACTCTGGACCTTGATGTTCCCCAGCTCATCAAGACCCTTTATGGAACTGATGGAAAATGGAGAAAGGTAGAGTCATCGCCGATCAGATCAGTCGAGAATCAGTGGCAACTGACACAACGAAGACCGAGTTCTACCACAACAACAGTGCCATTATCGATGGCAAGATCACGTACCATCTTTTCAGTACCACGGACCAGGCCGAACATGCACGGATGAAGCGACCCATTGCCAAGTACTACTCCCAGAGCAGTGTCAGCGGTATCGAGCCCCTTTTCGATACCTTGATTGGCGACTTCTGTGGTCACTTGGAGAAGAGATTCATGAGCGGCTCAGCGCCCAAAGAGTGTGATCTCGGCGAGTGGATTGGCTTTTGTACGAAATCCCGATCTCATACCTTGCCAAAATGGTCGTACTAACTGACTCCAGACTCCTGGGACGCAAATGGTGCTGCATCATTCAGTCAGCGATTTGGCTACATGGACGAAGGCTACGACTACGATGGAACCATTGGTATTTCCGACAAAGCTCTTGACTAGTAGGTGCAACAGGCCACAAAGATGATTTCATACTAATTCAAACACAGCTTCGCCGCCGTTGGACAGATGCCATTCCTGGACTTCCTCCTCGACAAGAACCCCATCATGCGAATCGGACCTCCCAACCTGGCCAACATCACACGCATCTCCCTCGAGCATTTGATCTCCCGCATGCAAGGAAAGGACTCAAACTTCGACCCCAAGGTTCCGGATTTCCTGCAACACTTCATCGAATCCAAAGAGAGCCACCCAGAGCTCGTGAACGACGGTATCATCATGGGCTACCTGCTGGTCAACCTGCTGGCCGGCGCTGACACGACTGCCATTACCGTTCGCGCGATCTTTTGGTATGCCCTCCACGACCTCAGGGTATACCAGAAGCTGGAAGAAGAGGTTCTTGCGGCGGATCTTTCCGCTGATGTGTGCTCCTTCAGCTCAGCCCGCGCGCTCCCCTGTAAGTTCATGCTAGGATAACCCATTCAAGCAACCGAGACTAACAGGAAACTCGCAGATCTCGAAGCTGTTGTTCGCGAGGCTATGCGCATGCACCCTGGTGTTTGTATGTTGCTGGAGCGCTACGTTCCCGAGGTTGGCTTGACTTTGCCGGATGGAAGCTATGTCCCAGCCAACACGTCTGTCGGAATTAACCCTTATGTCGCCGGCCGCAATAAGAGCATTTGGGGTGCTGACGCTGACACTTACCGTCCGGAGAGATGGCTGCAAAACCCCGGGGAGACCGACATTGCGTACAAGGAGCGGCTTCGTCTGTTCAACGCCTCGGACCTGACCTTTGGCGGCGGCTCGCGGGTTTGCATTGGACGCAACCTTGCGCATCTTGAAGTTTACAAGATTGTTGCAACCTTGGTTCGCAGGTATTCCATTTCCCTCGTGGATATGAACCAACCGTGGGAGGTTACAGGAAGCTGGTTCCCAAGACAGAAGGGTCTGAAGTGCTACTTGAAGAAGCGAGAGCAGTAAGTTCCGCGACATTTAGATTGTGTGCATTTCGATGGCGTGTCATTGCATAAAACTTCGCGACAATGACGTACTTGGAAAACTTCATAGTGTTAATCAACTTGGAATTTGGAAACGTGTATTCTCTCTGTGCTATTTCCGTGTTCTGCCTTTTCGAGGGCCTTGCGGCCTCCAACTGACTATGGCAGCTTTGTAGCTGGATATCAACATAAATATGACCGTCACCAGGCCTCCGACTACGGCAAATAGCGACGGTCGTAACAGAGGCTCGAATGAGACAGGTAGTATCAACGCGAAGTCGAGAACAGATCGACATTACTGAGCCGGGGTCTTAGTGGAGAGAATGAGCAAGCAACTCCGCGAATGTTTGCCAATGCCAACACGGATGAAGGGATTTGGTCCCCGGTGGATGAAGCGGAGGAAAAGAAGTATGCACCTTGTTAATGGCCAAAATCTGTTATCTCGTCAAGACAACCAGTAAGATCGTGAGAAGAGCCGCGTGTTCTTCAGTGCTTGTGCCACAGCTGCAGAACCTCCAACAGATGCCCCCATGTCTAGATTGCACAGCCAGGGGAGGGCTCTGACAAGCCATGAGGGCGACAAATCAGGAGTCAACGAGATGAGTCGCAGGATTCATCAGCAGGGGAAGAATGGGTACATCAACCGAAACCCCGGACGGTGCCGTAGGCTGGGTACGTTCCCCGGTTCCCAAGAAGGAAGACGCTAGTGTTGGTGCCAGGTGGAATTACACCAGGCATCATCCGCTCGATAACCCTGGATGTATCCAGGGATCTCGTGTCAACGAGTCCGCGATTGAACTTCCTCTTTAGTAAGGAGACAACTTTAGCCCTGTTGGCTGAGGATATGCAGTTCTCCCTTCGTTGGTTGGGTTATGCTGCTGGCTTAAGTGATACAACGGGCACAAACGAATCAGGTGAACAATTTCATAAAACAGCCACAATTTGATTTAGGTTGACGTGAGCTCATTATGAACAGGCTCTCATAATTCAAGGTTCAAAACGTTCAAACAGCCCGCTAGAAGCCCTTTCTTCATATACATATAATAAAACTGACCGCGGTTCAGCTGTGGTCAACGTATACACATGTACCATTCGCTCATAAGCAATCAAGCATCCATGGTGTCATGTGCTGCTTTTGGGAGCTTTAGTATTCCAATGCACCGCGTTAGAAACTACATGTAGATAGATAGTCGTCGTTTTGATGCAATCGCTGAATTACATGTACGTAAAGTCCATAACAGTTCAACTCACTTATTGCGTTTGATAATCGGAGGTGCTATTCGAGATTCGTTAATTAAAACTACTTATTCTAATAGAAGAAGTGAGTCAATAGTTGTTTATATAGATTCAAACTGGAGTTTCTTCACATTATTGGATACGGCTAAATTTCAATAGATGGCGGTATCGAATCTAGCGATTTTCATACCTATTATTCAGTATTACGGCTATTATGATTCATCTCCAGCTTACACGAGTATCTATGGTAGATATTTTAGCAGAACAGGTAACTGTCTAGCGTAAACTAGACATAAATATACATCTACGCAACATACATATCCATACATACGTTTGGTTCCTAGTCGTACGGCGGTTGCGCTATCTACTGATGTAGTTTTTGGGTGGTTTCATGGCTCAATCTGCTAGTGCAATTTTCCTTTGGAATATCCCAAGATACCAATTCAGTCCAGGCGAATAACGCCCTTTAGGGACGAAATGGAAGTGTTTTTACGGCCCTTGCGAACGACGCTCGTCTTTTTTTCGGGGAGTTTCCGATTAACGATTCTTTTCGGACCAAGCCCGAGAGATGTTTCGGATCATGTCCGGTCGGTTTGATCCTGTGTCTTCCATTCTTCATTGATGTGCTTGCAAGAGTGTTTCGTAGCCACACAAATCTCAAGGATTATGTAGTCGAATCAATCTTCTGATAAGCGCTTCATATGCACCTGGGTCTGTGTTATATTCAGATAAATTTGTTCTTAGATATGCACCAAAGCGCTTCTGGTGACCTTGCTCTTGCTGATCGTGGATATGAACTGTGCTATTTTTAACCCGTTGAGGAAATGAATGTCTGGAGAAGAGATCGAAAGTATTCGGTTTGGATAAAGCTGCTGTTGTAAAGTGGCCACCAAACGCTCTAATTCGGCAACGGTACCGCAAATTTCGATAACCTCCTTCTTCTAGCTCGAAACCAACGCCGAACTTAAATCTGCTGACCCGTCGAGGGAAATAGTAAGAATAAACCGTCCAAGGTATCGCTTGAGGCAATCATCACTTCTGTATGTAATGAAAATCAAGTGAAGCAAAAGATGTGATTGGGTAACAGATCGGCCGGTATCTGGCCATGGGTCATGAACCATCTTTGAACTTCTACTCATGGACTTTTGGGAGCATATACCACTCCGGATGTGAAGTAGGAATCTTATGGCATACGCTCGACTGCCATGAGCGCTTACCTCTGGTACTAGAATAGGTGGCTGGTGATGACGGGCATACCTCACGGTTGAAAGAGAAGGCATTCTAAGTCGGCTCAGGTCAGGAAAGTTGTGCGAGACTGGTCTATTGTGTTAGTCTTCAGCCCATATCCTCACTTTGACAAAAGTTCTGACGCCGTGCATCAATGTTTCACATAGTTTCTCAAAGTCCAGCCAAGCAGAAAGTCTGTTTGCTGCTTTCGTGCAACATCAGCTTGAGGTACTCGTATGCCATGTGAAATCATTGAAGAATTCGCAGCTTAAAAACGAGCTCGTGATAGGTAGGCGAGAGAGAGAGAACGTTGAAGTTGAGATAGCATTCAAAGAGTCATATTGGAGTTGAGTCATATCATCAATTGATCGGGAATCCTGTTTCACTTGAGTGCTGTCGGTGACAATTTCCGTGCCGATCCTACAGTCATACCAATCCTGTGGAGCCCGGGGCCGCTCCGAAGTGCCGAAGTTATATGCTAGCTGCCGTTCTTGCCAGGCATCAAGCAAACCCTGCCAAATCCAACACCGACGAGGATGGACATGTCCAAGCTTCATAAACAGCGGAAGTTGCTGCCGAAGAGAGTCTCGATGAGTCACCAATCGTTGTCCCGGTGCATTAAAAGGACGTCTTCGAGATGTCTCGTCGCTCAGTACTTCCATCATCAGTCACTCTCAGCACGCTGAATCGAACCGCCCAGCTTGATCTTACCATTCATCTCTTAGAGACACGTTTGCCTCCTCCCTATGACACTTCTCATCTCGAACATTGATATCCGCGACGAAATCTTCGACAAGATGACGGCCACCGACAGCAGCAACGGTCCTGCCCCGGCGAATCCCCCAACAGAACCGCGAGCTATCTACAATCGACCTGTAGAAGACTTCTTGAGCAACGTTTCGAGATTCAAGCTAATTGAAACAACCCTTCGCGAGGGCGAACAATTCGCCAACGCCTTTTTCGATACCGGTAAGTGGACTCTGATGTTGAGCAATTGAGTTGACTGGGTGCTCAATCTTGCGTCAACTTGTTGAAAGAGTGCTGACTCATAGTGTGAAGAAACCAAGATCAAGATGTAGGATACTCCTGCCCAGGATAAACCGAACGAAAACGAGACGAAGACCTAATTCACTTCCCAGAGCCAAGAAGCTGGACGAGTTCGGAGTGGACTACATCGAGCTCACCTCCCCCGTCGCATCCGTCCAGTCGCGCAAGGATTGCGAGACGATATGCAGATTGGGTCTTAAGGTACGCCGATTCTGACCAGATCAAGCTGACCTTGAACTCCTAAGTCTTCAATCTTGCTAACAGTTGATGTGTTCAGGCCAAGATCCTTACCCACGTTCGATGCCACATGGACGATGTACGAGTAGCGGTAGAAACCGGTGTCGATGGAGTGTAAGATCAGACCTTTGATGCCGTAGCCCGCGCTGCGGCCAACGATCAATCGCTGATGATTCGACGCAGGAACATCATGATGGGAACGTCCGCCCTGCTGCGGCAACACTCCCACGGCAAGGACGTAGCAACCATCATCAAGTCGGCAATCGAAGTCATCGAGTACGTCAAGTCCAAGGGCCTCGAGGTCCGCTTCTCCACCGAGGACTCCTTCCGCTCCAACCTCGTCGACATCTTGTCCGTCTATCGAACGGTCGACAAGATCGGGGTGAACCGCGTCGGCGTCGCCGACACGATCGGCTGCGCGAATCCGCGCCAGGTGTACGATCTGATAAGGACCCTCAGGGGTGTCGTCTGTGAGTCACCTTCTCCGCGCTCCAATCTTTCCCGAGTGCAGAGCAACACATGATTTCTAACTCTTCTCGCCCTTCACAGCCTGCGACATCGAAACCCACTTCCACGACGACACCGGCTGCGCGACCGCCAACGCCTACACGGCCCTCGAGGCCGGCGCGACCCACATCGACGTCACGGTCCTCGGCATCGGCGAGCGCAACGGCATCACCCCGCTCGGCGGCTTCATGGCCCGCATGATCGTCGACAACCGCGACTACGTGACCTCCAGGTACGACCTGCGCCTGATCAAGGAGCTCGAGGACATGGTCGCCGAGGCCGTCCAGATCAACACGCCCTTCAACAACCCCGTCACCGGGTTCTGCGCCTTCACCCACAAGGCCGGCGACCACGCCAAGGGCATCCTGCGACACCCCAGCGCCTACGAGATCATCAGGCCCGAGGACTTTGGGATGGCGAATTACGTGCACTTCGCGTCGAGGCTGACCGGGTGGAACGCCGTCAAGACACGCGTGGGGCAGCTGGGGTTGGATATGGAGGACGAGCAGGTGAAGGTCGTGTAAGTTGGCTTTGGTTTCTCGATTCCTCGATGGAGTCGACACTGATACTTTGATGATGTTCCCTTTGCTGACTCTGAAATTACCAGCACTGCGAAGATCAAGGCGTTGGCGGATGTGCGGCCACTAGCCATCAATGATGTCGATTCCATCACCCGAGGCTTTCATCAGACCCATGTCGAAGGGTGACGGGTACATCAGATATGCGCTGAGCAAAGGAGAGATGAAAAAAAGGTCCAAGAAGGTTCATTCTACAAAGCGCCATTCTTTAGAAAATGCGCAATTGTTAGTTGTATAGATACAATATTCGAGAGATCTTATGTACACTGGTCTTGAATATAAACAGCAGAATCATCTCGCATCGGAACAGTCTCATCCGAACGCATCAAAACACCTCCTTTACGCCGCCGTAGGAGCGTACGCAAAGAACTCCTTCACAGCAACCCCAGCAAACTGCCCGCTCCCAGACGCGGTAAGCGTGGCCCTCAGCGCCGTCGTAGACACAGCCGTGAACTTGACCTCGGCCGGCTCGTCCGTCACGTCCGTCGGGTACGGGCTCGCGTCGACGGCCTTCCACGACGTCCCGTCCTTGTACTCCAGCTTCCACGACGCGGGGGGCGCGACGCCGATGTCCGACCCCGCGGCCTGGTCCGCGAAGAAGGCCATCGCGGCGCCGTCCAGCTCCTGCGTCGCGTTCCACGTCAGCGTCAGCACGCTGCTCTGCGGCGACTGCTCGGCGTTGTAGGAAGACCAGTAGTCGGGCGGCAGCGGCGCCTCCTCGACGCGGCCGTCGTTGACGGCCTTGATCCAGTACTGGATGGGCGTCTCGCCGTCCGCGGAGGCGACGGCCTTGGGGGCCACGTTGCGCGTGGGCTCCTCGTCCGCGGCGGCGGCGCGCTTGGTCTGGACGACCTTGTTGATGGCGGGGGGCGAGGCGGCGTCGTCCCAGGTGAGCTTGTCGATGGCGACGGAGCGGCGGAAGTGGGTGCCGCCCTCGGCGTCGCGGGTGTGGTAGACGAGGCCCCAGTCGCCGTTGGAGAGCTTGTAGGCGCCCGGGTGGGAGGTGGTGGAGGAGACGATGTCGAGGAAGACGCCGCGGAAGGTCCAGGGGCCGAGGGGGCTCGAGGCGGTGCCGTAGGCCAGGCAGGCGTGGTAGCTGGTGGGCGTGCAGGGGGAGTCCGGGCCGGCGTTGTTGGCGGCGTAGAGCATGTAGTAGGTGTCCTCGCGCTTCATGAGCCAGGGGGCCTCGAAGAAGCCGGTGAGCGTGGTGACGTCGACGACGTCGCCCTTGATGGTGACCATGTCCTTGTCGAGCTCGTAGCCCTTGAGGGCGCCGAACGTGCCGAAGTAGATGTAGACCTTGCCGTCCGTGTCGACCATGACGGTGGGGTCGATGTTCTGGATGTCGTTTCCGGGCGACGGGATGGTCTGCGAGATGATGGGGCCGGCAGGGTGGGCGTCCTTGAAGGGGCCGAGGGGGCTGTCGGAGACGGCGACGCCGATGGCGAAGGGGTCCTTGGCGGAGGTGCTCGCCTGCGTCACGGGGGCGTACAGGTAGAACTTGCCGTCGGGGCCCTGGACGATCTGGCTGGCGTAGGCGGTGCCGGCGGCGGCCCAGGAGAAGATGGACTCGGGCTGGGCGACGTCGCGGTGGAGAGTCCAGTCGGCGCCGGCCGGGTTGGGGTTCTTGGCCTCGAAGATCTGCCACTCGTTCATGACGAAGCCGTTGACGGTCGGGCCGGCCTCGTCCCGGCCGGAGAGGATGTAGAGGGTGTCGTTGACGACGAGCGGCGCCGGGTCGGCGGAGTAGACGGAGCCATCGGCCAGGATGGGGTTGCCGGTGGACTTGAAGGTGGTGGAAGTCGACTGGCGGCGGAAAGCAGGGATGACGCCTGCGTGCAACGGCTGGACCAGCAGCGAGGTAGCGAGACAAGCCCGCAGGATGTTGGCGAACATGGTTATGTTGGTTTACCACGGGTTTAGAGAAACGAATGAATAGACACACAAAAAGAGAGACTGGTTGAAAGAATGACAAGCTTGCCGAGTTGACTTGAGACTCAGTTCACACTAACATCGGGGAATTATTCCAATGGGCTGGGTGACAGCTTTAAAGAGACTCAAATTGTTTAACTGAGTTAACCTTAGCGACGTCGTTGTCCACTTTTCTCATCCCTGAATTTCGTGTATGATGCGAATAGATTGAACATAGCACCAGATCAGCCGCCAGGGGGTCAATCCGCGTATCCTTAACCACTTTAACTGGGGTGACCATGAGACTCGGTTGACATAAACGACCTGCCCAAACCAACTAGATGGAGCAATAAACGAACCTTTTTCTGCCCATCGTCATCCCCTTTTCAATGTCTGTCGACTCCGTCTACTTTAAATGCATTTGGGAGGATATGGAAATACGAGACCGAGAAGACCATCCGTGGATTTTCATTCTCCCGTTGGACACTTTGATCAGGATGACCCGCATGGCGTGAGTGCGACTCTCTATTCGCGGCCCAATCGCGTTTCACGGAACCCGACGTCGAAGGGTTGCATCGCTTGGGGGATGGGCCGACGTACCCCGCGTTTGCTTCTCGAATACCAAGACATTGCAGTGGGAGACGGATGCTTAGCTTCGTAGCTTATGATGCTATTTTGTAATCTTTTCTCTCAGGTCCAGCGTCGACTTCGTGAGGGTTGCACAGGAGTCGGGTCATCCGTCCGATCCATGGTAGCATTCGGCCATCTGGCCCGGTCCAGCATACAAACGAGGCCCAGGCCAGAAGCGAGAATCCACCATTTGGCGTGCGTGATGTTTCCTCGATGGTCCAAAGAAGCGATGGAGTTCGTTCCGCCGATGCATAGAGTTGGGCGGGCACGTCTGCAAGGGCGGAGATCAGTTGAATGTCACTCACTCGCTATTGGAATACCACATAGTATGAATGGTATGGTATCATTAATCACGTAACTAGTTGTCGTCGTTCGGCTCATTCTGCGCAGTATATAACGACGCTTCATTCCATTGTTCGTGATGAATCCCCAGATCACCAGCAGCACACAAGGCCATTTCGAGCCAAATACGGGTTGAGAACAACCTAAACCACAACCATGATCTCCCCCGCGAGACTCTTCCTCGCGCTCACCAGCCTGCTGATCTCAGGCGTCCTCTGCCAGGACAACCTGGGCCTCAGCAACGGCTACATCACCCTCACAACCGCAAACTTCAACCTCCAGCTCGTCCGCAACGCCCAGGTCCTCGCCTCCCTCAAACCCTCCGGCAGTGCCTTCGACTTCCTTCCCTTCGACTACCTCTCCAAGCGCGCCCGCAACGGCCAGTACCACTGGGGCGACGTCACCTTCCGCTACCGCCAGTCCGGCGCCACCGCGTGGACTAACGGCGACTCCGCCGCCGCCCGGCAGCCCGTCACCTCCGTGACCCCCGGCTCCGGCTCCGGCATCCTCGCCTCGTCCCGCCTCGGCCCCACCCTCGCCACCGGCCCCCTCAACATCACCCGCGACTGGCTCGACGTCTCCGGCGACCTCGGCCTGCGCTTCACCATCCAGAACACCGGCACCGCCGCCCTCGAGATCGGCAGCCTCGGCTTCCCCGCCGAGTTCAACTCCATCTTCACGAACCGCCGCGCCGTCGACATGCAGAGCGTCTGCTCCCTCTCGGACCCCTACGTCGGCATGCACGCCGGCCAGATCCGCGTCGCGCCCATCCGCGGCACCGGCCCCGCCCTCGTCGTCACACCGCTCGGCGACACGCCCCTCGAGGCCTACCGCAACCTCCGCGAGACCAGCTACGCGGACACCGCCTACGGCTCCCAGACCTTTGAGGGTTTCTACGAGTGGCAGACCCTGACGAAGGCCTGGGCCGAGAACGAGTGGAAGGCCCAGACACCCTGGAACGCGCCCTCCTCCAGGACCCTCCAGCCGGGCCAGTCCCTCCAGTTCGGCGTCCGCTTCTCCGTCGCCAAGGGCGGCGTCCGCGACCTCGACGCCGCCGTCAGGGGCACCGGCACGCCCACCGCCGTCGGCGTCCCGGGCTACATCGTCCCCCGCGGCGAGCCCGCCCAGCTCTTCCTCCAGTCCGCCGCCGCCGTCCGCTCCATCGCCTCCGAACCCGCCGGCGCCCTGACGGTGACCCTCGTCTCGGCCGGGAAGTACACCGTCACGCCCTCCGCCACCGCCTGGGGCCGCGTCCGTCTGACCGTCACCTACGCCGACGACAAGATCCAGACGATCCACTACTACGTCACCAAGCCCTCCACCGAGACCGTCGCCAGCCTCGGCCGCTTCCTCACCACCTCCCAGTGGTTCACCGACACCTCGGACCCCTTCGGCCGCGCCCCCTCCGTCATGACGTACGACTACGAGACGAGGTCCATCGTCACGCAGGACTCGCGCGCCTGGGTCGCCGGCCTCAGCGACGAGGGCGGCGCCGGCTCCTACCTCTCCGCCTTCATGAAACAGGCCGTCCAGCCGAGCGCGGACGAGGTCGCCAAGCTCGAGCAGTTCGTCGACGGCGTCCTCGCCAAGACGATCCAGACCTCCGACCTCGCCGTCCGCAAGAGCATCTTCTTCTACGAGCCCGCCGCCGTGCCGAGCTACCGCTACAGCACGTCCATCGACTGGACCTCCTGGACGAGCTGGAACAGGGCGGCCGCGTACGCGATCGACCGCGCCTACAACTACGTCCACGTCGCGGGCGCGTACTGGGCGCTGTACCGCGTGGCGCGGGCGTACCCGCAGCTCGTGACGAAGCACGCGTGGGACTGGTACCTCGACAGGGCGTACGGGACGGTGATCCGGGGGATGAGGAACGATGTCGGGTATAACCGCGTGGGTTTGATGGGCGAGACGGTGTTTGGAGAGATCCTGACGGATTTGATCCGCGAGGGGCAGACGACCAAGGCGAACACGCTGTCGACGAGCATGAGGTCGCGGGCCGCGCAGTGGGATTCCGAGGAGGTGCCGTATGGTAGTGAGATGGCTTGGGATTCGACCGGTCAGGAGGGCGTGTACTACTGGACCAAGTGAGCTTCCAACGGAACCAGATACACATCTTCCCGTCATGATCATGCTGACTGTATACAGATACTTCGGTTACACCAACACCGCCGCGAAGACGGTCAACAGCGTCCTGGGTTACATGCAGACCGTCCCCCACTGGGGCTGGAACGGCAACGCCCGACGATACTGGGACAACATGTACCTCTCCCTCCTCTCCCTCTCCCTCCCCTCCCCCCTTCTCCCTCACATCTAACTCACCGCACCTAGCTACGGTGGCAAACTCCGCCGCATCGAGCGCCAAATCCACCACTACGGCTCCGGCCTCAACGCCCTCGTCCTCCTCTCCGCCTTCCGCTCCGCCCCGACCGACACCTACCTCCTGCGCACCGGCTACGCCGGCACCACCGGCCCCCTCTCCAACATCAACCAGGACGGCTTCGCCGCCGCCTCCTTCCACTCCTGGCCCGACACCCTCAAGTGGGACGGCATCAGCGGCGACTACGGCCCCGGGTTTCTCGGTCTCGCCCTCGGCTCCGGCACCTACGTCGCGCAGGACGCCGAGCTCGGCCTCGTGGCGTTCGGCGGCACGGCGAGCACGTCCGGGAGCACGGTCACGGTCGTGACGAGGGACGCGGTGCGGAGGAAGGTGTTCATCGGGCCGTTGGGCGTGCTGGTTAGTGTCGACGCGGGGATTATCAGCCAGGTGAGCTACGTGACGGGGTCGAGGACCGTGTCGGTTACGTTGGCGCAGCTGGACGGTGTCCCGAAGGCCGCGAGCGCGGTCGTCTGGGCCGAGGGGGGCGGGAGCTGGAAGGTCACCGGTTCCGGCGTCGCGGCGGCGCGGGGAGGATGGTCTGTCCCGCTCTCGTCCGCGAACGTGGTCGTCCAGCTTGCTCCCGCTTAAGATTTACACTCTCCACAAACTAGCCGCCGTCTGGGGGAAGAAAGGAAGATTCACTTCTCTGTTCATATTATCCATACACTCTTAAACAAGAAGACAAACAAACACATCTACACACTCAACTCCTTCTCCAGCACGACAAAATACAAATCATCCCTCAACGCCTCGCCCCCGACGAGCTGCTCGTACGGAAACGCCCTCGTCTCCCCCGTCCTGACGTACCCCCTGCGCTCGTACCACGCGATGAGCTCCGCGCGGCTCCAGATGACGCACATCTCGATCCTGCGCACGCCCCACTCGCGGACCGCGAACCGCTCCGCGTGCTCCAGCACGCGCCGCCCGACGCCGCCGGCCTGGCGCTCCGGGTCGACGGCGAAGAGGCCGAAGTAGGCCACGGCGCCGTCGGCGCGGCGGAGGAGTTCGCAGCAGGAGAGGGCGGGCGGTGCTGTTGTCTTGGTGGGTGTTGCCGTCTTGGTCGGTGAGGCGGGTGTTGTGGTCGCGGTTGACCCCGTATCCTCCGTGACCAAAAAGACAACACCGTCGGGCTCGGTGATCTTGGCGAGCAGACCGGCCTCGTCGATGCGCTGGTCCGCGACGAGGTCCGCCTCCGTGGTCCAGCCCTTGCGGGAGAACTCGCCGCGGTAGGCGGAGCGGATGAGAGGGAGGAGCACCGGGATGTCGGAGGGCGTGGCGGTGCGGAAGGTGAGGGGCGGCGGTTGGGGTTTTGAGACGGTCATCTTATGTGTGAATTGGTGGCTATGGTTTTGTGAGTTTCGGATGAGGAAGAGTTGTCGTGAGTGAGTGAGTAGGTGTAGTGAAAAGTGAGCGAGTGAGTTGGTGAAAAGTGAGTGAGTTGTCGCACCGAACCCCTGAATCTGAATCAGTGTTCAGTTAAAGCTAATTGGATGAGAGCTCGAGTCAGACTTGGTTGATTGATACGACAGTACGAGTTGAGATCACAGACTTTGAGATAAGACGAACATAACAATCCAGACCAGATTACATCCCTTAGACTGGAAATCTAAAACTCTTTAAGTAAAAAGACACCGTTCAGGTCGTCACCCCAGAACCCACCAAACCCGAGAAACTCCCCTCCCCTTCCCACTGAAATCGCAGTCAAAAACATCATCCCAACAGCCCTCTCCTCCGATTCCCACAAGTACACACACAACCCCTCCCTCAAAATCCCAAACCTCACACAGCCAAAACCTGTCAGAATCAACCCTCTAGTCAATCGAGTCATTTCAAGGGCGCGAACATTGACATTTTCGACATGACAAGGGCCCGCAGCGGTCCCGCGCTAAAGCTCATTAGCATCGAATCGCATCACGACCCGAGATGGCTCGTAAGGTGACGGACGGGATGACGTGCATCAGCGAGTTTCCTAGTTCAGATCGAAGAAGAAAGTTGCAATTCGTTAGCGTATCCGTAGGATTAGTACGACACCAGAAAAGGAAGCATGACAGGCACCCACGATAACAATCCAGATGGATTCATTATGATAGAAGAAACACTCCTTCGAATTCCGCACGAAATGCTCTAATTACATTCCCAGTAAGGCGAGGTGATTGGGGGTGTGGGGGGTATCAATGCAAGCAAAACGCGACGCAATGCCATGCTAGCTAACCTCCATGCTACTACTACTCCTCCTCCTACTACTACTCCTACTCCTACTCCTACTCCTACTCCTACTCCTGAAAAAATGCATCCATCACTTCTTCCTCGGCTCAAGCACCTTCACCCCCTGCGCGGAATCCCACACGCTGGCCCCGACCCGCCTCGGTATCTTCCTCCCCCGGAGCCTCTGGTCGACCAGCCACATGCCGACCACGAACTCCTGCTTCCCCAGCATCCCGCGCCCCCCGCGGTCCACCAGGTCCCAGACCTCGGCGAGTTCTTCGGGTGGTAACCGCGAGCGGCGCCAGATCTCGCGCGCCACCACGTTGACGACGCAGTCCGCCGCGTCCGGCGGCACGTCCACTTGATGATGTAGTAGCGAGACCAACGCCCCGCGGTTGCTCGCCCACACGGCCTCGTACCGGCGGCGTTCGCGGAGCGAGATCTCGTCGCGCCAGCGGCGCCGGGCGCCCTCGGCGTGGGAGTGTTTGTTGCTGGCGCGCTGGTGTCTCTTCCTGCGCATCTTGTCGTCCTCGTCGTCGTCCGATTTCGACGGCGGTTGGCGCAGGGTCTGGCGCAGGCGGGGCGACTTGGTACGGCTGGGGAGGGCGGGAGGCGGGGAGAGGGTCGAGTTGCCCGTGTTGGAGGGGGTGAGGCGGGCCGCGGCGAGGGAGCCGGCCATGATGGCGTTGGAGAGGGAGTTCAGCGGCAGGCTGGCGGTCGAGGAGGCCGGGGTGCGGCGGGGCGTGGTGCGGGTGGGCGAGCTGTTCACGGAGGAGCGGCCGGGCGTGCTGAGCGCGGAGGGCGTCTGGCGGGTGGGCGGCCTGGCCGGGGTGTGGTCCGGCACCGCCGTCAGGCCGGAGGAGGCGGACACGAAGGTATCGTTGGATGAACTCGTATCGGCAGTGGAAGGCCGAGCGATCTCGGTGCGTGGGAGGAACGGTTCTTGGAGGGGAGCTTGGGAATAGACGGATGCCATGCTTTTCGGCTTGACCAGCTTCGGGCCGTCCGGGTCTCTTGACTTTGCAGCAGTGCCGCGGGGCTGCGGGGGCGTCGGCGGTTGCACTCTGGCTTTCGAAGCCGGTCGTCTCGGTTCGGGCGAGACAACCTCTGTCTGAGCTCTCCGGATCGGCGGCGAGCTCGGAGGGGCCTGCTTGGCTTGCGGTCGCGACCGTCGCGGTTCAGGGGCAGCTGGTGGTTCTTTCGGCTGGGCGCTCGGCGCCAGACGCGGTGGTGACTGTTTCTTCCTGACTTCAGCAGCAGGCTGTAAGCTCTTCGCAGGTGGCCTCATCGTCTGGACCGACAGCTCCGACTCCGTCCTCTTGTGCGTGGGTTTCTTGGCTGGTGATACAGCCGGCTTGGTAGATCTCGGTGGTCCTCCATCACCCGGCGTAGGCGTAACCGGCCGCAACTTCTTCGGTTTCAGCACAGGTTTCTTCACCAGCTCCCTCCCTCCCTCCTCGCCCTTCTCCGCAACAGGCGTAGGCGTGACCGGCCTCGTCTTCATCCTAGGCTTCGTCTTCAACACCGGACCCTTCCCCGCCGGCCTCTCCTCCATCCTCGACGCCCTCGCCCTAGCCGGACTCATCTCCCTCTCCGGCGTCATCGTCCGAACCGCAGGCCTCCTCCCATCCCCCCCGCTCTTCTTCACCGGATCGACATCCTCCTCCGCCCTCTCAAACATCCCAATAAGATTCCTCGCAGCCGGTATCGACGTCGTATCAGGCCCGCCATCCTCGTCCTCACTCTCCTCCCCCCTCCGCCTCGCGCTCTCCCGCATCTGCTGCAACTGATTCACCTGCGCGGGCGTCAACGCCGACGGACTCGCCTGCGGCTGCGGACTCGGCGACGCGCTCCTTGACGCCGCCAGCGCCGCGGCTATGTAACTCGGGCTCTTCGGATCCACGCGCGCGTGCGGCGAGAGGTGCGATGCCGCCGAGGGACTCGAGGCCAGAAACGAGGATAACCGGTCCCGCATCTCCGCCGTGCCGTCCCTGCCGAATGTGGTGGTGGTCGTCGTGGCGACGCTGGCGCCGGTGTGCTGCCGTTGGATCGGGCTCGTGCTGAGGCTGCGGTCGAGGGTTCGCGGGGCGAGGGCAGAGGAGGAGGAGGATGGTTTCGGCGGCGGGATGGGTTTCGGTTTGGTCTTGCTGAAGGCGAGGCTCGCGCCCTTCAACGCCGCGGCCGCGTCGGAGGCGCCGCCGTTGCGGTGCTGGTGGTGGTGCTGGTGTGGGGTGTTCGTCATCATCGCGAACGGCCGCGGGATGGAGTCGTTTTCGGGAGGGGGAGCTTCTGCATCGGAGGGTACGGGAATGGTATTTATTCGAACGAGGTGCTCATCGTCAAAAGTCGATTCAAGGACGGAAGAGATCGTTCTTCGAACAAGGCCGTCTTTGTAGATTGAATGAAGACCAGAAAAGACCTCGTATTCGGCCAAAAGTGGAAGAATAATCAACGACCGCGGCAGCCACAATCGAAATTTGCTGAGTGAGCTACCTTAACCTACAAGGTTCCCTGCGGAGAACCTTAGAAAATTGATGGGATGAATTCGGGGAAGAGAGAGAAACAGGCGGAAAAAAGGCACGACGAGATGAACGGGTGGCCCGGTGACCTACCTCTCCCGTCCTTCCCACGGCATGCGCTGCGCCCCGTTGAGAAGTGGAGGCCAAGAAACGTCCCGTCCATCGCTGTCCACATTCCACAGCACAGCACAGCACGCACCTGTAAGGCTGAGACATTGTGCATTTTGGCACCACTCTGTACGAGGAATCCCCCCTGAATTCCACAGCCAGGGGGAAGGGATTGGAGCAGGTGGAGAGTTTGTGCATGACGCAGCTTCATAGTGTTTTAATGGGGCACCGGATTTGGGGAAAACACCACCAGGGAACAACCACCGAAGATCTCGACATCACCGGCGTCATAGCGGATCTGCGCCCTGCCCTGAATAAGCCACCGAACGCGGCTGCTTCTAATAAAGTCCAGACGTTTCCTTCCGACTCTTGACAGCTCCCACTTGCTCGTTTGTCTAGTTTAGTTCCCGTCCGCCGGGCGTTCCGCCAAAGCCTCATGTCTTTCTACCAACTCTCTTACATCACTTGACCGCGCGGACTCGGCATCCTCGGCTTCACTCACAAATGACGAAAACACAACGCAGGGTAAGGATATATATGATGCACGCATCACCCATTTTTACTAACTTTAAAACACCTACTGATCCTTGCTGGCTTAAAAAAAGAACCAAAGCAGAAATATCGACAGCAAGAGAAAATAAAAAAACAAAGCAGGAGTCGTTCCTGTTGTCGAGAAGCAAGCAACGCAACGCAAGCCGAAAAACTCCAATTGTTTCCCTCTTCCTTCCCTTTCCCTCCAATTCAATTAGGTATCACCGACACGACACCTCCTCTCTCCTCCGAATGGGGTATGTCCAACCGGGAACGACGGCCCCCATCTGCCTGGGCGGGCGATGAGAGCCCGAAACCCGAAAAATATTCCTCCAGAATCCAACAAACACAAAGAACCCAGTTGGCCGGCCCGGTACGCACGAAGAGAAGGATGAAATTGGCCTCCTTTCCTCCGCTCCCTCCATGCATCCGGATGCCCCGGGAGAAGTAATAACGACACAGGGAAAAGAAGCGAAGTTAAAGCAGCCGGTCGGAAGACACGGCTCTTTTTTGGGGGAAGAGGGAGAGAGAATCCTCGGTGTGCCTTTTTCGTTTGGCTGAAAAGACAGATGCGTCGCGAAAAAAGGGAGTCGTCGACTTTGATCGTTCCAGACATGATGGGGGGGGGGGGGAGGGGCATAATCATCCGACATTATCATCAAGAAAGGTTTCGAGAAAAAAGAATCTTTCTGCAGGCAACGAGCGGTTTTTAACGATAGGACGAAGAAGCAGACATTTTCGGCTCATGCTCATGACAGTTTCATTCATTCTTCTCAGTACCCGTCCTCGTCGGTCCACTCGCTGCCCGAGATGATGCGGTTCCCTTCCGCGTCGGCAAACGCATTCCCGGCATGCGCCTGCGTCGGGAACCCGCGCTGCTGCCTCTTGGGGTCGACGGCCGCCGGGTACCCCGACTCCGGCTCGAACCGCTTGCCGCGGGCGGCGCGCACCTTGGCGTAGTACGTGTCCGTCGCGTCCTGCTCGGGCTCGCTGGCGTCGTCGTACGTCTCCCAGTTCTCCGAGCCCGTGATGTTGCTGGAGCCGGTCGACGAGTTGGAGATCTGGCGGGGTGGCGGCGCTTGCGAGTATGACGACGGGTGGTGTCTGATCACGGAGGACGAGAAGTCATACTGGGACGACCCTTGGGACTGGTGTGATGACGCGGAGGCGTGGGAGTTGTGGGAGGCGTGCGATGCGTGGGAAGTATGCGACAGCGTCGAGTTCGCCCGGTTCAGGCGCGGTTGTTGGCAGTCGTTGTACACATCCTCCAGCTCGACCTGGCGCACGATGCTGCCGCCCAGTCCTGCCGACCTGTAGCCGTGGTTCGATGTCTCGAGGTCCATAGCATGGAGATCGCGCATCTTCGGTGGTGGAGCGCGCAGCGGCGGTGCGCCGCGTATAGTCGCGTACGCATCGACTCTCGACTCAGCAATCCTCGACTCGGGTCTTTGTATCCTTTCAGGTGAGTTGTTTCCGTACTTCAGGTTGGTAAGTGGAGGGCGCGCAATCCTCGAAGGGCTTCCGGGAGGCTTTGTGAGGGTGCCGTGGTTACTGCGGATCTGTCCCATAGAGGACTCTGGGCGGGGACTGCCGGGAGGTTTGATAATGTGAGCAGACAACGGCCTGGCTTGAGATGCGCCGTTCATGTTGTTGGCACTGCGCTTGTTCGTCGGGGCCGGGCCAACCGGTGTCTTGGCTCCCTGTCGAGTAGGCGGTCTCACGGCAGCGGTGGTACTATTCGAGCGGCTGTGACCGGCTCTGGGCTTGGTTGCCGACGCCATCTGTCCAGCGCCAGGCGTCTTGGATCTGGGTCCCGGTGCCGGTCTGTCCTCGGCCTCAAGAACATCCAGGTATCTATCGCCATGGACGAGGAAAGGGCGCCCATACTCGTCTTCGAAGCGTTCCAGGACTTGGCGAAGCTCGGCAGCCACCTTGGGCAGCTCCTTTGCGATTCTCTTGCGCATCTTCTCTTCCCTGAGAAGCTTGCCCGGGTCGCGTCTCTCGCCCTTTTGTCCGCGCATCATCAGACGGGAAGCGTCCTGACTCGATGCCGCAAGTTCATCGCGTTCGCTGGTGAGACTCTTGTGCCTGTCGATAAGTGCGAGGGTAGGTGCGCGCTGTTCTCTGAGAACCTCCAGTCTGGCAATCTCGCGCTCGTGGGCTTCCAGGAGGGCGTCGCTGTACACATCGGAGAAGGCGGGCGTGAACTCGAGCATCTCATCCTCGGAGAGGTAAAGGGCGTCCCACAGCTCCTGCAGCTTGCACCGGGCATCCTCGACGAAGAGGTGCAAATTCTGTCGCTTGAGCTCGTTCAGGCGCGCCAACTCGTCCTCGAACTCGTTGATCTGACGGACGCCACAGCCGCGGTTGCTGTTCAGGAAGGCCTTGCGCTCTCCCATGTCGACCTCGAGCTTCTCCCAGAGCGCCTCCACGGCGGCGCGCAGATCCTTCAGGCGCTTCTCGCGGTTCTTCTTCTCGTCGGACAGCTTGTCGCGCTTCGCCCGGAGGCGCGCGATGTCCTCCTCGTGCAGACCCAGCTGCTCGGGCGCATCCCTGTAATACTTGACGATAGCGCCGTCGGTCTGGGCCTGAGGCGTGCCCAGCTCGGCCCAGAGCTGGATGGTGTGCTCGCACAGGGCCTTGACCGTGGCGACGCGGCGGCTGTACTCTTCGTAGACTCTCGTAAACTCGTTGTCGAGCTTCTCCACGTACGCGGGCGACAGGTCGAAGTCGGGCGGGATGGACTGGTTCGGGCCAGTCGGGGGCAGGGGGATCTGGACGAAGGTGGGTTCAAGATGCGACGAGTACGATTCGAGGGCTTCGACGAGTTCTGGGCGGTCTGGTTAGTACACTGTAGGGTTGCGTCGCGGCTGCCGTGCCAACTCACTTTTGACCTGTGCGAAACGCTCCTTGTGCAACCTCGCGATCTGGATGTGCTTGTCCTTGAGGCCCTTCAAGCAGCGCGTAAGGGGATATGTGATCTTGATGTCGTTGTCGTCGCGGTCGCGGCGTCCGCTGATGGAAGCCTCCATCTGTCGGATGTTGTTGATCATGCGCTCGGCCTCCTCGATCATCTCTTCCTTTTCGTTGGTGACATGGCGGACCTGGTCAGTCAGGGTCTTGGACAGCGCCTCGAAGAGCTGCGACACATGTCAGTACAAAAGCGGATTCGATCGGCCGGGAACATGGCATACGTCTGCTTCGCGCGCCTCGCGGTCATTGTTAGGGACACCGATCTCGTCAAACAGGCCGTGCAGCTGGCCGATAATGGTGTTGACCTGCTGGGACAGGTAACTGGTATCCATGGCGAACGGGGTCGACAAAATAACACTCAAGGAAATAAAGTGGGAAAATGTCGACCGGTATCGCGAACAAAGGTATCGATTAGGTAGGTATGATCGTGGGGGTAAAAAAAAGAGCGGGTGCAGCGCAAAGGCTGTTGGTGTTGGGTGTTGATGTTGATGCTATTCACGCGGCGGGGAATCGATGCGGCGGTAATTGTCGGGTCTTTTTTATTTTTCTTGGTTGGATTTGTTTACTTTCTCGAGTGGTCACCGAGAGACTTGCGACACGGGGTGCATTGTCCGGTCACAAAGAAAACAAAAGTCCAACGAAAGCGGTAAAAAAAAAAAGAGCGACGTAGGGAAATCTGCAGTCTCCGTGGTATCTTGTTGTTCCTGGAGTTTATGTTGTCAGAGACTGCGATTAGTCGTGATCGTGTGGTCGTGATGTCGGGAAAGAGTGAAGGGTGAAGGAAGGAGGTGAAAGATTGAGGATCAAGTGAGCGATGAAAGGTGAAGGTGAGGCAGAGGCGAGTGGGTGGTCGGGTTACTGTGATGGGTCAAATTTAGCGGGTGTGCCTTGTCTGGTTGGCGAGGTGGGGCCGTCGCCAGGGGCAACAGCCAAACGGAGGGCTATGTTGCTGGTGGGTTTCAGGAAGAGCTACCCCGCCATTGGCCGTCCATTTCCCTTGTGGGTGGTTTTCTAGCGGCCTGTCGCCTGTCTGTCAGCGTCAGGCTTCCAGCTTCGTTCAGGGATCTTAAGTAAGACGAAAGGAGGAGGCTGACACCTCAAGAAATGGACCTTGGTCTTTGGTTCCGATGATGATAGTTCCTTGGTGGAGGATGGGGAGTGCAATGAGCCTCCGGTTGCCATGCGGTCGATGAGGCTCTCGCAGAAACATTTTGACTTTGTCCTCGCTGCAGACGATCGATGCAAACACTTGGACAAACAACGAGTCACCCGCAGTAGCCCGACATTAAGCCCCGACTACGGTTTGTTTACATTGGCTCAACCCGCGTTGACTGGGCCATCATCACCACTCACAATCCGAATCCATCGGGACTATCACCTGCAAGTCATCCAGCCAGGCCACGAGTCGAGTGGCTCGCATGGCATCGCATTGGATTCTGCCCTGCACCAAGATGGAGCCCCCTCTTCACCTTCCCAGCCCCCTCACCTCAGAAACTCTCCCAATTCTGACGGAATAGACGAGCCTAAAAAGCAGGAAACCGATCTGCTCATCTCGGCTCTTTCCCATCCCATGTTTCCTCCAACCCTTGCAGAGGCCCCGTTCTGCGTGTGGGCGCGTAGCTCTCAGCTTCACCGTGGTGACGGCCGGAAACCTTGCTTCGCCTGCATTGTGTTGTTGGCGATTCCCTCGCACACGTGTCCTGCCATTGGACGGCCTCGTTGCTTTTTTTTCTGAATCTTGTCAATCTGTTGGGTCCATTGTTCAGCTCAGGTTGTTTTGTTTGAGTCTTCTCAGTGATTGTTTGTTGGCTGCCCTCTCGTCATGAATCGAAATAGAAACACCTAATCGAAAACGAAGACAAAGGCAGCCCCATAACTCGATGGCCCATGCTCCTTTCCTTCCCCCAGACTCTCCCGCCCGAAAATCTTCGCAAACCAACCCCGTCAAAAAAAAGCCAGTTTCCATTGATCTCCGCACATTTTCGCCCTCTTTTTTTTTTCTCCTCGCCCGCCCAGCTCAACCCGGCACGGCTTAGGCCGCACGCTAACCGGCTTCTGGATCGGATATTTTGATAAGATACAAGATATTGGCGTGTTCCGTACCATGGAATTCCCGCCATTTCTTTTCGTCTGTGCTTCGTACGCGACGTCATCGTCGCCAATATCTGCCCACGACGACCGTTGCCTAGGGCGAAATCTGTTGGGTTAGCCATCTTTTCTCTCCGAGATCGACCGATTCAACTTCGACCCCCGGTCTTTGCTACCACAGCCACACGAGGCAATGATGGATGCCTGTCCTGACTGAGAGGCTGGTGGTGATAATATGAGGCGCGGAGCTGCGCCATATCGACGGGGATTACAAACTTGACTTGTTGGTTCAGTCATCACGCCATCCGAAACATTCACATCGTCGACTTCCATTCTCCGTCACCCATCACAATACCCATTGTGCTCATTGTTCGCAGGTCACAGGCCTTTGTATTCGCTACCTGCCAATCTGCCATCCTCGTTCCCTCACAACGCCCATCGCAAAGAACCCAATACACCAAGATTCGCCGCCGAACGCCGCTACCTCACCACCCAGGTCAGAAAACACACCCACAAAGCTGTAAAGGGAAACACTCACGTTACCGTAAAATTGAAGTCGCCACAGCATATCCACGATGCTGCTCCCACACGACCATCCAACTCATGCCCCCACCATCCGCACCTTACTGCAAGTCCCTCCCTCGCAAATAACAGGCCCATCCGTCCTCCGCGGCCCCTTCTCCACAAACTCGACATCCATCTCATCACCCTCCTCCGCCCCGGAGCCGCCCTGCGCAGCCCCTCCTCTCCCTCTTCCTCCTCCTCTCTTGATGTTGCGTCGCCGGCGCACATACGCCGCCGTCGCGAGCCCGACGACGACGACAGCCACGCCGACGCCGATACCCGCCTGGGCGCCGTTGCTCAGCCCGCTGGACTCCGGATCGGGTGTGCTCATTTTTTTGTTTCTTTGCGGGCGACACGCACGCGGCCACTGTATGCGAAAAAAGGGCCTCTCAGGATACACACACACAAGAGGAGAGAGGGCGTAAGTATGTGTTGTGTGAGGAGTTTCGATTCAGGTGAGAGGTCGTAGATAACTTTCGGGGTAAGGTAATATGTGTCGGCGCCAAACTCTCGCGGACCGGGATACCCAGGGTCGACGGCGGCGGCGGCCAACCACCTACTCGCGGGAGCAGGATTAATGGTTCGTCCGCAGGTTTAATTCACCTTCCTCTTCAGGACGCTTTCGACATACGTATCCCGATTACGATTCTCTCATCTTGCAAATCGCTTAATTCCGATGGGCATCCCCGCATTCACTGGGAGGTTTCTGGTTGTTTCGTCGCGGCCGTCATGTTTTACGGTACGCATCGTAAAATACCATATTATATTCTCTTTCAACTGTAAGGCTCTCAAAACCGTACGCTACACCATGAGTGGATGCATGACAGTGCTGCCCAGCCATTTGGCTGCCTTACAGACCGCCGCTGGCGCAATCACGCACTGAAGCCAATCGTACAAGACTAAGAGGAGATGAATGATGAAGACATACTCCAAGATGCTGTGTAGCCATGAACAGCATGTTCAACTTTGGATTTCTGCGTTACGAGTGGTCAGCCTGGTAGGCGTAAACCGCCTTCACACCGTTGCGATTGCCTCATGCCTCATTTGTATTTTATCTCGGACCGTGGTCTTGAAACTTGGAAGGTGTTGAATAGGACGACAGACTTCGTTATCCATTCCGCATATTCAGTGAGAATGCAACCTCCTGAGCGTACTCCTACTTCTCCTGGCTCACCGTAGCCAGTGGCACCAATCTCTACAGAGGACTCAGATAACAAACAAGACTCGTCCAGCTCCGGTGAGCAAAACAGCACCTGCTCACAGCTTCCAACCCAGGAGCCAGATCCTCATCTCAAGCAACCTCTGCAGCCGCACGGTGTTTAGTACTCTTACCACGCCTGTTGTGCTGCGCACCGTCAACGTTCTCACCCCTTTGCTCATCGGATTCTGGGCTTTATCTCCTCTGGGGGGACAAGCGACGCTACGAGCGATGGACTTCATACCTTCGACAGCTGTTGAGCCTTGGCCGTTCCATCAAGACATCACCTCAGGATGCATCCGGCAACATCAAAATACCTCTCATTGAAGCTGTCCGACGGGGCAACCAGGCAGATTCGAATGGGTGATATGACATAGCTTCAGACGAAAGTGTCGTTTACTCTTCAATCTCGGGACTCCCATCAACACCGATGGGTGGCTTCTCGCCTGGTTTCAACTACAGCTTCTCTTTGAAGACCTCCTATATGTACAGCAATTGTTCCGTGAGCTACAGAGAACAGAAGGAGGAAAGAATTCCGTATGTCAAAAACGGTTAGAAAGAGCTTCAATCCATGACCCAATGGACAAACGGCCAAACCCTTGCCGCGGGGTATCGCCGCGGCAGTTACGCCGAGCCGAAATCGGACACCTCGATGTTGGTCTTTACTTCCTTTACTGCTAGGGGTGTCACCAACGCGACATGCAACATGACAACTTCATACGTGGAAGCAGAGATTTCCTGCCAGGGTTTGACCTGTCGAAGCCTACGCATAAGGACGGTCGAAACACCTCAGAATATTACCCTCAGAACCGTACTCGATGGCCTTCGAGCCCCGTGGTATAAAGAACCCTTTATCATCGCTACTCATTCGTTTCTCAGCGGATTCGTCAACGCCTCCAACAGTCCGTGGAACAATCGATGGGCGGAAGATCCCTATTCAACCCCGATCGAGTGTTATTTTACCCATCCGGACTCGCCATACATCGCACCGGTCTTCCGGACATCTGAGAGGCATAGTTTCCAAAGCTGTGATATTTATCCCATCAGCGACCGCGACTTCTCTGAGAAACTCACACAGCTCCTAAACACCTTTTGGATCGTCAACATTGCTCCTCGGAGCGGAATTGGTAACTTCACATACGGTGGACCAGACTCAATCGATGATGTTGTCCTCCGGCAAAACGCAACGGGGACGAGGACTCCCGACCGAATCGTGACCAGGACCGACATCCCATGGCTCATCGTTCTCGTCGTGGCCTCGTTGTCAATGCTCTCGGCCGGTGTAGCAGCCGCCGTACTCGGCGCACTAAGGCGCGGGCCAGACGTGCTGGACCGAGCGACCATCTTCCTGAGAAGCAACCCCAACGCCGAGCTTCCTCAGACGTCGTCCATGGAAGACGGGATCGAGCAGGCGCGACGAGTGAAGCACGTCAGAGTCTGCGTCGGCGATGTCAAGTCCCAGGATGACGTCGGAGAGGTTGCTTTGGGCACTGTCGGCAATCTGATTCCGTTGAGCTGGCAGAAGGACGGTCGGGTTTACAGCTGAAGATACCAGCACCCCTCATCAAGGTCTTAACCCCTTCGACCTCAATAGTGAGGCTATTCACACGCCGCTAAGCACGCTAGGAAGCTTATTAGGATAGAGTCTTATTCTTTCAGAATATTAAACATTAAATATATCTTATTAGGTATAGTGAGGTATTAATAACTATATTATAAGGGTAGCTATATTATATTGCGCGGCATATTGCATTTATTACAGCTAAATATGGACTGTTTTCTTACCCGAACGTGGCAAGCGGTCAACTTTTAGAGCACACAGTGATTACGATACTGGATCTGAAAGGGGGACAAAAAAAGGCTACCCTAAGTAAGGTAAGGTACACGCACCCAAGATGTGGCTCGATGACCAAAAGTCGCGGCTACAGCTCACACTGCACAAGACACATCACCCATCCCATCCCGTTGACTTCGACTTAACGTAAGAGCATCATTCAAATCAAAAGACCACAGACTTGACCAGAACAATACTCCGACGTATTGATCTCCGGTATTACTACAGACGCGAACGACGAATTGTTTGTGGATTAGTGCCACACGTCCAGTTTAAGCACAGGTTGACGAGTTCACCACCGCTTTTTCAAGACGCGCGCAAGGCCTTGAAGTCGGGAGAATTGCGGCGCGAGAAAGCATAAGATGCTTTTGATGGGCTGTCTACAGAGTTCGGTTGCGGATGAGACATGGCAATACACCCCCGCGGTTGCGCAGGTGAAAGAAACCATCTGCTTGTCGAATCGCGAATGCTCTGGATCACAGCCAACTGCTACCACGGCGGAGTCTTCCCAACCGATGCCAAGTCACGAGACAGGTATTACTCACATGCGAATTTAGCAGTTGAGTCCTTGTTTAGACAGGCTCCTAATACCTTTCCTACAAGGGTTTACAACTCACATTATGCCATTGCAAGGAGAAACGACCGTGGAGGCCTTCACGTACGGACTCCCGGACGATGAATAGCTTGTTTGAATTTGAATTTCGGCCGCAGACTCATACGGCGGGCGATAGCCACAAATACGCCACAATGTAAGGGTACTCTTGTCAGTAAAAGATCTCAAATAACTATATCACATGGAACCATGACGGACAATGAATAGCAGCATCGGCTCTGCTGGTAGAAAATGCTCATGCTCTTGATATAACTCTCCCACCAATAGGTAGTTAAATCAAAGTACACCCTTCAAATAAAACTCTGTAGCTCGCTTTTCGCCTTCGCCCTCCCCTTCCCCTACTCTCACCGAGTTCACGACTTTCCCCCTCAAGTCTCTCAGGATCTGGCTGCGCCGACAGGCGTATTGCCACATACTCTCTTGCCGACTCTGCCTCCACTCCCATCTCAACGGCACTTCAACAAGAACGGGGCCGGCATAATCCTTCACCTCTTTTGCGTGATCGCTTTCGTCGTTTCCGATCATCGCACGCTCGCCATGTCGGCCCACAAGCAGCCAGTCCAGGATAGGTTGATGGTGAATTGCGCCAGCACCACCGGTCATTCTTCCGAAAAGATCATAGGTAAGTTGAGCACCGAGACCAACCAGGAACTTGACGATCTCGTCGCGTCCAAAAATGAGAGCAGCTTGCAGTGGTGTGCCGTGTTTCTGGCATTGGTGTTCCAACACGTCAGGGCTCAACTTGACAAGAGGTTGTATTGCCTCGATCTCACCACTGCATACCGACCAGCATAACAGACTGTGGCTTCCCGGGCTGTTGCAAGCCAACAATCGGTTGGTCACTTCTCTGCTCATGAGAGGCCGCAACGATTGCAGATTCTTAGAGAGGAAAGGAAGTCGCTCAGATAGATAGTCATACTGATAATTGAAGAGTGCGAGGGGCCAAGGGGCCAATTGATGGAGCCGCAACGTGGTGATGTCGCGGTTGATCCATGCTCGCAGATAGACAGCATGTTGGCTGACGAGAACAACATGAGCAGGCGATATGCCGGTCGAATCGAGGAGATGCATGTCGGCTCCACGATCCAACAAGAGTTGGAAGAAAGGAATAGAGTGTTCGGCGCGGTCGGCTTCGGTGAACGCCATGAGATGTAAAACATTTCCTCCCGCAACGCTGGAACCTCTAGAAGACTCGAGAATAAGCGTTGCTGCTTGCCAATTCCCTTCTCGGCAAGCCATCGCGAGGGGGGTTTCGCCCCTAGAGTTGAGGACATCGACTTTAGCGCCGCAGCCCAGCAAGTGTTCCACGATATCAAGAGAACCGGTAGCAGCCGCCCAGTGAAGGGGAGCTTTCTGCACGCCATCCAAACTTTCGATGTCAGCTCCTGCTTCGACCAGCATCTTCACAACTTTGACGTCTTTGTTTCCTGCTGCGACATGAAGAGCCGTAACAGTAGGCCCTGACCGAGCCTGACGATTCACGAAGGCGGGAAGGCCCGGGAGATAGGAAGTGACACACGGTTTCCTACGCACGAATCAATAAGTGACAAGATAAAAGCTATTGTAATTAGAAATATACTTACTCAGAAGTGTCGAGAGTATGATGCAGTTTCCTGACTGCGTCCAATATGATGGAGACGCCTTCAGTATTTTCCGCATCAACCGCAGAACGAAGAACAGTGTCGGAATTTCCAAGGATGTCACCACCCTCTTTCAAGTACTTGGTTGTAAGTTCGAGTAAAATCGGGTTGAACTTGGCATTCTCCGAAACTGCTTCAAGGGCATTGGTGTATCGGCCCAGGTAAGGTGCATCCATTGTTGCAGACACACTCGCCCCCGCATCAAGTAGCCATCTTACGACCTCGAGACTTTTGTCTTCGGCAATGGCCATGATCAATGGAGTGAGGTTTCGATGCTCGTTCAGTTCAATGTCCACCGGACATCCCGCGGCGTGTATCTGTGAACATTTGCCGACGTCATTCTGTCGGATAGCTGTCGCAAAAGCGTCGGCGAATCTCGGCAAAAGCTTGGGTGATATTACTGAAGCCTCAGGTCTTCCAGAGTCCTCAAACGATTTCAGGAGGGCCTCCACAATTTCTTCTTGCCCCAACTCAAGAGCATGGTCAATAGGAGTGCGTTCGTCGACATCGGCTTGGTGCGTGGCTCCTAACCTCAGGAGAACTTCCACAGTCCTGACATGCTCGTGTAGAACTGCCACATGCAGAGGAGTTTGCCCAAGTTTATCCTTTGTATTGACATTGGCGCCTTGACCTTCCAACATTGCGATAGTATCATGGTGACCGTAATGAGCAGCATGATGTAAGGGAGTTCCAAGGTCGTTTTCTCCAGCCTCCAAGTCGGATAACAGGCCTTGCTCTAGATAGAAGCTTATGCAGTCGGTTTGCCCATAGAATGCCGCCAGGTGAAGGGCATTCCCGCCGGTCATACAGCCGCATGATACTCTTCTTGTCCATTCTTGACCCCAAAGGCTGTCATCTTTCCCTTCAGACGCCGCGGCCATCATCTGCAACAACGACACATCCCCCATTTGTGTCGCCATCAAGGCTGGTGTCATCCAGCGTGGGCCAATGGCCCAAGGGTCGGCTCCGTGCTGGAGAAGCGCCTCGGCGGTTTTCAGGGCGCGTTGTTCAATATGGTGTGTCAATGGCGAGCCGTATCTTGGAGACAGTGGCTGGTTGCAGTCCATTCCTATTTGCAGAAGCTTGCTCAACTTTGGTACCGAGGCTTCTCGTTCGGATTCGAATCCTGCGACGAAATGAAGAGGACCGCATCCGTGAAGAGATGCAACACACCATTCCATATCGCCCTTTGTTGCAAAACTCAATAGATGGTCGAAATCATCTTCGCTGATGTGAACTTCTGGGAAGCAAGAGAATTCGAAAGGCGAAATCATGTCAGTTCGCGCATGAATATTGACGCCCTTTTCCAAAAGCAACGACGTCATCTGATGGTCGCCCTGAAGGACTGATAAGGATAACAGTCGAACCATATTCGGGTCTTCGACTGCGCTGGCCAAGTATCGGGTGTCCTGGGCAAGCTGTTGGAAACAGACCGAGAAACGCCGCCACCGCTCGCGATACCACGAACATGGCTCTTGATGTTTAACGAGCAAACGGTCGTATTCGTACTTGAAATCGGCACTAACGGCGGCAATAAAAGGCGGCACCGAAGATTGCTGGTGGTGTGCCTCGTATAGGTCCGGGATACCCAATGTCATCAGCTCCTTCAGAACTTGGTTGAACCAATGCCTGCCGAATGCGTCGGATTCCTCCATTGCCTGTAGAACTGTCTCTTCACAGACCACAGACCATATCTTACTTCCTTCGGAGGCATCCTCGATGGCATTGCTGGGTAGCAATTCGGCGACAGCGCCCTCCGACATCCTCCACTCTTCATCACGTTCAACCGCTCTGACAAGCATGGACTCCAGAGGCGTTCGAAAATCTTGCGATCGTCTTTCGTTGACAGAGAAGGCCTTCTTGAAAAGTCCAATGCATTCGAGTGAAGAGTTGATGTGAAGATGATGAAGCGGATTTCCTGTGACGCTATCCTCGCCGTCTGTTTCCACTTGAGCTTCCATCATCCCCTGGATGATGAAAGACTTCCCAAATCTGGCAGCCGCTCGGTACAACGACTCTCCGCACTTCCACGATCTTTCAGAACTGCAGTACGGAAGAAGAAGCCGCAGAGAGTCATGGTTACTGCACCTCAGTGCCGCAGCAATCGGGGTATCACCGTCGTCTGAGACAGATTCCAGCCCCTGGTCCCTTTCTCCGAGCTCTATCAACACGCTGAGGATTGTGACGCCATTGGCTCTTGCGCTGTGGTGCCATATTGTTCTGCCCTCATCGTCTTTCGTTGTCGTCGAGGCGCCGTGCTTCAGTAATAGCCGGAGTGCAGGCTCATCTTCATAAGTACAACATAGGTGCACTGGCGTCCTGCAATCGTAACTGGCTACATTTGGATCTAACCCAGCCTCAAGAAGTTTGCCGAGGACTTCAAAAGCTCTAGATTTTACGGCGAGGTGTAGAGACGTCCAGCTCGGCTGTTTAGCATCGATTCCCACGCCCCGCACAAGATCGGACCTACCAGACTGGAGAAATCGTAGAAGGCCCTCACGGTCATTGGTCTCGATTATGTTAAGAAGGTATTTCTTGACATATGATTCGCTGAGCTCGTCACCTAGCTGCAGCTGGTATGCTTGGGACGAGATATCCAGCTTCATGTGTTTCGCGAGCTGGAGAGTCAATGCGTACAAGCTCATTTTCGCTGAAGATGGTCCGTCGTGATGGTACTGGTGGAGAGCTTCCAGAAGGCTTATAATCGCTTTACCACCCGTAAACTTCGCTTTGAAATCGTCAGGCTCAAATAGCATCATTGCGTGGTCGTAACGGCTCTTGAAGGATACCTTGTCTTCCTCCTCTATCGACACACCGACTCGGACAAGGTCCGCGGCGATTTCAAGATCATCTCCATACATCGATGATGACACAGCGAGATGGAGAAATGTGGCCGTCTGGAAGGGCGTGACAACTTGCGAGTTCGGTACAGCGCCGGCATCTATCAGAAGTTGGACGGTTTGGCGTCGAGTTGCTGGCGATGTAAAATTGTCGCGAAGATTTATTAAAGCACCCACGGCATTCAAGACATTGCCATCCGCAAAAACGGTCAAGGAGGCTACCGCGCAATGCAACGGTGTTCCAAACTTGCTTTTCAATGAAACATCTGCTCCCTGATCAAGAAGATGCTGACACAAATGAGGCATGCCCAAAGCTGCCGCCATGTGCAAAGGTGTGAACTCCGTCCGCACAATAGCGTCTATGACTTTTTGAGCAGAATCATTGTGTCTCCCAAAGTCTTTTTGTTTTTGAAGTCTGAAGTAGCCATCTTTGTCCATGAAACAATGCCTGATGAGCTCTATCGACCAAGAGCAGAAGCTGGCCGTCTTTGGAAGTTGGAAGAGGTCCTTGACGATAGTGAAGCAGCCATGCTGGTTAGCTGGACTGCAGTAACTCGCGTACATGGGCCATCCAAGAGCTGTGTTCTCATATAGTGGGCGTTTCTCTATTCGACCCATGACAATATCGATATAGTCGTCTGTTGCTTCAACGGGTTGCTCGTGATTCTTCAGCATAAGATACCGAATACACAGCGAGCCAAGAACAGCGCCAACAGTCTCGTCTGAGATACTGTAAGCCTTAAGAATGTCATGTTTTGCGCAATCGTTCCAAAGGTATTCCTGGACGGTGAAGTGCGCGAATTCTATGGTACCTCCATCATCAGAGGTTCGCACGAGACTGCCGCACCACCTGAGTATCTCTTCCTCGTCGACGATCTCATCCTCATAGAGATATTCGGAACTCTCGTCGATTGATGCCAATTCGCAGATTTCGCGGAAGCCGAGTCGCCACGAACCATCTTGCTGAGGCGAACCGATCATCAGCAACGCTCGCTGCACAATTCGCTTCACTTGCTCGTCATAGCTCTCGATTCTCAACAGAATGCGTTCATATGTAGCCGGAAGTGTGGGTGGCAGTTTGAGCAGAGCCGCCCGTCTGGCCCTATCCGTCGGAAGTTCGCAGAGGTGATCTAGCTGACAAGCAACCCATCGAAACCTGCATCCCACAATTAGTATCGTACCATGTCATACTACGTTAATGGGAACTGCTTACATTCCCTGCGCTCCTTTAACAAGGCTTGTCATGATATCATCCTTCAAGCGCAGGTCCTTCAGTCTAAGCTTCCTGGAGCTGATGCGCTGATTCAGCTCAGTTGCAACATACTCTTGTAAGTCTTCCGTATGCGCCGCGATTTCCACATTGTGGCATCCAGGATCCATGATGTGACGCAGTCCGATTTCGTTACGGCTTAGGACGGCCAAGCTGACATTGCCCTCAACCTGAGACGCCGTTAAGTCCATCAAACTTTTCGCAGTCTCTTCGGCATGGTCACCACACTCGTCCACGCCATCGACGATGATGTACACACGACTGAAGCAAAGAAACATGCGGCGCAGCACGGCAGTCAATCCTTCAATAGAAGGGCGTCGTGACAAGTAGTCCATCATACTGAGTTCGGCATGGTACTCTTCCAACTCTTTGAAGGCGTTTGCGTCTTGGAGCGCGAGCTGAACACACAAAGACGACAGTACTGCTTGAGGCTGATGTGTCTGCTGGTTTCGATAGACACTGTAGTGGAAAGCGACTGCAGTACCTGGACTTGTTCGAGCACGCTGCAAACACTCCTGAATGACTAGTGCTGCGATGACAGATTTCCCAGCACCCGGGATGCCGGTGAACCAGATCCTCGATCCCAACGTGGCGTGCCATTCTGCGAAGTCTTGGCCTTCTGTCAGCCACAGCCCAGTCAGCGGGTGACGCAAAGCCAAATTTGTCTCGAACTCGGTGCGGTAGTTGAGTATTGAGAAATAATCAAGGACGCTCCTTTTTTGGGTGTCGCGGAAGGACTCGAGCTGCATGTCGAGGATTTTATTGGCGGTGAGCTGAAGCTTTTCCACCTGAGCACTGGACTCCTTCTGCCGAGACAGACAAAGCATTAGCTTGCTCAGCGTATCAGAGGCGAGAGCCGTGTCGATTGTTTCTTTCTGACGTCGCATGGTTTGCAGGATCTCTTTCGTCTCGGCTGACGTGAATGGCCACTTCATGCGGCTGCGGAGCCTCTCGAAACCGGAGCTGGAATTGAGCTGCGAGTTTTGGTCCCGTAATTTCTCCTCGAGCTGCCGAAGAAGCTGTTGACACTCGTGCAAGTGGTGCGGCTTGAGCGCTGAGCTGGGCTGATGAGTTGACGCTTGAGCTTCATCGTTGACCTCTAACTCGAAGGCCACCAGGGAAAGATTGTGCAAGACGCATGATAGATTTTTGACTTCTCGAGAAAGATCGTTGACTTCTTTCTGCGACCCCTTGGCAGCTTTGACGTAGTCTGTTGCGGCTCGGAACACAAGATCGGCCAAGGCAACCAATCCCGCGATGCTCGCTGATAACGAAAGAGGGTCCATGAGTTCGAACCGAAGACTTGAGTCGAGAGTGAGAGGGGAACAGTCCGTGTTACCGATGTGGCTAGTAAAGGACTCCTTATATGCAGCCGTCCAACTCTGTCACCCGTCATTTTTCCAGATCTGTGGTTGGGTTGTCATGCATATATAGTGCGTTGGCAGACATTCATTCATACGACTCAAGGAATCGTCATTGGCCAGAAATATTTCGGCTACCTGCTGAATAGACGTGACCTGCAGCAGACACTGCCACTTGAGTTCCACGATATGGGTCAATCTATGCGTATTTGCGGCAGGCTGGCTGCCAAGCAGCAGGGATGAGTGTCAGCAGTTACGGAGAGCGTCGCCCCCATCCAAGATAGAGCCTTATTGAGAGGAATACGGATGGTCATTTTCAATGACCGGGCGGTGACGGCGGCTACGTCTTACGTCTTACTGGATGTGTTGTCATGAGAGGAGGCGGTTCGGAGAGGCTCTTTGTCAGCGGTAAATTGCGTTTTTAAATTCGTGATAAATACCGACCGCATGCTGAACTCTCGGCCCAGTCGGTTGGTCTTGAAGTAGATCCCGGAGCTTGCTGTCGCGCCGGCTCTCCGCCGAAGTAGTATTCAATTAAACGCCATCGGCAACAATTAGGTACAAGCGAAAAAGAAACTATGCGATGCGCAATATATTCGAAAGCCAATGTAACATCCCTCGGCAGGGGCTCGAGTCGTCGCGAATCTTGACAATACCAATTCAACTCGACGCGAAAATGGGCGCGTCCTCTACAGCAGCAGTCCGCATGACTGGGACTCTGCGCGAATCTTGCCTTCTCACTCACACAGCTCCGATCAGTATATCTATCAATCACTCGCAATGTCAAGATCTCCAGATAATATCAACGAGATCCCCTCCTCTGGGTGGCCCCGGCCGAGTCGGCACAACATGTCCCGTGCTTATGCGCCGACGCCGACGCCGACGCCGACAACGATGCTTTTTAGACACACATACAAAGCTCAGTATGAGAGACCAATGATTTATCGGTCATAGGGAAAACCATGGGATAGCAACACCCAAGCGCGGCAGGTTCAAGTCCTGTGACAAGAGTTCACTTCACACCCAAACGCACCGTTAGAAACTTATTAATGTTCAAGATAAAGAGCATCAGTGATCGATGAGTACGACAGCTGGACGCGATCGAAGTCGACACTGCCATGACCATGAATCGGAATGAGGAGGAACCTGGATGTCCCTCAACCAGCTTCAGAGCTTCATAAAATCGCTTTCTGCTCCACACTAGCAACCAGAACAAGTTAGTTCGGTCGGTTAGCTCAGTTGGTTAGAGCGTGGTACTAATATGTTATCTGACATGTTCAGTAATGCCAAGGTCGGGAGTTCAAGCCTCCCACTGATCACCACTTTTTGCTTTCGGTGCCTTTGACTGCTAACTTTTTCTTTTTTTGCGCCCTACGTATAATGTGGTGTTTTGGTGGTTGTAGTGGATTGATTGACTTTGTCTGATCTCGTTGAGAGCAAAACTCAATGCGAAAAAGTTAGAGAGTCCTCATCCACACTGAAACTTTGTAGTTAGGTAGTAGAGAACGTTGTGAGACTCAGAGGGATATAGCACACGAAAGTTCCACCAGAAGAAAGTGTGCAATTTGCTCCTTATTTTGGCGTAATGAGATTAATTAGTGTCTAGTAAATAAATTGAGGTTGATTTGATGTAAATGAAACCCTTCGTTTCCATGGATGTTCCCAGGACACGCGCGGCGTGGTCTCAACCCCGGATCGTTGGCGGTTCCTGACGAACTAAAACTCAATCGATGCGAGCCACTGACGCGACGCGGGGCGGTCGCGCTTCAGCCCTGATTCACTACCCCAAGAGAGACATCACCATTCGTTCAAATACAAGCATTAACGCCCAAAAGAATCAACCCGTTACTCCACTAAATCTTTCAAGATGAGCGACCCCCAAGAGGCAGCATTGATAGCAGAGGTGAGAGCAGCCGCAAAAGCAGCGCGCGCCCGGCCGCCCCGCGTCCCCTCGCCGACAGCCGAGCTCTGCGACGTGTGCCTCAGACCCTACAACCACTGGATCGTCAACGCCCATTACTGCTCCGTCTTCGACGAGATCGAGATCCTATGGCAGAAGACCAACGCCAAGCGCGAAAAGCACCGCAAGGCCCTCTGCAAGCTCCGGGAGGATAACCCCCAGCACCAGGACGCGGCGCGCGACGCCGACACCGTGGACTACATGATCCGGCGTTTGCACGAGGCGGGGTGCGAGCTGGCGCCTGCCGTCAGCCTCAACATGGAGCGTCTCCGTCTGAACAGGATTCGGGATTGGGAGGAGGCGTCCGAGCGCAACGAGAAGCTCGAGAAGGCGATGGATCGTGCGCGCAACGAAGAGAGCAAGGCGCAGGCCTTCTTTGAGAGCACGCTTATTCTTCGTCACTTTGGTTTGATGGAGAAGTACGGGCGGAATGCGGTGAGGGCGACGCGGTTGATAGGCGAGATCGTGGATCTCGAGCCTGAACAGCAGCAGGAGGAGGAGGGGCAGCGGGAGAAAAAGCCTGATCTCCCGGCGAAGAAGGAGGAAGAGGAAAGGGGGGAGGGGGATGGAACACTCGCGAGCGCAGTACAGCCAGTCGTGCCGGGTCGAAGAGCTGGAGGGTCAACATATATTCATCCTCCGGCGAAGGAGGAGGAGGAGGAAGAGATGGGAACAATTTCAGGCGCAGTGCAGCCGGCTGTGCCGGAGCGAAGGGCTGCTGAAGGATCGAGAGTAGCTGGTTCTCCGGTAAAGAAGGAAGAGGAGGAAGAGGCAATGAGATCTGTGAACGCGGTCGCGCCGGGCCCCGACGAATCCATCAACTGCGGGAAGGCCGGAGAGGACTCCGCGAAGGACGTCTCGCAGAATACAGCCGTACTCGACCTGAGTATCACGGTGAACAACGGACGATGAAACGTCTGAGACTCTTCTTTCTTGTCGACTGACATGATGTATCAATACCCGAGCCTGTAGATCGAGACCGTACTTTATGTCCTTTTGATCCGTCTCAATCCCCCTCGTCGGGCTCGCATCGAAATTCGAGCCGCTGTCATCGCTGTCATCCTCTTCGACCACCTCGCAATTCTTCCGATCAGTCGCGGCGTCGCGTGGTCCTGTCACTCCTCTTTGAAAGTGAAGGCTCTCGCCATTCAGCTGGTGATTCGGTAGCGACGCTCCTTGGCAAACGCTCTCCCAACCACCTCAGTGGGGCTTCATCAAGGTGATGCCCACATCGCATGCGCAATTCGATTCTGTCGCTGAATATCGCGCGTGGTCCCATCCGGCTTGAACGCAGCTTGACAGGTTCAACAAAGAACCCCTCAGACAGCCGTCCCCGTCTCCCCACCCATCAAGGCCTTCAAAGCCTCCTCCTCATCCTCACTTTCATCCTCTTCATCCCCTCCCATGAGATCAATCACCAAAACCGACCCCGAGCTCAACACATCCAGCTGGAACCCCGCCCCCAAAGCCCCCTCCGCATCGTGAACGCACCCCGCCACGCTCAGCCCGATATCCGCGTCCCGCAGCGCGAGACACACCACCCGGAAGTGCTCGTGGTGCGTGTCCTGGTCCTCGTCGAAGATCAGGATGACGTTGTGGTGCGTGAGACAGAAGGTCTCGCTGATGCCCTCGGCCTTCTTCAGCGCCGCGGCGATCTGCGCCGGGGTCGTCTTGTCGGTGATCGTGAGGCGCGTGAAGAGCTTGCCGTGTAGCAGGGCTTGCGCCGCCGTCGGGTCTTTGGGGGTGAAGATTGTGACGTTTGGCGGGAGGGTCGGCGCGGCCGGGGCCGGTTTGGCGGGTGTTGCGGATGGCATTTTTTCGGAGGTATTGGGTTTGAGATGTTGGTGAAGGTGAAAATTCGGCGTGTGAGTGAGAAGGAAAGAAGCTTCCATGGGTTAGTTACGTAAGCATGACGCAGGAAGGTGGGTTCACCGAAGGTGTGTTCAACTACACCGAGAATCGTCGCATGAAGTCAGGCAAAAGGAAAATCACATTAAAATAAATAAAACGTAACACAACGAACGAAGCAACATTTAGAGAGAGATGTGAGAAATAAACAATCACACATTGATTGTTTATTGATGCTCGTGAGTTGCCGAAGCAAAAGGGATAAAATCAAAAAGACAAAAAAAAGGGAACTAGCCAGACTCGAACAGGAGCCTCGAGGATCAGTGACCTTCCGGAGGGCATCACGTCCAGTCCTTACGCTTCAGGGTCTACAACCGTTCAACCACGAGGGCGTCTGGCTAGTTCGGTGAAGACTCTGCCGGTACTGCTGCCTAAGTATCAAAGGGCGGTCGGTGGTCGTCCTCGGGAAGGCAGGTGCGGCAACCTAAGTCCAAGAGCGCTGTTTCGCCCCGCAGCGGGAATTTCATCTCTGTTTCTTTGTTTCCTTCCTCTTTTGTAATTTCTCTTCTATGGAGAGAGATTATTGAGCTCGCCGTTGGGTATGCAAGCCATCTCAAAGCACGCCTCTACCTTAGTAGCGTAAATCTCAGTCAGCGGCGTGATGCACTCTTCCAGCTTCTTCACTTGCTACATGTATATTAACTATTTGAAACGGATTGACCCCTGATTCTAATATCTTACACAATCACCAAATCTTCTAGTTCGTCCTCATTCTCAGGCCAAAGCTCCCCTTTCATCGCATCTTGGACCACCACCGACCCAACCACTCTATGCCCTTCACCCCCTGGCTGCGGTCGAAAAACGAAGGGATGTGGTAGTCCGGATACGAGCCAGATCTCGTCGCCCTCTGATATTCCCGGATGGCCCAGACCAAGTTTTCCGTCCGCGGTGCAGAACAGGCGTCCTCCAAGTAGCGTCCCCCGATACGTACTGATGCCAAACCAGTGTGGATGTGATACGTTTCCATGCAGGCTCATTACATATGAGATGAAACTTTCTATTTCAGTAAAGTCATCCACATCCTCTTCATACCCGATGCTAATGAAGAAGCCATTTGTTGTCTTGTTGATGTCTTTTAGAAAATCATATAGCCTCTGACTCAAAGTGGCATGCGACGAGCTTACATCTGTACCACTGGCAGGTAGCGGATTCGACGCAAACCGATGGAGCAGATTTAAGTCAGGGTAGCAACAGTCGCGAGGAGGTAGCGTACGGTTGTCTTTGTCGAGGCATGTCTTGTCACTCACCGGAAACACGTCGCTGATCATATTGCCAACATGACCTATTCGTGTCCCACGGGTACTGAGCCGCAAGTGATCAGGAGAAAACGAGATGGTACCTTTCGATGTTGCGGCAGCTGAAAAGTCGGGACAATAACTGTAGTTGTACACCCCGTAGAAGATGTTCTGGACACCCTCTGCCCCAAAGTCAGGGACCCAGGAGGGCCACGTATCTGCCCCTGCATTCGCTTCTCTTGTATGAACCACATAGTAAAGGAGATCAAGGCTACCCGCTTTTTCAATTATCAGCCTCGACGCTTCCAAGAAAATATCGGAAACTGGCTTGCTATAGTCAACAGCAACGTAGCCTATCACGTCTTTGGAAAGCGCCCTCAAAGCAAAGATCTTGTCTCGAACGTCGGAGGCTTGCATATGACACACGTCGAGCAAAGTTATCATGCTTCTGACGTCGAGTGCATTCGTATACGGCAAACCTAGTGCAGCAAATCGAATACTCATGTGCATCCTTATTCTTTTGAAATAAGTCCAAAGAGGAATAGCGAAGCTGGAATTGAAGGATGTGTCGCAGTCAAGTTCGTCGATAAGGATGCCAAATGATGAAATGGAGTGTAGACTTGAGTTTCGGCAAAGAATGAAGATGCTGGTGTTCGAAAATTCCTGAAGCGTCCAAATTCGATTCCAATAGTTGTTGAGAATGATACGACCAACAACATCGTAATCACAACCTACGTCTTGTCAACAACAGAGGTCCTGCCGCCATTTGTGACTAAAAGAACGCTCAGTCAAACGTAAAGTTGCTTACATCTTAATGCAGCATGCCTTACGCTTAGATCAACTCGATATAGAAGTCGATAAAAACCACGCGAGGTCGGAATACGTTTCAACCAGTAAGGTCGTTGCTTCCACACGGAAAGGATGATCGAACCCAGTAATGCTTTCTCATTCGGAGGTGCGTCTCGCTGGCCGAGCCAAACAAGAACACTCGTTGCTTGCCGATAAACATCGGACATCATCGCAACTTGGACGCTTTTCTCGTCGTCTGATGCTTGGTTGATGCAGATGGCGTCGATCCAGATCTTCACTTTTTTCCGTCTTCTAAATCGTCTGTGGAGAGATTTGCGCAAGACCTTGAGAGCGGCAGCGCAATTTGGCGTGACGAGAAGCTGTGAAGTTGTCGGGTTATCGGAACCGATCACGCCTTCTCGTATCATGAGAGGCTCGCTTGGCGTCTCTCCATTCCACGTATACGACAGCGCAAAGTATTCCGGCGGGTCGTCCACGTCGATCTCCACGAGTTCGCACGAGAGGGGGTCGGAAGGCCTGTTGCCTTTGCCGGGGCGGAGGACCACGAGCCTCGTACATCTCGGACCGGATAAGGGCGGGTATTGAAAGGTCTGGGTGCTCATGGCTCCTCAATCGGGAGAGGGAGGAAGGTGTCGTCAGATAGAGTGGAGGCTCTGAAATTACAATGTATTGGCCGAATGTTCGAAGGCTTGAATCGGACAACCTGGTTCGCGAAGGTGTACGTCGGTTGCTGTAAACCCTGAGCAGTCGCAGTCGCTGCGCGAGCAAGAGACTTTGTAATCGATTGAAGAGCGCTACGGGCATGCGTAGGTGTAGGTGTAAAATCAGAGAAGTCGAACTCCGTTGCGCAAGAAAAAGAGAAGAATGATGCGGGGGGAAATATGCAGGAAGGCGGAGAGGCATCCCTTCCTAAAATGCCCGCGGCTGGAGGAAGGAGGCGAAGCTGTTGGGCGTTCCTGCCTGGGCCAATCGCGACCCCTGACGCCCTCAACATTCTTACACTTTGCATTCGCCAAGCTCAAGTCGGAATTTCTGACTGAAATGCTTCGGTAGGATCGAATTTTGAAAGCTCAAAGTTCATGTGCGACAAATGAAAAATTGTAAGATATTACAGGTAAAGGTATCAACATTTTGGTACACGAGATGTCCTCGACCAAGACACCGCTCCGATGCAACCATCCCCCCGACTCCGTTACGATGCAGCCCATATATCCTAACAAGAAACCCAGACAAAACAAGCTCCAAAACCGGTCTAATGGTATCTCTCTCTCCCAACCCTTTCCTTTTTATCTAAAAGCAGAAGACGGCGTCGGTCATCTTGGACATGGACCCGGGCTTCTCGAAGCCCAGGTTCGCCAACGACTTCTTGGCCGCGTTGACCATGCCCGGCGGGCCGCAGAGCATGACCTTCGAATCCGGGCCCGGGGCGGGAAACCGCTCGGCCATCATCTCCTGGGTCACGTAGCCGACGCCGTAGGTCCAGTTCTCGGGCGGGGCGTCGAGGAGGTAGTGCAGCTTGAGGTTCTTGGGGTACCTTCTGGCAAAGGCCTCGAGCTCCTCGCGCAGGAGGATGTCGGCCTCGGAGCGGTTGGCGTAGATGAGGCTGACCTCGGTGGTGTCGCGGTCGTCCTCGCAGATGGCGCGGATGAGCTGGTACATGGGGGTGATGCCGGTGCCGCCGGCGAGCATGCCGATCTTCTTGCAGAGGCCGCGGTGGTAGCGCATGGCGCCCTTGGGACCGCGGAAGAGGACCTCGTCGCCGACCTCGACGTTGGCGAGGTACTTGCCGGTGAGCAGGCCGTCCGGGTAGGTGCGGATGACGAGCTCGAGGCGGCCGAGGTCCGAGTTGTTGGAGGTGGGCGTGTAGGACCTGCTGACGGACTTGCCGTCGATCTCGGCCTTGATGGCGACGTGCTGGCCGATGGGGAGGCCGAGGACGGTGGTCGGTGTCGGGAGCTCGAAGACGAGGCGGTAGACGTTAGGTGCGATGAGCTCCTTCTCGACGAGGGGGAGGGGGTGGTAGTTGACGGGGTCGAGCCAGCCGCGCTGCAGGAGGGGGTTGGCCTTTGCGACCTTGGGCATCTTCTGGTGGGGGCGGAACTTCATGGGCGTGGCGTCGAAGTGCAACAGCTTGGAGAGCTTGTTGGCGGTGACGGTACCGGCAACGGCGAAGATGGCGGAGGCGACGGCAAAGCCCTCAACGAAGCCGAAGCCTGTGCGCTTGGGGCGGCCGGCGGCGGTTGCGGAGCCGAAGGACAGCCATGCGGGGAGCTGGAGGTTGAGGCGCTGCAGGGCGGCGATGACGTCCTGGCCGGCGGGGGTGTTGGAGGCCTGACGGGCGGCGATAGCGCCGAGGGCCAGGAAGACGGCCGCGGCGGCGGCCTGGGAAGCGACGCGGGCCGGGCCGGAGGTGGTGGTGGGCTGCTTGGGTGCGGATTTGGGGGCCAGCTTGACAGCCTTGGGAGCGTTGCGCTTGTTGGCGCCCTTGAGCTTGCCGACGCGGAACTCGGCCATGATTTCAGAGGCGTCTTCCGAGTGGCCTGCGTTGTCGAAGGCTTCTGTTGCGTCGACGCCGGCAGCCTCAACAAGGACCTCTGCGCCACCGGGGTGGTCGTGGAGGTACTTTGTCACATCGTAGACTGATAATGTCAGTGGGATGACCACTCAAACGCATCTGAATGAACTTACCCTGACCGTGGATGACCATCCAGCAGTCGTTGGCTTCTCTGTGAGCGGCGACCTCCTTGGCCGTGTATTCTTGGCCTTCTGTCGATGCCATGATGTGCTGTGTGAGTGTGAATGTGAAAGTGTTTTGATGTGGGTATCTCAGAAAGTGGACCAAGGAAATGAAGAGGGAACCGGCAGCGATGAGATCGGGCTCAGGAGGGTGCGCGGATATATGAAGGAATCACTATCTTGGTCAGGAAAGAAGAACAATGTGAATGATGACCGATAAGGTACGGGTAAGATCGTATTGGGAGAAGGGCCCCTTTCGAGTCGGGCTTCGTGGGTCGTGGAAATCGAGGCGGTATTATTTATCGACAAATTGCGCCATGGCGAAAATGCATGCGATATCCACAATTAAAAAAATTCCAGAGCAATCGGTCGACTCGAGGTAAGCAGCAGCGTGTGCTAGGAATAGTGCAATGTCCGAAACGGCGTGGGGGGAGAGGATGCCGAGGTTCGCATTTTGGGAGAGAGAGAGAGATAAGTGTGGACGGAGTCCAGTATCCGTACGCCGGTTGTTGCGTTGGCCTTCGGAGGGGCCGAGGCGGTGATGATGAGGAAGAAGGTCTGTTTCTTGTTTTTGTTTTGTTATCGCCGCTGGATGACATTCAGAATGTGTTAAGGTCTCCAGTCTTACGTCTTTTGAGGGCAGAAAAGCAGAGTCAAGCACTTTCCCTAAAAGTCAGGAGCCAAGAAGCAGCGACTGCCGGAAGGCCAAGAGATTGGCGGCTCTGTGCCTGAATTGGCAGCAGCAGATGTTCATCTGGTCCCTTCCTTCCTTCAAGATTGAGAAATGCCATCTCTCAGGTACTAGACCCATAATTGAAGAACAACGGCCTGTTATTGGTTAAAATGCAAAGCTCCGATGGAATCAACCAATGGCATGGCCGTCTGGACTCTGATTACGTGTGTGGCACAGACGAGCCGAGGCGACGGGTTTCGGGACTTGGGACGGGCGAAAATTTGCATCGGCAGGGGTCTTGGACGGGTGGACCCTTGGTGGGTCTCCGAGCCAATTTCAGGGCCCGATTTGATAAGCTCCTTTTTCTTTTTCCTTCTTCATCTTTTTTGAGCCCAGCGTTGTTCGATGTTGTCTCGCCTCGGCACCTCTTCAGCCTCTAGCGCAGATCATCCTTGATCCAACGCCATCCCGTCCTATCAAACATACGAAACGTGCTGAAAGTCCCCGATTTTTCCTTCCATTTGTTTTCATGTTCCTTCTGCATCCATGTCCACCAAGTTCCGCTGTCATGCCAGAACCGCGGCTTCTCTCCGTGCCCACCTCACGGAGCCGGATTCCACGCTGCGAGTGCAGGCTTCAAGGCCGCCGTCGACAATGGAACATTGTGGCCCCTTTTCGGACTTGAGCGCCCATGAAGTCATGTTTCCCTATCGCAACTCCTCCTCCCTCCCCTGTCGACCGCACTTTGACATGAACCTCGGCAGGCCACTTTTCCATCTGCTGTCCGTCGGTCTGTTTCCACCGAACAATTGTCATTGCCCAGGATCGGATTGGCTTACCTGCCGCATGGATCGTTAATCTGATGGCGGTACGTACCGTCATGGATTGCGACTTTTTTTTTCTCCTACTCTTATTATATATCGTGAACTCGTCGCTTCCCCATCTGGCGCCGTCCCTGGCCTGGTTCTAAGAAGTCTTGATTGCTACCACCTGTATTATATCAGTCCTTAATCCAGCATTCGTGGCATCGTCGCATTCCATACAGAGCTGTTCGGTATTCAGATCGCATCACACACATACACAAACATCATGTCATCACAACGCTTCTACCTCATGGGTGAAGACCCCTCAGTCACAACAGAGATCGAGATTCCCGCCTCAATAGACGAGGAGGGCCTCCAGCATCTCGCCGCCTCTCACTTTGCCGTCGTCGACCACAAGGGTAAGACATCCTCTTTCAACTCTCCCAAAAACTCCAGCTAACATACGCAGGTATCGGCTTCACCTCCGGAGATGAAGCTCTGACAACAGTCGCCGACGTCCTCGCCGCCGAGGGCCCCATCGCCCTCACCATCGACGGCAAGGCCGTCCGCGAAGTCCCCGGTCCCGCCGGCCTGCCCTTCGTCGGCAACTACTTCGAAGTCTACCCCGACCACCTCGGCAACCACCAGCGCCTCTTCGAGCGCTACGGCCCCTTCATCAAGACCAACAACATGGGCTCCGTCATCTACCACACCAACGACCCCGCCCTCGCCAACATCGTCTTCTCCGAGAGCGATTTCTTCACGAAGAACATCATTCCCGGCCACCCCCTCTACCCCATCAAGAACCAGGAGTCCGGCGTCTTCCTGGGCGACACCGACACTCCCGAGTGGAAGCTCGCCCACAAGTTCCTGCCCCCCGCCTTCGGCCCCAAGGCCGTCCGCCACTACGCCCCCACCATGCAGGCCACCATCGAGGACGCCTTCAGCGTCTTCGACGAGCTCGACGAGAAGGACGAGGCCTGGAACGTCTACCCCTACATGCTCAAGCTCGGCTCCCAGGCCGTCGGCAAGCTCGTCCTCGGCATGGACTTCAAGCACTTCACCGCCGTCGACGCCCCGCCCCACGAGATGGTCATCCGTATCGCCCAGTCCCTCGAGCTCAACAAAAAGATCACCTCCATGGGCAGCTGGTACGCCAAGCTCCCCTTCGGCGACCCCCAGCGCCTCCGCGACGCCCGCGGACGCATCATCGACATGATGAACGAGTCCATCGCCGCCGCCTCCAAGGGCACCGAGGACCTCGAGCTCCAGGAGGCCGCCCAGCAGGCCGACAACATGGTCGACTACGTCCTCCGCGCCGCCGACCGCGAGGGCAACAAGCTCCCCAAGGACCGCATCATGGAGCCCCTCGTCGTCGCCACCGGCGCCGGCTTCACCACCACCTCCTCCCTCCTCTCCTGGCTCCTCTACGGCCTCGTCGCCTACCCCGGCATGCAGGAGCGCCTCCTCCAGGAGCTCATCGACAACGACTTCGACGAGAACACCCAGATCACCGCCGACCTCACCCAGAAGCTCACCTTCCTCGACAAGTACATCAAGGAGACCCAGCGCAAGCACAACCCCTCCTACCAGCCCGCCCGCACCTCAAAGGTCGACATGATCCTGCCCGGCGGCTACAAGCTCCCCAAGGACTCCATCGTCATCCCCGCCATCCACCACATCCACAACAACGCCCTCGTCTGGGACAACCCCGCCCGCTTCGACCCGGACCGCTGGGACTCGGACAAGGTCAAGAACCGCCCCAACGCCTCCTACATCCCCTTCGCCACGGGCCCCCGCATGTGCATCGGCTTCAACTTCGCCCTCCAGGAGGTCAAGGTCTTCCTGCCCAAGCTGATCTACCGCTACAAGTTCAGCCTGGCCCAGGACGGCCCCGTCGAGTACGACCCCATGTTCCAGCTCATCCGCCCCAACAACCTCTACGTCCGCGCCGAGAGGAGGGTCAAGTGGCCTCCCAGGAGCGATGCTTAGTTTGTCGTGGTGTGATTTCGGAATCAGTTCATTTGTATGTACCATCATTGTCGGTGTATACCCTGGAGCATTGCATGGCGCGCGGGATGGGGGTTTTTGGGTAGATCTTATGATATAGACATGGCCTGGATAGATCTAGACCAATCAATTGTTTATTTGTTCACATCGTTCCTGTATGTTGTCTTTGTGAGTAGATGTTGTTTGGTGTCATGACTTCCTGATGTCATTCCCCAAAGCATCCGAAGCTATTCTCAACGCCTTCTAGAAAAAGCAGGGGTCGCAGAAAACTAGCTTTAGCCTAAAAAAGCATGCTTTTTAATTAAGCTTAAAAAAATAGGAAAAGTAAGTTAAATTAATATACTTTACCTATTTAGGCTAGCTTAATACTATTCTAACCTATTAATTACTTCTAAGTAGTCTCTTAAGCCTTTTTTTTCCTCCTATAATATTACTTTTATATATATTAAATTTATTATTAATAATACATAATAAACTATAGACCCCTTAAATATATTACTATTAAGGCTTATTTTTAGCTTTATATTAATTATTATAATAAATATATAAGAAAGTAGTATAAATATTATAATTAAGTAATAATTAATATAATAATATAACTTAAAAATTATATTAAAAAATATAATATATTTCTATATATTAAGTTATATTATTAGCTTATATTTAGCTAAACTAATTAGCTTATTAATAATAGCTTTAAAAGCCTTACTAACTAGCTAAATTATAAGGTAGCCTTCTTTATATTTACTAATAGTTACCTACTTACTTACTTTAATAATATTAATATTTATAAGGCTTAAGCTATTACTTAATTTAAATATTACCCTCTTAATTTATATTAACTATATAAGATCTTTTTATTATATATCTATAAAGATATTTATTAATAAGTTAAAAGAGTTATTAATTTTTTATTCTATTTTAATATAACTTTTAATAGCTTTAATAATAATAATAATAACTATATTATTAATATATTTATTACTCTACTTAATAGTATTACTTTCTTTTAATATAATTTAGCTACTACTAAATACTCTTATAAGGCTAAATAAAGTTAATAAGAGCTTTTATCTATCTTTAAAGAGATTACTATTATTAATAGTATTTTAAACTTTAAAAAGATTAATATATTTATAATAAATATAAATAAACTAATAAGAGCTTTATATTAATAACTTACTTATTAACTTAAGCTTAAATATATATTTTTTATACTTTATAATTTATATAATATTAACTTATTTATTAGTAATATTATTAAGTTACTTATATAGCGCTTAGTTTTTAATAAAGCTTAAAAGGTTATTACTTATTTTTATTACTTATAGTTATAACTAGCTAAGTTATATAATATTTAAATAGCTATTTATAATAAGAGGTAAGCCTTTATTACTTTTATTTTTATTTAATAGAGTAATATAAAGTAATATCTCTTATTAATATTTTAATTAAAGGGTACCCTTTTATAATACTTCTACTTACTTAATATTACTATATAATATAGTATAAAGAAGGATAATAATTTTATATTAACTATTATATTAATTAATATCTTAAATAATAAATTTTAATAGATATATATTAAGGCCCTTATAGATATTATTAAGCTTATTTCTATTATAATTAAATCTTTAGAGGCTAATAGAAGTAATATTAATTATATATTAATATAATAAGAGGGTATTTAAGAGTACTTTAAGGCTTAATATACTATTAATATATACTTAATTAATTAATAAGAGATATTTAATATCTATTATACCTATAAGTTAATATAACTTATAGATATTAATTATATTACTATTATTCTTTTACCTATTAATACTAAATATAAGTTTAATTTATTTAAATAGTTTATTATTTTTAAATAGCTTAAAAAGATAGCCTCTATAGCTACTTAATATTATACCTATTATATTAAAATACTTAACCTCTATATTACTATTTAGCTTTTTTTTAAACTATTTTTATTATTTTAAGACTTATTATAATACCTACTTATAGTATAGAAGTTTATAGAGGTATTAAACTTAAATTTAGCCCCTTTAGCTACTTAAATATTTAGCTATATTACTATTAATATACTATTAGAGAGGAGCTTTTTAATATTAAATTTTATATATAATACTATTTATAGCTTATTATAATTTAATATAGCTAATTAGTTAATATTTATCTATATAAATAATAAGGTTTTTAAGTATCTATATTAATAATAAAGGCCCTATTTATAACCCTTATTAATATATATATAGAAGTCTCTTATAGCGGAGGAGTTAATAGATTTAGAGTAATATATCTTAAAGGGGGGGGTCTTAAAGACCCTTAATATTAACTTAAAGTTTATTAATAAGCTAATTAATTTAAGTTAATATAGAGAATATAGTTATAAGTAAAATTTATCTACTTAGGCCTAAAAAAGCATAAATTTAACTTAATCTAGTAAAAAAAGCAGACAGGGGGGTCTGCTGCTTGAGAGCCCTGAGAAAAAGTGATCATGCATGCTCCCCACCCTGATCCAAGCCCACCCCATCTTCGGTGGTCCCGGCCTGGGCGTTCCGCCAAGCCGACGATCCCTCTCATACTCAAAATTACTTCACCTAACCTCACTCAAACCCAACTGACATACCTGCGTTGACCTCACCCAAACTCGAGCTCCCAAATCACTCAAACAACTCCGCCCCAAACCTTCCCGTAATCCCAACCGTCAACAACCCCTCCCCCACAACCTCCTCCCTCCGCGCCTCCAAATCCTCCACGTCCCAATTACACGCGACGAACCTGCCCCCGAGAAACCTTGCCCGCTCCCCGCACAACCACACCGCCGTCCCGCCCACCAGCGCCGGCGTGTCGAACGCGAACGGGCGGAACATGTCGAGCGTCATCTCCGTCGCCACGAGGCCCGGGTGCACCGAGATGGCCGTGACGTTGGGGTTCTCGGCGGCGACGAACGCGGAGAGCTGGAGGGATGCGAGCTTCGAGAGGAAGTAGGACGACATGGTCGGCAGGACGGTGTGCGCGGCCGTGGCGATGTTAAGGATCTCGCCGTGGGACGTGGACGGGAGGGAGAGGAGGAAGTGGTGGGTCGGGTAGTACGTCGCTGTGATGTTGGTCGCCTGTTGTAGCACATTTTCATGATTAGCTGGCCGCCGCCGCTGCATTACAAAACTCCATCAATGGGGTTCGAGGTTCAAACGTACCAGGTCACCCCACCACGCCTTGGGCTCCGTCTCCGTCAACGACCCCGTCGGACACACGGCGGCGTTGTTGACCAACACGTCCGCGTGCCCGTACGCCCCCCTCACCTGTTCGAAAAGCGCCTTGACGGCCGCCTCGTCCGTGATGTCGGTCGGACAGACGAGGGTCTCGAGGGCCGGGTTGAGGGTCTTGGCGTGCGCGGCGACGGCGTGCAGGCGGTCGGCGGAGCGGGCGACGAGGACGATGGCTTTGACGCCGGCTTTGGCGAAGGCGGGGACGAGGCCCTTTTTTTACATGGTAAGATTAGTTTTGGTTGTTTTTGAAAAGATTTTTAGAGGTAGGGTTTGGGGAGAGGATTTGGGAGAAGGGATGGGAAGGGAGTAAGGAAGGGGAGGAGTCTTACGTTTCCGCCGATGCCCCGGCTCGCGCCGGTGACGATGACGACCTTGCCCGGCAGCGCGAGGTCCGGGTTGGAGGGGTCGATGGCGGGGTAGACGTCGCGGTGGACTCGTTTTGTGAATTGGAGGGTCTTGACGAAGTGGTCGGGGGGCAGGGAGGCCATTTTGGGATATGTAGTTGGATTGCAGAAGGCGAGTTGATGGTGTTCCGGTTCCGGGTGGAGGTGTTTTTGAGGGGTAACAAATTTCAATGCTGTTTGGTTAGGTTTGAAGTGATCTCTGACAGATGTTGACTATTATCTCTGTCGAATCGGTCTATATATGTTTGAACCACGAGCAGCTCGAGAATAGTGACCCGCTCGGGCCGTAAGCTCACGAAACGCCATGTCCTTGGTGTAAGCTGTGTTGCCTCTTCCAGAGTAATACCCCTAGCGCAGTCGATAAGCACTAGCCCCTTCATCGTATATAGGCCATAATGGTTGCATTAGAAAGCATTAGAAAAAGCACCTCCTTTCCATCCTCGGACTTCCTGCTCAGCGATCCCGGACATCCGGGCGCGTGGTCCCAACCACTTCAAAAACAACAGCTTTTCCGCCGATGCAGTACGGAGACATCCTTGTTTTCTGGATAGTGGATGTCAGCGAGACCGAGCTAGAGCTTCGATGTAAGCTGCAGTCAGCTGTTTCGGCATCAGCTTCAAACGTCAGCCAGCCGCCTGCGCAAGTCCGACCAAAGCACGCATTTAGGCAGTAGTGAAAGTAATGATGACTGATACCTCTCCGGTAAAGCGAATGTGAAGCTATAGAGGTCTTGATGATCGCCCACGTAAATGCCTACAGCCCTCGCCCCCTCCCAAGGCTCTCCAAACAGGCTCTAATCTCGCTGTTCCAGCTCCTATACATGCTGGGAATATGGGCGGGAACCGGCTCCGTGGGCTCTAAGCACGCTCTAGCATTTCACTCAATCATATCTTCGCAACTCTTATCATTATATTGGCGCTTAACTCCTTGCTAGTTCTCAATGAAGCAGAATAATATCTCCAACAACAAGTGTTGGGAAGACAAGACAGCTGTGATTCATACACAAGTGGCTCCACAGTCCAGTGCCCAGCGCCAGTCTTCTGAAGACGAAGTTACAAGAAATGTCAGCACTCAAACTTAGTTGAGTTCGGAGTGAACGACTTGTTTGGGAAGCCGTGACGGCCTCACTTCGCCTAGTTTGCTGAGATGACCCGTCAACCATTGGGCGGGTCGGACTCTTACCGAGAGGCCGCTGATGTCAGATTCTCGGCCAACTCTCAACTGCACTGAGTATGACCGTGAGAGTCCATAACAGCGCTGACGAGACAGACGATGCGCTTTTGTATATTTCCGAGCTGCGTGAAGTAACTACTTACCAGTGTTCTGACATCGTGATGTTTGAACATCGCGCCATGCTCCGGAGGGTGCGAATCTGATGCCTTCGAGGAATATAGGCAAGTCCGTTTCCTAGCTGTGGATGGAAGTCGTGTAGTTGAGATAGGCGAGTCTCTTTGGCCGGTGGTCGGTCTCCCGTCCGAGGAAGGGATTATGATTCGGCGTACACAAACAACTACAAACTAGCTGTCCAATAAAAGCGTCACACAAAAAGGAAAGGAGACTCAAGGCCAATACATAAATGCAGAAGCACTGGAATTTGCCCTACTATCCTTGGCTTTTCTTTTCGTATATATAGTAACCCTGCTCTTCTGTTGGAGCTTTTGATAGTAGTTTCTTCACCACACTTAGCCTCGTTTGAGCGATGTCGCTTTTCTGCGACGTCGGCTTTGCACATTTGCAGTCGAGCCAATTAAGATTTGTTGACCCAAGGAGGAAACAATCTCCATTCTTAGTTATCACCAAAGCCGTTCTATTGGCTTTTGGAATGCCTGGTAGATGCGGAGTCCTCATCCCAGCAACCTTCTTCCCCGTGATACACCCGGAATATGCGCGCTGTTTGCTGGTTCTGGGTGATGCACCAACAAAGAACCAACAGGGCTCATATGGACTCTTTCTTCGCAACCCTGCATGTTTTCTGCGGCCAAGAAGAGGGGTAGCCAGCCTGATCCTGGAATAAAAAAGCTTCTGTCCGAAGAGTTCGTTCTCATTTCTCATTCTTCTTTTCTCTAAATCATTCATCAAGTAGGTCTTGCCGAGATCGCTATTGTCGGCACACCTGGCGATGTCTGAAAACACACCGAGGACAGCGGCTGAGCCCGCGGCGGCGAACCCGACACAAGCGCCTACTACTTCGACCGAGCCGCTTGAAGCTGCTGCGGATGAGGTGACTTCCAACTCTCAAACGGTTTGCGGGACACATTTGTGTTGCTTACAACTGGCGATCTAGTTTCCTGATGACAGCGCTTCGGAGCTGGGTGGTGTAAGTCATCTGCCCGTCCTGCATGAATATGAAATCGTTACTGAGACGGAATTCAGAGCATCGCGTCTTCAAGCACCAGTGTGTCCAGTTCCATCCGCGACTATCGGGTAGAGAACGGCCGCACGTATCACAGATACAAAGACGGGAGTAAGTCGCAGTCCGGCGGCTTCACTACCTCGCGAGCTGAGAGCGAAACCAATTCTTACACTTACACGTTCAGAGTACAACATCCCAAACGACGAATCAGAAAACGATCGACTGGGTATGTTTGAAGACGAACGTCGACCGCACGGATTCGCGGCGCCGTACTGACATCGAGAGTCTCAAGATTTGCAACACAACCTCTGCCTCCTGACGTTCAACAATACCCTGGGACTTGCACCACCTAACAAACCCGACTCGAAGGTCAAGCGCGTCTTAGATGTCGGAACTGGCAGCGGAATCTGGGCTGTCGACTTCGGGGAGGAGCACCCGGAAGCAGAGGTGATTGGCATTGATCTATCGCCGTCGATGCCAGACTTGTGAGTAGAGGCTCCTTCATCCTCTGCATGGAAATGAATACTGATTCTTTGAAGCGTCCCGCCCAACGTCAAGTTCGAGATCGACGACCTCGAAGAGGAATGGACCTGGTCCCAGCCTTTTGACTACATCCATAGCCGCATGATGAACTCGTCCGTGGGCGACTGGAAGGCATACGCCAAAAAGGCATTCGAGTAAGCCTTCGCAGCAAACAGATGCCGAGACGTCACTGATTCGTTTGCAGCAACCTGACCCCTGGCGGATGGTTCGAGCTCCAGGAAATCGACCTGTTCCCCCGCTCCGACGACGGCACTCTCAAGCCGGACTCTGCGCTTTCGAAGTGCATCGACTACATGTATCAGGCTTCTATCATCTTTGGGCGTCCTTACCAGGAAATCCCAGCCCTCGTGAAGGTCCTGGAAGACGTAGGCTTCGTCGATGTTAGACTAGACTCATTCAAGTGGCCCACCAATTCATGGCCTAAAGACCCTAAGCATAAAGAGCTAGGAATGTGGAATTATGAGAATATAGGAAATGGGTTTGAGGCGCTGACTATGGGGCCCTTTACTAGAGCCCATGGTTGGACGAAGGAGGAGGTCCAGGTCTTCTTGGTCGACGTCCGGAATGACATGAAGAACAGGTCTATTCACGCATATTGGCCAATGTAAGTTGTACGCATTCATGAGAATTGTACCAGGCTAACCAGTATAGTCACGTCGTTCAAGCAAGAAGGCCGACAGAGAAGCCAGCCTCTGGAGCTTAAAGTTGGACATAACTTTGCACGCATTCCAGGGCCCCGACTGAAGACGTAGATACACAAGGTATCATACGATAAATAAGACTGATAAATTTCGGCAATCAATAATTCGATGTATCAAGAAATTCTGCTTCTTCGCAGTCGAAGAAAGAGTGGCAGAGGCTATTCAAAGCTCTGTATTAACCGAGCAAAAACGATGAAACGTGGTTTCCTAAGCGCTCTCGTCCAGTCCGACCATCTTGTTCGACTCCTTCCACAATCTGTCCGCCTTCTCCTGATCATAAGCCCACGTAGCATACCCGTTGTCCATTGACAGCGGTGGGCTGTCCGGCTTGCCAGCCGCCGCTTCCGCGCAGTCGTTCAGGTACTTACCTCCCTTCCCTTCCCAGTCTTTGCTCAACGCCGCATAGACAGAAGTCGCGGCGCCCTGCGGCGCACTCTTCATGTTCCTCATCATCGGCTCAAACATTTCTCCCATCATGGCCTTGAGCTGGTCCTTGCCGGTGACGAAAGCGTCTTGACTCATGTTCGTGACGATGGTGCCGGGGTGGAGAGAGAACGCGTGAAGACCCTTTCCGCCAAATCGCCTTTCTATCTCGTTTGCGAAGTAGATGTTCGCAGTCTTAGATTGGCCGTAGGCTAACATTTGGTCGTACACCACATTGTCGAGGTTGTAATCATCGAAGCGAATCTCGCTGACGCGATGAACCTGAGAAGAGACGGCGACCACTCGAGAGTGAAATTCAGGAGTGGAGGACGCTAGGAGAGCGGGCTTAAGCAGCTGGAACAGGAGAAAGTGGCCCAGGTGATTCGTCCCGAAGTTCTTCTCGAACCCGTCCACGGTCTTCTCCTTCGTCTTGGACATGACGCCCGCGTTGTTGAGGAGGATGTTGAGTTGCTTGCTCTTAGCCAGGAAGTCCTCGGCTGCCTTGCGCACCGAGCTGAGGGAGTCGAGGGAAATCTCGATGAGATGCAGAGCGCCCTTGCTGTCCGAGTTGGTGGCCTTGATATCGTCGATGGCTTTCTGGCCGCGGGTGAGGTCTCTGACGCCCAGGTAGACCGTGGCACCGGTTGCGTGGAGAGCGCGGGCTGTCTCGAGGCCGAGCCCCTGGTTCGCGCCGGTGACGAAGATGACCTTGTCCGTCAGCTTTCCTACGAGGCCTTCGTCTTCAACGATTTGGAGGGCCGTTGGGCGCGAGTCACCCGCGCCTTGCGGGTTCTGGTGGACGGCGGCGTATCTTGACATTTTGAAATGAGGTTTTCTGAAGGTTTCTTGAGATGAGCGGGTGATGCGATGAGGACTTCAATTCCAGTAGCTGATATCGAATGTGGTTTATGGCTATATATATCATTTTCATCTCTTATCCCAAAGTCAATTCCACTCCTCAAACCCAGACTCTCGCTGCTGAGACAAGAGTCGATTTGCAGCCGCCCATAGTGAATGATTACCAAGCCCAGACACGCTCCGGACTTGCTACACTCCAAGCCGTGAACTTCGGCATTTTCGGGCATCATATTGCTCCATGCTTGCGGGGCACCATCCAGCGCACGTTCCATTGCACAGAGTGCGAGTGCGGAGATTTACCTTTTGGTTCGCGGAGTTTGAGATGAAGACATGGGTCGTGGCCATAGCTTCGGGGGCTCGATTCAACCGTCCCGTCATGCCTCTACGTGGGAACTCGTCAGTACGAGTTGGCGGATGAGAAGCCGCCGGCGATAGTTAAGAAGTTTCTTGAGTCGGCGCCGGGGCTTCGGGCATGATATTGAGCCACTATTCCGCCGAGTGGTGTTCGCGGAGCATTGGTTTAAGGGGAACTCGGCTCATGATTCGCTCTTTAGTAGTTGAACCCTGTGCCAAGGCCGACTACGCCGGGAACCCATTTCCGAGAACGGCGTAACATCATACCTTCTACGTAGTGCGACACGACGGTTGGCTCTGACGTGTTGTTCCGCGAACCAACATACGACTATACGCACTGAGAAGCTCGGGAACTTGTCCGCTATCCCATAGATTAACTCGCGATCTAGGATTGTTCATAATATCAAACTATTCTCAGCAGGAATTCCAAACTTGCAAATCAGAATGCTATGAGTTGAGTAAGCCCGCGTTAAGGCATTCGAAAGCCCGGAACGAACTCATGCGTTTGAGTAACGTAGTCAAATTTCACAGTGAAGGAGTTAGCTTCACTCGGAACACATGGTAAACCAACTAAAGACTAATGTAGTCACAATTGACAATAGAATCCTTCGAATTGTCCAAATTGTGGCGCCGGGCGGCGGCTAGGTTGAAGACGTTTGTGGCTGTCAGCTCACCTAGCTCATCAGTTGCCGGGGAAACACGGAGTTAGACCCGGAACACCGACGGGCTTTTGCTACCCCTGCAATCAGATCCTTATCAACATTCATTGCATCATCGCCATCAACCTTCCCAGCTTGGTTACCGCGAATAGATGGGGAAAGATCGATCTTAAAGCTTGGCTTCCTGGAGGACATCTTACCATTCACCTCTACTGTAGCGGCACCTCAGCCATTCTCCCCCACACATCCACCGTCCACATCTGCAACACAACATCGCCAAGATGCGTTCCTCGTTGTCTGTCAAGCTTTTGCTCCTCCTGAGCTCTCCTCACCTGGCATTGGCCTCTGCCGGTGATCAAGTTGTTATTGCGCCCTCGACAAACGACGCGACCGCCCCCGTGCAGACTCATAAGGTCGACGATTCGATCCTCGCGGCACTGAAGGCGCATCCCGATCCCGTCGATGCTCTGCTGTCCCTGCAGCCCGAGAAGGCCGACAAGTTCGCCGAGCGTCGTCTCCTCCACGTCTTCGGCGAGAAGGAGCCGCAATGGATGACCGAGGGAGACAAGCTTCGCCTGCGTAGAAAGGGCAAGAAGTTCCGCGACATCACGAACCACCAGGACCTTTACGCGGAAGACATGGCCGGCGCGTTATCCGGCAAAGCCAGTAAGATTCATACTGTTGCTGCTTGAAGCTAGGGAGATCACCCGCTGACCGTATGGTGCCATCCAGACCTTCCCAAGCTCAGTCACCAGAGCTTGATCAGACCACTCTTCCCTAAGGTCAACCAGACCGAGATGCACGACGTCCTCGCCCACATGACGAGCTACTACAACCGCTACTTCGACGGCCCAACCGGCGAAGAGAGCTCCCAGTGGCTGCACGACCACATCGCCGAGATCATCGCGCAGTCACCCTACCACACCCACATCTCCCTCGAGTACTTCACCCACGAGTTCGTGCAGTCTTCCATCATCGCCCGCTTCGAGCCCAAGGTCCGCGACTTCTCCAAGCCCTTGACCATCATCGGCGCCCACCAGGACTCCGCCAACTACCTCTTCCCCCTGCTTCCCGCTCCCGGCGCCGACGACGACTGCTCCGGCACCGTCAGCATCCTCGAGGCGTTCCGCGTGCTCGCGACGAGCGGTTACATCCCGAAGGAGGGCCCGGTTGAGTTCCACTGGTACGCTGCCGAGGAGGGCGGCCTGCTGGGCAGCCAGGACATCGCGGCGTACAAGAAGAAGGAGGGCGCGAACATTGGAGCCATGATGGAGTTCGACATGACCGCCTTCATCGCCAAAAATGCCACCGAGTCAATCGGCTTCATCAAGACGGATGCCGACGCGCCTCTCACCAAGTGGGCAGCGGACTTGAGCACCGAGTACATCAACATCACCACCAGCGTGTACGAGCTCATGCCCGGTGCTGGGTCCGACTACATGTCGTACACCAAGCTCGGTTTCCCTGCCTCCTTTGCTTCCGAGGGAAACCCTGTTGCTGGCGGCTTCCCCGGCGAGTTCGACCCCTACGTGCACACCGACAGAGATACCATGGACGTGGATGACGACTACGGCGTGTTCTCTATTGATCACATGGCAAGGTTCTCTGAGCTGGCCATTGCGTTTGCTATTGAGCAGTCCGGGTGGGATAACAAGTGGAGGTAAAGCCCTCGCGGATTCGAAGCCTAAGAGAATCTTCGGGTAACTAGGCGGCTGTAGCTTCGCAGGTGATCACAGTGTTGTTTGAAGGGTGGTAATACTAGGAAATATGGGAGAATGCATGAAAACCCGTGAAGGAGGACCCTGGATAAACAGAAATCCCCAACTCAGTTTCCTAACATGTGATATCCGAATACGCAATGACAACCGCTCGGTCAATTGGCGATGCCGCACCCAACAATGTACTCACATCAGCATGATGAAGGCCGTTCGACATCACCGGCGTCAGCAGCAAGCCTGTTACCACCCACGATAGCCTGCCGCTGACAAGTTCTCGATGTTCATGATATCATGATGTCATCCACCAAAGCTTGAGATAACCTATGATGCAGCAACCAGCTTGATAGCATTCTGACTATCGGGATTCGCAGGGAACCACCCGTTCTGGCACCCGAACCCCGCTGCGATCCCGAGAACGAGTTGTCAAAATGTCGCACATCAAAGCGCCCAATTCGACGCTTCGTCTCATGGCAGGGAACCGCCGAACCTCGCCCGCTCGGAACCCCGGGACATGGGACCGGACGACTCTAACTCGTCGCACGAGTTTCGAACGCCCGGCGAACGTTTGTCGAAAGACACGAGCCACGGGGTGGCGCCAGACACACTCAGAGGCCGGCCGGATACAGGTCATATGCCGAGGCACGGCCGGTCGCTTCAAAGCGATGCTTTTCCTCGCCTTTCAAGGTCTTTATGAAGCAAGGTGCCCGCGAGAACACCTTCTCCCCGCGCGTACACGCTCATCTGGTCCCCGTCGCTGTACCAGAACTACCGCAGAAACGATGTCCTCAGCCGTTACTACCACCGCCTTGAGCAAAGGCAAGGTGAAGCTGTCGGGTGCGCAGGAGACTCTCCTCCTCACCCTCTTCGCCCGCGCCAAGGACGCCGAGTTGTCTCACCCGATCCTGAACGATCACTACGCCCTCGAGATCGTCAACCAGATCAAGGAGCAGGGTTATGACTTCAATCGCACCTCCATGGGCTTCGACCGCCTGCCGACGTTCTCAGCCCCCGTGGCGATGCGCGGCCGCATGCTGGACATCTGCACCGAGAGGTTCCTCCGCCGGAACCCGGGCCCCGCGACCGTGATTCACCTGGCCTGCGGCATGGACTCGAGATGCCACCGCGTGCAGTGGCAGGGCGAGGGCAGGGTGTGGATCGACGCCGACAAGGAGGATGTGATTGAGCTGCGAAGGCAGGTATTGAACGACCCGGAGCCGGCCAGGGGAGCGCAGTACCGCCTGATTCACCCCAACATCCATAGCGACACGTGGCTCCGCGAGGCCAAGATTCCCGTGGACAGACCGGTCCTGATCCTGTTTGAGGGCCTCACCCCGTACCTCACGAACGAGGAGATGGTGGGTCTGGTGAGGCGCATCGTCAACTACTTCCGCTCGCAAGGCGCCCACGGAGAGCTTCGCTTCGACGCCGTCGGCTCGATTACCTACTTCGCCATGAACTACATTTTCAGAACCCCGTTCAAGGTCATGGGCACGCAGTTCCACTACTACCTAGACGACCCAAGATCCCTGACCCAAAAGGTACCTGGTCTGAGGTACAAGGACTCCATGTTCTTGATGCCGGATCTATTCAGATATGGCTTTTTGGGACTGATTCTCGGATTTTTCACTTGGCTCATTGACTTGTTCGGCATTTCTGGACGTCTGGGTGGTGGGTATGGGTACGAATTCTGAGAGAAACGCGATTGTTAGATCGTAAACTGTGCGCTTATTTCTCCATCATGTTTTCGGCAGGCTGTCGGCTGTTGTCCCTACCTATATGTATAACTATGTGTCTGATTAGAGCATGCGTTGTTTCATTGACCTACACTAAGAAAATGACATTCGAAGAGATCTTTCCTTTCTTCAGCCCTTACATCGAGGCTATAAATAATTTGTTTCAATTTTGTTCAAGGTTTCTCATGTCTGATAAGCTCAACATCAACAATTCATTTTGCGTGGCATAACCACATGAAAAAACCTGATTACATGTACATGAAGCCTAATAGTTCCCGAAATCAACTCGTGAAAAACGCAGATGTGTTTGTGAGGCTCGACAGCCCCTGGTATCTCTGGTTGCAATCGTTCAAGCGGACGCATTGGTATGGATGTATCCATCAAAGTTCAGGGCGGCGCGTGCCGTGTCATTGTTCTTCAAGAGCACCTCCACCGCGCAGGCCACGATGGTCCAGACTCCCAAGATGAAGTTGCTCTTGTGTACCCCTCCGCCACTCGCCGGCCATTTCGGATCGAACTCGGACAGCTGTTTGAAGAACGTGGCAGTCCAGACCCCCATCCAACTCATCCATAACCACAGGGACCTAAATCGGATGAGGTACAACGGGAGGCAGATCAGGATCGGGCTGATCAGCGCCACGAGGAACCGGTGGAAATTTCGCCCGCCAACGGTGTAGAACGAATTGATCCTCATCTTCTGATCGTCGACAATATCTTGGTAGCTATACGCCGTGTTAAGGTAGATGATCCAGAAGAAGACCATCGTGCAGAGCGGAAAGCACTGGCTGACGGTGAAGTCGAACGGTTGGTGTCGGCCGTAGATTGCCGATCGTCCCAGAACCGCAGGCCACGCGACCGTGAAGCCTAGTATGTACTGTGGGTATATACGAAGTCGCTGCGCATTCGGTCGCTTCCCGTACGGATACAGACAGGACGCCAGAATGACTGGTATCATGTGCTTCCATCTGCAAGAAAGGGTCAGTACTATGGGACCAGTTAGACATGGGGAAAAGCGTACACATCCTTCCCATCGAGAATCTTGTGGACCAGAGCAAGTGACATGAGGAGCTGCAGAATCATCCACAACATAGCATCCGTCACGGTGACCTTCTCAGCCGCGAGCGGGCGATCCTTCGTTCGAGCAACCTTTGCGTCAATCTCGCGGTCTACGTAGTCGTTCCACACCATCCCCGCGCCGCAGAACAGGTAGGCGGAGAGGAAGCATAGCGCGGTTTGCCGGAAGACGAACGAGGGCTGTATGGAAGGTGACGGGCTCGACAACTCAGTTGCGCCAGCTAGTAAAGCAGACCACACTGTTTTTCTTCGGCTCAGTCGTGATGATTTCGTAGAGCTTTCTCGTGTTACGGGAACATACCTCCTGCGAACGTGGTGAAGAGGGGCGTGTACTTGTTGTACCGGGAGAGCACCACCAGATGCCAGAACAGAGTGACCTGCGTCGGCCTCGGCTTGCCGTAGTTGATGCTCTGGACCTTCTTCGCAGCCAGAGCGATCTGGCACAGTTTGATAGCGTCTGATATAGTATCCATGATCATGTAATAATGATGAGTGGACGACGATGTTGCAGCGCGGAAAGTCTTAGAGCAGCATAGTATCGAAGCGCAGAAGGATGGAACATCCAAAAGACTTGTCAGAATCCTTCTCTGCCTTTAATCAAACCCGACCGTACAGTGTCTAAACCGAGGACCGCCACGCCCTTGATATCCCATGTCCACCTCGAAGAAGGAAAGACGGCATGCTCCGCGCGTTCATCTGTGCTGTTTCAGAAGTGACGTCGATTGGGCCTGTTGAGTTTGTGCTTGCATGGACTATGCCTTACGACAACGCGCTGACGTGCGCTGCTTTCTGACTTTGCCGTGTCTGGGATTCGCCTACATGAACATCTTAGCACCGTCCGTGGGTTCACGACGACCTCCAACAGCTGAACGGCGCGGGGACTCGAGAGTGGCCCAACGGTCAGAACAGACTATCATGCCCTAAATTTTAAAAAACCGAACAGAAACGCTCTTAGGACGTTCCAGCCTTTTGCTTTTTCGTCCTGAGAATTCCCAGAAAAAGAAGCACCGGGAGGATGGCAAGAACGGCAAACGCTCGATAGCAACACCGGACGTTCTTCTCCCACCTGCCGAGTCTTCGTGATCTGAACATTCAGGGATACCGTTAGCATGGCCGTTGGCTCTTTGATCGCCCACTTGTGGGGTTTTCCAGGCACATCCAAGGGGGCATCCAGACCGGAGGAGGGATCTATGCTCTATCGACGATCGGGAACTAGCGGTGCACATCAGTCTTTATTTCTTCGGCTCCACGCCCACGTCACGCGGGAACCGGCAGCATCCCAGTTTGAGTCCGATCTTGGCACTATAGTTGGGTCATCTCCGCCTCACCTCTACGTGGCGGCCCGTGAAGTAATCTTTGGCTGCCGCGGGGTCCGCTGTCACACAATTGAGGCTGTCGAAAGTCACAGGTATGAATAGAACACCTCGGTGATTGGTGCAAGGGCATCTTGCGTGGTATGCTGTAATGATGTGTCAACCGATCAACCTTCTTGTTCGCGCCGGAAAGCTTGCGAAAAGATGATTGGCACTCAAGAAAATGTAGACGAACACTGAAGAATACTGTGCATCTTTGGCGGCGTTCTCTCCCTCTCGTTCGATGGTTCCAGTTGTTGTCTGGAAAGACAGCCATGATGTTTTGCCACTCGAAAACATCCCAAGTCCGAATGAGCTTAATCTTATTTATCAGTAAAGGTTTGAAATGAGCATCTATCGAGCACATGATAAAACCAACGCTGGTCATATTATCAAGTAGCCTTAATCTGTAGTGATTGATATGACAATAATTGTAGGATTATTTGCATCCAAGTTGGAGTCCTCCATAATCTTGACGAAGTACATCACAGAGAAAACAAGGACAACGCAGGTTTTTTTTGACTTCCGTGGGAGTAGTTCAGCTATTGAGTTAGGGAAGGCCATTGGATATGACCTATTAACTGTAAGGCAATGAATTAGGAGCATGTATAGGACTCCGAGTTATCAACATCAGTCCCAACGAGCTTAGCAGTCTGAGGCCAGGGGCAGAGCTTCTTCGTTCTTTTGCTTCCATCCGCCGGGGAATCGCCAAGAAGCTCCTTGGGACTAGCACCGTTCTCGACCCAGTCTACCAAAGCCTCGAGAGAATTTTGTTTGCCAGGCACTTGAGGATATGTGGATGCACCTCCGCAGTGTCCTCCGCCTACGCGCCATCTGAGTTAACCTCGGGTCGCCACAATGATTTCAAATCAACTCACCAGGAACCATGAATAGTGAAGCCCAATCTTTCCTGTCCCCCGTCACCTTCTCAACCTCCTCCAAATGCTGAATAGGCCACGTCGCAGCGTTGTACGGATCAGCCCAACCCTGAGTTACGAGCAACTTTCCACCACCGGACTTGAAAGCCGTCAAGTTAGTGCTGATCGAGTCAATCAGACTGCCGACTTTCTCATCCAGCGCGTCCACATCGCTCGACCAGTCGAAGGTAGTCCCGTTGTAGCTCAAGTCGTCGAACACCATGTTCTGCAACAGGGGCAGCGAGAATGACAGGGACAACCGACCCTCCTGAACCATCCATTCGGACTCGCTTCCAAGATCAAATCCGGGGTAAAGACTGCCGTTGGTACCGGCGCGACGTGGACCAGCATAGACTTCCTTGGCGGCGGTGAGTTGCTCCGCGGTGAGACAGGTGGTAGTGTTTGTCGTGGATGCAGGACAGGCGAGTTTGTTGAGGTCAAAGGTGCAGCTGAGGGGGTTCTCCAGCACACGATCAGCAACGCCGTCGAGCGTGTCGCATTCGTCGAGAACCGCGTTGCGGATGAGATTCAGTGATTCTTGGGGCAGAAAAGCCGAATCCTAGACTTTGGTCAACAAACAAACCAGCTGAGGAGACCTTCGAGAACTTACCAGCGTCACTTGCTGGTTCCAGAGGAACGACAGCGCGAGGTGCGAGTACCAGTTTCCAGGACACCCAGCAACAATGCCATCAAACAGCTCGGGATGATACTCGGCAAGCGCGAAGCCCTGAGCACCACCGGTAGAGCAGCCCTTGTAATAAGCGTGCTCGGGAACCTTCTCATAGTAGAGACCGGCGATTTCCCTCGCGGGAGGCGTGAAAAGAGCAATCGAATTCCTGATCCATGCAAGAACTTGGTTGCGGTCGTGGAGGAAGGGCAGACGAATTCCTCCCGGGTAAGCATCCCCGCCGTTGTTGTCTTCCGCTCTGTGGCCGCTGTCGCCGCCCGCAGTCGCGTATCCCTTGTTGGCATTCTCTACCATGGCGGCGTAGTCAATCTTCCCCGCCAGACCTCCGTTACCTGTGTCGCGTGAGACAGAATTCAGCCGACGAGCATCATGGCTTAAAGCTTACCGACAGCAAGAAACCTTCCATTGTATGAGCTCGCTTCCGGGAGCCAGACTTCAAAAAGAACCGTATTGTTCTCCGGGTACGGAACGGTGCCGTTGACTCTGCAAAATGAAGCCGAGTTGAAAACGGTTGAGATGTTGAGTGTGTTGGCTGGAACGAGGGCAGACTTCACCGACGTCAACCCCGGCACCGACTCCTTCACTAACTCCGCCAATGAGTCGCAACTTGGGCTGCGGACAGACAGGGCAGAGGTTGACGATGGCAAAAGCCATGCGGCCAGAGCTAGAGCGGTCAACATGATGTAGATGATTAGTTCCCAACGCCGTCTAACCCTAGGCTCAGTAAACATCTCATGAGCCGGCGCTGCGGCTTCCTTTTTGTATTCCCTCATCTCAATGAAGCTGTCGGTACCTGGGAAGGTGGGTATCCCTCCAAATGCCGGGCTTCTCCGCAATGTGCGGTACGAGCTGCAACTTTTTCTTGAGGAGACAACTTCGTCAGAGCAACTGGGTCTCTTTTCGGCCGTCGGCGCCGAAGCCGAGGGATGACTTTTGCCCGACAATGAGCAGAAGACAACCGAGTTCTTTTTCCGAGAGAAACAATGAGCCAGTCAGAGTCTCTCGTGCCAACCCCGCAAAGAGGATCTGGGAGTTGTGAAGGTTGCTGCAAGGAGTCGATCACAGCATCCTCGGTCGACGGCGCCGAAGGCCGCAGACCGCCTGTGGAACGAATCAAGCTATGGGGCTTGTAGGGTCGAAGGAAAGAAAAGGTCGTTTTGTGCAGCTGAAAAAGAAGCATTTCTCCGCGTCGAGGCAGTTTCTCCGCGTTAAGGTGTCACTGTGGGCGGGCCAGATGCGCATTGATGGCGGGGTAATTGTTACCGGCTTTGCGGTTCTTGGAATGGTATGTCCCACTTGCAAACCAAACCGAGCAACTGTAGCCACCAGCTTTTATGGAATGACGTAAATTGTTTTCCGCTGATGATCCGGCGTGTGATAAGTTTGTCTCGGTCAAAAAGTCGCTGCTGAAATTCAGGGCCATGTAGTTGCAGAGCCGAATCTCAACTCTCTGGGGACACTTACAATCACAAAGTCTCTGGCTCAAGCCGAATCATGTTCTAATCCGCAGAAGCTCGTGACTCGACTGGGCTTTCAATAAAATAAGTTGGATAGAAAGCTCTCGAATAAGAAATGTGCCATTACAATGCCGGCCGTCATGCTTCTCTGCTTTAAGTCTATGTAATCTACCTTCTCGGCCCTTTTCAAGCATCTCGAAATGGGCTTGGGGTATCGATCATTCCCAGTTCACATTAATCGTCGATATCCAAAGCCTCAAAAACCAAACACTTGCACTCCTCCAGAAAACCCAAAACATCTTGAGCTTCATGCCAAGCGTCGTTGTACGCAGCCGCCAGACTCAACTCGCCGCGGTGCGTGATCAAGAAACAACCGTACCCATTCGACATCTCATCACCTGTGACCCACGGTCTGTACGTCTCGATCCGGCCCAAGAGTGGCGGTATGATGGCATCCACCTGCCCCAGACTCGACATGGAGGCGGAGGGAAATTCCCGAGGCGGAGGCCCTGGTAGAGGCTTCTTAGGAGGTTTGGGCAAACCCCCTAAGAAGCCGGCCCAAATGTGAGGTGCCAGTTGGCCCTGTTGCTTGTCATTGCGCACAAACAAATACAACTCTTGAACGTCTGAAAGAACGCGCAGGAACTCCTCTTTGCAGCCCTCTCGATCGCTTGGCTTCGATGCAGCGGACGGCACATCGATCTCCACCGTAGAGCCTCTTGACGATCCCGAGTGGTAGGCCGATACAGCATGTGCGGGTGTGCTGTAAGGATCCTTGCAGAAAGGGCGTTCGTTGATGAGGAGATCAAAAACATGCTTGAGTCTCGTTGGTTCCGCCGGCTTTTCTAGCCGATTTCTGAGAACGAGAGGGATCGCAGCGTGAAAGACGTGGGTGACTGTAGCCCCAAGACTCTTGCAGACTACCAACAGCTTGGCGACGGAAGCCTGGTTGATGACAATCTCAACACGTTGGTGTTTCCCAGGCACTTGAGTGGTCTTGTTGCGGAACGATAACGGCAGTTGAGGCAGTCGACTGAAGCCGATACCCTTGCCAAAATACATGTGCTGTTCGTGCATCAAGCTGATTCTCTCTTGAATATCTGAAGGCGGAGATGGTGGAACTGCTGCGGCGATCCGATACGGGGGACTCAGGTTGGCGGTTTCGGAACCATCTAGTGGTGGTGATAGGCTGTAGTCAGAACCGCGGTCGAGAGCCTGTGACAAATGGCGAAGAAAGTTTCCCAGTAGTAGAAGAGTTCCTGTACCGTCGATAATGGAGTGAGAACCTCGAAATACTAAGTCACGCCTGACGCACGTGTTTCTTGCACTTTCAGCGCCGACAGAAGAACGAGTGACCACGAACATGGTCGGTAACTCCGGGGTTGGTGGATCCGAGTTGGCGAACTCGACACCAGAAGAATGTGTGTCGATGAATACCAAAGTTGACCGTATCCATTCCTTTCTCTCCTTCTCATTCCTGATAGCTGAGTATTTCTTGGTGAATCTGTCGGAATCAAAGTTGTAGTCTACCCAGGATGCGATGGTCGGGTGGTCCTGCCGGATGGCACACCATGCTTGCACCATAGCGTAATGGACCTCCCGCTCAGCGCCTTCGGTCGTAGTTGAGTCCGTCTCGATCTCCAACGATACGTGCCCAGTGACTTCGAAGGGCCGCCGACCGTTGATATCATGAAGCCAGCCGACCTGTTCCCAATAACGCTCCGTCTCATCAAGATCGCGCTCCCACTCATGCTGTGTGGTCTGTCGCCAGACAAGCATTTCGTAGTCGATTACCATTGAAATGAAGTTTGCTAATATCTTGTTCCGAGTTGTGTATATCTTGAGCAAGTAAGACAAAGTTTTGAAGTGACTAGGCGATTTTGTTTTCGATTGACGTATCAAAGCTTACAATAGCAGAAGAGCGAACTCAATAGAAGGGCCCATGGACTCTTATATTTCTAATCGATTTCATTTTTACTTCGTCTTTCAGATATCGTGACTGCACATGTTCATAGTCAGAAATCGAGTAATTACTCCCAACGGCTAGTCCACACGCAACCTGCTGACATGGATCCACACTGAATCGCGGGAACTCATGCAACTTGCTGACAACCCAGGCACGATGTTTCTTCGTGTACCTGGATCACAATTCACCATCTCAACTTGTATTAAAACCGAGTGATAATATTATGGAGAACAACAACAAAAAAGAGTATATTGACACATATGTTTCTCAGAGCAGGCAGTAACATCTCTTAGATCCGATCTCCGAGATCATGGCTGACATCACATCCTGTGGAGCCCCGGGCTTTACCGCCCCCACGCTCCTGGCACGATCCGCTATTCCCTCCCGCGCCCCGAACCCGGTCTCGCATCATCTTCGCCAAGAACACAACCATGTCTTCTTCGGTACAGCTACCGCCGCGAAAGCGTCGCAAGACACAACTGGCGTGTAATCCGTGCCGCACCCGCAAGTCCGGCTGCGACGGCGTTCGCCCGGTATGCTCGACGTGCAAGTCGAGGGGTCTGCAGCAGCAGTGCGCGTACCAGGAGTCGGTGCTGCACGCGTCGTCGAGACCGTGAGTTATTCTACCTACGTCTTCCAGCTCCGCGTACGAACAACTCTAAGTACTGATCTAGGACGTTATCAGAACTTCAACGGAGGTTAGAGAGACTCGAGGGGTCCCCTCTGCCTCAAGATGCCAGTCCCGTCGCAGGCTCACCAATACCGGGCTCGGGATCTCCGGAATCAACCATGTTGCCGCCAATAAGTGCCGTAAGGGAAGCTCCATACGAAACAACTGATTTGGCGCGAGATACAAAGTTGAAGGAGCGATCTTCCCTCAATCCGCAGCGTCAAAACGACTCTTTGACACGCAATGATGACGAGACCATCTACGGGCCGTCATCGAACATTTCATTCTTGCGGCAGGTCACGCTTGCAGCAGACCCGCATCAAAAAGACAACCAAGAACCAAATGATCATGAAGATGAAGCCGCCGATAGCGCGCCGACCGTACTCGGCTTCTCGACGGCACAACCCCGGAGCCCGGATCCGCTGCCCGAGCCGATTATGCTACCCGAAAGATGGCTAGCCGACAGCTTGATGAGCTCATCTTGGGAATTCGTGCACCCGGTATTTCCGATCCTTCACCGGCCGTCATTCATCGCTTCGTATGAAGCCCTTTGGCAGCCGTCAAAGGGTCGCCCCAAGCGAGATCCCAAAGACGTCGTATTCCACGCGACGCTGAGCATTGTTCTCGCTCTGGGATCGCAACGGACCGAACAGATATCGAATGCAGAACAAGAAGACCTGGCTGACAGGTTCTACAAGCAATCTGTCAAGCTCATTTCGGTTGATACGCTCGACCATTCGTCCCTGCAGGTCGTCCAGCTCCTTCTACTCCGAGGGGTTTATCTGCATTACACATCCTATGCCGATCGTTGCTGGAACACCGTCGGCGTCGCCTTACGAGTAGCCCAGGGACTCGGCTTGCATAACGAAGGCGACAAGGCGACTGAGACCAACCAGGTTAAGCGAGAGATGAGGCGGCGTGTTTGGCACTGCTGTATCACATTGGACCGGTACGTCTTTCTACAGACTATCATGATATCCTGTCGTCGGGTTCTCGACTGATACGCTGATGCCGTACTGCCAGACTCACTGCAACAACATTCGGGCGACCAGTCCTCTTGTCGAGGAAACACTCCGTCCCAGCACCGGCTGCCATTGACGACGAGCACTTATCCGAAACCACCGAAGCAGCCCAGCCTCTCAACCGCCCGTCATATTTGGCTTTTTTTGTTCACTCACTACAGCTCTTTGATCTTTTGAACGAAATCCTCGCCAAGTTCTACACGGACGGCGATCATGCTCTAGAACATAGAGCTCATGCTCTCAACGATGTTCTCCAGCTCTCCTCGAAACTGGATGACTTGAATGACGAGTTACCCATTTATCTTAGGGAAGACAGTAGCTTGGAGGGGTTCAGCGAAGACGTCAGGTGTTGCCTACAGATGCAGGCAAACATCCTAAAGTCAAGGTTCGCATCCATCATTCCGGTAGATACCAACATGGACTTACATCAAGACAGGGTTTTGTGGATTCGTCTTCTCCTATTGCGACCGTTGCTTCTCGCAGAGGCCAGGCAAACCACCAGAGCACCGAGGACATCGCTTGATTCATCGACACTCCGTGACAGCTTTGGACATGCCGCAAATATTCTTTGCGTCACCACCGCACATGGGGTTCTCCAAGAGCTCCACGGCAAGCTGGGAAGTGTCCGTCAGAACTCGGCCTGGCATGTCTTGCTTTGTAAGTCATCATGTAGACAGCTCAACAGGCCAGACTAACAGCAATTCCAAAGTCACCTTTGCAGCTGCATCTACTCTAGTCGTAGCTACCCTATGTCCCGGCCTCGACGTTAGCTTCGATACGGAGCCGACAAAGACGTCTTGGGATCGGGCGCTGACGATCTTCGACTTCCACAAGAAGCACGTCTCATCGGCTTCAAGGGGTATCGAGGTCCTGCAGAAGTTCCGAGAGTCCGTCGCCGCCGTGCCCAGACGGTCAAAGGGCGGTCCCGCAGGTATGCAAACTAGCCCCGACGTCTGACAAAACTCGGCCGCTCGCTGACAATGGCCAAACAGAACCACCTGATGCGCCTATTCAGGAACAAGGAGATGCCTTGCTGCCTTTTAGCTCGGTCCCAGGCATGAACCAGACGCCTCTGGCGCAGGACTTTGGGGACTTCCTCAACTCCGACCTGCTGAACGAGAGTTGGTTCAACACACAAGGCATAGACTTTAGCAACTGGTCGATCTTCCAATAATATACACGTCACAGCATCGGATTTCATCGTTCAAGATTCTCTATTATTTCAGTACTCAATGCCATGTCGCTTACCGCGCTATCAAAACGACTCATTGATCTAATCATACATCCGAATCCTTAGGAAACAGGAGCCTCCGAGTCGTGGAACTTCCCAAGCTTAAGCAACTGCCGGGCATTATCCCGTCCAATCTTGCGGTAGTTCTCAACACCACCCACCGCCTCCTTCACCTCCTCGGCCTTCCCATCCCACCACGCAGAGCAGTTCTCGATCGTCTCGTACGGGTAATCGACGCTGAACAAAACCCGGTCGGCCCCGATCTCGTCCACCACATACTTGAGCGTGCGCGTGGAGAAGAACCCGCTCGTGGTCACCCAGATGTTCTTCTGGAAGTACTCCTTGATGGTTTTCTTGCACATCCCGTCCTCGTTCCCCTCGTCCTTGGCAATCGGCTTCTTGACGTCCTCGAACCAGTGGTTAATCCGCCAGAACTCGGGCACCAGGTGCTCGCCCAGGTGGCCGACGATGATCTTCAGGTCCGGGAACCGGTCGAAGACCCCGTTGGAGATGATGCCCATCAGGTGCAGGTTCACGCCGTTGGCGAACGACAGCGGCGGGCCGATGAGGTACTTGCGCTGCGCGTACAGCTTCTCGTACACCACGTCGGCGGGCGCCGCCGGGTGGATGTACACCGGCACGTCCAGCCCCGTGACGACCTCCCAGAAGGCGTCGTACTCGGGCTGGTCGTAGAACAGGTACGTCTCCCCGCCGGGCCCGGCGTGCTGGAAGTCGCAGAGCAGCGCGCCGTGCATGCCGAGCTCCCGGACGCAGCGCGTGAGCTCGCGGCCGGCCTGCGCGGGGTCGTGCATCGACAGGCACGCGAAGGCGCCGAGCTTGTCCGGGCGGGCCTTGATCTGGTCGTACGCCCAGTCGTTGACCTCGGTGGCGCGGCGCTCGGCCTCGGCGCGGTCGGCGATGCCCTGGATCCCCGGGACCGTGAGGGAGACGATGGTGTAGCCGATGCCGTGGTCGTCGGCGAGCTGGACGCGCTCGGTGTTGAGGTCGCTGATCTGGCGCATGTAGCGGTCGCGGTCGGTCGGGTTGATGTAGAGGGATGCTTCGCGGCGGGACTTGGCGTCCATGCCGGTCATCTCGTAGGCTTCTTCGAGGGCGATCTTGCCGAGCATTTTGATGGGTTGTTTGGTGGTTAATTAAGGTGGGAGTTGAGTTGTTTGGGGGGGCTTTTTAGATATTGTGATGTCGTTTGATGAGGTCTAAGAAGAAATCTAACTTCTCATGGCATCGTTAACGATACTTATACTCGAACATCATTCATCAAAACTCGTGAAGGCCATGACCTCCGCGGAGCTGGAACCGCATCCGCACATCCCGAGATGTGCAGAAGACATGACGTCTGACAAACATGTGAGGAATCTTCAAACCAACCCGGACTTTCATTCCAAGGCTGAAAGACTGGAGTCGTGACAACGATCTGATGGCGGCATCTCCAATTTTGTGGCGCCGACGTGCCCAGGTTTCCGGATTCCGATGCTGCCGCCCAATAGGAAACGCGCGTTATCTCCGCGCGCTGCTCCGGAAACCTTCGGGGAGATCGTGTCCTTCCGGCCGCTGGCGTCATAGGGGGCTCCGGAGTGGGTCTTCCCGGGCCAAGAATCGAGAGAGCTCAACGTAAGACTTTTGTATGAGGTTCGGATACGGCACGGAGCTGGGAAGAGAGGCTGCGGAGTGATTGTTTAGCACTGAATCCCAGGTCGAGATGTGGAAAGCCCAGACGGATTCTCAACTCACCACTAAGGCGTTAATACCGGCAGAACCTTCGGAATTGTGACCGTAGATGGCCATTCGAAGTCTGAAGTAGATTCCAGAAAACTCAGAGAACTTACTTGCGTACATGATTTTAAACAAAATATACATGGCCCCGTCATTTTCGTTGAAGGTTGTCTGTCTATTTATTCTTCAGTTGACCTCAAATCAAGCTCAACACGAAAACTTGAGCATGTTCGGTTGTAGCACGAAAGTGTTTTTTCAATCACATCCAAACAAGCCACCAGAGTCGTAACTACATCGTAGCCTAAAACCAAGTCCAGATCATACATAATACGCATGCCCTACGATGCCTTCGATCTTCCAGTGCAGTGATCTACCAATACGCCGAGCCAAGTCACATTCACAGAAGCGCTCAATCTAGTCTGCAGGCTACAAGTGAATAAAACAATGTGAAAGTCCATAATCTACATGGACCTCGATTTACCTCCTTGAATGACAGGCAAAAATGCAGGCGAACAAGCTGAACCTCCACAGGTGAGACCACGCATCCTCAAGCGAAAGGATCCCGGGAAACATTCCACACGTCTGCCTACCTACCAAAATAGGCAAAACAGCATTCCAAGCGAGGGCCCCCCCTTCACCTTGTCGATCTCGGAACGTGCCGACCGTCTGAAGACTTCACCATCAATCCGTTACTATTCTGCATGCACGACTCCCATCATCAAACCCAAGCCAAGACCAAGGGAAAATAAATCACCCGAAGATATCAATCCCTCTGTACTGCCATTTGACGAAGAACAGCTTGCGCGTCGTCACGTCCAACAGGCGCTTCACAAACAATCGGAACACACACAACACTGATCGAATGCTGACGTGTGTATTGGCCGAGCTAAGGCGCCTCCTGCAGGAGGAGCCTACTTTTCTTGGTCGCGTCCGGCGAATCACCTCGTGCAGCAAGTGAGGGGTTGCGTGACACAAGTGCGCTTGGCGGCTTCTCGACGTCGACGGGGGACAGAGGGACACGCTTTTAGGCAGCATCTGTGGTGAGCAAGCGAATCCGCCTGATTGCGGGGAGTGAGTGATGGTCAGATTGCAGCGCGGGGATGAGCTCTCGCGTGTCTGCCTGCGAGACCCGGCCAAAAGAGAGTCAGCTCGCGTGGAAGCAACTGAGGTGAGGAGTGTTGCGCTATCCATTTATTTATGCTTCTTATTCTTGTGTTTCTTTTCCAATTTACCATGATCCTCCCGAGCTCACGCTCCAGCTTCTCTCGCTCCTAATTGTACTCTCGTCACTGTGACAACCCTCAGGGTCAAGATCGTCCATCTCCCCAATCGTGACGCTGCAAGTTGTGTAGCCCGCGTATGCGTAGCTGTTGCTGTAGCAATCTTGATAGTTATGCTCTTGGGACTTGACCATTTCCTCCTAGGCGGCCATGATTTGGGTGTTGCCATCCTCGAAAACCCTCACACGCGGTTTCTGGGGCAGAAGTTAGCATAGTTACACCACAACTAAGCAAAGGGCGAAAGGAGGACAAACAGGATCGATGTCGTGAAAGCCATCAAAGCGGCAATGGGCATGCTCGCATCCCTTAAGCCAACGACAGTGATGACCAAGCGTGCAGTTGACGTCGTCGCAGGCGGACATGTTGCTACAAGGAATTCCGCGAGACTAAGTAGAAGAAGGGAGTTAGATTAGCTCCGCAAACAACAGCATTTCCATGTTACGCTAGACTCACCTTCTGCTTGAGTACCAGGAGTTCTCCCGGACTCAGTCTCTCGCCGTGAGAGTACCCGCAATCGTCCCCATTCTTGCAGTTGTTGTGTAGGTGGAAGGCGTTGCAGACGTTGCCTAGCTTATTCATGCGGTCTTTAAACCGCTTCTCGGCGGTCGGATCGGTGCGCGGAAGCGCCTCGTCGACGCGCTGGCTTTCGGCATTGAGAAGGTAGTACTTTTTGGGAGCAGTCTTTTTAGATGAAATGTCGATCGTCTTGGGCGCGACGGACTTGGTGAGGGTAGACCAAGAGGTGGGCGTCTGAGCACCGCCGCTCGAGGACGGACTAGTGACGCGAGGCGGCTGGCTCTCGTTTGTGTTGCTTCTCAGTAGCGCACCGCCATTACCGTTGCTGGCGGAACCGTTTGGCTGAGTGAAACTAGTCGGCGGCGGCAGTGGCTGCATGCCGGCGGTCGCGGTAATGGTCGACACGATTGTTCGTTCGACTCTGTCGGGCAGCTTCTCGGTCCTGAAGACGGACTTGAAGCTGATTCTATGAAAGTTCAAATGCTTGAATCCTTCCTCGGCCGGAGTAGTCTCAATAAGTGTCAGGCGTGGGTTAACGTTGGGATCGAGGTTGTAAGGCTCCAGAACAGGCAAATAACCGTTATCGTGACAGGGACCGAAGAAGATGTGCTTGCACTGGGTGACGCGAACCATGAGACGCAGCATCTCGCGGATCTTGTGGTCGGCAGACTCCTTGCCCGAGCCGACGTCAATGAAGCTGAAAAGAGGTTGTGAGCGGCCAAACCCGCGACCGAAATCGGCCAGGGTGCGCTCTGCGACAGTGTTGGGGACGATGCCGGAGGCATGGAGCTTTTTGGCAAGACCATCGAGGTTAAGTACGACCTGGACAACAATGTTCCAATCCTGGCTTGCCGTCTGAGGGTAGGCGTCGGTAACGTAATTTCTTATCTCATTGCTCAGGAGATAGCCAGCTCGAGCACCGCCGTCGGCGCCGGCTCTGAGCAGAGCGTCCTGGAAAACGGCACCATCTCCGTCGATAATAACGAAAACAAAAGGATTAGATTCCTGTGATACGTCAGTGCCTTTCCTGCAACTGAGAGAAGATAGGGAAGGAGTGCGACAACTCACGCTAGTCTTGCTTAACATCTGAACCTCTCTGTCGGCCTTTTGCGCCTTGGTTTGCCACATGCGACGAGATTCGACCTCGTTACTGTAGTCGTCGCATTTTTCCAGATAATCTCGCTGCAGACGCTCATAGCGGACTAATATTTCCTATGCGTCTCGAAGTCAGAAATCACATCATATGATTTTAGGACAGACTGCTCAGGCTTCGTTGGGGCAGGTAAGGGGAAAGAACGGATGGCCATCTGAAAGATAAGACGTAGCCCGGGTCCAGAATCAAAATGCTTACCTGAATCATCTGATCGCGGTTGTAATCATGCTGCCGGAAGAGTTCCAGCTGCTGGATATATTTGGACAGGTCATTTTGGCCGTCCATAATGTTGGCTCCGTTTGGTTCGGTCCCCGCTGAGTGCGTCCGTAGAAACCCCCCTGTGCGATGCTCGATGCGAATGACTGGTATCGGAATGTTTTTCTAGCTATGTAGCGATTGAGCTTTGGCGATAATTCGCTGGTGATGATGTACTTTTTTGTCGCTCCCGGTGGCCGAAAAGGTGAGATGAAGAGATGAAGTTGCGAAGGTTTTGACGTTTGGACGGGCGGGACCCAATTACTTAAGCTGTAAGGTGGAGATCGGGCTGGGATTGCAACTGCCTTTCAGGCCATTCAGAACGTGGTATTTCCATTGTTCTGGGGGCAGGAAGCCCCCGGGGGGCCATCGGCTCCTTCCCGGTGTAAAAAGGCTTTGACCTCAATGCTGATTTCTCGCTGTTTGTGCTCACGGACGGCGCTCCAGCCAATAAAGGCATCGTCTTTAGGCTTGTTTTCGCATAAAGCGGGGACATGCAGGGACGACTGCTCACTCATCACAACGTGGCACTCATTCTCTTGATGAAAAAAGACAACCAAACTCATGGCTTTGTATTATTTGTCTATTGATTTCTTTCAATACGTCTCTCTTATGAAAGCTGTTAAGACATTTCATGTGTCTTTTGTGTCTTATCAGTTCATGCCCAAGCGTAGACCAGTTTCTAGAATTTTCTGTCTCAGAATTGCCTGGCTTTGGCCTCTGGATGATCTGAACCTCAGACGCCCGGTTTATCTCTGACGTCCGGAGGCTACCAAACAATGACATCAACCACCACTGAATGATAGCGACCACAACAAATATAGATAGCATTCTTCTTTCGTTTGTTTATGGCTCGCAGCTTTCTCAGGCATCACAGCCCAACTTTAGAAACTGGGACACATTTATATAACATCCCTGTCAAGGTTGCAAGGATTTACAGCATTTCTTCATAAGCTGAGGTAGTGACAAAGAAGGATATGCATCTGGAGCACAACCTAATTGGTTTTTCATTAATTCCAAATCTCATATAGGATTAATCACTGAGATCTTCCCAAGCAGCGTGACTCACTCACATAAGCCTTCGCTTGCTAGTTGAAGCAGTACATGTAATGATGTGACCACCCGCAGAGGTTCTCAAAAGGTAGCATGCATTCATAGATAAATGAGTTGGCATCATTGAGTTGAGGTCGTATTCAATGGAACAGACTGCTTTCCGTAGTAAGAAAAGGGAGAGAAAATAGACATTCACCACCAGCCACCTGGCAGATGACACTCAATTAGAGTACCCAGCGCGGTCGGATCCATGTTTGAGAGCTTTATGATTCAACACAACCAATCTTTAATTCACTGAAAAAACTGACGGGTGAATCCAAAGCCTTCAAAGTCTCCATTTACCCTTACGCTCCCAAGAGTCGAGTCTATATAATATTAGAACAATTGCCACAAATCCTCATCTCTTATCAAACCAAAACGTCAAAATCGATCATCACATCCACAAGGCCAAACGTACCTGCTCTCCGCGCCTTGCTTCACACCAAAACATTGCAACCCCAACAGAAATCGTTTGCCTCTTCTCTCCAGTAGTCATCATGTGCTTCGGATCTGGCGACGGGAGCAGCAAAAACAGAGGGAAGAATGTCAGAAGAGCTACGAGATCGTGAGCAGAGGAATAACAACATCGATATCCTCTTCTACTCTTAAGAGAAGGAACAACACAGGTGCTAAAGAAGACAAAACCGACGGCATGAGTCAAACGGAGATGGCGCAAAAATAAGACGTGAAGGCGCGACTTGAAAAAGCCGGGGCGTTCGAGGGAGAAAATCAGGAAGAGTGCACCGCACAGTAAAATTCATACAGAAAAAATAAAGATTCTTCCTGATTGTGATATCTCGACCAAGTAACGTGTTGTTGTGATACATGCTTCTAGCCCTCCAAATTTGGAATGAATCTTTCCATGTTTATACTGATGAGCCTCTCAGGCGACTTGATGATGGCTACGATACTGTGGTGGATCTTTGAGTCTCTAAGGAGAAACTTGCCCACGTCTAAAGGGGGGACTCGACCTCGACGTTTCGTCGGATCGGAGCCTTGATCCATCATGAGTCTGAAAATAGCAAGAATAGGACCTATTTTTAAGTTTTCATATTCATAAATTTTCATAAAAATGAAATGTTTCTTTGATGTATTTGCTTCAGAAACCCGTCTGGAAGCTGTGAAACGTATGTACGGTTTATTCATCTATCCGCCAGTTCAATTTCTTCCTCGACTGACACACTGTTACCAGAGCGACCACTACGCTTGTCGTAGTCGATAGTGACTTCGGTCGTGCGCACGATGCCTTGAGGCAGCATACTGCGATCACTATCGGTGTCGTTCCCTGCGGGATCGTGATGATTGACTGTCCTCGAACGGCCGCCCGGCATGGACTGGTTCTGAAACTTGCTGAGATTGTCCGACCGGATATATGCGCCGGATGATGGGTACTCGGCTTCGCGCGTGCTTCGAATGTGTCGGACTAAGACGCGGAGAACGGGGATGCAGGCGGCGATGATGGTGACGTTTGGCTCGGCCATTGCCCACACGTGCATGATGCAAATTTTCCAGAAGACTGCGAGAGGAGAAAACATTTCGTGAGCTTCATGACATGGAATGCAAGAGCTTGGGACTTGAATGGGAGGTATTCGCTTACGATCTGGCGCGGACGTGTCCAGCATCACAATGCTTTGCACTGCTTTCATGACACCCATTACTCCAGCGCTTTTCGACGTCAGCTTAGAAATCTTTTGTTTCATGGCATTAGAACTCACAGCACTCCCATACTCATGGCGACCGCCACACCAATCTTCTCATGTTTCTTCATCTGCAACCCCAGGACGATTTTCCATGGTAAGAGGGCAAGAATGAAGTCGGACAGGGCTGAGTAGACTAAAGGATTGTTCGTTAGCAGCAGCCCAGGCTTTTGGACTTCAACACAGCGATGAATACATACATCCGCCAAATATTCCCAACGTAATTGCGTCCTCGGACTGCCAACAAGAAAGCGGAAGATGAGGGTTGTGATCCTCGTGGCCAGGTGGTTTGCAGATAGCTCTCCAAGTGAGAATGATGTGAACAACGAATTGAAGATTCATGGTCCCAACGAGGAACCAGATGACGTACTTCTGCCAGGGCGAGGCAATACGATGCAGCGTGACGGCAAACGAGGTCTTCGTCAGCGCCAAAGCGACCTTGTGGCAGTTGTCCCAGGAGTAGATAAAGGTGCTCATGGTCGGGGTGACGTTGTACGTCCTGGCAAATCCGAGGCGCATAAGCTCGCTCAGGAGAGCCTGCGAAGCGATGAGAAAGGCCCAGCCGGCGACGAGGAGCCAGTCATCCAGCCAGACCATCCATCGTACTCGGAATCCCTTGCAGTAGATGCGGAGGAAGAGGAAGATCGTGGAGACCGCGAGCATTGACCATCCCGGGGCGTTGATCAACACCGAAGGATCGCCATAGTTCTTCGGCGTCGGCATCGATGACACGGCTCCATCTCGCTGAAGAACAAATTGGTCCTGCATCGTTTTCGAGGCGCCAGAACGGACTCTGGGAGTTGTTCGAGTCACCAGATCTTGAAGAAGAAAGAAGCCGGCCACCTTAGAAGAGAACAGTAAGAGAAGAAATCACAAAAAACAAATGGAAAGCGGGAGAACGGGAGATCTCATTGCAAAAGCTTGACGGATGGCTCCAGTCACTTTCTTGGATAGGTCCGAGCAGGGATCTACTTCAACGTACATTGGAGAGCAAAGGTAAAGATGGTACGAGTTTTCTGGTTCCAAGTGCCAGGTTCTCAGTGGCGGCAAGACAAGGTTATTGTTCTGTTGCCTTCGGTCTAACATGGACTTTTGGTTCAATTTATTACGATATTAGGAAGGAGGGTATCAGGGATTGCCGTTTCTTACGCCGCGTGCATTTGTATTCATCTTTGATCTGTGCCGGCTTCATCGATATCAGGCTTGATACGGAACACCGAAAGGACGTTTAATTCAACATGTGAGATAAGCTTATTCTGTTTAGAGCCAGAATATGGTGAAGTTTTCGCCGCTTTCCGTCGTTCCTTTCGTCAAGACAGAGGCCAAAAACCACTCCTGAAGAGGAAGCACTTTGGCGGTGTTTCCAGTCTCTCCCAGCTCTTCATTAGTCTCTAAAGCCATTGATTTATGGGCCTAGGGCAGACAAGCGATGTGATCCGGAGATGTGATCCGGAGATACCCCAGCATCCCGTTGCAGGCCGTTTGTTGGTTCAGGGTTGTACAGAATGGACATTCTCCCGGCCGCATAAGTGGATCATCCCCCGTCTCAGCCCCATGAAGTTATTAATTACTACGCAGTACCAACACAAGCGAGTTCCTTTCCCTGTCTATGCGCTTAAAGCCGACTTCGACTTATTAGTCACTGCAACTTTCTAGACCGATGCCGTCTTGAAGTTGCACGATAGCTTCGAAACATGTAGCAATGCCTCTTCGTGAACGTTGAGAGTTGACTTCTTTTGCATTTGTTGAAGACTATATCTGATCGCTCCCGACATCCGGGATACAGTGTGCCGAGCATCTGTTGTTGTTGGCCACTCGGTTCTGCATGCCAAGCATCTCTCGCATCTATCCCAGTCATCAACCAACATGCTGTTGGTGCAAGGCACCGGCCTAACCATCCGCTTTCCGGCTGTAACGCCTGCAAGACGGTGGCACGGCATATTGCTCGCCACATTGGCGCACCAGTAGAAGCAAGTTTGTCCTGCAATTATGGAAGTTGTACGATACCCTGATCAAGTGCTCTCTCCAACCCAGTAGAACTTCCCTCGTACCCATGGGCCCAGCGACTTGGACCCAATTTCCCACAGCATTCTAGATTCTTTATCTCGATGAAAGTCAAATGAGAACCCTTGAATTATGGGTTCTCGCTTCGATGCACCTCGGTTTCGCTTTTCTTTCGTGCCAGTGCAATTGCTTTTGGAAGCATCACGGGAGACACGGAGCTGTCCACCCCTTTCTGAAGTCTTTAAGAATCGGTGATGTTCCCAAGTCAAGGTAGACGATTCTTGTTTGGGTAGGCTTTCTTCGGAGACTCATTCCACTCATTCACCTTCAATCTCTCGATTGTCTCTCCTTCACCAAGATGGCTCCCACTTCCACACTCGCCGCGGCTTTGCTGCTCTCGGGACTCGCAGCCGGTCAACTTGAAGTGGGCTTTCGGCCACAAGCCCGCCAGGCCCCGCCTGCCAGCGGCTACACAGGTGTATGAAACCCGGGCCCTACCTTCTCGGGGCCCCGACCCTCCGATCGGTGTCATCGAGATAACTGACTTGCTTTGATCCGAATAGTGCGATGCTCTCATCGCAGCTGGGCTTTCCGACCGTGTCTCGTTCCCCACCGACACGGAATACAACTCCAGCATCGCCTCCTACTGGTCTGCCACATCCCAAGCCCTTCACCCGTGGTGCATCGTCAAGCCCAACAACACCGAGGAGGTCTCCAGGGCGTTCTCCGCTCTCGTCAACACCAGCGCCGCCGGCAACTGGGACATTGCCATTCGTGGCGGCGGTCACTCTCACTTTGCCTCGAACAACGTGGCTCAGGGTGTCACCATCGACATGAGCCGCATGAACTCGGCGGTCTACAAGAACTGCAGTGTAAGTGCCGCGGCGTCTTTTTGTGACGGTAACTCAACATCTGCGAAGGGCACTGTATCCATCGGAGCCGGCGCCAGATGGGGAACCGTCTACAAGGAGATTGAAAAGTACGGCCAGACAGTCACCGGAGGTCGCGAGGGAAATGTTGGCGTTGCTGGCCTGACCCTCGGCGGCGGCGCGTCTTTCCACACCGGTGTTCGCGGATTCGCTTGCGATGACGTGAAGAATTGTATGTTACACCCCCATATCAGACTCTCAAGACAACCGGCCTTCAACAAGACTGACATTTCATAGACGAGGTCGTTCTTGCCGACGGTTCCGTCGTGAACGCCAACGCTGGCGAGAACCCGGACTTGTTCAAGGCGCTGAAGGGTGGCAGCAACAACTTCGGCATCGTGACGCGCTTCGACATGCAGACGTTTGCTGCGGCTCCGGGTGGTCTCTATGGAGGCTTGATCTTCATGGACTATGAGCACAAGGATGCCGTCATGAAGCAGTTTGTCAACCTGATCGAGACCAACGAGAAGCACCCAGAGGACACTGAGGTTGTCACATTTGCTTACTCCAGCGAGAGCTCTGCCCCTATGATTGCCGTCCAAGCCGTCAACACCGCTGGTGTCGCCAACTCGACGTCTTTCGCGCCGCTCGCTACCCTTCCTTCCTTTTTCGACGACAGGAAGAAGAAGACTTACGGCACTCTTATCACTGACCATACCATGGCCGGTGGAGCGAGGTATTTTCGTTTACGCCGTTGTGCATTGTCGCCTTGCTAACCACCGTGAAACTAAACAGAAACGTGTGGTTCTCTCTCTGCTTCCACAACGACATGGAGATCATGACCAAGATGGCCGAGCTCTACGACAAGCTTCTCGCCGAACTCCAACTTCTCATTCCGTCCCCGGACCTTCACCTCACTTTCGTCAGCCAGCCTCTGCCGAAGCACTTCGCGACCAAGGGCAGCGGCAACAACGTCTTGGGCCTCGACACCTCGTTGACGCACAACTCCATCATCTGGCTCGGCCAGGCACAGACGCGCACTGCTGATCAGGAGGCTTTGGCTCACACCAAGCTCGCGGCCGCGGCGGCCGAGCTTGAGGCATTTGCCGAGGGTAAGGGCATGGCAACCCCTTGGCGGTACCTCAACTACGTCAACCCTGCTCAGGACCCTATCAAGACGTACGGAGAAGAGAACGTCAAGTTTCTCAAGGATGTTGCGGCAAAGTACGATCCCACCGGTGTCTTCCAGACTAGGGTTCCTGGTGGCTTCAAGATTTCCAAGGTGTCCTTATAATAGTTAGGCTGCAATGGCGTGGCTAAGGGAGACAAGACCTAGCATTTGAAGCCCGATGCGCCGATTTCAAGTAAATCAGATGGCCCAGAAACCAGCTCTAGAGACTATAATTAAAAAACAGTTGAATTTCGGCCGCATTGTGCCGTTTTACAACTGTCGTTGTGCTCCTCAAGAGATATTGTATTCCCAATTCCATGGGTGATGATTTTCTCTGGGGAAAATGTTACCCAAACAGTCTTTAACAAAGAGCGTCTTCAGCTGCTTGTTTCGAACGCTTTAGCGTTGGTTGTGATGGCCTTTGAAGAGCCAGCAGAACAAAGAAGCCTTACTCTATGACCGGTAAGAAATCACAGTGAGCTTAGTATATATTAGCATGGACTTGTCTTCTCTGATGTAGTGGGAAATTCTTGTCTCTTCTTCCTTCTAACTTTTCAAGATCACACATTACTCACAATACTATTGCTCTTCCCGGGTCTACCCTGGGTATACGAGAAAGACTTCAATTCATTCAAACCTTTGCAATGCTTCATTCCAATCTACCAGACTGGTTTCGACGCGCTACAGTCTGGTGGGTTACAAATCGGTGGGATATGAATTCCGGGGGACCACAAATTCCCGGTCACCTCTTTGACGAAGACATATCCGATGTTTCCGACATGTCTAGCAATGTCGATGAGGATGACTCGGACGAATGTAGCTATGCCAGCGACACGTCGAACAATGACGAGTTCCCCGACACATTCAGAGACGATTACCACCACCTACGTGTCGAGAGCTACCTCTTTAAGTACAATGATTTCAAGGAGCAACGGGAGAAACGAAAGAAGAAGCTGCGTCTCACTAGGCGCCGAGACAAAGAGCGTGAAAACAAACTGAAGGAGGTCATGTTGCCGAAAATGCTTCAATACCAGGAGAGAAAGGTCTCGCAGATCCAAAACGCCATCAGGGCCATCAACGAGTCGCAAGCTGACGGAGAAATGAACCCACTGGAGAACCTCAAAAACATACATTACATCTACGATTTATATTCTTCTCGGCAATGTCGATGGCTTGAAGACTTCGAATTTCCCGTTGGCCATCAAATATGCCTACCGAGACCTAAGCCTGCTCCTTGTCCAGTCACTTCCAACCTCGAAGAACCGAACGACCTCAGCAAGGGCCTCGTAACGACCGTCAATGGTTTTATCACTCTTAGTGAAGCTTACTGCGACCTCGATGCATTTTACCACCCACAGCACCCCGGAGAAATCATGATCGATGCATGGACGACCGATGGCTCTACCGGTGTTAAACGGGAGCGTGTTCACATGGATTTGATCTTCCTCAATGACACATATCTGGAGCTCAGGCTGCCTGCGCATGCAGTCTATGGACTACAGGACGAGCGAGGTTCTACGCCCCGGCCTCCGAACGCACCACTTTGGTTTGAATTCTACGGCGAGCGGCAAACCCTTGAAACTCTGCGGCAACGAGATGCAGATAGCAAAGAACTGTACACAGACTATGTTTATTAGTAAACCCCTGAGGCACGCTAGACGGAATCATTTTGCCTCTCCGTATTGCGCGTTAGAGTTTCTTGATTGGTGTAGCAGCTGCTGTTGTTCTTTCAATTTCAAATACGCCTAATTGCGCGTTATTCATCTGATTAAAGTATATCGCTTCTGAATGTTTACTCAGACATGTATGGCTTTTCAGTGTCCATCAGCTTCAACTGACTGTGGAGAATTCTTTGACATGCAGAAAATCATCCAACAGCGTAAAGCCAAGTCGCGAAAATGCGCAATATGTTGGAGCAACCCGCCAGGACTTCAACCTTGGGAGCGAGGCTGTTCACGCCACTGAAGCACCTGAAAACCTGTTGAGAGTGCCCGGCATTTGGATGTCGACATCAGTACGTATTCTTCATCACTTATAGTGAGTTTAATATTGAAGTTTAAAAAGTAACCGCTGCATTGTATTATTGGATGGCGGAATTTGAATTTGCATGGATAAGCCGTGCTTGATTGGACTTCGACGGAGGAAGGTTTGTCCTCTGTTCGAGCTGGTTGAAAGAGGGAAAAGGTTCCGTGGCGTCTCGAGCAATTGAAAGCTCCAGCCCGTCATTTCCAATGACATGGTACCGAAAAAGGACCAGATTTTTGACGAGAGAGAGAGAACTCCTGAATTCCAACATCGTCATGGCATTTTCTCTCGAGAACCGGGCAAATTGATCTTGCCAAGCATTCGGGAGTTGTTACGGACTATCACTCGACAAACACCCCCTGCCGTGCCATCGCGTCTGATTTCAACAAAGGGCATCTATGAGCCAATGGCGCTCACTATCCGCACTTAAGTTTAAGTTTGACGTTACTAGGATCGATCGCCGAGCAATGTGGCACTGAGCAACAAAACAAATCATGAGATCAATCGCCAGGGATGCGCGTCGCCCACGTGACCTCGCGTTCCAACGAGCGGGGTATCTGTGCAAATATATAGTTCGCCGCGCGTTCCGGCCCTTTTGGCTTGGAAACCTGGTCTCAACTCCATTCGAATCAGTCTCACGCCTTCTCGACCGCACATTTCTTTGTTACTTTCCCCCCTTAACTGACTGAAAATCTGTTCTGGCTGCCATCATGTTTCGAGGTGGCGAATGGGCCGAACGGGGCGAACGTGGTGGTCGTGGTGGATGGGGTGGCCGTGGAGGTTGGGTTGACCGAGGTGGTCGAGGTGGCCGTGGTGATCGTGGTGACCGCGGTGGATGGGGTGGCCGTGGAGGCTGGGTTGACCGAGGTGGTAGAGGTGGCCGTGGTGACCGTGGTGATCGTGGAGGCTGGGTTGACCGAGGTGGTCGAGGTGGCCGAGGTGGCGGCCGTGGTGATCGTGGTGACCGAGGTGGTCGTGGTGGCCGAGGTGGCAGGGGTCGTTATCAGCCTCCCGCTCGACCGGAACGACGCCGCCCTGAGTGGTATTATCGCTACTTGCGTTGGGACCTAACCGGTGATCGGGGATCACCACCAGGGAGCATCTTCGACGAGGACCTCTCAAGCCTCTCAACTGAAAGCGTCTCAAGTGAGGAGGTTGAATGCACTTGCGATAGTGACGTCTCCGATTGCGAATGTGAGGCAAACGCCACTCCCAGTCCCGAACCATCCCTGGATTCATTGGACAGCGGAAGCGACGCAGATGGCTTCGCCGTGGCCAAGATGCAGCGCGACGCCCGTAAGCGTGAGTTGCGCGATTTGAGATTGAAGGAGGAAAAGGAGAAAAAGGAGATGGAAGAGGGCATTGAAAAGACTCTCGAGCACGAGAAAAAGAAAGTTTCGGAAATCGAGGCAGCCATAAGAGCGCTGCAGAAGTCCACGCCGAAGGATGCCAAAACACCCATCAACGTCAAGCCGGGTTTCTACAACCTGTACTCAGTTCGCCACTGCCAGTTGATGAGACCGGCCAAGATTCACTACGGAAACTCCCTGAGCTTATACGAGAATATGGGTGATGGCTCCAAAAACAACAGCAACGAGGGAGACTATGAGCCCTGGGGCGACATAGAGTTGGACAATGGTTCAGTCAGTGAACCCGAGGTTTGTGAGTTCAAGCCTTTCGACATTCCGAAGTTCTCAGGGAAAGTGAAGCTTCCCACAAACAGACGGGGAGGGGGTGAGACGGTCGAAATCACTTTCCACAACGAGGAGTACATTGAGTTGAAACTACACGCCGATCTCATCTTTAAGCTTGCGGATGGTGAAGACCGACTCGATTTGTCTGAAGGCCACACCGATGACACGCCATACTATCACTTCTTCGGCGCCCAGCGAACCCCAGACAGAGCTAGGGAGGAGCGAGAGGAGTTGCAGCGACAGGAAATTGAGGCGAGAGCGCGCTATGAGCGCAACAGATCCCCCTCGCCAAGAGACACTTGGTTTGAGAACAATCACTTTATGGGAGCATACTACGACCGTAGGTATGCGGAGTCCTGGTGAGTTCGATCCCATCCCAAGCAGCCCAGCTTTGTGACCTATTACCGTACGCGATGGCTTGTGATGCTAGCATGCTCGTGGAGAAGTCTTTTATGTGGCCGAACGTTTGCTGACGTCTTCGATCACAGGTTTTGATTTATGTCAATGATCGATGTCGGACAAGACGCGGAATGATCCGTAGTAATAGGACCTTTGTCATTTCAATCCACACGTCGATAGCTATCTAGTACCTCATGATAGTTCAAACCAGACCGGCGACCTGGCCTATAAAGAACATCAAGGTGACCTAGATGACTTCCTTAGTTGTGGTCATCGTATGACGACTTCCTGCACACCTACTCGGAATACTTCCAAGGTTAGCGGATGAGAGTACGTGTTATTTAACTGCGATGATAAGGAATAACGCATGGATCAAGATTGTCGACCTTGTGACCTTTCGGCACGTCCTCCAAAGGAGAGGCTGAGTAGCTGGAACATGAACTGAGAAGAATTCTTGCCTATAATGTTTATGCTAAAAGCATCGAAGTCGCTTCAAAAGTTGGCCATCTCACTCTTGACGGATCTCAGACAATATCAAGAGCTTACACTGAAGTCATGGGGCTGAGATTGGCAGCGATAACAAGTCTGTGACAGATGACAAGACGAGCCAAACCAGCATTGGTCTATCGGACATTTCTGCGAAACCCGAAACTTTTATTGGCAGGATGCTGACGAGACACAATGGATGACATCTGTGGCTCCCGTCCGTGGGAGTAACATGAGTGCACTATGCACGCCATGTTAATCACGGCATCGGAATCCCGCGTCCAATTTCACCCACCTACGTCCGCTAGTTTTCCCCCCTTACTGATGCTCATCATCCGTTCTCCGGCCACTTTTCTTCGGAGCCCCTTATTTCTTCCCCCATCTCGGTACGCTGACTGAGCTCGAGGACACATGAGTCGGGCGGTCCAAGTGCCGGCTCTCGGCACCGCCTAGCGCGGGCTTCGGGAGCCGGCACCGGTTTAAACCTTTTCGGGGTAAGATGATTTGGAGCCAGGCACAGCCTCTAGAAAATCATGATCTACGCTAGAACCGCAGGCCTTGCCCTCGTTTTCCAACCCCCTTTATGTAGTATTCGATCTCTCAGCTTGACAGCGCCTCCCTCTTTGGACTAAAAACAGCTCAACCCCACGCGATCTCGTGTTTGCATTTGTTGTTTCCCCATTCCACGTGAGGTTGCGCTTCGAGCTGTGCCCGACATCTGCTGTCTTGATGATACCTGCATGCAGGGGCGGGTCTGGACCCAGCTCACAGATCTGGCTGCCTCTCTCTCAAACAGGGACTTACATCGGACAGCATGCGCGAGTGAGTGTTGTGAGTTTCGCCCCAAGATGCACATGTCTGGCGTCTTGGCCTCTGATGTATTGCCTGAGACGAAGGGGGAAAGAAAAGCCTAAAACTCCCTCGGACGGAGGCCCAACGTGTCCGTTTTATCTATTGGACGGTCACGAAGCACACGACACCCCCGACAACTCGTCGTCTGCCCGTGGCCCCAATCCCAGATATTGATCGTTGGCCTCAAGTGCCGGATGCCGAGAACACCGTTCGTGGATCATCATCATCAGGCCATGCAGCAAATAAGCAGGGACGAAAAAGAAACAATCTCCCCGCATGCCCTTTGTTCCATCTTTGTAACGCACCTAAACCCCGCGGCCAAATCAAAACGTTTCCAACCCCCTAAAACGGGTTTGACGGCACAGTTCAGACTTTTTTCGACGATTGGGTTGCCCGGCGTCCTTGTCGCCAGGGATACATACACATTGTTAGACGGGACTCGATAGGGCAGGGCGGCGCAAGGGGCCGGGGGGAAGAGGAGGACTAGTCGTCTCGGTTGGCCTCCCATAGTTCACGAAAGTGTCTGAAGCGACCGGCGGCCGAAGCTCTAAGCACGGATCCCGCGGCCACACAAGAATGCGCCTGACGCCTGGCACCTCGTCCTCGCGCGCCGCAGAAGCTATTAACCCGTTGAGACGCTCGTAATAACGGACGAAGGCGCTCATTTCATTCCTTTCAGATTAGCGCTGATGCGCTCTAGGTGAACATCGGTCTTTTTTGGTGTTTTATTTTCGTCCCGAATTTTTTGTCAGCGCCCCCCTGACGATGCGGTTTTGTTTGTTATATACTCGGTAGCCGCACCTGGAGTTTGTAAGACATCGAATGAGACTGGTTCACGCCACGACAACCCACCAAGACGCCCTCCACACACCACACTCGCTGCCATGGCGCCACTACTACAGGCCCTTCAGGGCAGGGCGAATCTGCCAAAGATCGAAACAATTCAAAACGGGCCGATCTCAGGTCTTCTGGCATTCGGGTCACTGCTCCTCGTCTCCAGCGTCATCGTCGTGGTCCTGATCGCCAACATCCTCGAGAGATGGCTTCTTCGCAAGGTCTATGGGGAAGTCTACATGAACCTGGAACGACCTGAGAACGAGAAGCGAAGGCGGTCATTCACTTACTACCATGTCGGCGCCATCGTCATGTTCGCCCTCCTCTGCATCGGCATCTACCCCGTCATGCGTTTCCTCGTAGGCAGTGCTGGTTTGGCGACTCCCGTGGTCCAGGGACACCGCCTGCGAATCGGAGACATGCTCTTCACGGTATCTCAGACGTACTGCGCGTACTACGTTTTCGAACTCTGCTATCGCACCCAGTTCGCGAGTCCGTTAAGCATAGCCCATCACATCGGACTTCTGGCCATTACGCAGACTTCTCTTTCTCTTTTCGGCAACTTCGTTCAGCACCCTGAGGCGACGATAGAATTCTACATGTGCATGGTCTGGGGTGAGTGATGTTCTCCAATGTCAATTGAGCCATTCAAACTGACGCGTATTGTTCTAGGCGCTTTTGATGTTGTCGTCGAACTTCCAATCTACGTTTCCATGATTGTGTGGCGAGCGAGGCGAAGTGACCACTACCTACTCTCGAACATCGCATTTGGCTGCTTCGGGTGGGTTCTTCTGGGAGCCGCTCTCGAGACTTCGGTCACGATATACCTCCTCCACCGCTCGTGGGACCGCTGGGGACGCGTCTGGAGAGTTGTGACGCCATTGATCTTCTCTCTGTGGATCACAACACAGCTCTACGGCGCTTCTAGACTCTATGCGATGGCCAAGTCAGAACGAAGGAAGTCCAACAAGGGCTCGAAGCAAACAGGCGTCGTTGAACCGATTTCAGAACTTCCAGGATCGGCCAATGAGATCGCAACACCGGGTCAAGAGGAGGAACCCAAGCCCAAGGTTGTGTGAAGAGCGAGAATTGCCTGAAACGCAGCTTTTCGACTTCGGGACCGCCGATCGGGTTCCGGCAGCAACATCACAGTCACTTGGGAAGACATTCTGTTGGCATGCATCGAGTACGGGTCATCGAATCCACCATGCAGCCCGACCGAAGGAGACCCTTCAGACCGGTCGTGCACGCCGCCGGCGACAGGAACTAGAGGGTCAATAGCTCCCGTTTCGGATTTAAGGCGAAGTCATCGGACGAGGCACCAAACGAAATTCGACACGCCATGATGGTGTGAGCTAGTCATGGACGGGTAAGACCGGATCGACACTTGTTCGTTCGGTCTCGAGTCGTGCGGGGAGGACAAAGCGAGCTATCGGGTCGCAAGCGCACGGCCTGACCTAAAGATCGATCCGCCGGAAGTTTGGTGGACGCTCAAGCCCTTCGAGTGATGGAACGGGAGAAAAAGGACAGAGGAAGGTGTTAGAGAGGAGGCACTCAGATGCATTGCATATGAATTTCAGCGATTTAGCGTAGCGATGCATGTACAAGTCCACGGCGGTTTGGATTCAAATCCCGCGCCGGACAAGTTATAATCAATAATTGAAATAATGCACACATACAATCATCATGGACTACCTCAATGAACGTCCAAAAGACTCCAACCAGGTGACTCAAGCGCACTGAAGGCACGGGGTCAAGTACATACGATCCAGAGACGTGAAACCCTTGCGAATTCGATTTTAGGTGAACGTCAACGTACGATGAGTGTCCGTTCGCCATCGAGCCGCAATGCAAGCGTCGTCGAAGTCAACCGAAGTGTGCCATGTGATGCCAAGCATTGCCAAGAGATGTCAGAAAGTGCCAAGCCACGCCAATAGTCAGCCAGCTGAGATGCGTTCTTCCAGATCTTGAACGGAGGCCACGGGCCGCATGAGCCGGCATATGAGGGTGGCTGGTGCCACGAGTCTAAGCCGTCAGACATTCAACGTCAGTCGGAACAGCTAGGTCGGCGGCTTACTGATTGATGACAGCTGGGCACCGGAGAACTTTTGCTGACCGCATCACCTGCAGCCAGTCCGTCCCAGGCAGCCAGATATGGTCTGGGGTTAGGATTGGGGGACACGACAGCATCGTATGTGCGTCAAGGCATCGTGGCAGTGCAAGCTTAATTCTGGAAAGCCTTCCATACGTGGCACAAGTTCGCCATCTGCTTCCTATGTACACGTCCGTTAGTCTTTCCGCGCTTAGCTTGGTCGTGTAAGTTGAGTCCAACGCATCCTCCAGGCTCAGCCACGGAAGGCTGGTCAAGCTCATCTAACCGGGCCATAGGGCTGAGAAGGAAGGATAAGTCTTTCTTCCTTGCGTACAATTGAGGAAAAACAAACGCAGATGTGAGTAAACAAGTAAGCTGAACTCTGAGCTTCCTGGCAATCTGATTACATTGAAGTTCTCAGGACAGATTTCAATCAGTCAGCCACGAAGGAGCACCGCGATTTAGTTCTAATGTGACATGTTCAGAGAACGGTCCAACAACATTTTACCATAACCTTCTAGGCCAAGACATGTCGATCCTATTGAGCTTGTGAATGGTGTTTCAACCTGTTGTTGGGGGTATTAATCAAGCCTGACGTTGTATGTGATGTGTCTCCAATACATACCGCTAGACTACTTTCTTAGAAGAAGCACTGTAGAGATAAATGAGATCGATATTGCCTCCACGAGATGCGTAAGAATTCTTCAAAAATATAGCATTTTCACGTACGCTAGTAGGGTTAAGTTATCTATAGCTAAAAGCTATTAAATAATGAACATAAATCTGCTTTAATCCCTATCTCAGCATATTTACAGTGTTAGAGAAGACTGTCTAAGATACAAAAATCAACAAACCAGTCATGGAAACAAAAATACAGAGAAAAAGCCAAAAAGTGAAGCTGAATGCTATCAATCGCTGACGGGAATTGAGCCCGACGTGGGGGTCGAACCCACAACCTTGAGATTAAGAGTCTCACGCTCTACCGATTGAGCTAGCCGGGCGATTGGAAGCACCCAGCTGGATTGTTGACGAGAACGGGCATGGAATTGAATTTGAAGGGTTGGTGTATGTGAGTGGGTTTGTGGGCTAGGTTTTGAAGAGATTTTTCTCCGGACCCGCAACGGACTCCCATCATGCGCACCTCCCAGACCATCCATACCTTCACAGGCCCAGTTTGTAAAAATGGAGTGATTTAGTTAATATTCTCAGTAAATATGGGTTCCAGGTTGCTAAAATGACTACAGATGCTTATTCATATAAGACTTGCCGTGAAAATCTGATGAGGTGATGCCGATATGTTGCTTTTGATTCTTGAAGTCTCTGAGAGAGCCTTGGATTAAGGTGAAATATCAACGCACCATGAGGGCATGAAAGGGGCAATCTCATGTGTCCAACGTTCTATAATATGTAATAAGCTGTTTGATTTTTTCGGAGACTTGTCTCAAACTTCGAGCCTGGGGCTTGGTGATCAAATCTAGCCAGAGACCCCAAACTCACCGTTTCTGCCGGGAAACAATATGTACACATGTCGGCAAGAAGTTCAAATTTCATGCCACATTGAATAGTCTCTCAAAGTTGTGTATAGTATGCGTCTCTAGTGTCGAAATCAATCAGGCCATCTCAAAAATCATGTCGGCAGGACAAGGAGTGAATGATGGATGTATTCAGAGCCTCACCGTGATGCTTGACCTTTCGTTGACCGTATTCTTCCACGTGGTCTAGTAACTTTGCATCTGCTCTCTCTCTTAAATTGCATGTTATTCTCGTATTCTCTCATTGGCCTACCTAAGCCTCGCCTCTACATTTCTATGTTCTCATAGCCGTCATACATAAAACAACACGTATGCCGAAACAAAGTACACATACATCAGCATTGATTCGGGCCTACGAAAACTTTGAGACAAGACTTTGTGGGACAATGCATAGATGTGATCAGGTAACGCATACGATGATCGTTCATCTGACATGAGGCTGCTTTTCAGTCAGCCACTAACATGAATGCACAGGATCGTTCTTTTCAGAAGACAAGCTATCACCATCGTGTCGTCAGTAAAAGTGAAAATGAGATTTTATTGAGGTTCATAATATCTTAGCGAGTTAAGATATGGCTCTTATTGAAGACAGTATTCGTCAAGTATGATTTAACACAATATGGAGTTGCGAGAGCTCACGGCGAAGCGATCGTTTCACCAAGTCTTGTCACGTGTTCACATGCCACTGAACTTACATCTAAAGGTAGTGATACATGTTCTTTAATGGCATGGCCGTCTCGCAATGATGACTTTGATTGAGACGTTGTGAGGTTAGGTCTGAACTTGGCAGTCAACGGCATCATTTCAGCGTTCAGCACAACTCAATGACGGCAATTAAGAACTCATAACATCGCAACTATCACCATTAAAGCATTAACCGCGGGCCGTCAACCCGTAGACCAGTGCAAAGCCACATCCATCTCACCGAGGTAACGAGTCAGTTTCTGCTGGGAATCCGAAGCGCTCGGTTTTAGAAGAGGAAGGGGCAGCCGCAAGTCCCTCTTGGCAACAGGCCGTGGCACGCCCGCATTCTTTCTCCAACTTCCCCACGCGCCTCTATCCCCCACAAATCCACCGAGATCAAACCATGGATCTGGGGAACCTGCCATCCAGGGGAAGATCGCGGCACAAGAGCTCACAATGTTCTTCACGAAGACGCTTGATTGGCAACGACACCGGCCCACATCCGAGTCGCATGAACCGTTGGCCACGCGGGGTGTCTCCTGCCATGAGCAACGTATTATCCGAAGTAGAGGCGGTGACACCCATCTCCCTGTAAGTCAGACTATGGGGTACGTCGGCCGCTGCCAAGATGATACACCAGCGGCATGTTCACCGAGATGTTTTAAGAACCACCGCTCGCCCGCTCCTCTTGTAGAAGTTCTGCCACAGCTGGAGACGCGTTCTCGACAACGTCCCATCTTCCTCTAACATCCTTACCACGGCCTAATATCCCGCAAGATGGGCCGCCAAAATTCAGCAAACGCAAAGGTCGTCGGCGCCGAGCTGGCGGCCGTCCTTCCGGACATCGGCCCTTGGTACAAACAGCCTCATATCCTTCGCCTCAACCTATGCGTCATCTCAATCATGATGTGCGCTTCAGCCAACGGATATGACGGCTCCATGATGAACGGTACGACTGTCTCCAATCACACAAAGCCCGATACTATCGGTACTAATACGCAGCAGGCTTGTTGGCGTTGCCCCAGTGGCACTCCTTTATGAACCAGCCCACCGGTCCTTGGCTCGGCTTCGTCAACGCGGCCTACTCTCTCGGAAACGTCCTCGTCTACCCGATCTCTGCGTGGGTTTGCAACAAATACGGCCGGAAAATGGGCATCTACATCTCTTGGGGATTCCTTGCTCTGGGTTCAGCTCTACAGACGGCGGCCCCCAACGACGGAGCCTTCGTGGCAGCGCGCTTCATCATCGGTTGCGCCTCCGGTTTCTTCCTCTCAGCCCCTCTTCTTATCACTGAGAACGCGTATCCAACTCACCGTGGAGTCGTCTCAGCTCTGTACAACTGTGAGTGATACTTTCATACCCTTCTCCCCGGGAGGTTTGCTCATGACATCAGGTATGTGGTACGCCGGTGCCGTCGTCGCAGCATGGGCGACCTTCGCAACCCGAAACCTCGATGAGTGGTCCTGGAGAATGCCATCACTCCTCCAAATCGCCCTACCCATTCTCTCCGCCCCGGGCCTCCTCATGATCGGCGAGTCGCCCCGTTGGCTCGTATCAGTAGACCGCGTCGACGAGGCCAGGCTCGTCATCGCCAAAGCCCACGCCGGCGGCGACGTCCACTCCCCGCTCGTCAACTTCGAAATGATGGAGATCGAGGAGACAATCCGGGCTGAGAGGGAGGCTCACTCCGCGACGACTTGGGCCGACCTCTACAGCACTCCCGGAAACCGCCACAGACTCTTCATTTCCGTCAGTTTGGGTGTTTTTGCTCAATGGATAAGTCTCTCCGTCTCTTGTGGGCGGTTCCGTCTCGGCTAACACTCATAGTACTGTGGTGTTGGTGTTATCTCGTATTACCTGGCTCTCGTGCTGTCGTCCGTCGGCATCAAGTCCGTCGACGACCAGACTCTCATCTCAGCCTGCATCCAGATCTGGAACCTCATCTGCGCGACCAGCGCCGCCATCCTGGTCGACAAGGTCGGAAGACGAGCGTTATTCTTAGCATCCGTAAGAGTCCCCCACCCCTATTCACCTTATTACTGTCGCTGACAAGCACCTCACAGGGCACGATCATGCTCATCTCCTTCACCATCGTGACCGGCCTCTCCGGCAGCTTCGCCAGCACCGGCAACGCCCCGACCGGCACGGCCGTGATCCCCTTCCTCTTCATCTTCTACCTCGGCTACGACATCGCCCTGACGCCCCTCATGGTCTCCTACCCCGTCGAGATCTGGCCCTACCGCCTGCGCGCCAAGGGCCTCACCGTCGCCCTCATGGTCTCCCTCGCCTGCGTCTTCTTCAACACCTTCGTCAACCCCATCGCCCTCGAGTCCATCGCCTGGAAGTACTACTTCGTCTTCCTCGCCGTCCTCGTCGTCATGCTCGTCAGCGTCTGGTTCGGGTACCCCGAGACCCGCGGCCGCACCCTCGAGAACGTCGCGTTCCTCTTCGACGGCGACGAGGCCGAGGTCGGCACCGGCACCGCGTCCAGCGCGCTCAAGCAGGCGGACAACGCGCGATTCGGGGAGGTCGCGCATGTGGAGGAGAGCGACGAGAAGAGGTAGCGAGTGTGGAGATGGCTTGGTCTGGGGTATGGGGTCATGATGCAGATGGCTTGGCGTGGATGCGACGTTAGCATGGGTTCTTCAACAATCACGCTTTTTTATGAGAAGTCTCTTTTCCAAGATTCGTGAACTTGACTGCCGCATACATATGCCCGTATCGACCTAATAGCGGCTGTGTCCGTTGGATGCGTTCACCATGCAACGTGCCTGAGCCGGGTATTCTCCACTTTAACGGGGTTCATCCGGGCGCTTCGGACTCCGCGTGAACGGAGCCGCTCCTCTGCTATTAGCAAGCCATTTGTTTTGATTTCTCTGTCTCTGTACCAGCTCCAACCAAAAAACTTCATCGTCAACCAATCAGCAAGTCACTAGCAACACAAATAGGAAGTTAAAAGCCTTCAAACCACCCTCTTCTCAGCACACAATACCTCTCACGGAGCTGTCACAAATCCCACCCCAGTCCATCCAAGGCCCCCCCTTCCCCCGTCTCAACCTCCATCTTTCCCCACGTTCCGCCCCGTTTCCAGACAGGAACAGCCACCCCATTGGACTTCTGCATCCCATGCTCATGCCCCCCGGATCGTCTGACCATTCAGGAAACAGGACTCAGCCGGTGGGATGTATCCGGACGTTGGTGTCGGCAGATGCTCTGCTTCCGTTCCGTAGCTGAACCACCACACCACACCACCCATCGACGGACTACTCCGTGATTCAAGAAAGCTGAAAAAACCAACGTCGCAAAGCTAACAAGCAAGTCGCCGAGACTCCCCGTACGTGCGCCGATACTCCGCGAATTAGCCTCATGTCACCACCATTCAAAGGACCGTTCATCTCGTGTCACGCGACCTGCCAGCAGCATCGTCGAATTCCAAAATCGCTCGTTCCAGTCCGCCAAGACGGCCCGCCCACTTCACAGCTCAGCCTCAGTTGCGCCTCTTCTGCCAAGAAGATCACTAATAGTAGTTGGAAGCGCCGTTTGCTCGAAAGCTCAAGCGAGAGTTCCAAAAAGATGTCCCTAGGCTGGATACCGGCGTATTGCTCGGCCTTGGTCTGGAAATAACGACGGCTTGAACTATCAGTATCTAACTCAATAACTTATTGAGGACCTATATTCAGCACAAAGTCTTGCCGTCGTGCACCTCGGGTAAAAGACCAACAACCGCCGCGGATGCCGCGCAGACCGCGCGCGCCCTACTCGTCATCCCTAGTGCGCCGTCACCCCGGAACTCGGGAGAGGGCAGCCATCATTGCAAAAGTCCAACCAGAACTACGACCAAAAGATACGCACTCAATCTGCTTCACTAGGGAAAGTGGAAGCGATCCGCTGAAGCCCAGCGTCGTCCCAATCCCCCTCCACACCAAAGATGTCCTCCACATTCACCCAGTACCCCTTCCCCACGCATTCGGTGTCCTCTTCCGCCCCGTGCTTGAAAAGGTTCAAGACGCCCACGTTCTCGCAGGCGGCGGCGACGTCCAGCGCCGTCCTGCGATTGTTGTCCTCCGCCAGGGCGTCCAGTCCCCGATCGAGCAGCGTCTTGAACCTGACGTGATGCCCCTCGGCGGCGACGTGCAAGAGCCCCTGGCCGTCGTTCCTCCGAACGGTGAAGTCTGCGCCGGCCGCCTCGAGGGCGGCGAGGGCGCCGGCATCGTCGATGGTCGACAGGTCGGTGCCTCTTGAGTAGAATTCCTTGTCGTGTTTTCTTCTGAGCCCGTTGAAGTACCCAAAGAGCGGCGTCTCGCCTTTCTCGTTGCGCGCGTTGATGTCGCAACCGAGTTTGATCAACTCGTCGAAGAGTGGCCTGAACGTCGACAGCCAGAGCATCCGGGAAAGGATGTGAAGAACCGTGTTGCCCTCGTTATCTGAGAGCAGCGGATCCGCGCCCGCTTCTAGAAGGAGGTCTGCGTAGGTGGTCTTCTTTTCATAAACAGCGCGATCTACAGCGAGATGAAGCGGCGTCTTTCCGTTCTTGTCCTGCTGATTGATGAGAGATCGGTGGAACTCCGCCATGTAGGACAATGACTTGAGTATTCGCGGTTTGCTGCGGATGTCTTCTTCTCGAAATCGAAGCATGTGGTGCATTGCATTCCTGCCTTCCACATCCCGTGCTTCCGGGTCGGCCCCGACATTGATCAGGTGTCTGAATGTGGAGATTTCGGTTTGTTCATCGGGGCTTTCGGTTGCCTGGGAAAACAAGTCGAGAGGCATGTCGGGCCCAAAAGTAGAAGCGCAAGCGGCCAGCAGTAGAGTATATCCTTTGTTGTCCTTGCAATTTGGATCGATGTTGCCTGACAACAGCAACGGGCGAACGATGTGCCCATCAACTAGGAGTTGGTGTAGCAGGATGCACTCCTCATGACCTTCCCAGCTGAACGACGTATCTGGCTCGGGCTCGGGCTTTTCATCCTGAGATTCGTCTGATGCTGGGACCCAGGGGATGGATTTAATCATCCGTTCAATGTGCTTTCCATACAGACGCCCGCGAAGCTGCTGGTGGTAGCAGTCTTCCCCGGTACACCGAATGAACTTGGCGAGAGGGTTAGCTCCGTGGGCCAGGAGTGCATCGATAATTTTGAGAATCGTCGGCCACGTATCCTTCGGAACAAGTTTATCCTTGTCATATGTCGCGTAAAGCTTCGTGGCGGCGTGGTGGAGCGGGTACCATTCATAGTCTGGAATGTCTTCCCTGTCCCATCTGTGAAGAAAATCGTCCATGTCGTCCGCTTGATAAGGCTTCGTCGAGGCTTTATCGAACCTCATATTCGGGTCTACGCCAGCATTCAGGAGTGTCTCAAGCACATCAACTTGCTGCATGTTGATGGCAGTGAACAGCGCGTCCGCCTTGACTGTAGCGCCGTGCTCGATGAGCAAACGGACCATCTCAGCATCCGAGCCAGCGTAAGCAAGACAGGTCTTCCCGGAGGTGTCCATGGCATTCACATCGGCCCCCGAGAGTATGAGAAGACGTGCAGCATCACGCCGGTACATCCCAAATCCGCGCTTCTCACCAGACTCTAATGCCAGATGGAGAGGTGTCTGTCCCTTGTCGTTCTTCAAGTTGAGATTCGCCTGGCGACTGATCAGATACGGCAGGGCTTGTGCGATATGCCACCACCAGTATCCCTTCGCGAGTTGATGGAGGGCGCTGTCTATGGGCTGAACCACTGTCTTGCCATCGCGCGAGACTCTCCTGAAGACCATCTCATTGATGTCGGCGCCAAACTTCTCGACAAGTAAGCGCAGTACGTCAAAAACAGGAAGTTCTTGGCTAACGGCCTGGAAAATGAATGGTTGATGGTTCAGGTTGAGGTTCTCGGGGCTCCAAGCCGTCTTCTGGCCAAATCCCGGTCGATTCTTGTCTCCTATGGCATGCCAAGTACCCTTCTCATGTTGTCGCTTGAGCTCGAGCTGACCTATCCTGTCAACCAGTTTCGTAAAACCGCCTTGAACAAGAATTCCAAAGTTGGTCTTGCCATTTTTGTCAGCATCAGCAAGAAAGTCGACGCCGACATGGAAAAGCTGTTCCACGACGTCGAAATCCCGCCGAGAGAGTCTTGAACGGAACAGTTCTTGGTTCGCTTCTCCTTTCTTTAAGCCATCGAAATTTTGTAATGCTTTGACGATGGCTTCATGACGATAGCTGATCAGATGTTCATCGAAAGTTACTTTTCCTTTGCTTGGTGGGCCGTACTTTCCCGGTGGCTCGAGCCCACGTCTTTTCTGAACCTCGGTGAAACATTTAAGGGTGTAATCCATGAGAGGCAACCTGGACGTTGACCTGCTCTCCCTATAGCCGTCGTGATAGAACCAGTCTCCGGGATCTGACAGATTAGCGCCGTGGTCAAGGAGCATCTCGATGATCTCCTCCAGTCGAGCTGTATTCCTGAAACCATCCGAGCTGACACTGCCAGAGCGTCTCACATCCTGGGGTCTCAACCCTACGGCATCTCCGTTCCCTGGGTCGCGCTCAAAACTCCTTGTCCAGTAGTCCTGCTCTATCTCGAAGTGGGCGCAGGCAGCCCGCAAACCGGGAACCTTGACAGTCGCACCTGCCTTCAGCAACATCGCCACAACTTCGGGCCGTCCCGACTCGCAGGCGTAATGGAGTGGCCTTTTGGCGTCCCTGGCTTCTGCGTCCACTCCGGAAATGGGATGAATATGATCATCCATACGCCAGGATACGAGAGTAATGACTTCAGATTGGCCCGTGTCGGTTCGATGAAGACTGTCAAGCAACAAGCCGACGATGTTGCTCTGCCGGGACCTGACAGCGAGGTGAAGCGGTGTCATGCCATGCCAGGAGGATATCCGCGGGTTAGCTCCGGCATCGAGTAGCTTTTTGGTATTGTGCTCTGAGGTGACAGCAGCAAGATGTAGGGGAGTGATACCCTCCTCATCGGTAGCGTCGATGTTCTTCGTCGCAGAAATCAGAAGATCCACCGCATCTTCCGCCACAGAAAGGTCCCGGCCGCTCCTTCTCTTACAGCACAAATTGTGCAATGGAACTCTGCCTCGGTGGTTTGGTTTATCAGGATTCACTCCAAGGTCGAGGAGCCGCGTCCATACGTGGAGGATGTAGGGGTATGTGCAATCCGGGTTTGAAGAATGCCAACTTAGCTCGTGGAGAAGATTGTCGCCGTTGACATCGACAGCTTGCAGGTCCAAGCCCAAGTCAATCAAAAAGTCAAGTCGTGAATCTGTTTTATGACGTCCGGACGGGTCTGGGCAACCGGGGTGGCTTCTGATGGCTTCGTGAAGAAGAGTTCGCCCCCTTGAATCTCGAGTGTCCACACGCGCTCCACGATCAATCAGTGCCTTGATTTCTCGGTGAGGTTCACCACTGCTGTTAGGTGGGAGTTGGATCGTGCGGAAGAGTGGAGTTTTTCCATTCTTGTCTTTCGTGTTGATATCAGCGCCCGATCTAATCAGGATGTCCATCATCTCCGCTGACGCAGGACTTCTCAGATCGATCACGTCAAATGGCGTCAGGTTTGCGTTGTTCTTTAGATTCGGGTCGGCTCCAGCCAGGATCAAGGCATCGATGATTTCTGGCTTGCATTCTTGCGTCTGTAGTGCAATGTGTAGCGGACCGTTGCCGCTTATGTCTTGGATACCGCAGTCGGGCCTGTACTCCAGAAATTTGGGTACCAAGGCATGATCGGTTAAGGAGAGAAAATGGAAAAGAGGTGGGCTCATTTTCTCGTCGAGTTTGTTAATGTCTGCCTTTCCATGCTCAACCAGCTGGATCATGGCATCAAGGCTGCAGGTCTCATGCAGAGGCGTGCTCCCATACCCGTTGGCGATATTTGGGTCGATCCCCCGCTCTAGTAGAAGACGCGTCCAGACGGGGTTGTTGCATGTTAAATGCAAAAGTGTGCAACCTTTGCGCTGATGGATATCTTCTCCGTTTTTGATGAAGAGATCAAGAATTTCGTCCACAACCGCAGGGTCGTCTTTCAAACCCCCTGCACTGTACTTTTGTCGTTCGTCATTGCAGACCAGGTGCAGTGCGGTGAAACCCCTCGGCTGACGGGTCGGCTTCGGGTCCCCTTCTTCAGCGTAACATCTGTACAAGTACTCTTCCTCGATTTCCATTATGTCGAGTGGGTCATCGCCGACTCGAAATTCCTCGTCTGGTTCACAAAGGATAGTTGGATCAGCCCCCTTTCTGAGGAGAAGAATAATTGTCGCGGCGTTACCGCTCTGACACGCTCGAAAAAGAGGTGTTCCGCGGCGAACCTTACGGTCAATGTCAACTCCAGGCTCCTCGAGAATCCTGGAAACGACTTCCGATCGACCTGCTTTAGATGCCCAGGCGAGTGCCCGATGTATTGTTTCTGAGTCTTTCAGGAATGGCAAGAAAGCGTCGACTGCTTCCAAGTGACCATTGTGACAGGCATACTGTTGAATTTGAGTCAGCCGCTATTCTCATGTTCTGCAAACAGTCGCATATGACTAAATAGAAGAAGACAAAAGACTACTGGGGAAAAGGCTAACCATTAGAGGGGTTTCCCCAACTGTACTTCGAGTGTTTCCACATTCCCTGACGCCACCATATTCCATAGTCTTGGGAGTCAAGGGATCTACGCCAGCACCGAGAAGAAGTTTAATCACTTCAGGGTGATTCTTGCTGGCTGCCTCATGTAAAGGCTTGCGTCCGTGGTCCGTCTCGGCACGATCCGGATTGGCACCGGCTTCTATCAAGACTTGGACAGCCTCTGCTTTTCCGGATGTGGACGCCCAGAACAGAGGGGTCTTGCCGTACGAGTCGATGGGATCCACGCTGGAGCCAGTAAGGAGGAGATGTTTTGCCCAGCCAGCAAGACCGTATCTTGCGGCGACATGCAACGGTGTGACGCCTCTTCTATCGTTCAAGTATGCGCCGAACCAGTGGATCCCGAGCCATGCGTCCAGATAATGAGGATGGCCCACAAACTCATCCAGTGCCTGGTTGACCTGGACCTGGTCATGACCTTCCGGAGAGGATCGAGCTAGATGGATATGCCAATTGCTTGCTGCATACTTAAGAAATGGGTGTTTCAAACTGAGTTTAGTTCCCCCAATCTCGTGGTCGTAAAGGTTCATCCGCGGAGGAGCCTTTGACTCATGTATATCGTCAAGGCTTCCCGCCTGCAGATATTTCAGACACGCCAGACCGAGCTTAGCATGAGTCTCCTCGGAGAACAAGATCGGATATCCGTCCCCAGGGCTTCTGTTCACTCCTGTGAGGTACTCGGTAAACGTGTGATGAACAACGCAGACTGTCTCATCAGGCATTATTTCTAGCAAAGGCCCACAAGCTGCTCTGATAAGGTTTTTGACACCGCTGAGGTCGTGACTGACAATATCGGTGTGCGTGACGCTGATCATCTCGGCCATCTCAAGCAGTCGAAGAGGACGAGTCGAGTGCGTAACCCACTGAAGAATCAAGAGCTGAATATTATCCGGAACTTCAGATCTGCGACGGTGCTCCTGCAGCAGCTCGGTGTACATCGCCCACATGTCGTCAGGGAGCGACTTCAAAACCGCCCTAGCATCGGCGCCAGGATCGAGGAAAGCATCCATTGCTAGCTTGGCGTACAGAAAGATGCCGTTTGCTTGTCCAGGAATAGCTTGTTGAATGACGTATTTATCATCATTTGAGATGGTGGGAGTCTCCAAAGCGCGTCGGACGAAAGTTGAGATGTCCTTATCAACCATTTCCTCGTCAAGCCTAATCTTAGAGTGATTGAATGTCCGTATCAACGCATCCATGTTGCCCATAGGCCTGCTGGTGAGGATGACTTTGACTTTGTGGGGTTTCCAGTTGCCCAGCTCGAAGAGTGCCTCCACGAACTTCCAATTGCCTCCGTCCATCTCGTCGAGAGCATCAGCAACACAGAAGACGTTGCCGTGTAACCCAGATATCGCCATTCGAAGATCTCTCCACAGGTCGTCCGTTGACATGCTGCTCAGCTCTCGGTTCGTCTCCACATATTCCTTGATCTGTTGTTGAAGCGGCGGACTGTACGAGAGAATCTGGTCCAGCCAGTCCCTCAATAAAGCCACAGGCTCGTGGTTGGCGGCGACGATCTGTCGGAAAAAGAAAAACAGGACCGGTGTTCCTGGGTGGTTGCGAGATAGCTCTCGTATGATCTTCGATGCCAGTACCGACTTTCCGGAGCCTGGTATGCCCTTGATCCACAAAAGTCCTCGGTCTTGACTTTGAAGCCATTCTTGATACATGGCAGTCGAGGTGACCCAGTCGCCTGTGCCTGGTGCGTGAGAGGCCAAGTGCTTGCGGTATTCGCCGCTTTCAAGGTCGTATGCAGTCGGCTTGAGCCATGCTCTGAGATTCTTGATGACCTCGGGAGGCTCGGGTAGGACGTGGTCAGGGTTGTAATTGCTCACATCGTCGTGGTCGATGACGACGGCGTCCGTGTCGCTCAGGCCGGAGGACATGACAGACTTCGATGGCGGTAGGATTGAGAGAATGAATAGTGTCCGTTGCCAGGTTGAGGTCCAAGTGACTAGAAAATTGATCTGGAACGGTGAACGTTGGTCTCCAGTAACGCGGTGAAAGGAAAGAGAAAAAGGTCATTCAGAGAAAACGGCATTCGAGGGGTTGCCGGTGCGATCATAGTTCTCGTTCGATGCTGCCTTGTTGGTTGGGAGAGTAACTTTTGGCAAGAGGCAGCTGTTGGAGACCGGCACTTGCATCCCATGTCTCAACCAACCACCGCCGTAGTGGCAGCCTGATGGCAATTGCGAACCAACACAACCGAGCGGTCTAATGCTTCCGCGGCTTGGCTGAGCGGCGTCGTTGGTGCGCTGCAGGGGACACGGGAGGCTTAGACCACTAAAATCGCATTGAAAGTGAGACTTTTGTTGGTCGTTGTGCATGCCTGAATCAGAACCTTGGTACCTATTCGTTGAATTGGAAGAATGTGGGCAAAGGCCAAAGATCGCAATGGCGATCGTTTGTTTTGCCTGCAGAGGAGTTGGTTGGCTGGAATAGTGAAATATTGCGGGCGCGCATGTAAATTTTCAATCTTGCTGGAAAATCGAAGATGGACTGGATATACGACGTAACATCATCCGAAGCTTTTTGCGCCATCAATTTCAGAATCTGACCAAGTTTAGAAATGTGTACTCGTTGGGTACGGCGAGATTCGACCAAAATAATAAGGGTGGCTGTATTATATTGCGCGGCGTATTGCATTTGCTGCATTTGCCGAGCTTCTTGATGGTGTATTTTATGTGGTGGACGTGAATTGAAGTGATTATGATCATCGGCCCTTCTTTTGGATAGACTCATTCAAATGGAACTCAGAAGACGAATGGATCTTCATGATTAGCAAGCTAGATGTATAACTAGGAAGATCACTTTTGGGACAGCCTTGCCGTGCTGGAGGATGACAATTATTGAGTTGATAACCTGCAAGCTTCGCATGTTGACATGACGACCAATCGCGCTCGGAAGGGATGGGGCTTAAGTTATGCACCGCCATTCTCAAAGCTTTGGGCTTTCTCAGCCAGGAGAAGTGTTGTCGTAATGGCATGATGCGATTGTCTTTTAACTTTCTCGTAACACACCATCGTCACAACCCTTTTCACTAGTTACAAAATAGCTAGATTTATCCGATACGTGCGGTTGACTAATGTGAATAGAAACATTATGGAAGATGCTGTTGCCCGTTTAACAACAAGGACAGCGGCCAGATACACGTTGAGGAGGGCGCAACTAGGTCTCTCAGCTAGTTATAGTTAAGTTTTAAGAGGTACCCTATTCTAGCTCTGAAAGAGTGTGATGTCTTCGCCTGTAAATCCAAGTAAGGCACCCTCCTCTGTCTTCTTCTGGATTGTCGCTGCGTAGAAGCCACTTTATTTAGGTACATCTACGTACGTATTATATTGAAAGGTACGGATTGCTTAGATCTGGCGCCTTCAAAGCAAGTATGTGAGATTGCCAGAGAGCATTTTGCGTCCATCAAGTCAACAAATGCAATATGCCGCGCAATACAATGCAGCCAGCCACCATTATAATCTGGCCGTTATTATCATCTCTCCAAACCCAATGAGTACACATTTAACATTCAATATTCTGAAAGGATAAAACTCTGTCCTGATAAGGTCCTTCAAGTCAAACTAGGACTGTGATATAAAGTGATTCCAGTTTTAGATTGTAATGCTTTAGTCGCCCAAAATGAGCAAGCACGGAAGCCTTTTGAGAAATCAGTAAATGTAACATTGTGCCACAATATGCAGCTGTTATGATCAATCTTCAAATGCACAGGGATAGATGACTAGAAGTACTGGGAATATATATGGCTCAACGAAGACGCCCTAATTGTGACGCAAGTCTTAATAAATGATGGGATGATAAAGGAAACTGCTTCGGCATATCTATCGCTGCCTTTCCTAATTGACATACGTTTCAGCATCAGATTATCCTTTTACTGAAAAGAAATGTGTATTTTTAAGGAAAGGTGAGCCGTGTGTAAGGTATTCTCTTGAGGTGAAATCGCAGTATTCGTCTTTGCCGCCCACTCATTTGACTTTTCTCAGCAATTTCCGCAGGGCGTAGGCAGGCGAATCACTGAAGGGACGGAGCGGCCCGAAAAATAATGTTTTAACGGTATGTCATTCGACTCTATCAGGGCAAGTGTGGGATACCGGCACTAAGCTGAAGCAGTAGTCGCCCAGCGTGCGAAATAAGCGCGTTAAACGCGGGGCCGTGTGAGCGGAAAGTCATTTGCGTCATCATACGCTTGACAGCCCGGGGTTTGCTGGGTCTCGACGGGCCGGCGATGGATCTCGCCAAACACCAGAGAGAATGTGTGTGGTTGTGGTCGCATCGCAGATATGATGTTCCTCGCTGGGTTTAACCGAAACCGAGACGCTAAAGCAACCACAAGAGGGGTTGTAGGGCTGACAGTATTCGGCCGAGACGTGGTCTTTCTTGTCTAAATCATTGGTTTGCAACTGGCTTCCCGGTTGGTGGCAGCTAGGGTATCTGTCGTGGGACACTAAGATGGGTTATGATCATCTCAACTCCATATATGCATCGTCTGACTGCATTGGCCGGTAGTTCTTGCGGCTTAGAAGGTTGTTTCAACTGCTCGCCGACCGAATGGCCCGCTAAGGTGCCCAGTATCAGTATCGGCTCGACGCATTCAATAGCCATTGCGTCTTCTGATAAACGCGATGGTTGAATGTCGGGACGAGATGTTGTTCTCTTCGAAGATGAATTATATTTTCCCTGAGATATGACCAGCAACTGCGAGCAAATAACCCGTAAGACGTCGCAATGACCATTCAAAACCACGAGGGTGACGTGGACCGGGAAACACTTTGACAGATGTCGGGGATAGTGATTTGGAATTTGAGACGATCGCCTGTTTCCTTTTTAGGGTGTTGGCTGCAGTTCGCGGTTGCTCTTTTTTTTAGGGGGCCCAAGCTCCTGTAGCTGCCAGGACTGCACGTGCCATCTGCCGGATCGGAAGCTCCGCCCCAGCGGTGCCAGCGAATGGAATGGCAGGAGCGATGAGAGCGCACGAACTCACCTACGTCATGGGCCGGTCACCTCGAATTCCTCCTGCAAAGAAACGACGCCTGCCTGGTCTTGACTTCGCATCTTCACCAACGTCCAAATTTTGTTGGTTCCAGTATCGACGTCGACCTGGGCATGAATGAGCTCACGCGAATATCCAACACCCCATCCCACGGCTTTCCTATCCACTGGCGCGCCATGCTGTCCTGCTTCGGCATTGGCCGGTCGCGCGAGGATCGCGAACGCGAGCCTCTGCTGCCACGCTACAATGACGACACGGCTCTCCAGCAGCGACTACACGAGAAGCTGCACACGTATCAGATGCTAAGAGCGCTCGGAAAGGGATATATGCCGTCCAACGAGCAGCTCATCATCAATCTGCGTACCCTCTTATCGGCCGACGTCCTTAACCCCGACACGCCAGACCTCAGCGACTCGGGAAGGGCACTTGTGCTGAACGTCAAGCTTTTGATCAAGCAGCTGATCGAGCTCCTTATCCACAAGAACGACCAGGACCAAATCCAGGATTTTATCTGGTATCTTACCAAAGCCCGACTCTCCATCGATACCTACGACATTGGTGCACGAGCATCCAAGGCCAAGGCTAAAGCCGATACCTTCGCTGGTGGGTCATGTTCTATTTACACCTTTCCAACACTGGGGTACTACGCGAGTCGCCGCGCGCTACCTTACGTTCCATTCGAGCCAAACTTTACATGAAAGTCTGATCATAGTTTAAACTGACATTATTGCCAAGCATACAAAAGCTTACAAACCGTGGGATCTTTGATATTAACCAACTCGGATTTTCGTCTACTACTCTCGGATCTTGGAACCATTGGTCGAGAAGTTTTCCGCGACACAGCCTTCACCTTGTCCGACGTTTCTAAGCAGGCTGCCAAGAAAATCGAGCCTTCCAAAGAGGACGAAGAAAACATCCGAAATCCGAACGGGGACTCCAAACCTCCCCCTTCCAAGGACGACATCAAAGATGAGGTCGTCGAGGTGTCCCAGGTTGTCACCGAGGGCGTCGCCCGTGTCGCTGACGAGGCCGGCCAGAGCCTGGCCGAGCACATCACGGGCGAAGAACAGGAGACTCTTGTGCACCGATTGAAGAAGACGATTCTCAATCTGCGTGAGAGAAAAGACTACTCCGACTCGGTATCGACGCTGTCCCTCCTTATCAGGAGGTATTTGCTAGTCTATTCGCACGCCATCTCGGATACCGTCCAGGTCGCTCAGGATGACATCGAAACGAATCCCGAGGCTGATCGAGCCCTCAAGAACTTCTGGCTGTTCTTGACCTCACTTGGAGATCGCAAACACTGGGACGAAGTAGAGCGCTTATTCAAGGTCGTCATGGAGCATGGCCGTAGCGACCCTGAATTCGACGAGCTCGTCAGGCAGATTGGCAACTTGCTCCAAGACATGTTAACTGATCCCGACTTCTTCGATCATGCCGAAGATCGCTTCAAAGAGCTGAGAGAAAAGTCGAAAGAGCTTACATCAGAGTCATCGGTTCGCGACGATCTGGATGCATTGTTGGACAAGATGCATCTAGCACTGCGCTCGGTACTTGACGACACCGACATCAAGAAAGTTCTCAACACCACGAGAAGAATTCTCAGAATTCTGTCGCCGGCACACCAGTACACGAATGGGGAGTTGGTTGCGGACTCTGTCAACGTTTTCATCCCCATGCTTGTGCAGGCTATACAGTATCTCCCGATTCCTCGTCTGGAGGTTTCAGCACCCGCAATCGATCTCCTTCTGGAGAACCTCATCCTGGAACCAGGACGCACCATCAACAACAGCTCTTTCCTCCCCTTCAAGATCAACATCTCGACTCAGAATGACGTTGAAATCCGCAAAGCCCGTTTTCGCACGACTTCCTCCGTGAAAACGCTGATGCGAATCACGGTATCCGGCTTGTCCATCGCAGCGGAAGACCTCGGCTTTTGGCTGCGCCTGCATTCGGGTATCCTCAGACTAGCCGACGCTGGCATCGCTGGATTCCACCTTGATGAGCGCGGTATTGACGTTGCGATTGATGTGGAGGTCGGTAAGGAGAGACTCGAGAACATATTGACTCTTCACAATGTCCGCGTTCGCATCCACCATCTGGATTACACTCTCCGAAAGAGCAAGTTCGCCTGCCTCGCTTGGGTGCTGAAGCCGTTTATACGACCCATTGTCAAGGCGGCATTGGAAGCCCAAATTGCAGCTAGTATCGGCGAGTTGCTTCATTTCGCTAACAGAGAGCTTCTGTTTGCGCGTGAGCGACTCCGGGCCACCCGTATCGCCGACCCGCAGGATCTGTGGACATTCCTCAAGGCCGTGGCAGCGAGATTGGTGCCACCGGAGGAACCAGATCTTTACACCCGGGTGGGTGTCACACAACCCGGAAGGGGCGTGTTCAAGGGGGTCTACGCCCCCGGCAGTCTCGTCAAAATGTGGAACGAAGAGGCAGCCCTTGCGGGCGACCGAGTGCACGAATATCAGAGAGACGGGTGGCGCAATGCGATTTTCGACATTGGCACTACGACGGTTTGACGTTGCAGTGCTGCTGCTGGCGGGTAAATGGCGCAGTGCAGACGCGGTCGACCGAGAGACGACTGCATTAGCAAAAGGACGAGACACGGCACGGAACGGTATGCATTCAAAACAAGCAGGTACTATTGTGTAATTCTAGTGGCAATGACAGGGAAAACAGGACCTCTTACGAAAATGGAAAGTCGTTCAATCTTGCGAGCATGTGCTTGTAGCTTCAAGTGGTCGATGGTTCGGCAGATGAGATCGGCGCAACATTACCAGGCGATGCATGTCGCAACACAGCAAGCCACTATTAGCCGTCGGCTCAACAGTCTTCCCATCCCACGATCCTGTTAACCTCCACTGGTCGTGCTGCTCATACCGTGGTCGTCGTCGTGGTATCCGTACTCCATCTCGATCGAGCAGGAGGAATGTGACGAATCTCCGCCAAGTCAATTTGGCCAATCTTAAACGGGTCATTGCCAGAAGAGGCTTGATTTTAATGAGCTTGGTTCACCAGCTTCCTGATTTATTCAGCACTACGAACGAGGTTTTCCAAGCAGCGGACGGTAAGCGCCCGTCAAGCGCCATCCTCCATGGGACACCGCGGTCGTCTCATTCTATGTCGCGAGTCGTTGTGTCTAGCTGCCAAGAGCACATGCTGAACTCGACGTTCATCTCGAGTCATCACGCACTATGTACACGACATGGAATGACCGTTGCAATGCCCCTGCAGCTTGCCACCCTGACCCTGTGGCAGCGTTGCACCTTGGCCATTGCGGCTTCCCGAAAGTTACGTGTGCTTGAATTCAGGACGTCTCTTTTGCAGGAAGGCCGTCATTCCTTCATTGAAATCGCCAAGGCTGAAGGTCGAGTAGTAAAGAGATTTCTCCATGGTCATTCCGGCGTCCAAGTGGCTATTTTCAACTGCGACAGGGTCAGCGAGTCATATTTCACAGGCCCCGCCCCCTCAATCCCTGAGATTCGGAGCCATCCACTACGGCAAAAAAGGGGAGACGCACCAGTAAGGACGGCCTGCTTAGCGGTCTTGACGACGGGCCCCGACATGGCCGCAATGCGCTCAGCGAGCTTGAGGGCGGCCGGGACGACCTCTGCAGGAGGGAACACCTTGTTCACAACGCCGAGGCGCTCAAACTCGGCTCCGCTTGCTGAGTCGCCCGTAAGGACGAACTCCATAGCCTGCGGGCGGTCAGTTCATCTGTCTCTACGCTGTTGCGTACCGGCATATTGGACGGTAGAAGAGGGTTTTAGAGCACCCCGGTCAAACCTAAGTTTTCTCGCTCTCGGTTTGACTCACCTTGTGCTTGCCCAAGGCGCGAGCTAGACGTTGAGTTCCGCCAGCACCCGGAATAGTTCCGATCTTGATCTCAGGGAGACCGAAAGAGGCGTTCTCAGCGGCATAGATCATATCGCACTTTCGCAAATGTTAGCCCAGAGAGCCTAAAGCGACTACGTTCGCCTAGCAGCAAGAGCGTGGGGGCTCATGTCACTTACCGCCAGAGCAATCTCGCACCCACCACCCAACTAGAAGGCTTACGCATTAGCTATGGGTTTCTCATGTGGACTGAGAGGGGAAAAGCAAACAACAACGGGGCGCCACAACGGCTATTGCCAGCCAAGAGCTAAAACACTTACAGCAAATCCGACAACAGCCGCGATGATAGGCTTGGAGAACCTGGCAAAGGCGTCTGTTAGGTCCTTGAGAAAGGCGCGATGGTGGGCCTCCGCCGTGGAGATCTGCACCAGCTCGTTCAGATCCATTCCGGCTGCATCATAAAACGGATTAGCTAACGTTATGGTGTCCATTAGATTAGATGAAAGGTCCACTGGCGGGTCCCCCGTTTGACCATTCTCAGTACGTTTCAGAGATTCAGAAACGTGATCGATCCAACGACGGACGACCCCCTGTGTATCACGTCCGTGGGGAATCAGATGGATATGGGATGGCAGTTGTGTTCGTTGACTGCCGTGTGCGGCGGCGCGCCTGTGTGACGATGTGCCCAGATGCACGTGGTAGGGGGGTCACCCGCGCGCTGATGAGAAGCACACAGAAAACAGGAGATGCCGAGGAAAAGTAAGGGATGGGGCAAGATTTCGAACGTGTGAGGGGTTTGCGCCTGTCGCACCAGCACCCCAAAACCGTATGGCAAACACCAGAATTTTCGGGGCCCAACTTTGGAGAAGAAACATGGAGATGTCTCGAACAACGGTATGAAAAGAAAAAAAAACCTGCGAGACGTACCGCAAAACGGTCCATCGGGACCACCGGTGACGACAACGGCGCGGACGGTTTCCAAGGCGTCGAGGTGCGCCAGAGTCGCAATGATCTCGCCGATCATGACTTGAGAGAAGGCGTTCCTCTTGGCCGGACGGTTGAATCGGACGAGGGCGACGCCCTTGTCGGCCTCGACAGTCAATTGGAGAGTCTGGAGATTGTCCATGTTGGCTTCGGAGAAAAAAAAAAACAATGAAAAACAAGGTCAATATTTTGGGCCGAGACGAGATTGGAAGATGGGGAAAAACGGGCGAGCTAGGCAGGGCGAGATGACCTAGAACTTGGTGAGCTTGGATGATGGATCGAGGTCTTCTGGCGTGGCTCGACACATGGCAGCGAGACAAAGAAGTATTCTTGCTTCTGCCGCCCTTTTTTTGCTTCTCCCTTTGCTCGCATCAACTTTCTTCTTCACTAACAGGCGGCACGCATTGCATGCGGGTCGCCCTGTTAATGATATGACCGAATTCGGCCGAGGCGAGGGGACCTGCGTCTAAACCTTAGCGTCGCATCGAACTGGAGCCCCAAAAATCAAGGGAGGAGGGAGAGGGGCGGCCGAAGGTGGACGGTTGGAACTTGTGAGGAGCCGCGATGTTCAGGGTGTACCCCGGACGCCATCACCAACCGGGGAGGACACCGACAAGGTTTAAGACCATGGCAGCGCGATGCTAAGATGACAAGGCAAGGCATAACCCGCAAGCGCCTGGCACATCCTCCACGATCGCTGGCACGTACAGACGGCAAGAATCGACTGATTTACAACGCCTTTGTAAGCCACCCCTGACGCCTATTCACAAACAAGCCAAGGATTCCCCTAAATAGCCGCAGCAGACTGCGGATATGTCGTCAGGGTCCCTGATACAAGGCCAACTTCGACGTCCAGGGCCGCCATGGCCAAGCGCCTCCCGGCAAGTTGCAACGTCAACAACGGGATGGAAACAGCTGCCACATTGGGCGGAACTGCTCCGGATCAGCCTCCGCTTTGCCCGAATCTGGACGTCTCCTCCGGCCAAGCCCCGCCGTCCGGCCTGCGGTTCTGTTACCGCGGGATGGAGACTGGCGTTACAACCAAATTCCTGCCCGTGTCGGGGCCCTGGGCGAACCTGGACGGTCTGGCAACGTCCGTGTTGTCGTGTGTATGGATACAGCCTACCCTACCTGCCTAACGGAAAATCTCCATGGCCCATCGGATCCAATTTGATCCCATACTGCGCGTTGCAAGGCCGGCGGACTTATTCTCGACCATCCCAGACAACAACCCTTGACAATCACGATGCGGTTTCCCCGTCCTGCTTGCAAGCTTCGGCACATCATTCGTCATGATCCTTGACTAACGGCGGCAGGTATCCGCTCCTCCGCCGATATTCTCATTCACGCTATTTCGACAGCATCCGATCACACAAGGCCCCCTTGAGGATGGCTCCGTCGAGCTCATCAGAGGGCGGTCCAGTCTCCACCGCATCTAAAACATTCGTTCTGCAAACTGCGTAGTAGGCACTAGGCAGGAGCTGAAAGAAGAAACGAGGCCCCGTTCTGATATCCCCCATGGCTAGTATTGCCGGGGGGTTCTAGAAGCTACAACCTTGTTTATTGCTATGCTCGGTGCAGGTTTTGACGAGTTTCCCAACGGGAGCAACATGTGGTTCGGATGTCAGGGCTTGCACGGGCTCTTGGGCTGGACGGTTCGTGAAATGTCTTTCCCTACACACAGACGAACTGGGCAATACAGGGCCAGAACATGGCATGGGACCCGACATGATGGCCCAGGTGGATGGGGATATATCTCTCTCGAGGTTCCCACCTCTCCTCCTCGAGCTCTGATTTCCCACGCGTCACTGGTGGGCACATTCACTCAGAGCATCAACCTCGAGCTCTACTAATCATGGTCTCCTCACGTTCCTTCCACTCGCTGGAAAGCCTCTCCCTGGCGGATCGAGTGCTTTTCAACCAGTTCAGCAGAGGCCCGAGTGATGTGATCCCCTACCACGTCGTCCACCACGCCTTCGAGTCCATCGCCGCGGCGCATCCCGACGTCACCGCCGTCCGACACTACGATGGCACAACCATCACCTACCGCGAGCTCAACCGCAGAGCCAACATCCTCGCCAATGAGCTGAGGAGCACGTACGGCCTCAGGAAAGGAGACCGTGTTGTCCTCGTCTACTCCCGGTGCATTGAGATGGTTGTCTTTATCTTCGCCGTCCTCAAGGCCGGTGGCCAGTACGTCCCCCTCGACGGCGGTATCATTCCCGAGGACACCCTCGGTTACGACATCTCCGACTCCAATGCCCCCGTGGTGTTGTGCCTGCCCAAGTTCAGAGAAAAGGTCCTCCGCAGTGTTCCTGCCGACAGACAGCACCGGGTGAATGTCGTCGATCTTGATGCCAACAGCTGGCTCTGGAAGCACGGTAACGCGGGACACCCCGGTGTCATTGTAAAGCCCGAGGACGGCGCCTACGTTATCTACACCTCCGGCACCACTGGACGCCCCAAGGGTGTTGATGTGAGACACGAGGGCGTTACTAACACGCTTCTGACCGAGCCCTCGAAGCTCGGCATTCGCGTGGGAAAGAATGTGGCGCAACAGTTGAACGTTGGCTTCGATATGTGTAAGTCATCATGTCTCAAACTCTAAATACTGTCTGTCTCTGTTCAGACCCATGCTGACGCGACAAAACCGGATAGGCGCGTGGGAGATTCTGGGTACTATGATGAACGGTGGTACGCTTCACATCAGAGGCAGCGGCAATGACCTTTGGACGGATTGCTTGCAGCGTGTCGACACCGTCATCGCGACGCCCTCTGTCGTCCTCAAGCACATGCCCCGTCGTGAGGACTTCCCTAATATCAGAACCATTGCCGTCGGTGGTGAGCCTTGCCCTCTGGCCCTCGCCGAGCAATGGGCCCCCTACATCAAGTTCTGGAACGTTTGCGGCCCGACCGAGATCAGCATCCTCAACACCGCTCACCTGCACAAGCCCGGAAAGACGCTCTCTATCGGCAAGCCCAACCCAAACACCAACGTCTATGTCCTCGATGAAAACGAAAACCCCGTTCCCATCGGCGAGCCGGGTGTTATGTGGGCTGGCGGTCCTGGCGTGTCCAGAGGCTACCTCAACCTGCCAGAGCTAACCTCGCAGAGATACAAGCTGGACAAGTTCACGCAGGATGGGTCAGTATTTCCACTTCGATATCATTCTGGGATAAAACACTGACACAAGAAACAGTCGCATGATGTTCAACACCGGTGATCTTGCCCGCTGGCTTGAGGACGGCAGCTTGGAGCCCCTCGGCCGCAAGGATGACCAAGTTAAGATCTCCGGCTTCCGTGTCGAGCTCGACGGTGTTTCCAGAGCCATTGAGAGGCACTCCGCTGTCACCAAGGGTTGCGCGCTGAAGATCGATGATCGTCTTTGGGGCTTCTACTCGGCGTCGTCGCCCATTGACGAGGCCGAGCTCAAGGCCATCGTCGGCGAAGGCCAGCCGTTCTACGCCGTTCCCACCGTTTGGAAGTACCTCCCCGTCATCGAGCTCACCCCCAACGGCAAGGTCGACAAGAGAGCTCTCAAGGACATTGCCAGCGGTGCCAGACAATCTCTGCCTCCTCTGCCCCTTCCGCCCATCTCGACCTCCATGTCCACGCCTCAAAACTCCTCCAGCGCATCTTCCATCAAGACCGAGGTTGCCTCCCCCACGAAGAGCGAGAGCGGCCTCACCCTCGTCGATTCCCGCACCTTCACTGTTGTGCCGTCTCGCGGCAGCGACCCCGACCTCGAAAAGACGGCTGCCTTCGTCGAAGAGGAGGCCGAGAAGCAGGAAGACTACGAGCTGCCATCCAAGAACGGCTTCCACGGATGGCGCTGGATCCGTCACCGCGGTCTCAACGCCTATCGCAAGTTGTTCGGCGTGATCTTCCTCGCCAACCTCGCAACCTTCGTCTTCCTCCTCTGGGACGCCCGCGACAGGAACTTCTCTCTACCGCTCAACCACCTTGCCACCGCCGTCGCTGCCAACCTCCTCGGTGCCGTCCTCCTCCGTCAGGACTACGTCGTCAACTTCATCTTCTGGCTCTGCTCCCGCGTTCCCACTTCGATGCCCCTTTCCATCCGTCGCCACTTCGCCCGCGTCTACCACAACGGCGGTGTCCACTCGGGCTGCGCGGTCTCCGCTACCGTCTGGTGGGTCATCTTCACCGGCGCCGCGACGGGCAACTTCCTCGCACCACAATCGCTATACAACGTCTCTCTCATTACTCTCGTCCTTACGTACCTAATCCTCCTGCTGCTGCTCGCCATTCTCGTCATGGCGTACCCCTCAATCCGCGCAAAGATGCACGACCAATTCGAGTGGACGCACCGCTTCGCCGGATGGTCAGCCCTCGCGCTCGTCTGGGCCCATGTCGTCGCGACCGCCGCCTCAACCGCTTCACCCACGGAGCCCCTCGGCATCACCCTCGCCAAGACACCCGCGCTGTACCTCGTCGCCCTCACAACGCTCTCCATCGCCCTCCCCTGGATGCGCCTCCGCCGCGTCAAGGTCGTCCCGGAGCCCCTCTCCAAGCACGCCGTCCGTCTGCACTTCGACTTCTGCACCCCGGGCCCCTGCACCTCCCGCGGCGTCCGCATCACCGACCGCCCCATGGTCGAATGGCACGCCTTCGCCGCTATCCCCGAGCCCAGCGGCAAGGGCTTCTCCATCGTCGTCTCCAAGGCCGGCGACTGGACCAAGCGCATCATCGAGAACCCGCCCACCTCTATCTGGACCCGCGGCACCCCGGCCTCCGGCGTCCTCGCCGTCGCGCCCCTCTTCAAGAAGATGGTCCTTGTCGCCACCGGCTCCGGCATCGGCCCCTGCCTCCCCGTCCTCATGGAGCGCCGCGTCCCCGCCAGGGTCGTCTGGTCGACAAAGAACCCCCTCAAGACGTACGGCCAGGGCGTCATGGACACCATCCTCAAGGCCGACCCAGACGCGCTCATCTGGGACACGGACCAGCTCGGCAGGCCCAACCTCGTCCAGCTCGCGTACAACGTGTACAAGGAGAGCGGGGCCGAGTGCGTCGCCATCATCTCCAACGGGCCCACCACCAACAAGTTCGTGTACCAGATGGAGAGCAGAGGCATTCCCGCCTTTGGACCCATTTGGGACTCTTAGACTTTACGGGTTTGATCTTATCTCTGGGCGGGAGGGAATTTGGAGTCTGGCGGCGGAAATATTGGGTTGCATGTGATGTGATACTCCGGCGGATATGCATGCACGGGTTATTGGGTTTTGGTCTACTTAGAGCGAAGGTCTCTCTTTTTTGAATTTTGTTTTCTTGTGTCTACTTTTTATATCCCATCACCACCGCCATCACCAACGTCACAGGCATTTATTCCCCTTGTAACAAAAGTATTTATGTAGTAAACGGTTCGTTCGCATCAGGTTCATGTAGTTCGGACTGTCAATCAATAAGATTCATGACGAGATTCTTGTATTTCCTCTGTGTCACTGTGAGATATGTTGGTGTTGTCGGTGCTCGATATGATCTGAGGAAATCGAGGGAGTTGAGTTGAGATTCGTGGAGTTGACTGACACTTGGAGTGATGGTAGTCGAATACAGTTGCAGTCCTGGAGAGAGCAGATAGTCGGTACAGGTATGCACCAGGTGTTTGTAGATGAGGAAGTTAGAGACGGCTGGGTCACAGTCTATTCAAACTGAGAAAGTTTATGAAGCTGTAGCCAGAGATGATGCCGGGTCCGCCGTCACCGGCCCCACATGACGGCACTCGGAAGCCGGCATCGACGGGCCCCACCCCGGGTGTTTTCGTAGTGTGGCGGTGTCAACCGACCTAATTCAGACGTGAAGCTGCGGATTGAGTCTTTGGCCTGGCCAGCCCTTCGACCTTGAGGGGTGAGGCCATCCACAAGCGCCACTACATTCGCCGTCAGAAATTTTATCACGAGGGAGTTTCATTCTTCTCAAATGTTCACTATCAAGCATGTACTCATTAGGTATAGCGGGCCAAAACGATGAAGGTGGCTGCATTATACTGCGCAGAGAATTGCTGTACACGTACAGGCTTGGCCAGGGCAGAATTCCAGTATGTGATTTGGAAACCTCAACAACAATGATCAGCGTGTGAAACTTAAAAGAGTATCTGAGTTTGTGGCAAGGGCATGGCGAGATGGTGGAAATTTGGTACGAATACGTCTTGCACGAACTCTCCTTGCATTGCGTTGCCCCTCTGGTCACTTTCCGGGGAGGAATGCTGTATTGCCACTCCGGAAACGTCTTCCGACTACTGAGATGATTTCCAATCAATCGTGCAATTAATAATGATTGTCCCAGGGGAAACGTTTCAATCGACAAAGTTGGTGAGACGAGGAGACGGCGGCAGAGCTTCCGACACGGGATGTGTAAAACATCGACCAGCTCTCGATTGAATTCCAACAAGAACAAAAAGAGAAGTTGCGCAGTAGGGCGTACCCGAAGCTCCTCGGGTTCCTCGGCGCTGTGTTCCGAACCTGTCTGTCGGAGTTGGACGCTCAAAAATGTGCCGGCGGGATTGGGGCAGGATGGACATCCACGATGGTTACAAAAGCCGTCTGGATAAACTCCGCGTTCACCGGAGGGCGCCGTTTTCAAGGGTATGTCGTCGTGTCATACACGTCGGAAGATTCCATCTTCCGCACCTCTGGCGAAGTCCGTTGTGTGAAGAAGGTTGGCCACGGAGGACTTGTGGCAGGTTTGTTCTACGAAGCTTTCCTGTCGGTGATGGAACTTTACCACTTCATCCGGGACAGGCCAGACCTTACCATTGGTACAGCTTGAGCTGTTGTTGTGAGAAAGATATGAAAAACACCTGTTCGCCCCATGGCTGGAAACCGTTGATACGCCTTTGAGGCATCGGTGTGGGGGTGGGTTACGTCGCCCTGACCGAAAGTGATCCTGCGGTGCGAGCCAACTAGAGAGCTCCGTCGCCTTACACTTTTTCAAACTACACCTTGTCAATGTCAGTTGGAAATAACTTTCGGCGGAACGCGGGGGCTTCTGCGAACTAATGTGCGGCGGCTAATTATGGTAGCCGCAGACGAACTGACACGATGCAGTTAGCCGCAGTTGAGAAGAATTATACTACGTAGGATCTGCACCGGGTTGAGCAACATATCGACGATTAACGATCAACCCAACGTCACGTCACCTTGACGGTCATCGCCACAGGATTTGTGTTAGAGTAACACCATCAAGTGTGGTTTCTGGGAGTATTAGTCAAGCAAGCCATCATCCATAGTTGCGTAAACAACTCGAGACCACAGACCCAGTCCTCATCCCATATACCCCAGCTTCCATCGCAAGACGATAAGACCTTACGAGGCGATACCTGTGTCGGCTGAACTACGCCTTTCTTCCGGATGCCCGTCCTGCCGATGGTCTAGAAAAAGAAAGACATTCGTACCGATCCCACGTTCGCATGGAGTAGTTCGTGACTCCCCGACTGACAGTTCGTATTATTCGTATCGAGACCGAGGAACCTGGCGTCGTGCTGACGTATGTGCGTTCCCCAAACACCCGCCCGCCCACGCTGCCCAGCGCTGACGGCGACGATCCAATCTTTGAAACAGGTCTGTGGTGGGTATGTGGTCTTTGATTATTCTGATGCAGTTTGTGGTTGAGAGTTTTGCTTGTTTCCCCCCTCCTTTCTCTCCCAGCGCGGTCCATGCACCACCACCACCACCACCACCACCAGCCAGTCTCACACCACCACAAACCATGCAATCCACATCCTCTACATTCTTAGCTCCCTCCCATGACATATGTCAAATGAGGACAATGACAGATCATCGAACATGTTTGATCCCAGGGTTGAGGCGCGCGGGCGCCGAGCGGGAGTGTGCTGCCCGGGAAGTTTCGGAGAGTCAGTCTTCTTACCCGTCAAATTGAACGAAGCCCCGTACGCGTACAGCCTTGATCGACCGTAAGACCCTGTCTCTGCTTTTGGTTTTTCGTATCCGTCTTCATTTCGCGGCGAATCTCCTAAAGAAATTTTCACTTGCGCCACTACATGACAGGCGCGCGCTCACTCCTCCTTTTTCTAATAATCCGACCTTTTCGAAAATTTCGTCTTTTCACATGCCGTCAGACTCATCTTTCCTCTGACTATTCTCTTTTGAAAGCATCTTCGTTTTCTGTTTTCTTCCTATCCTTTCGATTTCACGCTAGACTTGACGCTAGAACGCGATCACTCTGGTCGAGATCATGCGTTCGCTTTCGGCTCAGGTTCTTCTCGAACCGCCCAAGATGGCCCGGAAACCGGCCAACTTGGCAATAGCTGAGTATGACAAGGCCGGAAACCTGAAAGCCAAGTTTATTCAGTCGGCTCCGGGTGCCGGACCTTCGAGGGTCGACATCCTGGTAAGCTTTCAACCACGACGATACCCCTGCCACCTGTTTAAGGTTGATGCATGTGATTGACACTTTTTCTGTACAGCTTCCTACGATACGGAAGAAGCCTTGGCGGAAGGTGCTTGACATCTTCCTACCAGACGGCTATCCTAACAGTGTGACGGATGATTATGCCGCCTATCAAATCTATGTAAGTTATTATTCTCTGCACCTTGAGGCGATATATGCTAATGATGTTTTAGGACTCATTCCAGGCGTTCGCGGGCACAATTGCCGGAATGATATCTTCACGTGCCGTTTGGGAAGGTAAGCACTCATCATGTCATTTACGGCTAAACCTGCCACCGCATCTTTGGATGAAGACCAGTCTGAATATGATCTGTGTCCAAGTATGATGAGCGCTAATCCGATGATCAGGTATGGGAGTTGGTGATTCTTTAGCCTCTCCTACTGGGGCCATGATGGTCCAGGTGATTCGAGAGTCAATGGGAAGATTTGGTACCATCGCTTTCGCCCATCTGATGGGAACATCAATAGAGGCCGAGTGCAAGGCCTACCGCATGGCATCCGATGTGCTTTGCAGTATCGCGTTCATTATCGACTGTCTATCTCCGATGTTTCCCAGACACATCAGATTCATGGTTCTGTGCTTTTCGAGTATACTGTTCTCGGCCAGCGGCGTTGCTGGAAATGCATCCAAAAGCAGTCTGAGTGGTCACTTTGCCCAATGGAATAACCTGGGCGAGCTCAATGCTGTACGTTTGATGGCAAAGTTGAACACTATCATACATCGGAGGCTAATACATCGCAGAAAGACGCAAGCCAAGAGACAGCAATTTCTCTTATGGGCATGATCGTGAGTCAATGTGCCAACAATGGGCTTCCAGCAATGTACTGACAGATCGTACAGACCGGCACTCTTGTCATTTCTTGCTTGACAACTCCGACAGCTACCTGGACCACACTCTTCATTCTGATCGGCATCTACCTATTCCTCAACTGGAAAGGCGTCAGAGCCGTCAAGTCCCGCTCTTTGAATCGACAAAGAGCAAACATTGCTTTCTCTGCGTTGCTTTCAAAAGATCAAGTTCTCACACCGAAGGACATCTCGGAAAAAGAGCTCATTTTTGAGAGGCGCGGCGGCGAAGTTCTCCGATGGAACGCGGAGACGATTCTCGGACACTGCAAGTTTGGGGTGCCACTTGAATCTCTTCTGCAAAGTTTGGCCAATGGCCAGCAGGCGATGAGGTCTTTCCAACTTCCGACAGTCGATCTTTCCCACCTCATGGAGCTTTTCGAAAAGCAACAATACATCTTGTGGTGCCAGCTACCCGAGACGGCGTCATATGACGCGGCATCCAAGACCAAGGTAGTAGTTGTGCTCAAGAACGGTGTTTCTGCAAGGTCGCAACTGAAAGCTTGGTTCCACGGCCTCTTACTGGCCAAACACCTCAACAGCCTGGAGGAATCCGAGCTGTCGGAAGTCCAGCTGAAGCAGCACCTCATGCTTGGGCATATTGAGGCGACTCTACGCGTTGCCAACGAGGAATACGAAAAATACGCGAGACGGCTTTCGAAGAAGGGCTGGAATCTGGAAGTTGCCGTTCTCGAAACCCGCTCGGGTTCTCGGATCCTGCAAGAATTCGACGATGAGGAGGAGGAGGAGGCCCGTTGAGACTTGAGTTCATGCAGCATCCCAAAAAGGGACGATCTAGATACAGACAATGTTAGCGTTAGTCTTTTTGGGCTGAAGAATACACCCTCACGTTTAGATTTGAGCTTGTTTTGATCCCATATCATGTCAAACGCCTGCAGCGTGTCGTCAGTTTCTTGTCAAACCATGCCCGCGCACACCCGTAATGCGCCATCGAGCTCTCGTTCGCCGGTGCATCTGAAGATTCGAAGCCCGTTCGAGTCAATAACCGTGAATCGATGAGCACACCACAGCCGTGATGGGTGCCGGCAGCCGGAGAAGAGCAACTGTTGCGATGCTTTCGAGAAGAAGGCTACAGGGCCAACCCGGGAGATCTGCACGAACGCCACGTGGGGACCGGAAAGTGTGTTGTCCAACATCAAATGCCCTGGCAGAATGGCGGCCAGCCAACAACGATCAGCGCGGCCCGTTCAACTGCCGCCGAGTTGGAGTTGCTTTGTGTGATGTGGCATTATTTGAAATTGCTTGAACATTATGTGACCATCTACATGACGCTTGATGAAGCAGGTTCGCGGGCGCCCGTGGACTTCACCACCTGAGGCTGTGCTCTTCTCGCTTTCGCGTCGAGTCTTGGTTAGGGGATTTTGCAAAGGGAGACTTTCTGGTTCAATTTCGCTATCGGTAATTTGATCTACAAACTTGTCCCGTGCTGCAATGCTCTTAAGTCCCGACACTCCGGCTTCAAACTGAACCCCAGCTATTCCACGTAAAATGGCTAAAAACACAGCCTAACGACTAGACCTTGGCGCCAATGCGCGCCATGGCGCTGCCCGTGCTGGCTTCCGTTTGACAGGCAAACCGGTGACCCGACTCGCTCCGGGTGTCAGTCTGTCGGGGTTCCGGGTGGACATTTAGAAAAAAGGGGACCTGGGGGAAGACCCGCTCGTATCGAGTCGCGGGAGCGAGGTCGAGAATGCGAACCCGAACTCAGCGCAGGAGACACCTCTCAACTGACAACGACTCGCAGCACCAGACGCGCCACGCACACGCATTAGACTTCTGGAACGGCTGATGTATGAGACACGTGATGGCGCTGACAACGTTCCCCAATGCCATCTGTGAACCCTTCCCAGGTGTTCTTCAGCTTTGATTGGCCTCGAGTCCCAACTTCGGGTTCGAGCGCCCGGTTGTTGAGACGGATGCCGGGCCCGTGTTTGTGCATGCCGTGTTCTATGTTGAGGACTGGGCTGCGATGGGCGCAAGCCACCGTGGCGGCGACGTACTCTTCGTAATCGTAAACGCGATCCATGAAATTACCTATTCGGTCCATGCCTTAACGACACAGATGCGCTTGGATCGTATATAGGGGACCGAGTCCGTCCACCATCATCATGGCGATGACAAGCAAACTACCCTTATCTTTGAGTTCCCTCCTCTTCACAATCGCTGCACGATGACGAAACAAGTTGATCTTCCAATTCGTCCGACGGTAGTCAGGACCAAGTCACAACTTCGTCGTCGCAGTGATCGAATCCAAAACCCCGTCCAGCTCCAGGCTTTCGAATGGAACCTCCCCACCGACCACTCACATTGGAAGCGCCTCAGGTTAGCACTTCCGGCTCTGAGAGCTATTGGGATCAACAGTCTATGGCTGCCTCCCGGAAGCAAAGCCAAGGACCCTGAGAGTAACGGCTACGACATCTACGATGCGTGGGACTTGGGCGAATTCGACCAGAAGGGATCTGTACCCACGAAATGGGGCACCAAGCAGGATCTGGTAGATCTGGCCTCCGACGCCAACAAGAATGGCATTGGATTGGTGTGGGACGCGATTCACAACCACCGCGCCTATGCGGACAGTACCGAGATGGTCAAGGTTGTGGAGGTTGACCCCAAAGGTGAGGAAGCACGACTCGTGCAGACGGGGATGGCATGCTAAACCTTCTTTTCTTCCAGATAGACGGATAGACATTACAGACGTGTATGAGATTGAGGCGTGGACGAAATTCGACTACACCGCCAGAGGGGGCAAGTACAGCACATTCACATACAACAAGACGCATTTCAACGGTACGGATTGGAACCAGCAGAACAGCAAGAGGTCGATCTACAGATACGTAGAGGACGGGAAGAACTGGCACCAGGATGTCGGCACTAGCCAGGGCAACGCGGACTATCTCATGCTCGAGAACCTCGACTACACCAACCCTGAGGTCGTGAAAGAGTCGATGAATTGGGGTCGGTGGATTGTGGAAGAGCTCGGGTTGAGGGGCTTCCGCGTGGATGCCGTGCAACACATCTCCTGGAACTTTGTCAACGAGTGGTCAAAGTACTTGAAGAAGATCAGTCGGCAAGATCTGATGTTCGTCGGCGAGTTTTGGCATGGCGACGTCCGGGTGTTGACGAGCTGGCTAGACAACATGCACTCGTTCTTCAGTCTCTACGACGTCCCGCTAATGTACCACATCGAGAGGTTGTCGTGGCACCAAGACACAGATCTGAGAGAAGTTTTCAAGAACACTTTAGTGGAGCAGAGACCGAACAACGCAGTGGTAAGCTCTTGAGAGACCTTTGATGCAAGTGCCAAGCTAATACGTCCCTAGACTTTCATTCGCAACCATGATACCCAGCGTGGCCAGGCCATGGACACGCCAATCGCAGCTGAATTCATGCCCCTCGCATACTCCCTCATTCTCCTCAGACGGGACGGCCACCCTTGCGTCTTCTTCGGGGATTTGTACGGCACCGGCCTTCCTCACCTCGAGCCTTCCGTGCAAGAGCTGCCAAACATCCTCCTAGCCAGGAAGCTCTACGCCTACGGCAAGCAGAAAGATTACTTCGACAAGCCGGACTGCATCGGATGGGTGAGACAGGGCATCGAAGAGAGACCTGACGGCCTTGCCGTCGTCATGAACTGGACCCAGGCCGCCGAAGCTGAGTCTCAGATTTGCATGCAGGTCGGGCGAGAACACGCCGGCGAAGTCTGGACCGATGTCATGGGACTTGAGACCGCCAGCGTCATGATTGACGAGAACGGCCTGGGCCTGTTCCCTTGTCAGCGGAACAGCATGGCTTGCTTCGTCAACAAGGACGCCAAGGGCAGGAAGCGATTCCCTGTGCGATTTGATACCGATTTCAACAGCCTGCTCAGCTAGAGCGATTCCCTCCAAAATCGTTTCCTTTTAGCCATGAGTCGTGTTACTACAGCACTATAGATTTAGCCAAGCGTGCGCGTCCAGTTCATGTTTCCACACGGAGATATCAAATGACCATAGCGGAATTCCAAAATAGACTTACAATTACCATGTCGTTGAGCGGCTCATCGTAATTCTCTTCTCCATTGCCTACCACATTCGATAGAGACTCGGCCAAAGAAATGCGTTGCGTTGGTGCAACCAAATCACTTACTGCTCTAGGTTGATTCGGCCGGCCGGCGAGATACGGCGCCGTGGACCCACCTTTCCCGTGTAGGCGTCTCGGCTACGGCTACCTATCACATCGACATTCATGGTGGCAATACGTTCAAGCTCCTATTAAAGGTATTTTTGTTCCATTCGTGGCATTCATTAAAAAGTCCGTGCCGATCTCGTGGGCTTCGTCCTGCTGCTATCTGAGGAGCTTGAATTGGGAGGTGGCTCAGCAGCGGAGGAAGCATACAGCAGAAGTATATGTACAAAAGCTGCCAAAACCTATCAGACTCACGTCTGAGTTGGAGCTGGAAGAGTTGGAAGCACGATAACGGTGAAAATGACGCGAGTGCTGACCAATTCGCTCGAAGTGCCGGTAGAAGGGACTTGGGAGCTAGGTATGGGGGACGAGCTTGATGATGCCGGCACGTCGAGAGCTGACGAGCTTAAACTTGACGAGATAAGAGAAGAAACTGAAGTGCTTCTCAAGCTGGCAGCTGTAGTCTCGATCGACGAAGTTGTTGGACTAGTGGAAGTTAAGACCCCGGGAGATGTGGAGAAGGAGATGGTTGGAGTGGGAGCAGCCGTCAATGTTGGAAGAAATGAAGAGGTCGAGACCGTATTTGCGACAGAGGATGGTGTCGCGAGAGAAGATCGAATCGGAGAGTTGGGCGGAATATTGACTGAGGAGCTTGTGGCGCTGGACAGTACGGAAGCCAGCGTAGAAGGTGTAACGACTGTAGTGATGTCGGCCGTTTGAATCGCACTTGGCAGTACGGAAGAAAGTGCTGAAGGCACCAAGACTGGGCTCGAGGAGTTCGTAAATCGTAAAGTCGTACCAACCGAGAAAGACCTATCTGTCGAAGTGTCCAGGTTGGCAGATGGGGATGCGGCGGTCGTCGAGCTCAATGAGGCCGGTGTGCTTCTCACGGAAGTAGCTGGGACCTCTGTGCTAGTAGCCGCCAACGTGGGTGAAGCGGAAAAAGGTAGGCTGGAAGTTGACGCTTCTGACGACAAGAAAGTTGGCATTGCTGAACTGAACGAGGAGAAAATTCTGTCCGAAGATGACAATGCTGAAGATGGTGAGGACGCAATGCCCGAAGTTGACGACGATGAAGATAGTGTGCTGCTGGAAGATGCAGAGCCACTGCTTAAAGACAAAAAGGCCGTAACGCTTGAGGATAATGATATGCTGGTTGAAATCTCTGAAGATGTGGTGCTTAAAGAAGATAACGTAACGGTTGAGGTTGTAGAGGATATGCTTATTAAGGGCTCAGAGGAAGTGCTCGTTGAGGTTTTAGAGGAAATACTTGTTGAGGTTGAAGAGAATATGCTTGTTGAGGTTGAAGATGATATGCTCGTTGAAGTTGAAGAGGACGTGCTTGTTGAGGCTGAGGAGAATGTGCTTATTGAGGTTATGGAGGATGTGCTCGTTGAAGTCCCAGAGGAAGTGCTCGTCGAGGTTACAGAGGATGTGCTCGTCGGGGTCCGAGAGGATATGCTAGTTGATGACTGAGAGGACGTGCTCGTTGAAGTCGTGGGAAGAGGCAACCCCACAACATTGAAAAGAATTGCAGTATCAAGAAGTCCATTTGAACCAGCATCACAGACAAGCATCTCAAAAGTATAAGTATTTGTTCCCACAGCCACGTTTGCATCGTAAGTTGATAATGGCGTGACCCGCTGATACGAAAGACCTAACAACGGGTCTGTCGGGACCAGCAAGGCTGACTGGGAATTTCCGGTTGCCACTACGTTAGACCTTCGATCCAAAAAAGTTGAATCCATCCAAGCTACCGCTGACTCTGCGACACAAAATCCATCATCAACAACTGTGGGCCACGCTTTGAGGATACACGTATGCACCGCTCAGTAACAATAGGAGATGACTCACGGCTCCTGTGTTGCAAATCTGTAGTTGACTCGGACGCCGGTCAGTCCCTGCGGGATGCTCAAGAGGAACAAGAAGTATGTAAACTCGTAAGCAGTGCCGCCAGGACAGTGAGTTTCGGTTCCAGTTTTGGCTGCCCACTGGAAGCTCGGCGTATTTCCACTGGTCGCCTGAGAAGCCTTTCCAGTCGTTAAAATCACACCCGACGACAAGCCGAGCAGCGACCCTCCGTCGGTAAAAGTACCGCCGGCGTCTATGCCTGGAGGTTGGTAATAGGAAATGATTTGACCGTTGTTGGTCGCAGTCACCAGTCGACTGTCTATGACCGCTGCGTTGATCAGAGCATTTGCGTCGTTAGTTGGCGTGATAACGATCGCACAAGCTAGTGCAATGAAGACGGCAAAAGTTAACCCAGGAAGACGCATGATGGGCAATTCCTGATAAGAATGAACAAGGAGAGTCAAGAGTCTATGCATCCAAGGAGGAAGGATTTTGAAGGTTGATAGTCTAACCAGGCTTGAGGCTCCAATCTTATAAAGGGTCTCAAGGGCGGTTGTGGAGTGGGCTCTCTGGAATGCTGCCAATGTTTTGACTCGCTTTCATTTCACATTCATTCCCACATAACAGATCAGTGTGTCACCGTCAACTCCGACTACGTATCTTCACAGAACCCTTGAATCTCGGCTTTGGGTTACCTTTAAATGTGAAAGAGAGGGATAAATACCGAACTACGCATGCCTAGGCTCTTTTCTCAGCGGTACTCAGTCAACAGAAAATACTGATTGTAAACACGACGTTGTCGGTGCATGAAACAGGCCACGGAACAATTCTCGAGTGTTGGAAGGGGCGACCTGCACATTCCAAGCTGACATTAGATTAGCGGCTGAACGATGCCCTCCGTGGCCTTTGAAAAGTGCAATAAGGTTGGAAGTGAACAGCCACGAAGTATTGTCGTGGCCACCGAGAGCTAAACAAACACCGGAGAACTCAGAATCACAATCTTGGGAGTCTTATGGTTTTATTACAAACGAGAAAGCTGCTATTTAATTGTTTCTTTCATCACTGTTGTCAGATTATTTTACGAGGCAGGTGAGGGCTTCAAGCATGCTCCTCCTTCCGTCAACCACAGCCAGTAGAATCACCTGCCTTTCCTGTAGATAGCGATATTCCTATATTCATGTTATTCCGAAATTTGTTGGAAACTTTCACTTGCATGAAGAGACTTGCTAGAAGCTGAGACTCTAGTACTAATAACGTTGTAAACATGTCTGAGGCCGCCTTCGGGCTCCGTTTGGTTTATTGCGTGGCTTACGCTTCGCGCAGCTCTTGCATCTACCCAGTATAAAAAGCAGTAAAATATGAGGTATTGATAGCATCTCTGACCCATGCTAGTACGCAGTATTGTATGACAGTAAGCAGAATCTCCGCAGCCACTGAATAGATCCGTAAGTACTCAGACAATACCCTGAAACTAGCCCTTGGCTGCACTGTCTGGTAACTTAAACTTCAGTGTCAACACAATTAATCCCAAGATCTTCCGGGGAGCGACCTTTTGCCTCGAATAATAGCGGTCTTGGATCGATTCCATATGATTCCCCCCTACCGGCGCGGCGCTTGGTACAGACGGATTTGCCTCTTAATATTCTAGGCACTTTTACGACGTTGACTGCCCCTAGGACTAGTAGGAGAATTGGGAGACGTCAAACTCGTGGGGATAGCGGCCTTCAGTATAGTAATTTATCTCGATTACTCTTAGATGGTCACCAATAACCACTACATCTTCCCTAAGCTAAAGCAACTAAGAAAGATTCCATACCGGGAATCTGTGGTGGTGATTGACCGTCGGCTGGCGGTGAGTCAAATGCATAGATTCCCGGTATGGTTACCAACAAGTACAAAGCCAAGGGCAAAAAGCTGTGCAGGGGACTATAGAGAAGGTCAAGAAGGTGCTTGAGGCTACGGCTAAGAAGGCTGAGGAGATTGCCAACAGGGCAAAGACACAAGGCAAAGACAAAGGTCCAAATAGGTTTTCTTAATTATTGCCAGATGCCCTTCAACACCCTACTTCTTTTCGACGCCAAAACCACTACCTAGATAAGTACAATTCCCCATCCTCGAAATTTGATTCAAAGTCCGTCGCTCTCACGAAATGGTATTACAATAACTAAAATTCCTTTTTCCACAGTCGGGATATTGTACACCCCAGGTCTCAAACCATCTTCATGGTTATTGGCTCACTGATCCTTGCCAGTTGGCTTGGGCTTCTCGAGGCCCTTCACGCTCTTCCATTCCAACGCGAAGGATCCCAGCGCCGACAGTGATGCCGTGACAGCGCCAACGATAAACACCCGTCTGATTGCCTCGTTATACTTTACAAGCACCGTAGGCAGGTCTGCCGCGGGCAGAACGTCGCGTAGGGCCGTTGCGCCGGTGTTCACAATGGTTTGCGGATCCAGGTCCTTGACGGCGTCGGTGAGCCCCTCGATGAGCTTGCTGTTGAGCACGTTCTGGCCGACGGACACGAAGATGGCGCCCCCGAGCTGCTGGCAGAAGAAGACGAGCGAGACCGCCATCGGGACGTGCTTTCGCTGGAGCACCGTCTGCACGGCGATGGGGCCGTGCTGGAGGCCCAGGCCGATGCCGAAGCCGAGGATAATCTGGAACCCGATCCAGCTCCCGATGCCCGTGTTGACTTTGAACGTAGAAAGGAGGCCCGCGCCGACGGGCATCAGAACAGACGAGAGCATGGTGAAGGGCGTGTAGTAGCCCAGGCGGCCCACGAGCTGGCCGGACAGAGTGCTCGCGACCACGAGGGAGATGACGAATGGGAGCGTGGCGATGCCGGAGTCGACGGCGCTCTTGCCCTGTATGACCTGGAACCAGATGGGGAGGAAGTAGATGAGGAGGAGCATCGTTGAGGCGAGGCAAAATATGTACCACATGGCCGAGACGACGGTGCGGTTCTTGATAACCTCCAGCTGGATGGTTGCATTCTCCCGTCTCAGAACCTCCACCACGATGAAGGCGACCAAACAGACGGCGAACAAGACGAGCAGGAGAATAACCCGCCAGCTGTTCCAGTCGTACGTGATTCCCCCTCACTGGAGCGCGAGCAGCAGACAGATCAGCGAGGGGAAGAGAAACAGCTCACCGAGGAGATCCAGTTTCTCCAGCTGCTGGCGGATCGAGAGCCCCGGGACCGCCGCGGGGGTGGGCTTCAACGCGAAGAAGATGACGACCATGGCCGCGCCCCCAATGGGGAGGTTGATGAAGAAGCACCACCGCCAGCTAACCCTGCTCGTGAACGCGCCGCCGAGGAGCGGGCCGACCACCGAGGAAGTGCCCAGGACGGCGCTGAAGAAGCCGTTGTACAGCGGCCTCTTGGCTAGGGGCACGGCGCCCATCATGAGGACGATGGCGCCGGACAGGATCCCCGCGCTGCCCATGCCGGCGACGGCGCGCCCGATGATGAAGACGAGCGAGCTGGGCGCCGTGCCGCAGATAGCGGAGCCGATCTCGAAGAGGCCGAGGAGCGCAAGGAAGACGTACTTAGCCGGGTAGAAGGTGTAGACCTTTCCCCAGAGGAGCTGGAAGCAGCACATCGTGACCATGAAGGCGCTGCCATACCAGCCGATGTCTTGGATGCTGCGGAACTCGTCTGTCATCCGGGGGATGGCTGTAGCGATGATGGTTCGGTCCTGAGAGTTTAAGTTAATTGTCTGCGCGGGTGTTCTCAGGGTCGTAAGGGGCTGTTGGCTGGATCGAGAAGCCGAAAGGTGGAAGGAACTGTGACCTCACCAGAGACATAAGGAAGATGGCACTCAGGATGCAAGCCATGATAACCGCAACCTGCGCGGATCCGGGGTATTCTACCTCCTCTGAGAGAGCAGTCGATGAGTGCCGTTCCAAGACGTTGTCGTCGGCTTCGCTCTTCTCGTTGCTGGTCTCCTTAGCCGCCTCCAAATTTAGATCGTCTTGAAGGTGGTGAAGCTCTGCTGTGTTGGAAGGAAATATCTTGTAGGTGTTTGGCTGTTTCTTTTAGTATTTAAACTGCTCTCCTCTTCTTTTGTTAAACTCGACTTTTGAGTCATGGATGTAGACTAAGATGCCAAAATGGCAATCCATCGAAGGGGGGATCTCTAAAAATCTTGGAATGGTGTTTCAGCCTATTAACGGACAAAATAGAAGAATACTGCCGATTGCTTCTTTTGGCTACACATTGCCAATCGCGTCAAGGCTACCACGTGAACCGAGACTCAATACACAGGCTTCGGGTCTAGGGGGAGACAGGGGTGATGGACGGTGGTCCGACGACGACCAACAGATTTCTTTGCCTGCCCCTTCAACCGGACCGAAAGGCTCGTATGTTTGGGCAAATCAACCAACAGTTCCTAATGGGGAAGACTCTGGTTGGTGACTATCGAAGACAACACGGATAACACGGCTTGAGATGTGGGCAGATATCATCGCAACGGACTGTAGCCGATAACAGCATAGCCATCATTTATTCATCACATTATTACCCATCATTGGCTGCGCGCAAAGCATCTGCCACAATTGTCTCGCTCGCCCCCGTCCACCTTCCAAACCCGGACTCCCATCTATCGTCCGTCACGGCCCACGATGCGGCAAAGCCCAATCACGGCCCCTGTCAGCGAGAATTGGGACCTCGCCGGATACAGCAGGCTCCACATCCTCAGCAAGGCCTTGACCTCGTCTGTGCCGGCGAGATTTATCGATGGGAGAGCGGACGGGATCCCGGGTTCTCCAGGACGTATGACCGCATGTGACGATAGTGGGCACCAACGGGGTTATAGATGGTTAGATTAACGGGCGAAATTTCATTACGATACCTAGTAATAGTCATCTGGATATTCATTAGTGTTCCATCTCGAATTTTTAAGTACACGAGGGTATGATAGGGTTTAAAGCGAATCCCAAACGTCTCAGTTGGACACGGTCTGATGATTTATTCGATTCTTTTCTATATCCCATAACTTCTCACGGCGTATCTCACTTCGTACGATAGATAGGCTTGTTCTTAGTGCTCGGTCTAATCGATCATGTTCCATAGATGACTGACCTATGAAAATACTCGAGCCACTAGTACAACGCGCAGGATTCATCGCCACGTTAAGCTATCGAGAGAGCACAGAAATAGGCCTAAAATCCTGCTTATAGCTCCGCCTGAGGACACTGTAATCCGAAAGCCATTGGACAACCTCTTGTCTTGCTGATTCTTTCCCTTGTACAATCCATATACTCCTTTCCCTTCCCCTTTTGCGCATCAGGGCCGACTTCAGGAATCACATATCCGTTGGGCGAGTACTTGCTTCCCTCATCTCCAGGCAAATAACCCCCGATGAGGCGACTGTAGATGGCGGCTGGACCCCAGCGCGAGTAAAAGGTTGGCTTGACATAGTAGGGATGCGCAAGATAGGTCGGGAGGAAAAACCGCCCTGTCTTCTCATCCACATCTTTCAGCATCGGTTTGATCCACCATTTCGGTCGCGGGAGGCATAGGTGTTTGACGATCCAGCGTCGTGTGTTCATGAGTGTGTTGAACACCAAGAACTGGAAGTCGCTCGGATCTTCGTATCTGTCCAAGACGTCAGTAAGCCAGATTCAATCCCAATTCGAAGGTCCGTCTCTGTTGAAGCTTCTTACCCCATGGCGTGTCTCAGCTGCGGTTCCATAAAGCACCGTACTTGACCGAAGACGAAGCTGTGCATCCACCTAGGTACGTCGAGGAGCAGAAGATGTACATTTGCATGGGCGAGCTTCTCGTTCGGCACGGCGTAGACCATGTATTGTTCCTGATATTTCATGCTCCAAATCTCCAGTGCATCAAGCCAGGCAACCGGGTCGTTCTTCTGTGCCATATATGGCACCAGGCAGTCGTATGAGATAGCCATTTCGTTGCCCAAGTCTTTCCAAAAGATTGCAATTGCGTTCTTCTCGAGCATAGTAAGCTCTCTCCACTCATATCGAATTGTCCAGCGAAGCGGTTCGAGAGCAAAAAGGCTCAGAGTGTAGAGCATATCGTCGTTGGAGATCTTTCCGGCCTTGCGCCAACGGTCGTGGAGGAAGTTAACCCGGGCAATGGCGTCGATGTTTCGGTGAGACTCAGGTTTATTGAACATAATCTCCGTCATTAACACTCCCGTATCCGTGCGACGCTTGGAGGCCGTTGCGTCCCCGGAAAGTTGACTGGTCGCAACAAGAAGCTTGGAGATAGTGGGAATACCGTAGGTCTATCCTGAAAGTCAGTCATCGGTGATAATGGGATCCGATCGTTAGCAGCCAACCTTGAACAATGCGAAGGACACCGAAGTATAGAAGATTGTTGGAAATTCCTGTTCGGACAGTTCTCGGACCACAGCTGCGGCGTCTGATAGCGACATGGATGCCATCTCCTCCCGCGTCTTGTACGGAAATCTGCGTTGGATACCATCGCGGCGACGATATCTCAGCAGTCGAACAAGAACAAGGTAGGAGGCGAGTATAGCAAAAGCTGGTAGATAATACATCTCGAGATCTTCAAAAGGCCTCTGGTTACATGTAAGGATGAAGCATTTCAATGAGGAAGAACATCTTATGATGGTACGTCGGAGAGATGCAGCCTTTGTTTTATTCTCGGCCGTCGCAGTCCTGCCGCGGCAGATGGCATGGATCCATACCCTCTGCCCCAAAAGTGTTTCCGCGTTCTTTTAGCCCATCTTTCCGCCCCTTTCACCTCGTGTTCTTGGATTAAAGCCTTAGCTTGACGTCAACCGTGCGATTCAGATCCACGTGGAGTGCGGGGAGTGTAAGTTGATCAAGAACGTCCAATCATCAAATTGGGCAAATTCCATGCGAGATGCATGTGGTCATGCGGCGGGACATTGGCCGGCCATCCCACGCGAAACCCTGTCGGGATATGTCAAATCAATGGGCAAATAGGGAAAAATGGCACGCACTCCGTCGGACGGCCGAACGAAACCATCAGATGAAGTTTTGGGCCAACGAAGTTAGCTTCTCGTCGGAGTCAGACACAGCGATTCAGATCCAGCATTTCGGGTCGACGAAGACCACTCAGAAACGCCGCTTCGCCGAACTAGGCAAGTCGGAACCGAGTGCCCTGGCATTAACGCGCACCTTGTTCTGTTGCGCCCTAGGGCTAGTTCGTTACTGTTCTTGTTAGTTTCTCGCATTTTGCCCAGTTAACTCTTCGACAATATGACCCTCAGTCGTCTGATCAATGTCAGACTTACTTTGCATCGTACGCTTCTGGCTATTCCGCTCTGCCTGCCTCTGATTTCTTATTATCAGACTAGGTCGTGATTCGCTTTTGGACCACAACGCAGTTAGTTCACTCGACTGTTTCCACGTAAGGTATCAGTACAGAAAAGAATCGACGTTTATCCATGGCGACCGAATATCATAGGAATCATCTGGCGTGAGCATAATTTAGCCTAACGATCAGCTTGTTTGACGTGCAAATGAAGCTTTTGATCAGGAGCGGAGTAAGGATATATTTTTCTATAGACTTCTTCCGATTATTTAGTGTTGCCCAATCGCCGTATGGCCCCTCGCTGTCCAATGTTATGAGTCTTAAATGAGAGTATTCGCGCTGCTCCTGACCAAACAAAGAGCGATCATCCAGTTTCCCGGGTGAGCGGCATACATCACCGTTAACAGCTTCAACATCGTTTTGAGGATCTTCTCCTAGTTTTCTCCGCTTGCCGCATGATGCAAGCCGTCGGACAGTGGTCCCAAATGACAGCATCTGTTCCGATATCTAAAAGCTTCTGAACAATCAATGTAGTCCTATAATAGCGGTGTAATGCAACGCCGTTATCTCTTCATTGTCCTGAAGGGCGGTGTCAGTTCCACCGTCCAGAAGTGCCTTGAATATTACCTCGAGTCCTCTGACGGTAGCCTAACGTAAAGGTGCCTTCGAAACCATCAACAGAATCCAAGAGAGGACCTGGAAAGCCACTCAGCAACTAATTCTTTTGCCGCCGGATCCTTGACAAAGTCTCGGTACAACGCCTCAGACATCCAACACTTCTGGTATGTCATGGAATGGTTGACTTACGGTTGTTGCCATCGAGCCAGAGAGGCTCGCCAACCCCAGCTTTCCATCGCAGAAACCTGTCGCCTTGCAAAAGCCAAGCCTCAATTCTCGGGTGTTCTCTGTGAGAGTGACGACCTATGTGTTCTTCACTTTTGACAGAAGCGAACGATGTCATTTAATGTTGGCCTCTCTGAAGATTTTTGTTATACCATTCAGCTACATCTAACACTATGTATGAATCATTAGCCGATCAATGTCCTGACTATCGAATTGTTGAGTTTACTCGTCTGAGGGCATGTTCGTTTCGTTTTCCAATTAAAACACACCGACTAGATTCGCTTGGTTCTACGAGTGTATGTGGTTTTTCAATCTTGAGTATTCAAGGCCAGACTTCCGCCTTCGTCATCTGACCTTTCAGGCGCTGAGTTGAATGCGTGTTACCGGGCTCTGTCAATCTGCGACACCGATGAAGTGTGGGGATGCACTCCTTTTGTACAAGCGACGTGAAGTAGTCTCGGAATGTTAACTTGTTGGCCTTCAGCTACATTGAATGCTCCAAGGGCCTTGCCCAGCATGCAAAGTCCGGGTCTTTTTGCCATGACTTCCGACTGTAAAAGACATCCTGCCGGCTCCATATACAGCGTCAATGTGTACCGCTCTCACTCGCTGTCTTGCGCGACCGACCCCAATTTCCTGTGCAACTCTGACATTCAAGGCAAGCTGAGTCTCAGGCAGGTGTCTTCGGGCATGTGAACCTATTAAAACGTAAGGCGTAGAGAATTGGTTCAGGTTGAGACCTCTCTCACAAATTGGCGCAGGATAATGGTGTGCATATGCATGATAAGCCACTGCGGCCAGGGCCTGTCAGCTCACCCGCATCGTGTTCAGAATCAGGCTAGCCAATGACAACGAAACCGCTTAATCTCAACCACTTACAACATTCCAAGTATGCGCATGACTGCGGGGTATATGTAGGCGAGGGCGGTGGCTGGATTCAATGGTTTGATGCAGCCTTAAGTTGGCGTGGTTGGATAACTTGTTAGGAGGGCACCCGCCCTGGGTTTTCATGTCCCCGGCCCCTCTTCTTTTCTTCTCGCCATGCGAGTGCTTCATAGCCGCGTCAAAATTACCTTTTCATGGCGATCCGCGGAGGACTACCTCACACAAACCGTACCCCGTGTATCCATTTCTCGACGATGTTGAGCCGGGGGTAATGAGCAGCTCATGCCGAAACACGTCGGCAAAGAATTGGTTCTCTACCGACCACGAGAAAATCCCAGACCGCCTACGGACTCGCCCGACATGCGTCGAGGCAAGCGCCGTGTTCACATCGTTGACGCCGACGGGAAAGCTCAAGGGGAGATATCATCAGCAGAGAGTTCGTCTCAATCAACGACCAACCCGGCTCCTAACTACCGGCCGTCGCAATCGGCGGCGGGCGGTCGGCCAGCGGCGCCGAGATCTTCGTCTCATGTTCGGACGTCAGCTGGCAACATGAAAGGAAAGGCCCCGTCAAGATATCGCACCCACAGAAAGCCGCAGAGGTTCGGCGCCAACAGGAGCGATGTCTCTCCCGACGAAGGACCATCGACTCGTCCGTACTCTACACACTCGATGCCACCTCAGCATACGAGAAGCGCGAACCCTTTCATGGAGGGTACCAGGCGTAGTTATGACTATGAAGCACCGTCAAAGTACTCACTACAAACACGGCCCCAATCGATGTACAGCGCCGTGCCGGAGTTGGTTCCGTATGTTGGGTACAGCAGCCCCTACGGGCCAGGATCGTACACGATGCCGCAACATATGGCACAATATCTGTACTCACAACCACCACCGCCGGCACCACCGCCGGAAGAGGTGGCACCGCCCAAGACCCCTGCTCCTCCACTAGAGAGATCGCCACCTCCGCCGCCGTCGCAGAAGCGAGCCGAAGAAGGTGTTGAGATCACGAATCTTCGCAAACAGTTGGAGCTGTTCAAGCAGGAGCAAAAGAAGAGGGAAGACCTTGAGAAGCAGAAGGAGTTGGAGGACAAAATCAGGAAAGACGCGGAAGAAAAGATGGCTAAGATAATGGAAGAGATGAGGCTTGCCCAAGAACAGACAAAGATGGAAATCGAGAAAGCGAGGATCGAGGCAACCATGGCGGCCCGACAGGCCGTCGAAGCCGAAAGAAAGGCGGAGGAAGATCGGCGTCGCCTTGAAGAAGAGGAAGCTGAAAGATGTCGAAGAATAGCCGAAGAAAAGATCGCAGCGGAGGTGCGAGCGGAGGCCGAGAGGGTTCGTCTTGAGAAAGAGGAGGCCGATCGCTTGTCGAGGGAGATGCAAGCCAAGGTCGAGCAGCAGCAAGAGGAGCGCCGGAGACTTCAACAACAGGAGAAAGAAGATCTTGAAAGGCTCCGTCAGGAGATCATCGAGCAAGTTCGAGCCGAAATCCTAGAACGAGAAAGACGATACTTGAGTTCGTCATCAGGGTCAAGGTCTTTCAGCTCACGGTCGTCACGGAGCAGTAACAGCTACATGAGCTTGAGCTCTACGAGTGAAGGTGGATCCAACGACTCAAATAGTCCAAAACGCAGATCTCGAAAGTCAAGCTTAGGCAGGGCAGCGAAAGTGCCTAGTGTCAAGGCTTCTTCCTTGAAGGTTGCGGAGGCCAAAACTCCAGCATCTGTTCTTAAGGAAGATGCATCGACTTCGCCCCCCGATCCCTTCGTCTACTTGGTCGGCACATCGCCCCCACCACCCGAGACTGAAGAGGACACCCAAACGCAGCCGTATTCGTCATGGGAGCAGACCCCGTACACAATGGGATGGCACTATCAGCCGTATGCAACGCGGAGTGAGAATCAAGACTCTGTGTACCAAAACGTAAGTGAAAGAATTGGCTATCAAAGTCAGTCGTGGTCACTTCCGCCAGGTGACGATGATATTTGTAGCTCATCAAGCAGTGAGACGAAAAACAGCGACGGTCACTTGTCTCTTGGGATCCAGAGTATGTTCCAAGATGATGAGTCTTTGAGTGGCGAAGATTCCGATACTGGAACTGCTATTCCGGCTTCAGACCCAAGACGACCGCCTGATACTAATGGGAAATATATGGGAAGCGGGAAGAACACCAACGCAGAAAACAACTTGATGGGGTCAGGGGCAGTGCAGTCAGGCCCAACTGTAGACATCAATGCCCCGGACTTAGGAAATCGTTTGCTCGCAATCAGCATTCGAGAAAGCTCTGCTTCTCTGAGAACGCCATTTAAGTATCTCGTTACAGAAGACCCGACAGAAGGGGAGGTCGAGCAAGATGACGACAATATGGATGGAGGCGCCAACCTGGCCAGCCAGAATTCACCGCAAATGACGAAGAAAACAGCACCAGGCAGCGCGAACGATGAAAATCTTACCGAGATCAAAGACCCAGTACCAGCACAAAGAAGTCCCGCGCTGCCTAGAAGTTCCTCTGCGAACAGCCCGCTGCTTCCGTTACTTGCCAAACACATTTCAGATTATGAGGATGAAATAGTGCAACGCAACAAGTCTCGCAACTCGCATTACGAGCCACCAGTACCATTAACGATGGTAGATAACTGGAGCTATTTCCCGCCGTACCCTGCGAGCCTCACTTCTGGTTCTAACTGGCCAGGAGATGATATGCCAAAAGTGGTGTTCCCATATTACATGGGTGGACATGGTAGAGGGCGCGCGGATGACGTTCGGTCCAGGCAGATGATCTCGACCAGATCGTCGAGTTCGGTGTCTTCTGAAAGCGAGCCCGAGGTACCCATGGCTCTTGTGCCGTGTATCATGATTCCTTTGAGCATGTTGCAGTCGTCCAAACAGGGTCCGTTGTTATATCTGGGAGGAGACCCGCAATGAGAATTATCGGAGCATTAAATCTCATTCTTTGTTCTCACTGAGAGCAGTCCCGGAAAGACAGCGGACCTCCAAAACCTGGCACATAGACTCTTCTACATACATGGAATGTCGGGCTCTGTATTATAGTGTACTTTACCAACAAACAAAACAAACCGGCCGGCGTTTGGTCTTTGAAAATTCAGAGAGATGTCTTTTCGCACTTGCTGATGATGAGAAATCGTGAGTTTTCAGGCCCTGAAACAATTGAACCTGACTTGAACTTAACAGGAAAGAAACTTAGTCATATCAGCTATCGACCACCTCGTTCGCATGACCTGTGAAACGCAAAAATATCTGAACAGCCCCCGATCAGAAGTTTTAGTTTCCCAGTTTTTGAACAGCAACTCTGATTCAGAGGAGCCACAGAGGTTATGTTTACCTCGACCTGAACACGATCTGAACACCGTCCGCGGTTAACAAAGAACTTCCGACTTCCATGTCTCTAGCAGCATGGGCGTGCTCTCACTTGATTTTATATATTTTATCGCTTCTTCTGCTGCAACTCTATTTTGTAGTTGTTTTTTCCTCGGTACACAATTTCAATATTCATCGCGAATACTCAGCAGCCAACATGACGAACACCTCAAAGAACTCCAACATCAACCAGGGAGGCGTCCCTGGCGAGCAGGAGCTTGACACTTTACGAAACGTGGAGCAGCTCACGGTGGAACAGGTTCGCGACTGGGACCGCGAGGTCGAGGGCCGCGAACAGAAGATCCGCCAGTTCCTTGTTTATCTCGAGAACAACAAAGCCATTATATCACCCGAGGAGAAGGCCAAGATGGAGAGCCAGGCTGACCAGCTTTTGAAACCCATGGTGAAGATGCGCAGCGGCTTCAAGGAGACTATTAAGAGTCTGTAAGTACTTAAACTTTGACCTAAACTGAAGCCGACTAATTGTTTCAACGCCAGCGAGATGATCATGTCCAACAGCCACGACCAGGAAGGGAAGGAGTAAAATACCTGAATGGACGTGGACGAAGGCGCGGAGTCTGAGGCCTAGAACAAGCAGTGGAAGGAAGACGACAAGTTTGAATACGAGAACGACGAGTATGATAATGGCGAAGAATTGCAGTCATCCCCACTATCGGGGTGTTGTTCTCCCAACTGCTCTTTCCTTCCGTGATGCCTGCCCGTAATCCGATGATCCCGGCCCATGGCCCCACTTATTATCCGTGCCGGGCGCCGTGCACCGCCGGTCCACGCCGTTCGGTACCTTCGGATGTCATTGCTGTCTTAATACTTTTCGTCACTTCATTGCGACGCTCAACGTATTGCTCTAATGATCGCTCTCGGCCGTCGGTTATTTGCCCTTAGAAAGAAAGCATGCGGTCGGACACCCGTCACCCAAATGCTCACTCATCCTCGGATCCCATCAACATCCCGTGGCGACGTACTCAATCAGCAATTGCATTTCCATGATTGAAATGAAGAAAAATGTGTTCTTTCGAGTCCTCGTTTCATATTTGTGGGTCCAGGTTTACTGGTGTTTGCATTTCGCCTTGAAAATGGCTCACATTAGATGTCTATGACTTTCATTACTCTCCGTACATTACATGTCCACTGCCATCTTTTCACAGTGAAAGCCCTTGCTTTAGGCAAGGGTCTCCTTATTTCCTTCCTTCTCGTTAACTTCCATTTCGGCGTCAGGCGCTCTCTCACCCCGTCCAAACTTGAACATGTTCTTCATGTTCTCAGCGATGATTTCCCTCGTCGGCCTCTCAAACAAAGCGTCAATCTCTTCAAGAGTCTTGCTCTTTGTCTCGGGCATGCATATTAATATTCGAGGCTGTTAGCTTTACGTTCAAATGAAGTCCAAGATCGTGGGGTGTTGACATACTGGTAGAACCATCCCAAGATGGCGATGCCTCCGTAGAAGCCCAGAGTGAGGCCCGTGCGGGTCATGGCTTCCTGCATAGCAGTAAAGTTGTAGGTGACAATGAAAGAAGAAAGGAACAGAAGGCCAGAAGACGTGGTCATGCCGTAGGAACGGAGGTAGGTTGGGTAGACCTCAGAGGGGACAACCCAGGTAAGGCAAGCGTAGCAGCCGAAGAACATCATGTAAATGGCCAAACCAACAAGGTAGCAAGCAACTGCACCGGTAGTGTTTGTTGTGGTGGGGATCTGGTAGCTGGCGCCGATGATGATGAGACCGACGAAGAAACCGGGAAGCATGGTGTTGGCCCAGAAGCGACGACCGAACTTCTCCATGTACAAGACGGCAGGAATGGTACCAATGAGCAAAGAACCACCGCCGACAAGGGACATGTAAGTGGCCTTCTCGTCGTTGAAACCGATCTGCTGCATCAGAATCGACATGTAGTACCTGGTGCGTGCTGTTAGTCACGGTGCATCGCCGTTTTACTTGAGCGCCAGTAACTTACATGATAGCGTTGACACCAGTCAACTGACCAAGAAGAATCATGATGTTGGCGTAGATCAAAGCGCGGCGTGCACGAGGAACGGTGAAGAAGTCCATCCAAGGGAAGCGCTTGTTCTTCGCACCCTCCGCGACGACCTGCTTCTCGTCAAGGACAGAGACCTTCATAACGAAGAACTCCTCCCTGGCCTCGGGAGTAGAGGTACCGCGGATGCGCTTCCACACCTTGTAGGCTTCGAGCGTCTTGCCCTTGTGCATGAGGTAACGGGGGGACTCGGGCAGGAAGAGCATACCGGCCCACATGATAGACGAGAAGAGCAGGGAGGAGCCGAGAATCCAGCGCCAGTTGCCGGGAACGTGAAGGAACATGGCAGCAACAGCATAACCCAGAACCTCACCCAAGGCGATGTTCAACTGGTATAGCGAGACAACGTTACCACGGATGCGGCGCTCGGCAGTCTCGGCAACGTAAACGGGGACAGTACCACCCTCGAGACCGACACCCATGCCAAGAATGACACGAGCAGAGACAATCATGCCTGTGCAAGAGTCAGTCAGCGGTGGCTTCATGTTTCGATGGGGAGTACGACGGCTTACCAAAGTTCATGGCACCAGCGCAGAGAGCACCACCAATGGTGTAGAGAACGCAGGAGATGATGATGGACATCCTTCTTCCGAGGTATTCGTTGCAGGGACTGAGAATAAGGGCACCACCGACGGCACCAAGAGGCATAGCAGAGTTGACCAAGCTGTTCTGGCGGTCGCTAAGACCAAGATCCTTGGGGAGGAACAGGTTGGCGCCGGAAATCAGAGACTGATCAAGACCGGACAGGAGACCACCCATGGAGGCGAAGGCAACGATGAGCCAGGTGAAGTACTTGGTGTTCTTGAATTCGAGATCGAAAATGCCCTTCTTGATTCCACCTTCGGCTTCGATCTCGCGCTCCAAGCTGTCGATCAGAGCGTCAACCTCCCAGCCTCCGGCCGCCGCGACGGCAACGGCATCCTTCTCGTTGAGTCCGGGGAGGGCGTTTGTGAGGTTCTCGACGTGAGCCTCATTTTGGCTGTTCGGGTCGTGCTTGCCCGAAATCTTAGGAGCGAGCTGCATGGTGAAGGTTGCGCCCAGCTGCTGGCGTGATCTAAAGGATTTCCGGTTGGAGAAACTGCGGATCTGGGTAGGGCAGATGCCAAGCTCCAAGCTGATTGCGGCTCTGATAAGATCGTCCGGAATAAAAGAGACAGCTGCCAAGGGAGTCTAAAGGGGAGAAGACTTCGGGATGAACCAAGCTTTTAAACAACTACGCAGATCACACCAAGACGACCACGAGACCATAGTTCCGACAATCCCAACGTGGAACAACAACCAACCCGAGCAACGCATTGATCCAATGTGGATTCTCCTCCTCCGTTCGATACCTGTTTGTCTACACTCGACACCAACATCGTCATCCGAAATTTTTGTCTGGTGTTAGGGTGGAGAGACTGGAGAAGAACGGCCGAAGTAGGAGCGACATCATCCGCATTTCCAGGCCTCTTCTCCAGCGGAGGACCCCAGGAAACTGAGGTTACGCGTGCCTGGAGGGCGACCTGGGGCGTTCGGGGTTGCGGGCGCATGAGCTCTAATGCCCTTGGGGCTCCAGGTTCGAACGAGCTGCAGGTTTTCTGGCGTGTACGGAGATCAGGCCGCGTCGGTATTCCCATCTGACTCGCGACTCCACAACGGGCGAGGATAGCGTGTGTGCGAGACCCGCCCGAGGGGGATGGTTTGACCGAAAATTCTACCGCGAGGGCCGTCACCGCGTTCTGGATCCCGAGACTCGGTGACAGTCCGAACCATTCTCGCGTTCTTGCGGAAGCGTACGGAGACTCCGCGTGGAGAAGAAACAGAGTTGGACCATTTAAATCCTCTCCCTGGGGAAAAACGGTCGGGGAACGATGGGCTGACGTCAAACGAGAAAAATCTAGAAGGGCACATGGCCTCCTCGAGGTCGTGTTGTTGTTAGGAGACCTCCTGAGCCGGTGGGCAACAGACGAGACTTGTTGATGACAATTCTTTTTTTGCAGAGGAGTTTTTCTGCCAACCCCTGACGGGAACGTCCCCCCATTATTCCACCATGGAAACCGTCGTCTACCGGCACTTCAACCACGTGCTAGAAAACTTCTTCATTCACACGAGACATCGTTCCTGGGAACGCCACCGATATAGACCGCCTTGGCTACCCGCCATCTACCCGCTATTCCAGGTCCCGGTCCGGAACTGAATCCGCGCTCTTGGCTGGTGGCAGGAGATTTTCTGGCCGGCTTGGCGCTCCGTGAGGCGGCAGGGCTTTTAATCAAAATCCGAGCCGATCGTGCGATGCCGAGACGGCAGGCCAAGGACAAGTCCTCTAATATCGGCGGCTGTCACAGCAGGCAAAGGCCCTTGAAAACATGCGACGAGCAAACCGGTTCCCATGATTCTTTAATTATCTTTGGCAAACTTTTCCCTATTTTTTGTCTTAGGTTTCGGCTTATGGACAGGGCTTTCCCGGGCTTCATGTGGATCGGGGGAAATTTTGAAAGATTGCCAGGGAAGCGGACACGCGCCGGTCAGCCGATCGGTGATAGGGGATGGTTGTCGGTTTTTTCAAATGCACGTCAGGAGTCAGATTGGACTTGGCAAGCCGATCAGCTCATCAATGAAACCTCGATGCTCGTTCTCGGGAGTTGATTGTTTGGAAACCCCACTATGATTTCAAGGTGTGTGTAAATGATCAACAGCTCCAGTTGACAATCAACTCCTTTGACATCATACGGCATATGGAATTCTGCTTTGTGCTGTCTCGTGCTGTTCAATCCACAGAAGGGCCGTTTTCCCCTCATGAGTTTTAGCCCCCCGCAAGTAGCTGTACGGGGAACATGATGGGGCAATACAGCCAAATTGTGGTCCAGACATGTTATCTCATTGGTCCATTGCCCCTGTCATCAGTCTGTACGATCGGTACGCATCATTTTTGTATCATCGCGAAATATCCAGGCATGACATTCAACTCCGAAGTCTAACAGACGAGTGACTTTTCAGTGTGTATTGTTGTTGGTCTCATTTTCTCGAAGATCTTTTTGATAGCCGTTCTTAAATCAGATGAAAGAAATGAGTCATGGCGAACAGTTTTGAGACGGCATGGTCTTGAAATGACATTTTGACCGTGAGGAGAGAGTCCAAATATTTCTTCTTCGGAGCATCGATACTGCTACTATACGTTAAATATTTCCATAGTCAAACAAGGAGTTTAATTCGATAGTTTCATGTCGTTATGTTGAAGTTTGGAATATGTTGTAGAGACGAACGCTCTCACTCACCAGATGGTCCAGACAAGTGCTAAGACGTCTTCTCTCACGCACGGCAAACATTGAAGTGATGTGAAGTGTCACTCAAACGCTAAAACTTATGAATAAGCTCATTTACCATGTTCCCCGTGATTGATTGCTGGAATAATTGTGAGCTGGGCTGTGAGCATGAGAGCAGATAACTCAGGTCTTTAGCTTGCTGCCTTAGGAAGTCTTTAAGAGCAACAAAGTCAGCTGTTGGCCTTTTGACCCTCTTTCGATACTTCAATCCCGGGAAGTCGGATATCATTACGTCCTGCGGCGCCTCATGCCGGATCCGCGGTATCTCCATCTCATTGACTGGCCGGTCACTGCTTAGTTCCCCACGAGTATTTGACTCCTTGCCATTACTCCCTTTCGTCTCGACAACCGTGGCCTCCATAGCGTTAAGTTAGTTGGTGTTTCTCTCTAGTACTGACATTTGCGGGGATGCCAGATGAGAAAAGTTGCTGCCACAAGCAGTGCGATCCCCCTCCCCCGTTGTTTCCCCGGCGGCCCCCACAGCAACACCCTGTCGTGAGGCCCTGATATTCAAGCTCTATTTAAATCCATGTCGAGCTCCAATATGAAGCGAGTCCTTCGATCGGGCTCGATTGAAGAGTTTCATTGTCGGTTCAATTGCTTAAAGACTCCTCTCATCCGCGGCTTTTGAAATTCTGCCAGGCTTCACCCGAACTTGACAACGTTTCCCTTTTCAGATTTGTGAGAAAAGTACACAAAATGCCGATATGTCACCATGCGCTGAACACGTGCAGAAACAATGCACCGATGATGGCACTTGAGCAAAAGGCAACAGCGTAAAGTTGAATGTGACTGGTTTCTTGAAGTTGCTTTGCCAGGGCTGAAAACAATGCCGAGACTTTGACAACCCATCAGCCCCCGATAGCCTGTATTATGTTGATCCCGGGTCGATTTATATTTTCTTTCGGGGAACCCTCTTCGACAAAAGGAGTCATAATGTAGCTGCCAACTTTTTGAATCGCATCTCAAGCATATTTCGAGTGAATTGAAGAGCTCAGGTCCTTTCTACCCTTACGCCGAGTTCCGTCGGCAGCTGTCCCGGCGAAGTGGAGACCGCTGCCGGCCGGGCGAGATAGTTTTCCTATCTTTATCCGCAAAGATGCATGATCGATGATAGATTTCTGGCTCTCACTATTAAGATCTGGGAGCCGTTAAGTATTCATGGCATGGTGAACGTTTAGCATTAATAGGTTCGAAGCAGGAGACCGGCCAAGATTACCGTCGTTCTTCACTTCTACCGGCGAAATCGGCGAATGCCCATCAAACAGTGAAGCACTTCACTTAATTTTTCCAGTTTTTTTATGCAGTGCATAGCTTCACGAAGTCTTGGCGTTTATCAGAGACTCTGAACAATAAGGACGCTGGAGAGTTATCGGTCAACCGGCCCGGTGGAGTCCGGGGTCATGAGCCGACTTCATGACTGACTGTGCCGGGCTTTACCGGTGATCAGCAGCAAGGGTTGGATTATACCTACTTCTAGTGATATTCAACTGCCGGCTAGGACGGCAAATAGTGCAGCTTCGACTTACCTACCGCAGATCTCGCCCAATGGTTACACTGACGCGTTTTCCTTATCCGAGATGCAGGCCTAGCAGACAACCGCACATGACTGATCTAGCTGCACACAATACCCCGCGCGAGTGTTCTATCGCGCACTTCATCAGGTCAAATCGATCACCCCGCAATGCAAGCGCCGGGATGTACGAAATGGCCCCTCTTCATCTGCAGCTTGGTCTCCGCGAGAATGGGATGAGCGAGCAATGGTCGATGATATCCTGATATCGGGAGGATGAGGGCAGCCGGTTTTCACCGGATCGATGATCAGTATATAAGTCCCAATAGAAAGTAATGAGAGAGAAGAGATTACAACGATTACGCAACGACGACCAGTCCGGCACTCGACAGCATGCGGTTCTTCACATCAAGCGTGTTGGCGGCCAGTCTGCTGGCATTGTCATGGCCCAGACAAGTCTCCTCCGCAGCGGCGCTATCTCCATTCACGCAGGACTTGTTCGATGAGTCTATGGATTTCTTGGACAAGATTTACGATCCAGCAGCAGGCTACCTCTATTTCTTCTACTATCCCTTGGCGGCTGGAAAACATGAGACTCGCTCATCGGTTTGGTATGCAACTGGTTTGTTACAACGCAACGAGGGTGACGATGTGAAGGAGGCTGTGAAGATCATCAAGAACGTCATCGGAGACCAAAAGAAGATTCCGGGAGAGCAGTGGTAAGAGCCCTATCATTCTGAACTCTGATCATTATAACTGACATCGACTCAGGTTCGGAGACTACACTGTCTATCCTGAAGAGCCCACCGTTGGCACCGCGGCGTATCCTAAGAACGTAAGTACACTGGGGCTGAGATTCGTAATAGCCTGAAAGACTTACACTAAGACTTTTCATAGATCTTCAACTCATGGGACCCGAACTGGCGAGGCTTCATCGGCACCAACCTCATCGTCATCTACGAGGAATTCAAAGACCTTCTCCCAACAGACGTCCAGGACCTGATCCTCGAGAGCATGTACAACAACACCATCGGCGACAGCTACCGCGTGGGCGGCGTCGACGACGACGTCCTCTACCCAGCCTACAGCAACCCAGCCCTCATGCGCGCCGTCGCGACCGGCTGGACAGGCCGCATGCTCAACGAGTCCAACATGACAGCAGCCGGCGAGCTCTACGCCCAGGAAATCCTCGACCTCTTCGACCTCAACTCCACCCTCTCCGAGTTCAACAGCCCGACCTACGCCGGCGTGAGCCTCTACGCCCTCACGCTGTGGGCCAAGTACATGCCGCCGGACTCTTCCGTGATGGGCCGGCACGGGGCCCGGATGATCAAGGCCGTCTGGGACACGATCGGCGACGTGTACAACGCCAACCTCCGCAACGTCGCGGGGCCCTGGGACAGGACCTACGGCTTCGACATGAACCAGTACGTCGCCATCCTCAATATCTACATCTGGTCCCTCGTCGGCAAGGAGAAGGCCCCCGGGATCGCCCAGACCTGGAGCATGGCGCACGCCGACGACTTCGAGTACGCGCCGCTCATCGCCGTCCTCGCGCCCTTCCACGACGCGCTCGTGTCCGAGGAGGTCTTGGCGAAGTTGACGACGTTTCCCGGTGAACATATGTACGAGACGGCGGCTTTCTCGCCGCCGCATGATGCCGCGCCGAGGAACGTTACAGTGTGGCTTTCAGCCAACTTGACCATCGGGGCGGAGTCGTACGACGAGGATACTCTGGGTGGTCCGCGACAGGATTCTCTTCAGTGGTCCCCCGCCGTGGTGCAGTGGGCTAGAAGTGATGGGAGCGTTGGGTACATCGTACAGCACGGCACCGAGGAGGCCATGGACGTCGATGTAAGTCCCGGGCGCCTCGGCTTATCGTACCCTCGCGGGAATTCGAGCAGCGTCTTCACGTTCATTGTGAGCTCTAATCCCATCGGGGGAAAGAGGGATATCTCTGGCGTGGCAGACATCGAGGGCCTCAATATTACTGTTGGCGGCTCCGTCGATTTGGAGCCCGAAGTCAGCTTCTGCGGCCTCGTCGGCGGAACTTGTTCAGTTATTCAGTGAGTCAAACATGCAAAGGCAATACGCACGGAGATACTAACGCATATTAGCGGTTTCGAATTCTGGAACATCACCTACGTGATGCCTTCGAATACCACCGCAAGCCCAAGCATAACCTTCGAGATTGAGTAAGCAAGCCAGGTCAGCGAATGACCGCATTGAACGGCAGTAAGCTTGAAGATCTTGGTGCTGGGTTGATAGTGCTCCGTCTCCGCTTATTGCTAAGGCTTGCGATGATCTCTTCGTCTTGGAAGTTCAAAAGCCTTAATTGATATCAAATCTGCTCGAATCCTGCCACATATGGCCACGTAGAACATAATAAAAAGTCGTAAAATTCGTTCTCGTTTGTGATATAGTTTTCCCGTTCTACTCCGTGTTTCCGTTCCGCAGTTTCTTCTTTCGCCATCGTGTCTATGAGTCCCCGATCTGCCCATTTTCCCCTCGAACTGGGTTGCTTAGGCCTACATGTAGTGAAGACGTTCCCATTCCCTCCTCTGCGCGCAAGATAGCTTGACTGCTTTCCGGCCACTCCCAACTCGCCTCGGGAGGTGAAGAGTGCCTGAAGGTGGCCGACGGAAACCCCGCCTCGATATCGAAATCCGCAGACACGGGTGATATGTTGCCGCCAGGCAGGAGGGGCACCTCCCCGCTCGTCAATCTCCTGATGACCGCGAGAGACTGCGGCCTCAGGTTCATGCACTCGTCCCGCGGCATCAGCCTCTCGTGCCTCGTCGTCCACCGCCTCTCTTCGTAGGACAACTCGATCTCCATCGTCTTCATGATTCCCGAAGACGGTGGCTCCGACAACATCCCCCCGGCAGATGCTGATTTCCCCGGGTTCGTGTTGGCGCACGGCTCCAATCCGGGCGCAGATGACGAGGATGAACCCGAGCCTGACCGCAGTGGGAAGGCCCAGGAGGATCGATTTCGTGGCGGACCCGGTCTTGGCGGCTGTGAGTCCGGTCCTGATATTCGTGATTCGTAGGTGAAGTCGTCGAAACGCAGCCGAGGCATCTCCATCGCTGCCGGCGACTCGCTCCTCGACAGGGAGCTCGTGAAAAACTTTTTCGGCATCGTTTCGTTCGTTACGCTGATGTTCGGGAGAGATCTCGTTCTCCAAGGACCTCTATCGTCCTCTTGTTTTCCTTTCCCACACAAGTGCCTCACGAGAGGGGTGAGGCTCGGCGCGCAGGCGGCGGTGATGCCGATTCCGGGCTCGACGGTGCTCCAGATGGCGAAGTATGCAGTGTCGCCTGCCAAAGAGGAGAAGAATTAGTATGCGTTGTAAGGTCCATTGGTGACCTGTCAAGCCACCCATCGTCATTGACTTTGGAGGGGCAGATTGATGCGGGTGACGTACGAAGAAAGTTTTCCTCGCTCAGAACCGAGGGTACTGTTACCGCCCTGATAATCGTGGCGATACTTACTCTGCCAAAAAGTCAACTCATGTCAGTACATGGTTCACCAATCACCATCAAGCCGTTCGGCGGGAAGGTTAGGTGACGGCACAATCGGCACCCGATACATACATGGACGCGAAGCCTAACAGAAGTATAACCAGGACTTTGGTTTTGAGTCGGAGATCCAGAGACCAGACTATGAATAGCGACAGAATCCCGAACGTCCAGTCTGCGACGCAGTTAAGCGATGCCGCCGTGAAGGTGGTGCCCAGCACGATGTTTCTTCCAAAGCAGTGGCCCGGTGTGCGTGGTCCTTGGTCCCAGAATGTGTGCACCGGTCTGCATTGGAAGGCGATGAGGAATAGGTACAGAGCACCGAAAACGAGCGTCGAGAGGAGGAGTATACGCAGGATCCAGATGTGCGTCGGGACGATTGCGATGCGGAGGAGGAGTATGCCGACGCAGACTTTGAGTAGTATGGTCGTCAGGAGGTATAGGAGTTCGCCGGCGAAAAAATACTGTGAAGCCGAACATCAGTAACGCGAGGTGACAAGAGCACGGGATTTGAGTAGCATACCTGAAGAGCTGTCCGTCTGTCTGCTCGTGGGATTTCTGTTGCATCACGGCCCGTGCCGTAAACGACCCCCAAGATCTCCGTGATCAGGAACGTGGTGAATACGACCTGGAGCAAGCACAGGACCTTGTCGTCGGAGGAAAAAGCTCGCGTGATGAACACCTTCGAGTAGAGGCGCAGCGCAACCGCAACGGGAGTCAAGCGCAGGAAGAGAATGGCGACCGCAAGAACACGGTGAGGTCGGTTTGGATCGACGTCAACATCTACCATGCCGCAGTGAAAGCGGCTTCGTTAGGTATATTGTCGTGCGCAGTCTTGTTGTTCATATCCAGTGGCTGGATCACACTGACGACATGGCCGCCGGGCAGCAGAAACAACAAACCAGTCCAGTCCAGCTTGGAAGGAAACTCTCAGACAGACGCAAACAGAAGTCTGGAGCTCTGTGGAACAACAAGCTCCATAGCAAAAAAAGGGCCGGGACGATGGGAGCACGGTCATGCAGGAAGAGACGGCTGCGGGGGTCCGGCGGAACTTTAACAATACCAAGAGAGAAAAGAGTGTCAGGAAATCGGCACTTGTTGGAGTGAACCCCGGATCAACAGTGCTTGAGTCGCGAACGGAGTCAAACGAGGACTGGTAACAGGGTTAGCTTAGGCCAAAATACAGCTTCTGCAACAATCTGGCGGGTGGATGAAAGGGATGTTCCATGAAACAGAGAGGGCGGAATCCTTCCAGAAAGCTTCAGTATCGAACACCCGGGCAAGCTAGCGGCGCGAGCTCACATGTCTAACATCGCCCTAGAGAGTCGGTTTTCGTCCAATTTAGTAACCCAACTGCGCGTAAGACCGTCCGTCCATAGTTGTGGCTTGAGGTTGGCCCAATCGGCAGCTCGAGTCGTGAGAGCTAGGCTGAACTCTTGCTGTTTAGGTTTGTTTGCGTATCTATGCAAACGGCATAGCACGAGATCAAGCTCCAGCTGGTGCGAGTTGCTGATTATAGAAAAGTGACCGGTGGAAAGCAACCGTTCGACACGTATTGGACCACGCTGACCACGCTGAACGATAGAATGGTGAGGTACAGCCATTCCTCAAGATCTAAGACATTGATCTACTAGTCTTGTGCTCGCGTGGCTTGATATATGGGCAGATAGATTAGATACTACGATAACATGAACGACGGAAAAGGCAATGAGAAATGCCACCGGCGTCAGACGGGCTCGATCTTCTCCCCACCCACCCCTGAATTCTTCTCGTCGACGACGTCCACGTTCCCAGACCTCGTGGAGATGGCGTCCGGCTCAGCCACTCCACGAAGCACAGGAGCGTCGCCAAACGTGCCGAAATAATCCAAATCATCCACGGCCAGCCTGTCGGGCACCGGCCAGACGTGGTCTAGCGCCAGGTATATCAGGCCAGACACGAGGCAGCCCACGAACCACGACAGCTGATAGAGCCTCGTCCACCCGGCCCAGCTCTCGCCGGGCGCGACAGCCCGCTGCGCCAGACCCGGGACGAACAGCCAGGCCCCCAGCACCCAGGCGACGGCCGCGCGCCAGTTCCATCCCCCGGCGTACCAGTAGATGCTCCTCGCCGAGTCCCCGTACAGGTCGGTGAGCTTGACGGTGCGCCCGCGGACGAGGAAGTAGTCGGCGAACATGATGCCCATGAGCGGGCCGAGGAAGACGTTGAAGCTCCCGACGACCGTCAGGAAGCTACTGGCGCTGTTGAGCAGGGACCACGGCTGCATGACGAAGACAAAGACGATGGTGAAATACCCCCCGCGCCGCACCGTGAACCACCGCGGTAGCAGCGCCGCTAGGTCGATTCCGGCGACCACGCAGTTCGACGCGACGACCATGCCGAACTGCGACAGCACGAACGCGACGCTGGCGAACGCGACACCAGCACGGGCGCCGGGGTTGTCCTCGTTCGCCCGCACCGCGTCCAGGAAGGCGTACGGCTGCCACAGCAGCTTCCCCTCGTCGGGGTACAGCGTGGCCGCGCACGAGGTGCAGATGATGCCCGCGCAGGCGACGACGATGGTGCCCAGGGGCACCATGACGAGCTGCGCCAGGACCTGGTCGCCGGGCTTGCGCGCGTACCGGGTGTAGTCCGACTGCGACCACATGTGCGTGGCGATGCCGCCGATGTTGGCGGTGACCGCGGTCACGAAGGCCCAGCCCAGGTCCCCGCCCCTGGCCGGGTGGACGCCCGAGACCCTGGAGACGTCGGCGAGGAGGGCGCCGCCGCCGCCGGCGCGCACGGTGGACCAGATGAGGAGGGCGAAGACGGTGGTGGCGACGGTCGTCGAGGCGACGAGGAACGGCTTGCGGTAGTTCTCCGGGCTGAACCACATCAGAGGCAGGCAGAGGAGGAAGTAGACGACGAAGGCCACGAAGTCGCACGCCCTCATCGCACCATTGGCGAGCTCGGTGTCCAGGTCGAGAAAGGAGGGCCAGATGCACGTCAAAAGGACCTTGAGACACTGGCTACCGTACCACGTGTTTGTGGCGGTCCAGACAAAGGACAGGAAGACTCGGATGGCCTTCACGAATCGTTAGTCGGTATGTCAAACAACACCCCCGTAGTGCGGAGCCTCAAGATGGAATCATACCATTGGGAAAAGGTAGCCCCAGATACCCCAATTCTGCTTCATCCAGAGAGGGAAACCTATGTGCCATTTTGCGCCTGGGTGACCACCCGCTAGGCAAAGAAGACCAGCGAAACTGTGAGCTACGACGATGGCAATCATCGATTGCTGTTGGTTGGTCAGCGGGTGTAAGTTGACGGTAGACGCTCATACTCGGATCGGCTTACCCAGACGTTAAGCCCAAGAGAAATCAGAGAAGAGCCTGTAGTCCATCCGCCGACGTTGAAAGACCCGGTGACCATCCAAAGCCCAACAAATTCCCACGGCCCATAGGTCCGGCGAGACGGAGGCAACGGCCTGGTGTCTTTGTTGACATAGATGTCCACATTGGTGTCGGTGTCCCGGTTGACCTCGATTCTCCGCACCAACCGGCTCGCCAGGGGTGTCTTGGTCGCCATTGCTGCAGATCTTCGTTGGCGGATCGTCTCAAAGCACCTCAAGTCAGACGGGGGTAGACGGCACGCTCTTTTAGATCCAAGTTGCACACGCCATCGGGGATATCATTCTTATAGAAGACGTGGCATTTCGGGATAGAGAAACTCGAGTATCTGGAATCGATAAGAGACGTCCTTACACAACGCCTGCACGCCGAGTCTGCGCAGTACTTAGACACCGATCTTGATAAGAGCTGCTTCGTCGGCTTCGAAAAATGTCAAGATAGAAGAGCGGATCTTTTTCGCTCGGTAGATTCGAACCCCTGATACATGTGGGCCTCTCACATTCACTCCATTGTCCAATGAGAAAGGACGACTTCGTCCAGTTGACCAGTTTTGCAGTTTACCAGTCCCGCTCCCCGCGATAGCATCAGATCCTCCGCGGTGGCCCCGCGATATGATGACCGCGGCGTGCTGCATGCAGTTTAACAGTTTTACCTGGACGGATGAAAGCTGGAATCGGGAATCATTCCAGGTGGCTGTTTGTAGTTTCCGTGGCTTTGTTTGCGATCTATAAACGGGAGACTTAAGACCAACATGAACGTCCATGTATGTCCCTGATGAGGGAAACTGGGACAGAAGTACCTAGCTCTAACACGCGAATACTCGCATTGAAATTGCCCCCTCGTCCAGCCGTCCAAGCCCGTCTTCCGAGATGTCCCAAACCGCAACCCTTTCTCAGCCCGAGAAACGGACCGTCACCCTGCAGAACGGCACCGTCTTCAGTTTCAACTCCAACACCGCCACGAGTCTCGAGAAGATCCCCGTCATCGATGCGTCGGGTATCTGGAGCGACGACATCAAAGAGCGGAAGGCCGTCGCGGAGCAGATCAGAGAAGCCTCGAAGAACATCGGCTTCTTCTACCTCATCAACCATGTTCGTATATCTCGGAATCGTGCTCACAAACTCAACCCGTTTTGACTTGCCGTGCCCAGGGCATCGATCAGAGGTTCGCCGACAACACCATGAACGAAGCGAAACGCTTCTTCGCTCTGCCAGAGGAGAAGAAGATGGAAGTCTTCACCGGGCTCGTCCCCAACGAGTACGTGGGTTTCCATCCCATGGAGTGCTACAACCGAAACGGCTGGAAGCACCAAGGTAAGCCTAACCGTCTCACATAATCGCCTTCCGCACGTCAACTAATCCGAGGGGAAAAGACCTGAGCGAAGCGTTCAACTGGGCGTACGACGCGCGAGAAGACCCCGAGGCGGTGGACAAGGACGAAAAGTCCGTCAGCATCTGGCCGTCCGACCTCCCGGGCTTCCGCGAGAACCTCTACGCCTACCACACGGAGCTCCTCCGCCTCTCGCGCCGGCTGACCCGCATCTTCGCCCTCGCCCTGCGCCTGCCGGAGGACTACTTCGACCAGTACGTCAAGAGGCCTGAGGCGGGCATGCGCATCCTGCACTACCCGGAGCAGAAGCACTCGGTCGACGACCAGAACGGGATCGGCGCGCACACGGACGTCGAGTGCTTCACCATCGTGACCCAGGACGCCTCGGGCGGGCTGGAGGTGCTCGGCAAGACGGGCAACTGGGTCAGGGCGGAGCCGATCCCCGGCTCGTTCGTGGTGAACATCGCGGACTGCTTCATGCGGCAGACGAACGACTTCTTCGTCTCGACGATCCACAGGGTCATCAACAAGAGCGGGAACGAGAGGTATTCGGCGCCGTTCTTTTTCGGGTTCGATAGGCAGAAGGTGCTGGAGCCCGTGCCGACGTGCGTGAGCGATGAGAACCCGATGAAGTATCCCATCATGACCGGAGGCGAGTACTATCAGTGGCGGACGAATAAGCAGAAGCAGACGAACACGAGGAATTCAAAGGCGGACCGGGAGGGTTGAATACATATGTAATCGTATAATGGTTCCTAATCTAATCAGTCTGTCATCGCTTTTCCAAATCGAGAGCGCTTGATAGAAACCTTTTACTCCGGTTCCTGTATTGAACCATAAGGCCAGGTGAAGCTGTCCAAGAGATTTGTCGAGAAGATATCTGCTCCCTCGCGATTCGACTCGTTGAGTATCGTGTCCAAGTATGGCGACCAGCCCAACTGCATGTGGCTTACGGTCTCCAAGGACATCTCTTCAGTCGACTGAGACACGTGCTCATCCAAGTCCGCCAGTCTCGAAGTCAGCCGCTGCTTGGCGGCGACGGCGGCGTTATTGAAGCTCTCCAGATTTCCCAAGAACCGAATCATCGACACGAGGACCTCCCTAAAAGTCTCGTACTCCAGCTCCGACAGCCTGTGCTTCACGGCGACGCTGACGAGCATGTGTCCGACGCCTGCCAGCTGCTGGACGAGCGGGGACCCGACGGCGCGCACGTACTCGATCGGTATCGTCACCATGTTGTCCATCATGTTGCGCGCGGTCTGGAACGCGGAGTGCAGGCTGTCGTCGCTCGAGACGGACGAGATCATGCGCGCCAGGTGGATCGTGCAGAGTATGTTGGAGGCCTGGAACCCGCAGCGGTTTCTCCCGTTGTCGGCCGACCGCGTGGTGGCGGTGCCGAACTGCGGGAGCAGCTCGGCCTGGATCTTGGACAGCGTCTGCGAGATGGCCTGGGACGTGTTGTGGATCTGGCGGTCCTGGAGGATGGACCTGCGGTCGCGGTTCTTGGCCCTGAACTCGGATATCGCGTGTTCGAGGACGCGGTACAGATCCGTCGTCAGGTTCCACCCCTCGAACCAGTTCTCGAACTTGCCGTCTCGGCCGGGGATGAAGGCCGGGTGGTGAATCCCGCAGGGGTAGCCAACGTCGGAGTGAGCCTCGGGGCAACGCACGAGGCTTCCCAGGACGCAGGCGGTGTGCACCTCTAGTCGGTACATGGCCCACCAAAGGCGACGTCTGACTTCTCTGTCGCAGTCTGTTGTGTCGAGTGGCCATCTTGACTCATCATGCAAGCCAAACTGCGCGCACAAGCCGTGGTAAAGGGCGAGATATTTGTGCACCATGGCCGTGTTTCCTTCTTGCGCTCCGAGCAACGCCAAAAAACCGTAGGACCGGATGACATTGATGTTCGGCCCGTCAAAATCAGTGTCCGTCAGACGGACAGCTTCTTTAAGATAGTCTTGTGAGAGGCCTGCGCTCTCTGAGGGAGCCGTGTCATCGGTGAAAAGAGCGCGGTTGCCGACGTGTTGAGCACTCAACGCGCACATGCAGATGAGGCTCATGTAGTCGGATGGAGTCGCCGGGAACGTCCCATCTCTCCAGCCGACCCATAGTTCTCTTTCGCAGAAGAAAGGAAACCTGAAAGAATCATCAGTCATCAATCGTGATCGACGAAAGCAAAGCGGCTACTTCTCACGTCGGATGGATGGTGTCGAGGTAGACGTCAAGCAGCGCGGTGACAATCTTCCGATTACCGAGCCGTGCTGTCGAGCTCTCGTGTGTCGTATTCCTCGTCGACCCTCGCGGTTTCGTCCCTCGTTTCTTGGGCTGGCGGTGATGCGTGCAGTCTTGGCTGTATTCTATGCATGTCAAGCACGACTGCTTCCCGGGCTCTTGGTTCTCGGACGGTGCAGTTCGGCACTTGATACCCCGTTTATGGCAAAAGTCGCAAGCTTGGGTGATGCGCCTAGCCTTTGGTTGCGGGATTGAGCTATTCATCGCACACGTTGCGTGTTTGCGGCGATGTCAATGTGAATAGCCATCAAGAAACGACATAATGTTTGAAAGTGAGGGAGAATGAATCGTCACCAAGGACCCTGTGTCCAGGATGTCATGTCATACGGAATGTTTTTTCGAAAGGAAGAAATTGCTAAGCGGTACCGTTTCATTCAAGGAGCGTACCTTACGGTACTTCGTACCTAAGCACAAATAGCGAGACCGAACCAACAGGGATGTTGGGTCGGTTAGGGCGTATTCTCCGCCTAGGATTGGTCTTCTAACGATCCCTAGAGACTTCTCTATTGCTGGTGTAGATATCCGTAATTGCCGGCCGCGACCTCAATCTTGGCCAATCCGTGCGGGCTCATGGCGACCCTCACAGCACGCAGCTTGAAACCTTGACAGGGAAATATATTCCGCCAACACGATGAACGTGTTTGGAGTGTCAGCACTAATCAACAATTCTGCCGACATGTAAGGGCCTTAGGAATGATATGTTGGTATGATGTTGTTTTACGATTGACGGGGCCAGGACTGGTCTTTAGCGCGTGAGTGAATGAATGATTCACGATGAGAGCCATACCTATGAGATCATTATGGTAGCTGAAAACTTACGTGCCTTAATCTTTTAAATGCAGATGAAATAATAATGATGATATCCTTTCAGAACATTTCTATTTCTCAAAAGACAATCAGCATCCTGCACCTTCCAATCCAACAATAGCTCACTAACTCAAACATCGAGTCGTACATCTATCTCACAGGTCATTTCAGGCTTACGCTATTTTCCTGAGCTTGCGTGAGCCTGTAGAAGTCGGCTGCCCTAGTCATGACTCGATGAGCCCGAATAGAGGGTTCGAATCTACAGAGTTCATCTGATGCGGCACACACCGTTGAACATAGGCTGAAGTCAATCGGCCAGTCAGACACTGCTCTTCTTAAGGCGACACATCGGATGGATTCCCTAGCTTCATCACTTCTTTCTATCGAAAAGGAATCTCTAGATGGATTTGTGCAAACTTTATTCCACTATGAGTGATCACCGAATCCCAAGTTTATTCGATACCGCATACCAACGCCGACGCTACCAAATATAGACTGGGATATGATACATCACAGGAAACGCGCTGTACCCGGGGTCCATCTCACAAGTTCGATCTCGCCTGATCTATTCATCCCAGATGGTCGCGACAACAGCGCCCGTGAGCTGAACCTGCCCGACCTTGCCGCCTTCGGCCTCGGGGACGATCTTGCCCGACGCCAGGTCGCGCTTCCAGATGACGACGGTGCGGTTGTTCTGGTGCCCGACGGCGATGAGATCGCCCGCCTTGTTGATGGAGAACTGCCGCGGCGACCACCCGCCGGACGGCGCCAGCTGCACCAGCTCCAGGGTCCCGTCCTCCTTGATGGCGAAGGTGGACATGGTGTCCGAGGGCCCGGAGCCGAGGATCGGGGAGTCGCGGAAGGAGACGTCGCGGTTGGAGACGATGAGGAACTTCTGGTCGGGCTGTTTACCGAGAGAAAAGAGAGAGCGTGTTAGTCAAGATCCTGGACGAAATTACAAATTCGGATGCAGAATACGACCGGGTCAAATTAAAATAGCCACCCCCAAGAAAGCCAAAAATGTGGTTTTTGGGGAATTCGGTACGGCAAACAAAACAAGACCCAGGCAGTGATCTGCAGAAGCGCACGATGGGGGAAAACTCACGGTCATGGCAATCTCGCTCGTAGGCGCCTTCGTCGCGGGAAGGTCGGCGTTGATGGCGGGGATGGAGAAGACCTTGGTAAACGCCAGGCCGGTCTCCTTGTACTCGACCTTGTACGAGTAGATGTTCTGGTCGAGCTCGCCGTTGAAGTAGAAGAAGACGTCGCCGTTGGCGGCGGTGCGGAAGACGCCGTGGCGGGGCCCGACGCCGGGCCCGGTGACGAGGCCCGGGATCTCCTTGAGCGGCGCCACGGCCCCTTCGTCGTACGTGTACACCCGGACGACGTCGCCGCCCAGGTCCGCCAGCAGCACGTACTGGCCCTTGGGGTCGTTGATGACGTGGTGCAGGTAGCTCGCGTCCTGGCGCGAGGCGACGGGCCCGGTCTGGTTCAGCGTCGGGAAGAACTCCTGAAGGGGACCGGTGCCCGGGAGGGCGCCCTTGTCGCCGAGGGCGAAGACGGCCGCCGCGCTTCGGTTGCTGCCGAGCAGATTGTGAGCTTGAATCCTTTACTTTTGTTGTTTCCGTTCTAGTCTTTGGGGGGGCAGGTGGATAAGGACGATGGTCTAGAATTTCTGGAGAACGGGGGGATTCTTGTTGCCGATCGGCCGGGGTTGGATAAAGGGACGGACGAAATATCGTCCCATTCCCAGACGATAACAGCTCGGAAAACGACGCATCTCGGAGGAACAACGTGGGATAAAGAAGAAGAAAAAAACCACTCACTATGAAGCAGAGACATAACCCCGGACGCCAGAGGGCGTGGTGACGATCTCGCCAGCGACGCCGCTAAAGGGAGCCGAGACGCGGGCGATGCGGGTCAGGGCGCCTCCCTCCCCGATGGAGAAGGAGTTTAAGGAGCCGTTGGGCACCGAGTTGGAACCCCGGTCGAGGCAGTACAGGACCCTGTTGGCGCCGTCGAGGGTGAGCCACGAGGGGTTGACATCGCACTCGGCCGTCTTGCTGGCGACGGAAAAGCTGTAGTTGCCGCCGGCGGTTCCGGTCAGCGACAGCGTCGTGACATTTCCGCCCGAGTCGGCCGCGTAGAGGGTGACGGCGCTCGAGGTGGCCCAGAGGGCGGAACCTGCCAAGAAGTTCTTCAACGGAGAAGTGCGCATGGCTTCAGTTGGGGACGGCGGAGGATATGAAGCCGATGTGGTGGTGGTGGTGGTGGTGTAAGCCGATTAGAGACTTTGAGGAATGACAGAAATGCGCTCCAAACGAAGTAAAAGGATTCGTGGAATGAGCGGGACCCGGTGATACTTGAAGTAAATCAGGTAGGTCGGCGCAATCAAACCTGCAGTGGGTAGTCCGAGAAGGATCAGAGTCCGACAAGCGAGAAGAAACGAATGGATAGTGGATTTGAGTCCTGTCTGAAAAGAGTGATGTGATCTGAAGATCTGATAACCGCTGGTCTGCCGGGTGGGACAACTCTCCCTTCAGCCTCGTAGACACGATCGTGGGGATTCAGAACTTGTAATATACTATGAGCACAACTGCCATTACTAATGACCACGATTCTTAGCGAGACCGAATAGAGGTTCCCAAGGAGTCGGTAATGGCGGAAATTTGAAAGGGGCCCCGGATTTGTAAACTCCATGACTCGGTTTAAATACTAATAGACAGATCTCACCAGTTGTAGCATGAGCCAAGACTTTTGTCGACCATCGTGACCCATGGAGTGAAGCGTCTCTCCTAACTCCTAACTGCCCTGATGGGGGCCAGATGGTTTTCTCTCCCCTTACTACGAAAAGCATTGCGCCTTTTCACACCTCAATGTGACAATGATCTAAACCTTAAAAGACGGCCGCCGGGGAGGTCGGTAGTACCGAAAAAGGGGACGGACTCCGGTGTGTTCCAGCAGTACGGACCCGGCACGGAGGAATCCATGCAAGGATCGGCCTGTTTCATGGGGCGAATCACCCGGACAAGGTTTTACAGATTGAGTAGGTCAGAGGCTGAGCAGGTCAGCGCCAAGCCGTAAGAGGAACCAGGTTGATTGATATGATTAAACTTGGGTTATCCGAACCCGTCCCTGACTCTCTCTGGCTAACCGCAGCTAGGTCTGCTCATTATGACGGGGGGCCAGCGTGGGGGCTCGCCAAGGTGTGATGGATGGCCCTAGCAGCAAAAAGACATCTCTCACATATTAACCTTTTCCAACGGATATCGAGCATAAGGCGACTGTTCTACCGAGAACCCCGAAGTTGCCAATCATCTCGAGAGAGACTCTTATGGGTCTGATCCATAACTGCCCCTATGAGCCCATCTATTATAAGATGAACCCGTCCGTGATCACAGAGCCCCAATGTTCTTGATGTCTCCTCACTTCAAGCCTCACAGCTCGAACTCCCATCTGGCCTCTACATTCGTTTCTTATCACCGGGCTGTATAAACTTGTACATACCAAAACAGCCATGGATTCTACACGCTCTTTTGGACGCTTCGTCGTCGCTTCGCTCTTTTACCTCGCTCCCGCCCTCGTCGGCGCCCAGGACAGCGCGGCCAAGGGCGTCGCCCTCCAGTCCTGCCTCAACACCGCCGGCGTCCGCAACATCATCAGCACCGACGCCACCTGGGCCGACGAGACCGTCGGCTTCCAGAAGCGCATCAAGGTCGACCCGGCCGCCATCTCGTTCCCGGAGAACAAGGACCAAGTCGCCCTCTCCCTCGACTGCGCGCGCAACGCCTCGGCCAAGGCCACCGCCCTCGGGGCTCACCACTCCTTCCAGGCCTACGGCTTCGGCGACCCGGGCAGCCTCGTCATCAGCATGGCCGCCTTCAACTCCGTCTCCTACGACGAGGCCACCCAGCGCGTCACCTACGGCGGCGGCTCCCACGTCGGCCCCGTCCTGAAGCACCTCTGGGACACCGCCGGCCGCCACTTCCCCCACGTCCGCGGCGCCCACGTCGGCCTCGCCGGCTCCAGCATCGGAGGCGGCTACGGCTCCAGCTCCCGCCACCTCGGCACCCCCATGGACAACCTCGAGTCCGTCGAGTACATGCTCTACAACGGCACCGTCGTCAACGCCGGCAAGGGCTCCGACCTCTTCTGGGCCGCCCAGGGCGCCGGCGCCTCGTACGGCATCCTCCTCTCCGTCACCACGAACACCCACAAGCCCCTCTTCGACAAGGCCGTCAACTTCACCCTCTCCATCGGCAACGTCGACGTCGACGCCGCCGCCAAGGCCCTGGTCGCCGTCCAGGACTACTCCCTCAGCAAGGACTGCCCCGACGAGCTCGCCCTCCGCTGGAGCCTGAGCGCCCCTCCCTACTCCGGGACCGGCTACTTCTACGGCGACCCGGCCCGGTTCGACGCCGTCATCGCGCCCCTCGTCTCCTCCCTCAACGCCATCGCCCCCAACGCCACCGTCGTCCAGAAGACCGAGCTGCCCTTCTGGGACATGGAGGTCGCCGTCGCCGGCGCCGGCATGAACCAGCCCGAGGGCGGCTCCCTCGGCGGCCGCTCCTTCTACACCCAGGCCCTGACCACCACCACCGACCACCCCCTCACCGTCGAGCAGGCCAAGATCCTCTTCGAGAGCACCACCCTGGCCTTCAACCGCACCGACCTCCGCAAGTCCGGCTTCCTCGACCTCTGGGGCGGCGTCTCCCGCGACATCTCCGACGCCGACACCGCCTACGCCCACGGCAAGAACCTCTGGCTCATCCGCTGGGAGGCCAACTCCGTCGACGTCAACAACTACCCGGCCGACGGACCCGCCTACATGAAGAGCCTCATCAAGCCCTTCGAGGACGCCCTGGTCGCCGGCGGCGCCCCCCTCCGCGGCTTCGTCAACTACGCCGACACCGAGCTCACCGAGGCCGAGTGGAGCGCCCGTCTCTACGGAGCCAACTTTGACCGTCTCAAGCAGATCAAGGCCGCCGTCGACCCCGAGGGTGTCTTTACCAACCACAAGCAGGCCATTCCTCTTCCTTGAGCATGATAGTTGAGGGGCGGATACTAAACGGAAAATGGGAAAAAATGAAACATCTTAAAGCCGGTTGGAATTACCTAGGCTAGATCAGCGAATTGAAACTTTTTTCTTTCTTAAAATAGGCCCGGACGGTGTGACCGGGCTGTTCCGCACCAAGGATAACTCCGATGTCATGGTTTTTTTTGCGAAACCGAATGCATGATGACAGTCCCAAATACGTGATCTCTCGTGAAACTTGTTCAGAAGAGTTTCAAAAAGTAGCCGTCGAGGGAAGAAACACGGTGTTTGTCTGAAGACCGCGTTGACCCGTCTTGAAAGAATCGTGTGGAGTCCGGAACACCTCGACTTCTCCAACTTTCCCCTCAATTCACGCGGGGTAAATTCAATGTCCACAACACCATGTGGAGGCTCTCGGTCGACATTCTCACGAATCACCCCAAGCCGGCTAAATGCGACTTGTGGAGGCGTGGGGATGGTCACCTTCAATCTCATCTGCGCCGGCTCGACACTGACGGGTGATAAAGGTCGATGTCCGTCTCGTGAGTTTCCAGACTGCCGTTGTCTGTTTTCGAACCTCAGCTACCAGCCCACGAGAGTGACACCATCACAATGCCGACCGTTCGGAATCCCATCCTCCCCGGGTTCAACCCGGATCCCTCCATCGTGAGGGTCGGAGACGACTACTACATCGCGACGTCGACCTTCGAGTGGTTCCCCGGCGTGCAGATCCACCACTCCAAGGACCTCGCCAACTGGTCCCTCGTCACCCGGCCCCTGACGCGCCGGTCCCAGCTCGACATGCGCGGCGACCCGGACAGCTGCGGCGTCTGGGCGCCCTGCCTCTCCCACGACGGCGACCGCTTCTGGCTCGTCTACACCGACGTCAAGCGCAAGGACGGCTCCTACAAGGACACCCACAACTACATCGTCACCGCGCCTTCCATCGAGGGCCCCTGGTCCGACCCCTACTACGTCAACTCCTCTGGCTTCGACCCCTCCCTCTTCCACGACGACGACGGCCGCAAGTGGTTCGCCAACATGATGTGGGACCACCGCCGCCGGCCCCACGCCTTCACCGGCATCGTCCTCCAGGAGTTCGACCCCAAGCTCGGAAGGCTCGTCGGCCCCAAGAAGAACATCTTCCGCGGCACCGAGCTCGCCCTCGTCGAGGGCCCCCACCTCTACAGGCGCAACGGCTGGTACTACCTCCTCACGGCCGAGGGCGGCACCGCGTACGAGCACGCCTGCACCCTCGCCCGCTCCCGCGACATCTGGGGCCCCTACGAGCTGCACCCCCAGAAGTACGTCATCACGTCCAAAGACGCCCCCTTCGCCGCCCTCCAGCGCGCGGGCCACGGCGACATCGTCGACACCCCCGACGGGAAGACGTACATGGTCCACCTGACAGGCCGTCCGACGACGCAGAAGCGGAGGTGCGTCCTCGGCCGCGAGACGGGCCTGCAGGAGGCCTACTGGGCGGACGACGACTGGCTATACGTCAAGAACGGCCCCGTCCCGTCACTCCACGTCGAGGTGCCCGGCACGCCGGACGAGAGCGCGTACTGGGCCGAGAAGAAGTACACATTCGAAGACGGCCTGCCGCAGGATTTCCAGTGGCTCAGGACGCCGGAGCCCGAGCGCATCTTCAGGACGGAGGGCGGGAAGCTGACACTCATCGGGCGGGAGTCGGTCGGGTCGTGGGTCGAGCAGGCGCTGGTGGCGCGGCGGCAGACGCACTTCTCGTACGACGCCGAGACGGTGGTCGAGATCGCGCCGACGGACGAGCGCGAATTCGCGGGCCTGATCGCGTACTACTGCCGCTACAACTTCTTCTACCTCACCGTGACGGCGCACTCGGACGGCGAGCGGGAGCTGCTGATCCAGAGCTCCGAGGCGTCGTGGCCGGACGGCAACCTCGCAGAGCCCTTTGTCGACCCCATCCCGCTGCCTGATTCGGGCAAGGTGAAGCTCGCTCTTACGATCCGCGGGCCGGCGTTGCAGTTTTACTACGCGCTCGAGGGCGAGGAGTTGAAGAAGGTCGGGCCTGTGTTCGACGCGTCGGTTCTGTCGGACGAGTGCGGTGGCCACCAGGCGCACGGTAGCTTCACCGGTGCCTTTGTCGGCGTTGCTGCTTCGGATTGCAACGGTACGGCGAGGGAGGCTACGTTTGATTACTTTGTTTATCGGCCTGTTCGGGATGAGAGTGATCGGTACGAGATCTGAGGCTCGGGACCGCGCAAGCTCGGGTTTGGTTTGTATCTTTCGAACATCATCTTTGCCGAAAGGGTACAAGAGACATAATAGACGTTTTCGAATAATCCAAAATGGATAGGTCTGCGTTGTGTGAGCTGCGATTGCGGGAGTCCTCTGTCCTCAATACCAACCACCCAACATAACCAATAAACCCAGAAGTTTCCTTGTGTTACGGCAGCAGGCCCTGTTTCTTACTGTCCAAAGTTGTACGAGTCAGGTTAAAGAGTTGACTCTGAGAATTTGCAACGACACAATGTCGAGCACGAGTTGACAATTGTTCAAAGAGTCTCCAGTTTACGGAAACAATTCACTGGCACCATCAAACTTCCCCACGTCGCCACTTCAGTTCTGGAACTTGGAGCCAATCAACTATCAGTACCAGGTCACTGATGGATGGGCAATGATTTCATCGCTTGCTCGTTGTCTCGGGGGTTTCCCTGACCTTTCTTCTTCCTCAACTACAGCTCAACATCCAGCGGTGAACTAGATGCGTTTCATCTAAACGCGATGACGGCGGGGGTCACTGAGTTTCTCTGCGCCACCTACGGGGGCAGGTTCTAGACTCGTCCCAACCCGCAAAATCAGAAAAGCAGGGAATCCGATGCCCGTTGGTTTACGTACATACGTCGGGCTGCATATTCGTCGTTTCTGCGGGACTGCCACTTGTTCGCCGTCCACTCATCTTTGGGGGTCTCCCACACCACCAGCCACAATTCGGGGCGGCTTGCCGCGATCTGCGGGTGAATGTCGCGATGGTTACAATCGACCAGGATTCGAGTCTTTGGACTGGTGATCTGGGTCTTCCTGTCAGACACACCCATCACAGCAGTTCATCTCATCCTTCCCAGAGACCAGTCTAGAAACCTCTCCAACCTACCTTCGGAAACTATATGTAAGTTGTAACTCTCGGATAAAGACTAAAACACACAGTGAACTCAACATCGAGTTTCGGAAAACGGCCAAGGAGCAAAGCCTCCGAGGGGCTTGCGTGTATCGAACCTCCCACCTCCCGTCCGAGCATCCGACGGTTAGACAATGTCATATGTAAGAGGGCTCCATCAAAAGGCCCGGTTTTACGCAGCATGGTCTCCAAAGTCTCCAAATCTGCTAGAGCGGAAAACCGTGATTGGAGAGGCGAAATCTCTCTCTCTCGACGATCGGCGATTTCGGCAAACCACCCCCGCACTGGAGTAGTCCCAGAATCGCCATCGTCAAAAAGGAAGCAGCAAAACATCGGGAACCAGGGGGGTATGTCATATCAGGGATCAGCAGGTGGCTAGAAGAAGAAGGGGTCCAGAGCTTTTGCGGGAAGCGAATAGCAATCTGTGGCTCTCCCTCCGTCACAGCCCAGCCCGACAGGCATCTCAATCCGCAAAAGAGATGTGTGGCGTTGTGGGTTGTTTCGATGTTCGATTGGCTCCATGCGCTTCTCGGTGAGCGCTCGATTGGGGCCGCCCGTCTCGCATAATGGCGCGTTGGCACTAGGAGAGACTAGACCTATCAAACCCCGGTACAAATCCGAGACTCGACGTCACCGGGCTCACGGACAAACGTCAGCTCACACCACCCTTTTCGCGAAAGCTCCCTCAACCTCCCTCTCTCGCAACGTTGTTTCTTTCGCCCCTACGTCACTTGAGTCTTGGGAACCAACCGCCACATGGTAAAAGCATATAGAAGTACGAGCCACACACCATGGATATCCGGGAGCCCGATGCGAATTCGAACTCGAATTTCTCATATTACCCTCTCATACCGCTCTGATCCTATCAATAACCCAGAGACATTCTCATCATTGCCGAGTGAGGATCACAATACACACATATACGTACGTCAAGTCATCATATCATGTCTACGGTAGAGCCTATCCAGAGTAAGATGCTCGCCTCCCGTCAGGCTTGCCTGAGTGATGTCAAGCCAGGGGCTAACCCGCACTGATAAGGCCTAACACCAAACGCGATGGGCAACCCCGAATCAGCCGCGGCCTTCGCCGAGGCTCGAAGGGAAAAGGCGGCCCGCAGGGCCAAGGCCGAAGCCATCAAGAAGAGGCTAGCCCTAGCGGACGCCATCATCAAGAAGCAGGCCGAGGCCGTCGCCGCGAAGAAGGCCGCGGCCGCGGCCGCATCCGCATCCGGCTCCGCACAACCGACACAAGCACCCAGGCAGCGACCCGTCCAGCCCAGCAGCTCGATCTCACAAGCCGATGCCATCAAGAGAGCCCAGCAGCAGAGGGCCTTGCAGCAAAAAGCAGCAGCAGCCAATGTCAAGGCTCCTTCGTCTTCGGCACCAAAGTCCACGCATGTGTCGAGGCCTTCCAAGTCGACGACAGATACCCTGCCGAAGACGACGGTGTCCAGGTCATCGGCCATGCCGTCCACATCTACTCGCGGACCCACGCACAGGACATCATCCAGCGCGATGAAGTCCAAGAGCTCATCCAGCTCCAGACCGTCGACGAAGAAGACGGTTCACAACAACACGCCGACGACCGGAGGAGACATCCTGGCGAGGATCAAGGCTAGGAAGGAGGCCGCGGCCAACCCCAAACCCGCACCGGCTAAGCCCGCCGTCAACCCTCAAAGGGCCGCGCAGCCCGCCGCCAGAGCCCCTGCTGCTGCTGCTCCCGCGGCGAGGCCATCCGCGCCGGTCACTGCGCAGAGGCCCGCTCAGGATTACCAGCCTCAGGCGGCGAAGAAGAAAGTTGGCCACCCCAACGCTCTGGTTCCGACCTCCGAAATCCTCGCGCGCCAGCGCGCCGAGGCCGAGGCTGCCAAGGCCAGCGCACCGAAGAAGAAGACGTATCACCCGAACGCTTTGGTCCCGACCCACGAGATCGAAGCCAAGAAGCGCGGTCTCGAAGGCGTCACCGACGGCGTCGGAAGAACCGTCGGAGATGTTGGAAAGACTGCCGGTGGCCTCGTCGGAGGTGTCACCGACACGGCCGGCAAGACCGTTGGCGGAGTCGGCAAGACCGCCGGTGGCGTCGTCGACGGTGCCGGAAAGACGGTTGGTGGCGTCGTCGACGGAGCTGGCAAGACAGTCGGCGGCGTCGCCGATGGCGTCGGCAAGACCGTCGGCCTCGACGGCCTCGGAAAGACAGTCGGAGGCGCGACGAACGGCGTCAACAACACGCTCGGCGCCGCGACCGGCGGACTCGGCAAGACGCTGGGCGACACGACGGGCGCGCTCGGCCGGGGCGACGTCATGGGCACGGTGGGCGGGGCGACGAAGGGCGTCGGAGACACTGTCGGCGGCGTCGGCAAGGGCTTGGTAAATAAACAACCGCAAGGCCTTACAACTGAGAACCTTCGACGGCTAACGGAATCATCAGGGCGACACCGTTGGTGGGACAGTTGGTGGTCTCGGTGATACGGTCGGTGGCCCTCTCGGCGGCGTCGTCGGGGGCGTTGGCAAGGGTGCTGGCGATGCCGTCACTGGTATCACCGGGGGCTTGGGCAAGGGCGTCGGCAAGGTTGGCCAGGGCGACTTGCTCGGTGGTGTTGGTGATGTTGTAGGCGGAGTTGGCGATGGCGTTGGTGGTCTTTTGGGTGGTGTTCTCGGTGGTCTTGGAGGTCAAGGTGACCAGAAGGAAGGCGGTGGAGGCGGAGGAGGTCTCCTTGGAGGAGGCAACGGCGGGCTGCTTGGAGGTGTCCTCGGCGGAGGTGAGGACAATCCAGGACTGCTTGGCGGATTGCTCGGCGGAGGAAAGGATGGTGGTGGTCTGCTTGGTGGTCTCGGCGGTGGAGGAGGCAAGGGCAAAGGTGGTGGAGGATTGCTCGGTCTCTAGGGGAGATGAGAGATGAGGATGATAATGAGGTTCGATATATTGTACGATGTAAGAGAAACGATTTTATGTACCAATTTAGGGATGTATCATGTCAATCAAGGTGTTTATTGACCACATTCTCCCGCGATGTTTGACATGGTTGGGATTTGCTGTCTTGATTAGCTGAAATTGACAGTTTTGAGGGACAGGATGTCTCAGCTCATGTGATTCTGCTGACACGAGATCCATTTGAACCCACCAGCCGCGTGTTCACGTGGCAAATTAAATGTCCTTTTGAGCCCTCTATTTGGTGACTTACAGGAAGTTTGGGGGGCATTGACTCGTCTTTAATCTGACTGATATACGGCACCAAAATACGTACTCAAATGGATCCAATCTAAGGTTTAAAGTTAGGTTGTTAGGTTTGCCCGGATACCGATATTTAACCCACGGCAACGGGTAACGGCCGGCCGGCCGCGGCCGGGTCCGACCCCCGTTTGTTCGCAACGGTCGCCGGGCCACATTGAGGCTCCCACTAATGAACGACCGGGGCAATTAGTGTCTAGGACCCCTTGAAAGAACCCCATACTGACGTTCTGACGTGTCACCCATCTTTCAAGACACCCACCTTGCCGCGTACGAGCGTGGAGTCGAGGAGAGCATCGCCGTCACACGGTCACAAGCCTTCGCGGGGACGCGGCGGCGGGGTTGACGATGGATTAATCGCACTACAGCACGATTGCGCGCTCGGTATGTGTCAATCCGGGGATACTGCGCCGTTGCGTCCTTGCCGTGGCAGTCTGACGTGGTGATGAGGTTCGTTGAGGTCCGTTGAGGTCCATTGAGGTTTAATTCTACGAACCAGATCACCAATTCGAGCACCTCGTTCTTCAATCTCAGATTCACAGCAGCATTGGGTGGGATGGATTGGGTTGAGATGCTAGGCCCAAGCTAGGACTCGAGCAGTGTTGGCGACACACCCCTCCGCCATCCTGGCCTTTCATCGCGGAGAAAATGGGCCTCACGTTGAAACACCCCAGACTACACGGCGTGGCAGGCCACCGGCCCCAAAACCAAGCCAGCGCCAAACAAACATTTCATTGAAACTGTTTCTGCTGTTTTTCTTCTTTCTCCTGATACCTCTCTTCACGCGATCTTACTCGTGAAGCCATCTCTCCCGACGCTTGGCCTTGACTCCGGCCTGAGACCAGGCCCTGTCAGTAAGTATTCCAAAGTTCTTATCCTCTGTAACCGGATCGTACACCACTGTGCTCGTAAACGAATGGATGCTAATCGATGCCCCAGCTTCTTTACCGCGCCTCCCGGCCCTCGACCCGACCAACACCCAATAGCCCATTGCCAGGGTTCGCCCCTACCGTTACCATGTACCAGTCGCGCTCCCCGGCCGAGCCCGCTGGCCATCTTGGCTATGCTAGCTATTACGACGAGGCCTCTCATAACGAGAATACTGGTTACGATGAGACTACTGGCTGTGACGAGGCCGTTATTTATGGCGAGGCCACCACTAGTTACAACCAGCCCGCCGACGTCGACAATACTACTGGCTACGAGGTTTTGAACGAGTACGATTACAATTCATTTTTGTCCAACACCCGGGATGAGCAGCGTCCGTACGTCGAGGGTAGTCTCCCGAATCATGTGGCCAATCCCGGATATCTCGAACACTTCGCCGGCGGAAACCACTTTTCCTACGGACTTAATGATCAACCCGATTACTACTCCCCAGAACTCGTTATTGGCGATACCACTGCCACAGGGGAGCCAATCCCAACGCTGTTCATCCCGCCTCCTCAGCAACAGACCAGCCCGAGTCTCGAGCAGTATGCGAACCAAGTGAGGGACGATCCGCGATACCAGCAGTCTCACCACACATCGCCTTGGGATCCCGAGGGCGCCACGGCATCCCAGGCGACCCTCACACCGGATTATCCCTACGATGACCCCTACCATTCGCGCCCAACCAGTACCGCCACACGCAGCCAGAACGACGGGAACGCGCTCCGCGTCCTAGGTTATCTGGCACCCTCGAACGAGGATGCCGCGAGCACTCGCAGTGGCTACACGGATGCCTCGACTTCTTGTAGCACCTGCGGGAGGGAATTCAACAACCCAAGACAGATGCGGCGCCACCAGAGCGAGGTTCACCGCGACACCAACGCCCCGCAATACGTTTGCAAATGCGCGTACCGGGCGACGCGCAAGAGTAACTACACGCGACACTTGGATAAGAGCTGTCGAAGGAAATACGACCCTGACTTGGTTTTCGTCTGCATTTGCCAGGAGCCCTCGAACGACTTTGACAACCATTCCGAGCACATCAAGGATTGCGGACGACAGCCGGCAGGACGCCGGCCTAACAATGCTCGTCGGGTCTAAGCCGGCTATGTCACTGCCCTTGTGGTGGTCGTTCTCTCGGCCACTGATTTCTCTCGAATTGGAATCTCTCGCGGCTCAACGCATTGAGTCAGACACCCTCCAATACTGACGATTGGTGTTTGCGTGGCTGTTTTATTAATTGAATTGCCTTTACTACTACTGTTATACTCGGGCTCTCAAGTCTCAAAAGGGGCAATATTATCTGAAAACTGTTTTTCTATCTATCAAAATCATCGCATGGAATGAGATTAATGTTGAGCTATCATGCAACTTGGGAATAATTGCAAGGTTTTTGGCTTAGTTCATCGTAAAATTTTGAATTTGATGTGATGCATACGAAAGGCCCTTCGTTGTAGTAGAGTGCTGCTGTGGGAGCGAGCCAAGAGGCCTCTTGCTGACATGCATTAGCGAAGAAGCGGACTGCTCATTTCCAGGGGATAAGGCGATTTAGGCGGAATCTGTGTTGGAATGCTGAACAGGGTCAGCAATTCGACGATCATTCAACATAACTTTATTACAAAAGAGGAAGCTAGGGAGAGATTTGTTCGACAATGCGGCTCTTGTAGATTAACTCTCGACAGTTCAGGACATACAACATATATATATCTCCGTCCGCGACTGGAATATCTCACCACTTGAAGTCGAGATTGCCATTCCCAACTGCGGCTCTTCAGCCTCCTTGCGAACCAGTCAGCCAGGGCCGATCCAACGCCAGGCGACTATTTTTGCCGCCCGTCCGCCTGCATTTGTCTAGCTTGAGGCCTCCGCTTGCCACTCCGCGGTGTTGAGGCCCAATTGTACCGACTTTTCGGTGTCGTTCGGTCCCATCATTGGCCGTTTCGAAACATTGAGGCTCATTAACTGCAGGTCGTGACGCGCATGTGCGCGATAGATTCTTCAACGAGTTCCTGGCGAAAACCAGCTGTATCGTCATGCAGGGTTTCAGTAAACCCTCGGTCGCCAAACGCGGTTAGCCGGATGCCTCACCTGAACACTCAAGCCTCACTCAGGATTCGGCTTCTGCCTAAAGTTGGTCATTGTGAGCTGCTGGTAACACTGGATTAAGGGCTCGGAGACAGTCGAACATTCCGAGGGAAAGTCTTGACGTTTGCTATAGGGCTGAAGCTGATGGGCCATGTGCTAATTGGCTCGGTAGATGTAGCATTGTATTAACACAATTTCACGATGAAATTTGAATCTATACCGATCCGTACACTGTTCTAGAATCACTCTAGAGGCTGTTTATCAAAGAAGCCTGACTTGCTCACTTGGAAGAAGGTCGCGAGGTTGGCCAACCTCAGGATCATTGTCACTTTGTGAAGTATAACTGCAAAAACAGTCACCGGAACTCTGCTGCCTTGCGGCTCTGAGAACAAACTGAGAACTTTCAAACTTCCCCGTGCTTCATCTGAATTCTTCAAAACCGACAGATTCAGGCACTTTGTATCCAGGAATCCGCCGCGGTTTCAGTCCACGAAGACACTTAAACTGAGCATCGCTTTGCGAGTTTGAACGGCTAGGTGCGTGACAATCCACCAGCTGTCTCCTAAAAAAGCAGACAAAACTAGCGCAGCAAGTCATCAGCGGCTGATATTCTGTAGAAGAGTTTCTTCCATCAAAAGTTTCACTCAAAAAGACACGCGTTCAACTAAACATGTGTCCCCGAGGATACCAAGTTCTATCAACAGCTTACACCGAGAACTTGGTGGGAGAGAAGTACCACATACAGAGCCACAAACTCAGCGACGACTTCCTTGACGTCTACGTCGTCACCGACGAAAACGGCAACCACTTCGAGGCACAGGCATTCACCCCGGTCGCGAAGATGCCGCGGGAGAGCGAGGGGCTCTGCCAGGCGCGCCGGCGACGCATGAAGCGCATCTGCCGCTCGCACAACTTCGCGGACGAGTTCGAGCACGAGGGCCGCCGGTTCCTGGTCTCTAAGGTCCGGAGGAACGATAAGGACTGGATGGATCTGCAAGCTCAGGTCGGCGGGCGCAGCAGCAGCAGCAGTAGCAGCGAAAAAACCGAAAACATACTTCGGCCGGCGGCAGCCGCGGAGGGATTCGTGGCCGAGGCTTCTTCTTCGTGGGATCGGCAGGAAGACGACGGTTTGGGGCCCGCAGTGTTGGGTTCGTCGGCGCAGCACAGGATCAACCCAAGCTACTCGGACGCGTTGGCCAGGAATACCAGGCATGCGGCGGGTGAACCGGACGGAAGGCGGCGGTTGTTTCTGGCGCTTGGCAACCCGAAAAGGGTTTGAGTGCATGAGATGAAAGTAATAAGACGGAGCTAAGACGGAGCTGTCCTCGCTTGGTCTTTCATATCACTCTTCCGAAAGTCGGAACCGTTATTGTTGGCTTGGTAGACGACTGACTTTGGCAAAGAACTCTATTAAGAATAGGATGGTGAAGGTTGTCTTCGAGCTTGTTCTAGCCCGGGAAGAAATCTGTTTAAAGTTCACTTACGTACTACTAGCTTTCTGGAACGATCAAACATGTTCTTAATGGATCTTACTATAATAGCTCCACGATTCATTTACCGAGACTTCGTCATTGCATGACGAGCTGGGCGTCACTTGACTTCATCTGAAAGCTGGGACGAGGATCATTCCGACTCAACTTACACGTGCAACTGCCAGACTGCAGACACATTCATCAGAAAACTCCCGAGCCAACCCAATTGCGAAAGCCAAACAGACGGTAGGATTAGAGACGAAGCTATGAGTTACTACACTGATATCTCACCGAAACACCACACAAAGCCACCCCTCCAGACCAGAGAAACCCGACCACCAAACCCGACAAACGATAGCTTAAAAAAGCAAGTTCCGAAAACGAACCCGGCTCAGCAGCTGCAACCACAAGCTCTGCACTTCTTGCCGCATGCCACATCAGCCACCTCCCTGCAATCGGCCTTTGCATCACAGGTCTTCCACGACCCGTAGCCCTGGTTCCGAGCGGTCCAGCACCACCGGCCGTCCCCGTCGCAGGCCTTGTAGCAGTAGCCCCTCGAGCAGCCGTACTCACCGGGGTCGACGTCCCAGCAGCTCTTCCAGCCGTAGCCGTGCTTGTGCCACCACCAGTGCTCCGCGGTGTCCGTGGCGTTCATGTTCCTGCCGCCGCCGCCGTCGGCGGAGGAGGCCTCGGGGCGAGGTATAGTCCCCTCGGGTCGGGGATTCGCGCCGAGGGGATGCTCGAGGCACTTTCGAATCTGGGCGGGGTCCACGCCCTTGGTGTCGCCCGCGGCGGTGTATGTCATGACCCCGAGGGCTCCGCACTCGTCGGCGGCGGTGGCGGGGGCCACGCCGGCGAGGATGGGAGTGGCGAAGAGGAGGGCTAGGATGGTTCCGAACTTCATTTCTGCTCTTTGTGGAGATGAGCGCGCAGTTGTCGGGATAAGGTTTTCGGGGAATCCGGGTACGAGAGCCCAGCCACGTGGATAGAGTTGAGATTAACGGGAGCGACGATGCTTGTTATGACGACGAACAAGGTTTCTTGGTGCAGTGAAGGGTGTGGACGGCTTCAGATGGACGGATTTGAATGTTGATTGATGAGTGTCGATGGTCGTTTGGAACCGGGAGGGCATCGCCAATCTTTATACTTGGATTTCTCACCTCCTTTAGGATAAAAGTGACCGCATCCCGTCGCTTTCCGTCCGTCCTTGATTTTCTTGAAGGTTGAATTTTGATCCCCCGTCGGCTCCGTGGGAGCAAAGTGTAGCATGCGAACACGAACTTCGGTAAACAGACTCGGCAGGGAAACGTTGACAGTCCACCCTTGGCCCTTTACTATCGTTTTTGAACGCGGACCGAGGCAACTTCGTTCGGTCCATAAGTTTCGCTCTTTCGGGATTTCCAAAGGATCCGTTTTAGCCCATCTTAGTAGAAGAAACGTCTTTTCCAGGTGAAGATGACGCTCGATCCCGAGAATGGAACCATTTGGATCAGAAGAGATTTCCTTGAATCATGCTGTTGATTAAGATGATATCGGCGATCTGGACGTCATCAAAACATGAGGTCATCCTCTGCCGTCGTCCAGTTTCCGGTATACCCTTAGGACATAGGCTTTCATAACTCATGCCAGCCACACGTTTGCTACATATTGTACTGTTTCTTTCCACTGGAGGCTTTACATTTCATCTCATTGATACGCATACATGAGGGACTAAGTCGCCTTCAACATGACATCAATCACATGTCAGTGGCAAGCGCGGCATTTAGATTGCGTATACATCTACCAGCACCGTGATCCTGAGAACATTCACAGTCATTGCATGTTGTTTGAAGCCGTCTTCAGAGACTGATTTATGAATGCATATGTGCGCAGTGTCAAGAGGTAGGGACTAATGACGAGTTTAGAGGCAGCGCTGTTGAACTCACGTTGCGGTCAGTCACATATGCTTGAGAAGATTGGGATGTAAAGCAAAGAATAGCGTTATGATTAAGTGCGCGAGTTGCAGCTGAAAACCCCATGTGTGGTGTAACTGTGTGACTGCTTTCCATCTTTTTGCTCATTCATATGCTGGCAGAGATTATTTTTCCACCACAACTTGGAGTCTTTTGCCTCAATTGCTCTCCCCTTAGTCACCTCCTGGAGGAATAGATATGTACCCAGAACGTCAACGCCATTTAAACTTGCGCCCGCTCATGCACCATGTCCACTCGCAGTTAGGAAAAGAGTCTGTTTATACAACACAGTAGGTTTTCCTTCCAAGATGTAGTCCCCGGTAGTTCCCACGTGCATCAACAATCGACTCTGCATATTGGCGCCGACGCGATGGTAAGATAACAAGGAACGGGCCGTAACCTTGGCAGCAATTAACATAAAGCTAGTACAAAGAGCACTTGATGACTGACGAACATGTCAAGCGCTTACCCTTTCGAAAGGCATTGCGGAATCCACTGCAAATCAACACGTTCTAGTGGCTCAAGCTTGGGTTTTGTGTGCCTCGAATTCTCAGGCTCACATGATTGGCAATTTATTGCGGCTGTAGTTCTGTCATGGCAGCGGACGAAGACCATCCATGTGGAAAAGTTGAAACCTACTCTGTGAGTAGCTGAATCACATGAAGTAACTAACACCGAGGTCTGTTCGGCTCTTCATACATGTACTGACGTAAATCAAGCACGCAATTCCCGACTCGCAACAACATCTATTCACCTCCTTCAGTTGATTTTCCGACGAAATTAAGCTAGCATTGAAAGATCCATATCTTTCCCTAATCAATCTCAAACCCATCGCTTTCTTCCTTACAGCTAATGTTCGCAGAAGTTGAATCTATCGCTCGACACTCGGTCCATGTTGGCCTCGCCAATTGCTGTTCTCTCTTTCATCACATCCAGTCTCATTTCCTTGGCCTTCTCCAGACTGATGGGAATGTCCAAGTTGTCCCAAACCATGTCCATGAGCTCAGGCGGCAGCCGCCCCCCGTTCATACCATCTCTCCACCAGTGCTTCTGCTGCGGGGGCACGTTGGCCGTGCTGATGATGGGGATGGCCGGTTCGACAAGGAACAGCGCAAGAATCTTTCGGTGCCCGGGTTTCGTTTTGTCTACGAGCTCGAAGGGGGCGACGCAGTGCTGGTAGACGTTGGGGAACGCGATCAAGCGGTCTTCGCGGGTGAGAACGCTGCCGAGGTCCTGGTTGGTATCGCCCGAGGGATTGATCTTGAATGTCCTGCCAATGGAGTAATGGTCGTCCTGTTCGTAACTGATATCCGACATGTTTTCCTCCTTGTTTGTAGTGGTACGGAACGCAAGCCGGCTCTCTGTTATGTTCTCGTTGTCGTAATAGTACAGAGCAGTAGCACAAATGTGTTCGTTGAGCTGACCCTCGATGTGCCAGGAGCCACCGTCATATGTCGGCTTTCCCGGGGTGAGGTGAATGTTGGCAAGTTTGACAATGACCTGGACGCGCTTCGCATCATCGAAGAATCCACTCTCTTTGACATCCTTCGAAGTCAGATCGGAATATTCATGAGGGGAAACTTCCGGTCTCCTGACAGGGTGGGTTAGCTTGAACCAGATCTTGTCTCTTCGGGCGATCTCAGTGTCAGGTTCGTCATCGCTGTCTTCCCACCAGTCACTGTTGTGGTTATCTTCCTCGCGAGGGTTCTCATCGGGCTCTTGAGGACGATTCTCTGGGTGACACCAACATGTTCTTTTGCAGGCATCAGGTGTGAGGCATTCCTTACCAACAGCTCCAACCTCGATGCGCTGTAGCTCGTATTTTTCGGGCCAATTGTATAGAACGTCCCACATTGGAAGAGCCTTGCCGATGACCTTTTCGATGACAGCATAAAGGTCGGGATGCTTTTCGGGATGCAAGTTGTTGATGTAGCTCGCAATTCGGGGCTTGCCGTCCGCGCTGAGCTCAACTTCGCACGGAAGCCACTGAAACTTGTTAGACCACAGAACGCTAAAGGGTTCAGGCTCCGCGACAACTTCTCCCGAGCCGCAGAATTTGAGGGTGTCAGCCAGAGGAATCCGCTTATCGGGCAGAACGCGGGAGACACCATAGGCCAGTGGCCATAGCGATGGATGAACGAGGTCAAGAACCTTCCCATCGCTTCCGGGGTGCCAGTCCTTGTCCTCTTCCGGGACATCCTCCAAGGCGGCAACTGCTTTCTTGAGCTCTGCCTTGATGTCTGCGGTGATGGCGCTATCGGACTTGATCACAGCTTCCGAGGCATCAAACACGGGAACCATGCCGGTTTCTTCGCAGAGTTTGGCCTTCATCTGAAGTTCCTTGATACACTACGATGATTTCAGTCAGATGGTATGTCCGAAATTGGCGTGGATAGAGCAAGAGACGAACGCATTCAAACACGGCGTCAGTGAACCGGGCCCATTTGAGGTCCACGGCAGCCCAGTCAACGGCCATGACTTCGTTCCTCCACTTGGCAATGATCTCCTCGTTGAAAACCTTGACGTGCCAGTCCGGCTTGTTGGTGATTTGCTCTATGAACCACATCATGGCCAATTCCTCGTACGTCAAGGTGATGGCAGACCAATCCAGCACAGCGCTGGGGAACATGATGTCCGGCATGGCATTAAGCTTCAGGCCGAATCCCGGTCGTAGAAGTCTGTTGACTTCCCCATCGTCCTTGTCGCCGTCATTAGCAATCGTGTTCTTCTAATGCAGGAAGTTGCACTTACGGGCATGTGAAAGTCGTTGCTACACGTAGCTGGCTCTTCCTTTCTCTCGCCCGGTCGCTCGGTAACCCATTCAAGTGACATGTCGAGATGACCGAGGCGCCTTTCGATTTAGCGATGAAGTGCCAGACTGATTGAGAAAGGAAGATACAATTGAGGTACGACGGTCAAATTTTGAATATGCAGAGTTCAATCTCGACGTGAAAATGATGGTGGTTGTTGCGGCTTTTGTATCTTGATGGTGCTCTCGCAGCAACCATGTAAGGGGCCACAGGGGTATTGCTGTTGGCTCTAGGCTGCCGCGCTAGCAAGCCACTTTTTGGAACGAGACCGTGAATGGCGTCCGGGGGTGATCAGGTACAGACTCACGAAGGTGTCGCGAGATCACTGCTTGATTTGAGTTTTCGCCGTATGAGTCTACGGCGGGCAATAGCCACAAATAAGTCACGTGTCGCGAGATGACGTTTGGCTTCTTTTACATTCATTTCCTGGTCTGTTTGGCAATTGCTGCCTGCTGTTGCCTGCTATGAAACATTTGGGTGCATGAGATCCACGGACCTAACCGAAGTGCAACCACATCAGGTCGCTCAAATATTCGGTCTTCCGAGTAGGTACAGCGCACTTCCCTTGCACGATGGCTTCCATTTGGATTAGAAAAAGAAAAAGGGCCAGCGTATCGTCTGTGACAGCCGATCGCGTGCCAAGAGAAAAAGAAGAAAAAGCGCAACATTTTGAATAAAACTTGCTACAAGACACGATGTAAGTGCAGTACCCAGCACTCGACTAAATGAGACTTTGTAAGCCAGTTTATATATCGTAGTACAATCTTTCAGCCACTGGACTTCATATGCTTACAACCCAGCCACAACTTCAACACCAATGTGTGTATTCATGATTCCGAATAATACGAAAGAGATTCGTCCCAGAACGAAGATGTATTGTCTTTTTCGTCTGGAATGTGGGGGTTTCGGAGGATTTGGTTTCATGTTTGAGACGGCGTTGACCGAACAGAGACATGGTGATGATAGATCTTCGTTCACGGTTCACCACCAGAGAGCTGAGATCCTGGTAGTCAAAAAGCACCAAATGACTACAAAAAAGTCTCATAGATGTTCCATGGGCAAACTCAAAAGTTTTGATCAATTATTTCTACAAGTTCTTCAAATGGGCAAGTCGCCATCGAATCTTGCGATCTCCAAGTGAGTAGCCAGGCCATCAAAGGAGCAAGCGTTGCCGAGTCCACATGCACTGAGTGCCGTTGAAACAAAGTTCAAAATGGCAATTGAGACTGGCAATCATTAAAGACCGCGACCACTAGTTCTAAGCCAGCTTCGTTGCAAATAACTTTCAGTATGACTTCCATCAATACGCTCCTTTTTTCACCTGGTGTAGACTATCTGAAATCCGTGCAAGACTCATTGTGAAAGACTCTGAAATCGAGACATCTGGGATGCATATGTATGAGATGATTGGCATAAGTGATCTTGAAAAGAGAAAAGGTCTGATTCGTCCACCATGCGCCGACTTCCCCTCATCCAGTCCTACACATCAAGAATCATTACCAATAGCTGCGGCAGAAATAATGAGATCCACACAAACCGCAATTTACTTCAACATCTGCGCCTCATGTCGGCATAAGTCTCCTGATATTTTTTTCCCCAATAGTATCCACAATCTTGGTACCCCTTCCAAATTGCCTCATCAAATTCCAATATGTCAACTTGAACTTCACCTGATCTCACTCCATCATGCCCATCACAACTCGGCGTACGCTAGAGCCTTCGGCTGCCATCGATGAGTCGTATCGATATCAGCCACTTAACACCGATCGGCCTGCTTTCCGATTACTGCGTTTGCGCAAAGGCTACTGGACACCCATCGAGTGCGACATTCTCCACGAATCCCTTGACCAGCCCACACAGCCCTACGAAGCTCTATCATACACTTGGGGAAACCCGGACCGGAACCAAAGAATCAGCGTCAATGGCAGCACTTTGGCTATCACATCGAGTCTGCTATGGACCCTCATACACCTACGGTACAAGGATGAAGATCGCATTCTGTGGATTGACGGCATCTGTATCGATCAGACCAACCTGGTGGAGCGTGGACATCAAGTCCAACAGATGGGGGACATTTATCGAAGTGCCGAACGGGTCATCTTCTGGCTGGGTCGAGCCACCGACCAGATCGCCATACTCATGCACTCAATCCAGTTATTCGAAGAAGAGAGCAACAGCCATGAGTGTAGCGACTGGAAACTGAATGACCCTCGCTGGGCGACTTTATGGGAAAAGGTACAGTCCAAGCTGCAGGTCCGATATCAGGAGCTGCTCTGGACGCAAGAGCGAGGGCTCAAAACTTTGTTGAGCCGTCCATGGTTCACGAGAGCCTGGATTGTGCAAGAAGTAGCAAACGCACGTTCGGGCCTGATTTGCTGCGGTACAAGTACTGTCTCGTCGCGTCTTTTCGCACTCATGCCTCGACTTCTCGATATCCCGACTGATCAGCTCTCGCAAGCTGTCCTCGATATGTTGCCGGGCCCTTTGCGCCTGGAGACATGGTGGGCCGATGAGAGGGACTTATACTCCTTACTTCGGTATCTAGGTCCACGTCAATCATCCGAGCCGCGAGATATTATATACTCTCTACGTGGGATTTCGACAGACGCCAACACACCCGGGACTCTTGATCCGAACTACGAAATCTCTTGCGAAGTTGTCCTACGTCAGGTATCTCAGCATCTGTATTTTTGCGATGTTAATTCAGAGAAGAGACGGGTGGACAGCGTCGAAGATTTGGCTGCCGACGTGGTAAAGCTGAATAGCGCTGCCATCGGAGAGCTCATCAAGACATCGCAAAATAAAGGTCTCGATGTCGTCAGCGGACGAGAAGGAACAGTCATCTCGGCAGATACTGTCCGAACCGCAAGTAAAGGCGGGAAAGACTGGATGCAACTTCTCCGCTATGTTGTTGGAAGAGGGGTGTCGGTTTTGCCAGACGCCCTTCCAGAAGCTGCGTACCGCGGAGACTCGGCAACCCTGGAAATGCTTCTGGCTCGCTGCAAGAGAGATGATATCAAGCTACAGATACTCTTAGAGTGCGCGGCTTTGAACGAGCAACATGGCCCCGGTGTGATTAGTACACTGGCTCAGCGAGGAGAATATCTCAAGCCGAACGCGACCTCGTTGACGGCAAGTGATTTGTTTGGCGCATTGTTTCAACTACCAGAGTATCTCAGGCCAACCGCGACTACGTGGATTGCTAGTTCTGTCAATCCAGTTAGCGGCCCGCAGGTTAGGGAAGCACTCCTTGACATTTGGGGTATAACTTACCTAGCGGACTATTATGGCATACGTTATGCATTCCAGACGCTGATCAGCGAAGACCCCTTCCAATTCGGCCATATCTTGTACAATCAGCAGCTCGGCTCCGTTTGGGAAATCTTAGGTCACCCTCCTATGTTGTCAAGATCGCATTGTACAGACGAAGGTTTCTTCTGGAGGGCTATCTCTCGTTATCGACGCGGTTTTACTTTTCTTTTTGCTTTATCTATTCCTGCCGCAGTGCTGATGGTTGGCGCACGATTTGTTTATGATATGTACAAGGCTGTCCGTTTAGTTGTTCAAATTGGTATCGACTCCGCTTTCCTTTCAACCTTTCAGCTCGCTGTCATCTTCATTCACTGTCTTGTAACAATTCGGAGGGGTTTGGGAAGACTGAGGTGTCCCTTAGTTCCAGCAAGTGATCGGGGGGATGTCTTGAAATGGGGGGACCGCGAAGTGAGATGCTTTCTAAAGCATAAGATCGCTAGTGCATATCTAACCTATGCCCGGTTGCGCGAAGTTGTAGTGAAGAGATTCTCATGGTGGTTTGAATTCAAGATGTTTGTCAGAGAAGTCATGGAGAACTTGTTGTTGCTTTTGGTGTCGGCACTGGTACTCTGGCGCAAAATGTCGAGCAACAAAAACAGCTGATGTGTTTCGTCGCATTAGTCACGCATTTGTTTAAGCGTTTAAGTTCATACTCATTGTCTGAGATATTTTGGTTTGTATCTTCCTAGATATCTAACACTTCAGCCAAAGTATTCTGCGACTATATCCCATTGAAACATAAACATGATCATTCAATTCTGCTTGTCTTTGTTCCCGTTGGTTTATTTGTTCAGGGCTTGCTCGACTGTAAGTAGTCTGACTGAAATGGAATCTCCTCGTTGCAAATTATACGGCTACTCCCAACGATGTTGCCAGTTATTGAATACAGACTGAGTAGAAGCAGAAGACGGTCTCCCGCATTGTACCGAATGGCAAAACTTGCCACAGTTAGGTGCTCTGACTGTAAGCCAAATCTCATGATATTAGACCATTTTTGAATTAGAACTAAGCAATGACTCCATCCATGCATCTTTTACAAGAGGAAAATTCATGTCTCCATCGTCATCCACCCACAAACTCTTAGTTAGCAGCACCGTTGATGGCGCCGAACTGGATGCAGTACTCCTCCCACTCGTCGCCGCCAATGTGCTTGCCGGGGGAGTTGCAGGTAGAAACCTCAGCGTCGTCATCCTTGACACCCTGAAAGCTGATGTTAGCACTCGAATTTCGATCTGGTGTTCACGCTTCGCGACTTACGAGGTAGCAGTCGGGGCAGGTGTCCCACTGCTCGTTGCCGGTGTGGCGCTCCTTGTAGGCACCGCAGGCGGCCTCGGTGGCAGCGATGTTCTTGGGGTCAGAGTCCTTGAGACCCTGGGAGATACACCAAGAAGCGGTGTGGAGGTTGGCAACGGCGCTGTAGATGAGTTAGCAGCCATTCATTGTTGTCGGTGGAGAGAAGAGAAGTTGACTTTCACTTACCCAGTGGCGCAGGCAACGGCGGCAATGAAGATGGTAGAGAACTGCATTTTGAAGGATTTGGAGTTATTGATTATGAACCTGAAAAGGTAGTAGAAGTTGGATTAATGAGTGTGAGTTGTTAAGTTAAAGAGTGAAGTGTGAGTGAGTGGATGGTGATGAGGATGAGAGAGGTGTTGATTCGGAGGACGAAGCCTCTCTATTTATCTCTGAGACATGCACGCAGACTCCGCGGCGATGCCTGCGTGAAGCTGTCATAGTACCCCTTTCGGCCCACGATCTTTCGGTCACTACGAAAGCCTGACCCGCCCGCCGTATGCTGACGACGTGGAGGCTCAGCTGCGAACATTCGAGCGCTCGATCGCAAGGTGACATTGGGTCCACAAGGCTCTTTGCATGACTAGAGGTCCCCGAGCAAGGGACGTCGAAACCCCACAAGCTTCCCGTGGCCCCTTTATGAGAGCGCCTCCCACATAGCGGAAAACCGTATGGCTGGTAATATCATTCATGCTTTTCTACTATGGTGCTGGGGAGATTTCCGCCTACGTTCTGCGTTGGCTTGGCAGCCGATCTATGACCATCTTAGGATCGCGGCTTGATACTACAACAGGTTCTCGGACAAGTAGAATGGACAGCATCACCAGGATATGCCACCATCGCAGCACGACGACGCATGCACAGATCTTCAAAACATAATCTACCAAGTCCACAATTTGAAAACCTTTCACAAGCACTGCAATGTCGAAACATCGAGAGGTCAAAGACCGATACGTATGCGGTGACGAACACCCACGAGTAATTCAGATCATCCCATCTTCCAAGAAACATGAACAGTTCATCTGAAAGTTGAGAACACAGCCGCAATCAACAACGCGGCAAAGTGGGATTCCATCACGTCCGTGATCCTGGTATACGTGGAAACTGTGGGGGTCATCCGAACTGTCTCATTCCACTCGACAATGCCAAAGAGCCTTACACATTGATGCTTCTTGCGTACGGTTAAAAACATGCTCAAATCAAAGCGCGTCTACCTCTATACAAGCTTCCCACTAACCGCGGGAACTAAAATTAGACTGGTAGGCATTCTCACGTCATGTCCAGATGGCGGGGACGGCATATTCCAGGGAGTCCCCCCTTTTTTCGCAGCTGAGCAGAGCCGGCTCCCGGAAACACCGCCCCCCGCCGGAGGGGTGACCCGGGGCGTCCTTTTCGGAGTCGTCCGTGCTTCACGGTATGTGGGAGACCAACGCCGCAACTCGGGGCGCAACACCCGTGAAGCGAAATTACACGTTCAATGCAGGTATTCCCGTCTAGGGCTGGAGAGACGATAGCAGATCCGAATTCGGCAATGGCGCCAAGAAGATCAACTTTGCGGGGTGATTCGAATCAAGATAGAGGCTGTTGAGGAGTCGGCAGAACGTGCCGTGTGCTTGGCTGATGCTATTCAGCCTTCCGTCAACTTCGTCCCGAACATCCCAGCACCGTCCGGCCCCGCTGGGTCTCCGATTCCACTTGGGTCTTGCCGGCACGGGCATGCCGCGATGCCAAGCTGTCATCGGGATACCGTACGTTTCAGCTTGAGTACAATAACAATTTTCTCCTTGGTTGTCAAGTTTCTGTTCACTTATATTTTGGAGTCCGGCGTTGTTTTCACGGCCGTTTTGTGTGAGCTTGCCAATCTCCTCTCAAAGCACCTTCAAAAACCCATCATTGAGCTGATATACTTCGTATCGTTAAATTTCTTTGAATACTTCTTCACATTGAACTGAATTCAAGTCTTTTGATATGAGTACTGAGTATAGTACTACTTCTGTTCACCTTATGGTTTACCTATCCTTTGTTGCTTGGCCCCATAAGGGTTTGCCTCTCTATGAGTACCTCAGCTTCGTGTCGTTGAAAGTTCGACCATCTGGCGCGACATGAGTCCGACAGTTTATGGCGGCAGTGCTCTTTGCGATTTCATCAAGTGCAAGGGCATGCATACATATGGCTGAGTTCTTTGACTTTCGTGCAGCAGCAAAGATAAACTTGGTCAATATGCTAGGCAACAGAAGCCTGCTTCAATTTCAGCCATTCGATCGCACATCACTCCAATTCGGACGCAATTTTGTTGTTAGCCAGTGATGAGACCTTTCCATACTTCTACATGACAAAGTTTTTCTCACAGTACATTGCAATATACAGTGACAGGAGACACTCCATCAGCATCCTGCTTTCACTACCAGAAGGACACCATCAGGACGTTGGGAAATGAAAATCTGTCCCACTTCTTTGAATGGTGGTATTTGACCCTCAAGACTCATCACTAATCACATTCGACGTCTCTTTTGATTGCCTCTTGAAGTCTGGGAAAGAAACGCGTACTCATTGAGTATGGCGAGCCAAACAATGGGGGTGGCGGCATTGTATTGCGCAGAAAATTGCAATAATTGAAGGATGGGAAAGGGTGGCTCATAAAATGCTCCCTTCATCAAAACATCTACTTCATGGAATGAATTCCTGATGTAGACTACGTATGATGTCTTATTCTCCTCGTTCTAGCAGGTGTGTTTAGCCGGCTCTGAAGGAGATTCTAGCCATTAACCCATTGCGTCTTTCACTGTACTTCATCACAATGAGTTATTGTACAACCTGAACCCGTAGTAGCTCTCAGTATTGATGGAACAACTGGATAAAAACAATTTCGAACAGTTTATATAAGCTTTTTGTAATCGTTATGGTGAAATTCTTAATGTATCTTGATTTCTCCTGGTGATCATGGTGTTGTCACCTTGAAACCCGGACTGCCAGCATAACGGATAACACAATTAGTACAGTCAACGCGACTGTGCAGACTGAATGAATTACTAAGGTTTTCGTTTGCGCAAATACTATAGTTATAATCACTGCTTACAACTCAACGTGGAATGCTGCTCCTTGATCAGAATCTCGGTGATCACGAAGTTGCAAGGTCCTAGGTAGGCAGGTGAAGACTTAGCAGCCAGATCTTTAAGTGTAAGAAAGTCGTTTTTAACCTAAGTCTGAGTCTTTGCTTTGCAGAGGAAAAAAATATATCTCAGCCTATCTCATATCAATCTGGGAGGAAAACCAAAAAGGGCCCTGGATTCTGTGAAGGAAACTATCACTCTTCACCAATACTATTCTCAGTCTCAGACGCGTCGATATTATGTCTTTTCAGCCAGTTCATTTTAAAGTTTCGCTTCACAATTGCGGTTCTATGCTAATGATTCGTGTGAGAAGCAAAGGAATCATGAGTATCGGAAACACTGTGACGTCTCCTTTCTCCCCCTAATCACTGTGTGAGAAATAAGAAAACTCCCTCTCTACGGTAAGTGCACAACGGGTCCGTAGATTCGGCGATAAGATGGGCGATAAGATAATCAGGACGTCTACCTTTGGTAGACAAGAATTTCACCTGCATATGGCCGTATGGATTGTCTGTGGGCTTCTTGACTGATAAAACGGTCATGAATCCAGTACATAAGCTAGCTCGAGCTACCTACCTTACCTCAACTTCAAACTTTCAGCCGTTCGCAACGGCTCATCAACCGTCAAACGCTCGAATTTAGTGCGATGCAGCAGGCTGCAGTGTGAGCCCTTAACAAATCCGATCTGATAACGGCCCAAATCTGGGGCGTCTCCACAAAGAGACCCGCGCTTGCCGAATCAAAATGTACCGAGGTCGTCATCCCCGATCCGATCCCTGCTTCGTCACAAACATGAGCCGAATTGACCGCCGCGGCACATCGGTAAACGGACTCGGCGCTGGCACTGCTGCACCTCCCATTCCTTGGTTGTGTCACCTGTGCCGTCAGTGGTGTGCTTGCCTCGTTCCCGCCGCTTCCTGCCGAAAAAAAGCCTCTTCGGTCGGCTCTGCACTGGCACCTGCTGGCTGGTCACCCCCCGTCGCCCAGCATCCACCTCGGCGCATGAACATGGCTAATTTCAACAACCGTTGAACGTCGTTCTGCAGCAGCTTTGCCAGCCGCTCAACTTTTTTTTGGTGGTGTTGCTTGGGATTTTATTGTTAGTGTGCCGCTTACCCAATTCCTCCAAGACGTCTTTTCTTCCAAATCCCACCGGGGGAAAACGAGGAACATCGAAACTGCGTCAATTATCAACCACACCCCCAGCACAACTTACGTCGTGCTTCACAAGCTACCGATTGACGTCGAACGAGAGCCCACAAGTCCAGGTTTCTCGTCTCCGATCCTCGGGATAAAGCTTTACCACCGAGCTCCAAAAGCTTTCCGCAACCCTCGGAACCGCTCCCGTGAGCTTTTTTTTCTTCCTCTTCCTTCACACCTACACCACACCACCAGAAGGGGGCAGGCACCTCGACGACGAGCAAGACCAAATCAAAAGCCAGCCCGTCATGTCGACAGAAACAGCAGACCAGGCGCCCGCCGTCTCCGACCTCCCCTCCGGCGACCCGATCAACCCTCCTCCTCCTGCTCCTCCGTCAACCGCGAGCTCGAAACCACGAGCTCCGAAGCTCCCCCTGAAGCTCCTCCTCGCCCTCTCCCCGACCAACGTCGACTCCTTCGTCGCCCACCTGACGCGCTGCTTCGCGACCCCCTCCGGCATCGACGTCGTCCTCTGCTTCATCTGCTACACCTCCCGCTTCTCCGCCTCGGCCCTCGACGCCCTCTACGCCTCCTCCCTCCGCCGCTCCGCCCGCCGCCTCGTCTCCCTCGCCCTCTCCCTCCCGCCCGACGCGACCATCCTCCTCTCCACCGCGCCCCCGGCCTCCGCCGCCGCGACCCTCGCCTCCCGCGCCGCCGGCCACCTCCGCGCCCTCGCGACCCTCACCAGCGAGGCCCGCACCATAATGCGCCTCTGGGCCCTGCTGCCCATGTACCTCTGGCTCCGCCGCCTCATGACGGCCCCGAAGCCGACCCCCGAGGAGAAGGAGAAGCGGGACGCCAGCGGCGCCGCCTTCGACCGCGCCCTCTCGTGGTTCCAGGTCACCGCCTGCATCCTGCTGCAGTCCCTCGAGAGCAGCTCCTACCTGGCCTCCAAGGGCGTGCTGCCCATGACCCCCGCCCAGCAGGGCACGGCGGCGCGGTGGAGCGTGCGGTTCTGGTCGTGCTTCGTCGGGAGCGAGCTCGGCAGGCTGCTGGTCGAGTACCTGCGCAGGAGGAAGGCCCTGCAGCAGGGCGCGGTGGACGTCAAGAGCGCCGAGTACCGCGACTCGCTGGACGTGTGGACGCGCACCCTCATGAGGCAGGCGTCGTGGTTCCCCCTCACGGTGCACTGGAGCATGGACAAGGGCTTCGTGCCGGAGATGGGGATCGGGTTTCTCGGAAGCATTCCCGGTATCGTGCAGATGCGGCAATTATGGAAAGAGACCGCGACCGCTTGAGAACAACCTTGAACGAGAGGCGACGAGGAGAGTTCGACGTAGATGTCCGACCTGATGGCCTGTCGGACACAGCTTGCATAGATGAAGACAAATGGAGGCCATACCTGCGAGATAATTCTTTAAACGTTAGATATCATACCGCTGGGGTAGAGCCCCCCGCGGAAAGTAAATACGAGCTCAGATATGTTATGATCTATCCAACCCGCACGCTATGCGATGCCCATTTCCAACCCAAAAAACTCCAAGAACCAAGGCCTCTCTCTCACATGGGCATGTTCCGAACCTCCTCCATGGTCCAGTACCTCCTCATGTTCTCCGCGCCGAGCGTCTTGACCTCCTGGTCGAGGTGCGTCCAGAGCACCCCGCCCCAGCTGTCCATCTTCTCCCGCAGCACGGCGAGCTCCAGCTCCGTCTCGCGCGAGCGGCACCTGCGCAGGTAGTCCTCGAACTGGTCCATGCCCTTGTGGATCTGCCTGTGCTGCTGGAGCAGCTCGGCGCGGCCGCCGCGGAACTCGGGCATCTTGCGCGCGAGCATCGGGAACACGAAGCGCTCCTCGATGCCGTGGTGCGCCGTGAGGTGCTGCGCGAATTGCAGGCCCGTGTCGATGAATTGTTTCAGCGTCATGTTGCGCGGGCGGTGGCCCGACGTGGCGGCGTCGTGGAGGATCGTCCATTGCGCGCGGAAGTGGTTGTGCTGGATGTCATGTCAGTTACGATTTTCTTTGCATTGTTTTTCTTGCTTGGATTTTGTGTTGGGTTGTCAATTTGTTCGCATCTCACGCCCTAGAGCTGTGTCTCACGGATCTCGAAGTGAGACATCAAGCGTTGGTGACGGTGGTGGGGGAGATGAGAATGGTGGCGGGGCATGAGAAAAATCCCAAGATGAACACGAGCATGAAAGCGGCGCGCGGTCTTACAAAGTAATCCATCTTCTCCGCCATCTGGTTGTACACCCTGAACTCGGCCGGCGACAAGGGCGGCAGCTCAGGCTGCGCCGGGGCGGCATCCTCTCCTTCGCTCTTCGTAGGCGCAGCGGCCTGTGGTTGTTCCTCGGCGGCGCTCGACATGGCGAAGCCTCGTCTCCCAGAAATGATCGAGGGAAATGGAAATCGCCTGGCGCTGTTGCTGAACAAGAACTTGGACGTATCGGGAAGTGTTCTCGAAGGGTGGGTGCAGAAGAGGTTGGGATGAACCGAGAGAATCTTCCGGGCGAAGTTTGCCGTTCTCATTGTCTGGTCGAGGGTGGTGAACAACCCGGGATGGGGGCTTCAAGAGGTTTTATTTCAACACATTTTTGGGAATCGCACGGCCTCCCCTTCCCCTGTTCGCCCGCGGCGGGTATGCTAGACCGTTTTCAGATATCCAAGTCTGCCTGGACAAGGTCCGGTAGGATAAAAACTCCATGTCAGATGTGGGATGGGGGAAATCCAGGAAGTACACCGCGCGGGAGATCCTCTAGACGCGCGCGGGGCTCAAATGTCGGACTGGACTGCGAATGTGGCGTTTTTGGCTTGTGCGTTGGGAGCCGCGAGGCAAATCAGAGGCTTCATATTTGTCACTTGAACATTATACTAGACAATAAACAATCATTCCATTTGGGCTTCTGGAGAACCTAAACTTCGTAGAACACTCAAATGCGCTGAGTCTGGGACTTCGGAGGTGTTCAGTTTCTTCAGAATTTTCTAATACGTCTCGTGTGGTTGGTCAGTCGTCTTCTTACTCAGCTCTTTGCAATCCCGAGCCAGCGGGATGCGGGACGCCACATGCTGCGAGGGGGACCCATCGCGACTCGCTTTCTTGGGTCTTGGGGCGAGTGCACCGCGCGCGGATCGGGTGCGGCTATCCGGTGTTTCTCCGCTCTGCTCCGCTCCGCCTAGGACCCTGAAGCACCTTCTGCCGGAGACTGGACGCATCGTCTCGTTCGGATAGAAACCGACTCATTAAGTAGACACTGAGAATCATGGCCATGCTCATGACAAAACAGCCCAGACTTTACTGTGCTACTGCTGATTCCCCACAGGCGCAGGTTTCTCGTATCACGTGTGCGAGATGGACTGCTGTTGTTTGTGGTTAAGGAAGCTCTCATCGTCACATTTACCAGGAAGTTTCAAAGAATGTGCCAATCATCATACATTTCACATTCGCCAAGCTTCGTAACCGCACAGGTCATGACTCTATCAGCTTCTATTCCCTGAAGCTACGAACACCTACCAGCCCAAAGTTCGATTCTTCTGAACCCCGCGGCCGGTAATTTTGATTAAGCAACCAACCGTAATGCAGATACAAGCGTGAAAACCCCATTCCTCTTTACCCCCGAACCGCCGCACCCAGCGCACCGCCCGTGAACTGGGTACCGCCAGCCTGCCTTTGGGTGGCGCCGCCCGTCCTCGGGCCGCCGCCGCCTCTGCGCGCGCCGCCCCTGCCGCCGCCGCGTCCGCCGCGTCCGCCCTGTCTCTCGAACGCGTTGGCCGAGCCCTGGGTGCGCTGCTCCAGTGTCCTCTCGTTGGTCTCGATGAGCGCGCTGGCCTTGTCTGAGAGCGCGAGGGCCAGGCTCTGCAGACGGCTGAGCTCGACGCCCTTGCGGAAGATGACGGTAGAGGTGACCTGGTCCAGGGAAGCGGCGAGCTCCTCGTGGCTGATCATCTTGCTGACGACGGCGAGGACCTTGCTGGCGTCCAGCTCGAACATGTTGCTGAGCGTCTCGACGGCGAGGGTGTCGTAGAAGGGGGCGTAGGTGAAGAGGTATGTGCGCAGACCCTCCTCCTGGATCTGCTTGGAGAGCATCGTCTTGATGTCGTCCGTGTTGGGCATGAGGTCCCAGATCTTGATGCTGTGGATGAAGTTGGTGGACTTCTTCCACTCGCCGGCGGCGAGAGCCTTGGAGGCCTGCATGACGTGGTCTCTCGTGTTCTCGGGGGGGCCGGTGAAGATCTGGCGCTCGTGGTACTCGAGCATGCGACGGTACGTCTTGCTGATGACGCGCTTCTTGACGTCGGGGGAGGAGCCGGTCTGGGCCAGCAGGGGGATCTCGAGAAGCATGCTGCAGGTGAGGTAGACGCACTCGAGCAGCTCGAGGTTGATGTGCATGTGGAAGGGGAGCTGGCGCTGCTTCTCCAGCTTTTCTTGCTCTGGTGAGATCTGGTTGTATCTCTGCATGACGACACCCTGAGCGAGAAGCTCCTTCTGGCGCTGGCTGCCGCAGATCTCCTGCAGGGTGTTCTGCGCGTCGTAGACGAGACCCTTGCGGAAGGCGCAGAGGCCGACCTGGACCAGAGTGCGGTTGTAGAGAATCTGGGAGGTAACGTCGAAGTTGGGGATGTTCTCCTGCAAGTGGGACATGAGCATCATGTCGCGAGCCTTGTAGTACTCGTCGTGAAGGGCGAGGAAGTAGACTTGGCACAGCATAGCGCGAGCACGGAGGATGCCCTCGGCGTTGCTGAACAGGTAGTTGCAGAGAACGTTCACGAGGTTTCCGGCGTCCTGGGACTGGGAACGGGGAGTAATCGTGGACTCGACGCTGGAGGTGACGGTCTTCCAGCAGTTGTCCTCGAGGATCTTGACGACCTGGGCAGGCTAGAGAGAGAGTTAGCGGATGTGCTGCGGAGGACGTTACTAGGGAGGCGTGCCTTGAAGTAGACGTGCTCGAGGCGGCGAGTCACGATACGGTTGATGCTCTCTTGAGGAATGTCGAGCTCGGTATCCTTGCGGAGGTACTCGTAGTAGAGCTGGCCACGGAAGACGGCGTTGTAGAGGGCACCCTCGTCGGTAAGGCGTTCGATGTACTCGGAGGTGTGGGGGTCGATGTTTTGAAGGGAGCGGGTGAGCTCATCGTCCAGACGCTCGACGTAGGAGACAAGGCTTCCGGGAACCTTGATGTACTTCTGGCCCTTCTCCAGGGCAGGGGGCTTCTCATCATCATCCCACTCCTCGGCGTTCTCAACAACGACGTAGTCCTTGTTGGCCTCGAGAATATCAATCAGAGAGGTAAGCTCCTTCTCAGCAGCCTTCCAGTGCTCGAGGGGCATGTAGGAGGCACCACCGGCGCCGAGGTCGAAGCGGGTTGATACCAGGGTAAGAAGGACGCGGATCTTCTGGTAGGGGGTGTTGGCGATCTCGAAGAGCTTCTCCATAATCTTGATCTGCTCCTGTCTGTCGGTGTTCTTCTTACCGCGAGTCTCCATGATGCTACGCAAGTGCTTGAAGATGCTCTCGGGGGTGAACTGCATCGCGCGGCCGTGCTTTCCGACAGTGACGAAATCGTCGACGTCGTCGCCCTCGGCAGCCTCCGCAGGGGTGTCGATGAAGCGAGCAGTCTTCTTCGGCTTCGCCGCGGGCTTCTCTTCCTCCTCCTCGGACTCCATGAAGGCATCGTTGTCGGCACGGTACGCATCGACCTGGGTCTGGTGGTCCTTGACAATCTTCTTGATCTTCTGCTTGACGGCGTTCAATCCACGGTTGGCGGTGGCGTTAATCGTCTTCTTCGGGGTGACCTTATACTTCGCGACGGCCTCGTTCATGTCATCCTCCAGCTCGGCGATCGCCTTGATGTAAACCTTGGGGATCTTGCCATCTTGCAGTTTTGTGACTTGGCGGTTGAGCTTGTCGAATTCTGCATCATCGTATCAGCGCATGTTGCCGGGTGCGGAGATAACCCATCACGTCTTACCTGTGGAAATAGAAGCCCAGTCTCCAATCTTCTTGCCGTTCTCAATGAGCTTGATGGTTGACTCAAGCTCCTCGATGCGCTTGTCCTTGGCACTCTTGACCTTTACGCGCTCCTCATCGTCGCTGTCTTCGCTTTCCGACGAAGCATCGCGAAGGAAACGGTTGGCACCAGACTTTTGTCCTCCCTCGCTGTCGTCGGAGTCGTCGGAGTCGTCGTCATCCTCCTCCTCCTCCTCGTCAGAGTCTTCCTGGTCCTGCTCCTCCTCTTCCTCCTCCTCCTCGGAGTAAAGCTCCTCCTCGTCGGAAGAAGAGTCAGTGGAGCTGTCGTCTCCGCCGCGGAAAAATCGAGACATGCTGGGCTATCGCTTTCGGTTTGTGTAGGCGACGATTTGACTGATGCGACTGGGAAGCGCGGGGTTGTTGTCGTCGATGACTTGTCACGGGCTGGATCAACCTCGATTCGAGAGGGGCTCAAATTGTGATAAAGAAATTTGAATTTTGGTGGGGGATTTTGGGGTTTAGCGAACGACAGCTGGCAGCACGATTTGCAGGTGGCAATGGGGGGCCGACAAGGTCGACTCGCCGCAGTGAATTAAATTTTGGCCAGCCGCTGAGGTTCTGACAGGTGGCAGGGTGATGACCCACTCAAAAAGTTTCACTAGACTCAGAGCTGCCCTTGGGCTGACTGACTGTGTGCGGGCGGTTCTGCTGCGGAGATACGAGTGCTGGCTGGAATGACTCAGCTATCGGTGCCTGTCCAGTCACGATACGCCACCCCAGGCCGACTGCCTCCCGCCGGACTATCATCTCCGCCGACGCCGGGCGATGCAGGGCCCGGCCGCCTCCGGGTCAATGGTCCCATCTGCAAGTCGCGCCCTCACGTGAGGCAGTCAGTCCCAATCAGGCTAGCGCATTTACGCCTCCTTCCTCGTCCTGGGGAGAGCTGCATACCCAAAAAATTCGATGGCGCGGCGAGGTTCATTGTCGATGAACTCATCAACCTTCGCCTAATTTTCAACAACATCACGACACCGGTCATCGCTGTGAACTTTTGCGGGACCAGTCGACCATTTTCTCATCTGCACGCAGCTTCTCACCGATTCATACCATCGAGGTCGATTGCGCTGCTACAACTGAAACGACTTTCGCGTCTTGAAAGTCGCGACTGCGACTCCTCGACTTCGACGAGATCCCACCCACGAGACTAGTCCATCATCGAGTCGAGATGTCCTTCCCACCACCACCTCCCCCTGGATGGGGTCCTCCTCCGCCGCCGCCCCCTCCTCCATCCTCATCGCTTCCTCCGCCTCCTGCTGCACCAGCACCTCCTCCGCCTGGGTATCGCCCCCCGACCGATCCTCAAATCGCCAAGTTCGCCCAGAAGAAGAAGGAATGGCTGCGGAATCAGCGCAATCGCTTCGGTGAGAAGCGCAAGGGCGGCTTTGTCGAGACACAGAAGGCAGACATGCCGCCAGAGCACTTGCGCAAGATCGTCAAGGATATTGGTGATGTGTCGCAAAAGAAGTACACCAGTGACAAGCGCAGTTATCTGGGTGCACTGAAGTTCATGCCTCACGCCGTCATGAAGCTTCTCGAGAACATGCCGATGCCTTGGGAGTCGGCCAGAGAGGTCAAGGTTCTCTACCACGTCAACGGCTGCCTGACATTGGTGAACGAGATCCCAAGAGTCATCGAGCCGGTCTTCTTTGCGCAGTGGGCGATGATGTGGACGTTTATGAGGAAAGAAAAGGCCGATAGACGACTGTTCAAGCGTATGCGATTCCCTCCCTTCGACGACGAAGAACCGCCACTGTCATGGTCCGAGAATATCGAGGACGTCGAGCCCCTCGAGCCGATTCAGATGGAACTGAACGAAGACGAGGATGCTGCTGTATACGAATGGTTCTACGACCACCGACCCCTGCTCGATCACGAAGGAGGCCACGTCAACGGCCCGAGTTACAGAACATGGAACTTGAACTTGCAACAGATGGCCACTCTCTTCCGATTGAGTCGACCTCTGATCTCAGACGTGGTGGACAAGAACTACTTCTACCTCTTTGATTTGAAGAGTTTCTTGACAGGAAAGGCACTCAATGTCGCCCTCCCTGGTGGTCCCCGTTTTGAACCCCTGTACAAGGATATTGATCCCAATGACGAGGACTTTGGAGAGTTCAATGCGATTGACCGCATCATCTTCCGCAACCCGATCCGAACCGAGTTCCGTGTGGCCTACCCCTACCTCTACAACTCGCTGCCTCGAAGCGTTCACTTGGCGTGGCACTCGTACCCTCAGACGGTATTCGAGTACTCGCAAAACCCTGACCTTCCTGCATTCCACTTCGATCGCAGAATCCACCCTATCTCGTCTCGCGCGGTCGCGCCGAAGAATCTGACTGTGAGTCACGAAGATGAGATTTTCGGACCAGGCAACAACAAGGAGCCAGAGGATGATGCGTTTGAGCTTCCCGCGGACTTTGAGCCTTTTCTCGAAGAGGAGGATTTGTCCAACGAAGATACCGCATCCGCGATCGAGTTGTGGTGGGCTCCTTTCCCGTTTGACCGCCGTTCAGGCAAGATGGTCCGCGCTCAGGATGTTCCTCTCATCAAGCAGTGGTATTTGGAGCACCCTCCTTCAGACAAGCCTCCTGTCAAGGTTCGCGTGTCTTACCAGAAGTTGCTGAAGAACTTCGTTCTCAACGAGCTTCACAAGAAGAAGCCCAAGGCGCAACAAAATCAGAACCTAATGCGCAACCTCAAGCAAACAAAGTTCTTCCAGCAAACCACCATCGACTGGGTGGAAGCAGGTCTTCAAGTCTGTCGACAGGGTTTCAACATGCTCAACCTTCTAATTCACCGGAAGAACCTCACCTACCTTCATCTCGACTACAACTTTAATCTGAAGCCCGTTAAGACCTTGACCACCAAGGAGCGAAAGAAGTCCCGTTTCGGAAACGCATTCCATTTGATGCGTGAAATCCTGCGGTTGACGAAGCTGATTGTAGACGCCCAAGTGCAGTACCGACTGGGCAACATCGATGCTTTCCAGCTGGCGGACGGTATCCTGTACGCTTTCAACCACGTCGGCCAGCTCACCGGTATGTACCGTTACAAGTACAAGCTCATGCACCAGATTCGTTCGTGCAAGGATTTGAAGCACTTGATTTACTACCGCTTCAACTCTGCACCCGTCGGCAAGGGTCCTGGTTGTGGTTTCTGGGCCCCAGCTTGGAGAGTCTGGCTCTTCTTTATGCGTGGTATCATTCCTCTTCTCGAGAGATGGCTTGGTAATCTTCTGTCCCGTCAGTTCGAGGGTCGTCACAGCAAGGGCGTTGCGAAGACTGTCACCAAGCAGCGTGTTGAGTCGCACTTTGATCTCGAATTGCGTGCCTCCGTCATGGCTGATTTGATGGACATGATGCCCGAGGGTATCAAGCAGAACAAGGTCAACACCGTCTTGCAGCACTTGTCTGAGGCCTGGCGATGCTGGAAGAGTAACATCCCTTGGAAGGTACCTGGTCTGCCCGCGCCTATCGAGAACATCATCCTTCGTTACGTCAAGGCCAAGGCAGATTGGTGGATTTCCGTTGCTCACTACAACCGCGAGCGTATCCGCCGTGGTGCAACTGTGGACAAGACTGTTGCCAAGAAGAATGTTGGACGTCTCACCCGACTGTGGCTCAAGGCTGAGCAAGAGAGACAACACAACCACATGAAGGACGGTCCTTACGTCTCGTCCGAGGAGGCCGTCGCCATCTACACAACTACCGTCCACTGGTTGGAGTCTCGCAAGTTCTCTCCAATTCCCTTCCCCAGTGTCTCATACAAGCACGACACCAAGATTCTCATTCTCGCGTTGGAACGCTTGCGCGAAGCATACTCAGTCAAGGGACGCCTCAACCAGAGCCAACGCGAAGAATTGGCTCTTATCGAACAGGCATACGACAGTCCCGGTACAACCTTGGAACGAATCAAGCGTTTCCTGCTGACGCAGCGCGCCTTCAAGGAGGTTGGCATTGATATGAACGACAACTATAGCACCATCAACCCCGTTTACGATATCGAGCCGATCGAGAAGATCAGTGATGCCTATCTCGACCAGTACCTGTGGTACCAGGCCGACCAACGCCACCTGTTCCCTGCCTGGATCAAGCCTTCTGACTCTGAAGTCCCCCCTCTTTTGACGTACAAGTGGGCCCAGGGTATCAACAACCTGGACAAGGTTTGGGAGACTGAGAACGGAGAGTGCAATGTCATGATCGAGACGGAACTGTCCAAGGTCTACGAGAAGATTGAGTTGACCCTGCTCAACTCGCTTCTTCGTCTGATTATGGATCACAACTTGGCGGACTACATCACGGCGAAGAACAACGTCCAATTGACGTATAAGGACATGAACCACGTCAACAGCTACGGCATGATTCGTGGTCTGCAGTTTTCTGCTTTCGTGTTCCAATACTACGGCCTTGTCCTCGACCTTCTTCTCCTCGGTCCTCAGCGTGCCAGCGAGATCGCAGGCCCGCCTCAAAGCCCCAACGACTTCCTCCAGTTCCGCGACAAGGAAACGGAAACGAGACACCCTATCCGTCTGTACACTCGTTACATCGACAAGATCTGGGTCTTTCTGCGGTTCACTGCCGATGAGTCACGCGATCTCATCCAGCGTTTCCTTACCGAGCAGCCCGACCCCAATTTCGAGAATGTTATCGGATACAAGAGCAAGAAGTGCTGGCCGCGAGACTCGCGTATGCGTTTGATGAGACACGACGTTAACCTGGGCAGAGCCGTGTTCTGGGATCTCAAGAACCGTCTGCCCCGTTCGGTCACGACGATTGAATGGGACGACAGTTTCGCGAGCGTCTACAGTCGCGACAACCCGAACCTTCTGTTCTCGATGTGCGGTTTCGAAGTCCGGATCCTGCCCAAGTGCCGGAACCAAAACGACGACTTCTCTGTGAAGGACAGCGTGTGGTCTCTGGTCGACAATACCACCAAAGAGAGAACAGCTCATGCATTCCTCCAGGTTACGGAAGAAGACATCCAGAAGTTCAACAACCGCATCCGCCAGATTCTCATGTCTTCTGGATCGACGACGTTCACAAAGATTGCGAACAAGTGGAACACTGCTTTGATCGCACTCTTCACTTACTACCGTGAAGCCGCTGTCTCGACTGTCAGCTTGCTTGACACCATTGTCAAGTGCGAAACCAAGATCCAAACGCGAGTCAAGATTGGTCTTAACTCAAAGATGCCTTCTCGTTTCCCTCCGGCTGTGTTCTACACTCCCAAAGAATTGGGAGGTCTGGGCATGATTTCCGGCTCCCACATCTTGATTCCCGCCAGTGACAAGCGCTGGTCGAAACAGACCGACACTGGTGTCACCCACTACCGCGCGGGTATGACACATGACGAGGAGACTCTGATTCCCAACATCTTCCGTTACATCATTCCTTGGGAGGCCGAGTTCATCGACTCTCAGCGCGTCTGGACGGAATACTCTCAGAAGCGCATGGAGGCGAACCAGCAGAACCGTCGTCTCACTCTGGAGGATCTCGAGGACAGCTGGGACCGCGGTCTGCCTCGTATCAACACCCTCTTCCAAAAGGACAGAAGTACCTTGAGTTTCGACAAGGGTTTCCGTGCCCGTGCCGAGTTCAAGATCTACCAGCTCATGAAGAACAACCCCTTCTGGTGGACCAGTCAGAGACACGACGGAAAGTTGTGGAACCTCAACGCGTACCGAACCGATGTTATCCAAGCCCTGGGAGGTGTTGAGACCATTCTCGAGCACACTCTGTTCAAGGCAACCGGTTTCCCGTCCTGGGAGGGTCTCTTCTGGGAGAAGGCTTGTCTTGCCAAGGGAACAAAGCTGCTGCGTTACAATGGCAGCGAGGTTGCTGTCGAGCACGTGAAGGAGGGCGACCTGCTTCTTGGACCTGACGGTAGAGAGCGCCGTGCCTTCAACATTGTCAGTGGCACGGATCGTTTGTACCGCATCAAGATCGGAGGCGGCAAGGAGGACCTTGTGGTCACGCCAAACCACATCCTCGTTCTCCATCGGGAGAAGGAGACGGGCGGCGCGGAAGGCTACGACACGGTCGAAATGACGGCCTTTGACTTCGCGGCGCTGGACGAGGCCGAGAGGCGCCATCTTCGGGCTCCCAGGTCTACCAGCTTCAAGCAACTCGACCAGCCAGAAGTGCACAACTTCGCTATTGAAAGCATCACTCTCGAGACCGAGGCCACGGAGTGGGCTGGTTTCAAAGTCGATGAAGACCAGCTCTACCTCCGACACGATTACCTCGTGTTGCACAACAGTGGTTTCGAAGGCAAGTAACTCCCACTGCACGCTTATAATGACCCATGACTAACTTCTGAGTACAGAGTCGATGAAGTTCAAGAAATTGACCAACGCTCAGCGATCCGGTCTCAATCAGATTCCCAACCGTCGCTTCACTCTCTGGTGGTCCCCGTAAGTCAAACTACTGAAACTGGTCGAGGCCCTGCAGCTAACACGAGTTTAGGACAATCAACCGCGCGAACGTCTACGTTGGTTTCCAAGTGAGTCACGCCTTCTTTCCATCTGGCCGAATTCTACTGACAAAAATAAGGTCCAACTTGATCTCACAGGTATCTTCTTGCACGGAAAGATCCCAACGCTCAAGATCTCGCTCATCCAGATCTTCCGTGCCCATTTGTGGCAGAAGATCCACGAGTCCGTCGTCATGGACTTGTGCCAGGTCTTCGACCAGGAACTGGAATCACTCGGTATCGAGACGGTTCAAAAGGAGACGATTCATCCCAGAAAGTCGTACAAGATGAACAGTTCTTGTGCGGATATTCTGCTCTTTGCCAGTCACAAGTGGAACGTCACCCGACCCTCGTTGCTGTTCGACACCAAGGACGTTATGGAGCCGACTACGACCAACAAGTTCTGGATCGATGTTCAGCTGAGATACGGCGACTACGATTCTCACGACATCGAAAGATACACCAGAGCCAAGTACCTCGACTACACGACAGACAGCGCCAGTATCTACCCCTCGGCCACCGGTCTGATGATCGGTATCGATCTGGCCTACAACCTGTACTCTGCCTACGGCATGTACTTCCCCGGTCTGAAGGTGCTGATTCAGCAGGCTATGGCCAAGATCATGAAGGCCAACCCTGCGCTGTACGTCTTGAGAGAGCGTATTCGCAAGGGTCTGCAACTTTACGCCTCTGAGAGCAACCAGGAGTTCCTGAACTCCCAGAACTACTCCGAGCTCTTCAGTAACCAGACACAACTGTTCATTGACGATACCAACGTCTACCGTGTGACCATTCACAAGACTTTCGAGGGTAACTTGACGACTAAACCCATCAACGGTGCCATCTTCATCTTCAACCCCAGAACCGGTCAGTTGTTCTTGAAGATTATCCACACCAGCGTTTGGGCGGGCCAGAAGCGTTTGGGACAGTTGGCGAAGTGGAAGACTGCAGAAGAAGTGGCGGCCCTCATCCGATCGCTGCCTGTCGAGGAACAGCCCAAACAGCTGATCGTCACACGAAAGGGTCTGCTGGATCCTTTGGAAGTGCACCTGCTCGACTTCCCTAACATCTCCATTCGTGCCTCCGAGCTGCAGCTTCCTTTCCAGGCCGCGATGAAGGTCGAGAAGTTGGGAGACATGATCCTCCGCGCTACCGAGCCGCAGATGGTCCTTTTCAACCTGTACGACGAGTGGCTCAAGAGCATCTCTTCGTACACCGCGTTCTCGCGTCTCGTCCTCATCCTGCGTGCGCTGCACGTGAACCCGGACAAAACGAAGCTCATCCTCCGGCCCGACAAGACGGTCATCACCCAGGACCACCACATCTGGCCGACGCTGTCCGACGAGGACTGGATCAAGGTCGAAACGCAACTCCGCGACCTCATCCTCAACGACTACGGAAAGAAGAACAACGTCAACGTCTCCAGCTTGACGAGCAGCGAAGTCCGCGACATCATCCTCGGTATGGAAATCTCCGCGCCGTCCATGCAACGCCAGCAGGCCGCGGAAATCGAGAAGCAGCAGCAGGAGCAGCAGCAGCTGACGGCCGTCACGACGAAGACGCAAAACGTCCACGGCGAGGAGATCATCGTCACTACCACCTCCCAGTTCGAGCAGACCACCTTCGCCTCCAAGACGGAGTGGCGCACCCGCGCCATCGCCACCTCGAACCTCCGCACAAAGGCGAACAACATCTACGTCTCCTCCGTCGACAACGACGCCGACGACGTCACCTACGTCATGCCCAACAACATCCTCAAGCGCTTCATCACCATCGCCGACCTCCGCGTCCAGGTCGCCGGCTACCTCTACGGCTCCTCCGCCCCCGACAACGACCAGGTCAAGGAGATCAAGTGCATCGTCATGATCCCCCAGATCGGCGGCCTCCGCAACGTCCAGCTGCCCCAGCAGCTCCCCCAGTCCGAGTTCCTCGAGGGCATGGAGGCCCTCGGCGTCATCCACACCGCCTCCGGCTCCGAGCTCCCCTACATGTCCGCCGCCGACGTCACCGAGCACGCCCGCCTCCTCGACGCCCACCCCGAGTGGGACAAGCACGACACCGTCACCGTCAACGTCGCCTTCACGCCCGGCTCCGTCTCCCTCTCCGCCTGGGGCCTCACGCCGCAGGGCTACAAGTGGGGCGCCGAGAACAAGGACACCGGCAGCGACCAGCCGCAGGGCTTCACCACCACCATGGGCGACAAGCGCAAGCTCCTCCTCAGCCCGCGCTTCCGCGGCTTCTTCCTCGTCCCCGAGAACGGCATGTGGAACTACAGCTTCATGGGCTCCGCCTTCGCCGGCATGGAGAAGAAGCCCATCCACGTCAAGCTCGACACTCCCCTGCCCTTCTACAGCGACCAGCACCGTCCCGTCCACTTCCACAGCTTCGCCGAGCTCGAGGACATATGGGTCGACAGGCAGGACAACTTCGCGTAAGCGTGGTGTGTGGAGTTTCAAGTGCTATTCACGCATGACAGAGGATTCAGACGGACGGGATTGGAAGTGGTTTTTTTTTTCTTATTTTCATTTCAATCTTGGTTTATTTAGATTGGGAGACTATAATTCGAGCAAAAAAGGGAAAGAAAAGGGGGGGCAGCGGCTACGATACGAACAAACCCAACTACGAGTCGGCGTGAAGGAGATGACCGAAGTGCGACGGAGCAAGGGGAGGAAAGGAGGAAAGGGAAAGAAGGGAAAGGTGGAAGGAAACTGGGATACGTCGTATGTGTGTGTGTGTGAGAGTGCGTGTGCGATTAGTCTGGGCATGATTTTTTTTTTCTTACCCTCTTCGGCGTTGGGCAAAAGGTGGCAGGCCCCGTTTTCCTCGGGGGTTTCATTGAAACCAAAGTGTACTTTTTTTGTCTCAAAAAACACACATTTTTCTTCACACGTCCCCGTACTCCTCATTCAGATCACAATGCTGCGTCGTTTGACTCGCCGTCAAACTTGGCGAAATCGCCGAATGTGTCTATCGGATCGTCGCGTCGGTCGTGAGTGATCGTGACGAAGCCCCGTGTGTGTTCGTTGGTGTTTGTGTCAGTGATAAGTTATTACCACGTCGGCTATAGATGATTGCTATTTTGAAAAGTGCACGCGCGTCAGTGGTGATCCCAAGATCTCCCGATATAGTCGCAAGTATGATCTCCGTTCATCGCCTTTCGTCCTCGCTCGTTCCTGCGTCCATGTTCGCCGAGGACGTAGTCGCCGACCACGACGAATCTGCCTCCAGACCCGGCATCTCGGGTCCGTCCGGTCCCAGGGCAGCCCGTCCTCCTCTCTTACACGTCACTCTATACCTATCCATCCCATCCATCGACGGACAGCCGCGGAAACGGAGTTCGTCCTTGCCCGGTCGGTGACAGCTCATGACAGCACTGGGCATTGTTTTACCTGTTTTGACTACACGAGCCATTTGGCATTGACAAAACACTGCGGCTGACAGCTCACATGTCGTTTTGACTATTTCCAAACGCATGAAGTAGAATGATTTCTTTTTTTCCCTTCCTTTCTCGCTTAGGGGAGGGGTGGCTGTACTGTACGTCGTGTCGTCGTCCCGGGAATTTGTCATTGATGGGGCAGGAGACGGGGGCTTAAACGATCGGGGACGGGTCCCAAGACGTCAGCAAGGGGCCTTGCCATCCCCTCCCAGAGAAGAAGCTGCATGGAAGCCTTGGTTTTGAAGATCAAGAAGACATTCGAACAAAAGTTCGTGTTCTATTCACGGGCATACACAAACAGCGACCCTGTCGTGCGAGTGTCCCATGCAGATACGGGCGGTGGTTGCCGAGAGCGGAGGGATCTTTTTGGAAAACGGCCATCGCTACCGTCCAGAGCCTGTAAGCGCGTTCAAGTGGTATTCGGCACTTCTCGAGCGTGTAAGTGCACGACGACACCGGATGAAAAGGCAATGACGATGACATCGAAGGGGTGGCAGTTGGTAGCAAGACGCCCTCGGCTGTTCCCTCGTCTAAGATGGTAGGGAGTAGCATGCGTGACGACAGACAGTCGCGTCTTGTGGCTTTCTGCTGGCGTTGACTGTGGAGTTCATGTCGTTCATCGCGGGTGGCCTTTGCCATGGCCGTGTATCCGCCGCCACACTGGGGCCGACGGTAGATTCTTTTTTGGTGTTTAGCGATGTCTGTTCCTTCTATCTTCGGACGACAGTGACTGCAAATGGCAAGGCGGCGGGAAGGCCGTTGAAGATGGTGGGCAGTCTAATCGCTGATTCAGCGGGGTAGATGGCCCGCGCAAATTGGAGATTTCATGCATTAATGCGACTGGGCGAGTTCAAAACAGGGTTCCCCTTTTTGGGAGGGGGAGGATTCCCAAAGTTCAAGGTCGATGCGATGGGAAACGCGTTGTTGGGTCGATCTGGAGAGGCTAGTTGCCCTGTGGATATTGCCGCTGGAGCGGCAGATTAGCAAACGTCCTTGGGACCGAGATTGGGTCATAATGGGCGATATGTCGGCAGCGTTGTCGTGTTATTGGCATGGGAAAATGGGGGCTGTTTCCGTGCCTCTCGGGCCTTTTTGTCTGTGTACTGCTCGTTATTGCGGCGATGGAACGAAACGTCATCGAGGTGCGACATCCTTGGAGATGGGGTCGGGATGGGCTTAAGGTGCGGCTGATATTGACGATTCATTCCGCGTTGGGTATCTCTTGGCCCAGGCCATTGGGAATGGGGGCTCTTCCCAGCAAGCTCGTTGGACGAACAAGGGTTCGGGAAAAGAAAAGAAGGGAAGAAAAAAGTGGCGAGGTGCGGATATTTTTGGTCGTGGAGATGTGGCTGCTTTGGGGGACTTGATTGGCGATCGGCCAGGTCGACGCCGCAAACGAGCAGACGTGGAATGAGCCACAGGGCGGCGCATGAAGACGTCGAAATGACTTCTGGGTCAACCCCCGTCGGCCGAGTAGCAAGATGCACTGGATCGGGCGACTTCTCCAGTCGGGACGAACTATTGAGCTTGGAGGGTGGAGATGAAGCATGTCCGGAGATGGCTCTGGCTTTGGCTTTTGGTTCTGGCGGTTAGGGTTGAAAGGGGCGCGGCAGTTACGAGATGGCGAGGTGGAAGTGGCCATGTTCGTCTCGGCATGGTCGCCGTCGTATGGTATGGCGGCGGTTCTCGTTTTCTCCTTCCAAAACCCAATGCGAGGCTTGGGTGCGGCGGCTCTTTCTGTAGGGCGCCCAAAAGCGTAAGTGGCGCAAGGTAAATCAAACGTCGTGAAGAGGGGCTGTCGCGGATCTCAGGAGACGCTCGGAATCGGAGGGCCGAAAGACTCGCGACACAGTTGCTGGTTTAACGTTCAGGTCGATGGCGGAAGAGCGGCGTAATTTCGACAGGGCTGGTTTCCAAAGGATCCCCGACCAAAGAAAAAAATCGACGACCGGGTCCCTTGAGCCAGAACTGGACCGAACGTCAGCATTGCTCTCCAGAAATTTCAAGGTTGACCTGTTGTGAGGAAGAAACCCACCGGGTTTAGTGTGAGTTGTGACAGCTTCAGGGACCCCTTCCCAACTCTGTCTTTCCTGGGGCACTCCCCAACGGCCTTCTCCAAAAGTCAAGAGTCCCAAACGCAATAAGGCCCTTGAGGATTTGTGGGGGCGCCTGGTGGACGGAACGGACAGCTAGCCCGACCCGGGGAATGGGCTAGGTTGAGACCCTGGACGTGTAGAGTAGCGACTTGTGAGACCTGCCTTGTGAGACAGTCAACGCACGACGGCGGCTCTGTGGTGTGGCACAAGCTACATTACTGAAGCAAGAGGTCTGGTGGTTGCAATATGCGGGGTGTTGGTAGGCGGTAAGCTAGCTACCTGGTAAAGTGGTAAGCATGTAACGTAAGTTACCTACCTCAAGCTCAAGGTACGGCAGGGCGGTAAGGTCTTGGTAAGGTCTTCTCCCGGGGCCATGTCTGCAGTGAAGCGACCGCATCCGCCGACCGACCGCCCAAACCGCCAAGGGCTGGAGAGGGCATCAAGCTTTGGGCTGAAGCGCGACAACGGCCGATGAGGGCTCGCAGGGCGAGACAGGGGCACCGCTGTCATCTGACAAAGGTTGATCGTATGATGTCGTCCTTTTCGCTTTTTTGGCTCGAGGACGGGGAGGAGCCCCTTTGGTGAGACCAAGGTCGACAACGGAGTTCCTGGGATGGTACTTGGGATACAGGCACAACGCCGGCTGTCATCCGGTGTGTACCGACGGTCCGGACTCACGGGCAGCAAGAAGGTTTTGCGGCGAGTTCGGGCCCTCAGACGAGTGGGAGAGGATGATCCCAGCACGATGTAAGAGCGCGAAAGTGTAAAAATCAGCCAAGACGAAGGCCGAAATGTCGGAGATGGCGATGCGACAAGTGGATGAAGCTGTGACGAGGTGCTGAATAAAGTACCGAAGTGTAGTGCGAGGCAGGTATTCGTATGTTGCTGCAGCAGTCCAGACCTCAAGCTCGTCTAAGTTGCTGTCAATCTTGCACTACCCAGCGCCTCCTACCTTGGGCCGAAGAGCCGAGATTCAAGCCATGCAATGCATGCTTGGGTAGGTGGAATGGCTGGCAAGGGTATGTGTCTGAGGTGGTGACAGACGGTCCCGTCTGGCGGTTGGTTCGGAGTTTGGTTCGCAGTGGGATAGCGATTGCATCCATAAGATGGACAACCTGGAGAATATTCGATTTTTGCAATTCCTGGGGTATCTCGGGCGTTGAAAAGATCGACCGACTATTGGCAATAATCGATATATCGGAGCGGGAGACGAGGATGACGCAGACGAACTACTGAGAGCTTGGCTTCCATGTGTAATCAATTTGTCGGGACCTTTTTTTGATTAATCGGAGGACTGCAAATTGGCGAGCTGGGGAATGGAGAATTGGAGAATCCCATCCCAACTCTATCTTGTCTGATGCCGTTGGTGCCTGGAGAGTGTGTCGTGTGTCGCTGATGTGAGGTGAGGTAAGGTGAGATGAGGACAACCTTAGACCGTCCATTGAAGTTTAGGTTCCTTGGCCGACTACCCGACATTGGCTTAGTGCCGAACGGGAAGGAACCACTGCATCTTTCTGTCGTACTTTCCTGCGCGTGTCGTTACTTGGTAGGGCAGGCGTTCCTGACATTGTTCCTGCCTTAGTTTGTCCATATCCCTATCCACCTCTATTCGTATCTGACCTCATGTCATGAGTTCCTTCCTGCACGCATCATTTCTCAGCACGAGGCAAGGTAGGAGCAGGAGATGTCGGACACTGCCCGCTCTGGACGGACGGTGATGAACAGGAACCCGACGCGGATGAACTGCTATTCCTTCCCTCTTGGAGATGATGACAACGGTTAGAAGGGGGAGGCTGACGACATGGCCATCACGGGATGCTGGGTTTCCGTGGGAAGGAAGGTCGCCCAGGAGACAAAATGTTACGACAACGCTGTGAAGAGGAAGGCCCAGCCCACCAAGATGTGGAGAGAGGTGGATATGGATCGTTGAGTCTTGTTTCCGTTTCGCTGCCACCGGCATCGTGTGGATCCAGTCCCCGTTCAAACCTCCACTACAAGTCCACCTTGTTGTCCACCCTCAGGCGCAGGGCTGCCTGCACCTGCTCTCTCCAGTGCAGTGAACCCACGAGAGACACCTTTGGCTGGACCCATCTGTCAGACCTCGCGCGCTTACCCTGGGTGTCACTGGTATCGCCTTTTCAGTAGAGCTGAGGCTTGGCTCTCAATGCGGACCGTGTCTGCTCAGTGTTTGACTTGCCTTGTCGAAGCAATTGCAGTTTTACGCGGCAATATGATTTGGAAGAGACCATGAGAAAGGTAAGATGAAGCACGTATCCGCAAGGTACGGATAGCTAGGTGCTTAGGGCTGAGGTACCTTCGTTACCTAACGGCGGCCGAGTTCGAGACCAACACCAGCGGAGAGAATGCGCCTGCCGTGTTGTCGGTATCAGTATCCGTACTTCCTGCCAATTTCAATTTCAACGTGCATTCATCGCATTTCTTGCTGACATTCGTCATTTCCCTCTTCGCTCAATCACAATCATCCCTCTACACTCTCTCCCTCCATCCTCGCATTCTCGATCCTAATTGTCGTCTCGGTCGAACTCTGCCTCTCTCGTCTGATGCAGCCTTCAAGACCCGGCCCGGTCATCTGCTCCCTCCCCTGCAGTCGCAGTCGCAAATCTCCACCACCCACCACCCTCACTTCTTCAACATCGTCATCGTCCACTTCATCCTTTCCAATCCAAACCCTCTTTCACGTCTGATCACCAACCCCGTGTCTGCAGACTCGACCGATATGAGCAGAACCCGGCCTTCCGATTCGCGCCTCGCTCCCTCCCCTCACCCGCCGAGATGGACCCCCAAATTCGAACAAAGGGTCCCCAACGTCCAAGCCTCCGACGTTGACGACGAAGAAATAAGGTGATCAGACGCTAGAAGAGAGTCCCACTCCTTCTAGAAAGATTGCCCGGGATCCCTGGGTCGCATAATTGATCTTTTAATTGCCAGGTATGCGTGAAACGCGTTTCCTTCATGCGATACCCGTCTGACCCCCTGCTACAGCTTCAAAGTCCCCCCCTCCCGTGATCCATCATGTCTCGACAAAGTCAACATGTCCGCCATCGAGCCCAGCTTCAACCCACACGGAACCACACCGGTACGGATACTGCGGTACCACCAAGGTACGCGACCTCAACGCACCACATCACCCTCTTGAGTCTTTGCACCATCCCGACACCGCTCTGCGTCCGAGTGCCCTACTTCCTTCCACCGCAGTACTCCGTGCTCTGAGCCCTCACTCACATCTTCGTCGCTTTCGTCTTTCATCCCAGCCCTCCTCGTCCAAGCGCCCTCGCTACTGGCTCGGCCCTCCCCCTCGTCGCCATCGCCTTGAGACGAGCTGCCATTCCTTGCTGACTTTGGTCTTGGCTGGAGTTCGGAGTACCAGTGTACCAGAGCATTCGTACCACGTACCAGACTGCCCTCTACGACAAAGTACTTTTGCCCAGGCACAAACAACTAGCAACATGTTGTAATATGGCCGTCCGGCCTTCACGCACCAAGAGCCTGGGATTTTTTTTTTTTTTTTTGCATTGAGTCGCACAATGTCCTAATTGCCGAAAGCCGGGGTTCTGTCTTCCAAGTTCCCCCGTCTGCTTACACCCTCCACATTTCCGGCTCTGCGTCGGGAGAAGTGGGAGGGTGCAAATCGCGCGAACACGCGTTGGCGTTGCGATCGGCCAGTCTTGGGATGCCCTCATGTTCGGAGTCGAAGAGCAGGTCCAACTGCGCACAAGTGGGTGGAAGCGCGCACTCTACCATGCAAACAGACGAATAGTCGAGTCGAGCGAACGTCTATCATCCCATGGTTTCGACGACAGCACCGTCTTGCGGCCTAGTCGCCAATTGCACACGTCCCAACATCCGAGTTCTTAAAATTCTTCACAAAAAAAAAAAAAAAAGAGTGTTACCCCACAGGCTAACTAGTCTTGTCTTGTCGACCCTCCCTCCATCCCATCTTGACGACGCGCGCGCGCGCTGCCGCCCGCGTGGCCGTGGTCCATCAGCCGCCGCCGCATTGCCGAACCAGAACCTCAGCCGTGGCACCGCGGCCATCTTCATCTCGGCCATTTCCATTCGCAGTCGTGTCCTTCATGGTTCTACATCTCATCGGGTCATCTGCCAACCGGACCTGCCACATTCGATTGCTTCGCCTTGGAGGCGAAGACCGAACTCTCACGACGTTTCTCATCTTTGGAACGCAAATCCCCCTGCTGCGGTCGACTTCATCTTGTGTCAACCAGGGTCGCATGCCTCCTGGGACCACTGGCGCTCTCTTCCGAATCGCTCCCGAACTTTTGGCCGGGACTTTGAGGGGTGAAAGCAGGCCACTGTCGTTACCGCCGGCACTGGAGATCAGGCACAGCGAAAACCACAGGGTCAATTCGACGTTGAGAGGCCCGGCCTTGCCTACCGGTGGTGGTTTTCTTCTCCTTTCCCACCCGGTAGTCCCTTGTTTTCACCCCTCGGCAATCTGCCCACTAGGTCGAGTGGCTGTTGCAACCTTACCGTCTTGCTGGCCCTATCGCGTACCGGAGCTGCGATTTCTCTTCACGGTTCTGCTATACCCTCCCTGTATCAGATATACCCCCTTCAGGGCCAAGGCATGACTTCTCAGCGCTCACCCAGCCATTTTCCTTTCCCAAAACCTGCTGTTTGCCCCCAACTTGCTCCACTGTACTGGCCGGAATGGGCAGAGCTGTCCAACTTGTGCTGTTCACTGCGTATCCCTCACCCGAAGAAAAGACCCCAGTCGAGTATGACCAGGGGAGGGGGGTCCAGGGACTCAAGCTCCCGCACGCACACACGCACACACACACACCACACACCAAGTCAACTGCCATGAGCCAAGAGCTGCCACCCCTGGTACCTTTTTTTTTTTTTTTCTTCCTTCCTCTCCTCTCCTCTCCTCTCTCCCAGTTCCCGTCCCTGGTGAAGCAGGGGGCCGAGCAACATGGGCGGCCTTCTTCTGAAGTTCTGAACAATTCACTTGTCATGGCCTTCCTCACCAGCCAGCGAGCGCATGGTAGGGCTCGTTTCAGCTTCTCTCCCTCACTCGGCTGAACGTGTTTGGATTCCTTCTATGCGTTTTCCAGACCTCTCCCTTCTTTGGGTCGCCTAGCCCCCCTCCTTCCAGGGTTCGATCGAGGTCATCCGGGGGTTTCTTAGAGTTGCGAAATTGTTCTGTCCTATGTTCCCAGTGCCCTGTCTGTCAACTGTTCTTAGCTGGCTGCTGTCATGCCCACCCCTCGCTCGTTGCATCATCAGAGCCGGCTGAGAGTACTCCTGCTTCTATATCCGGCAGCGGAATCCATGGCATAAGATCCCCAAATTATGCTACCGTCATCACTGGGCAAGGTTAACTTGAGTCTCCGCAACCTACTCAGGAACAGAATACGTCTCGCACATGGCGATTCGCTTGTGTGCTTTAACTCGCGGACAAAAGCGGCGGCAGTCGATGTACCCTTTTTCTTTTGCCTCACACCCCGTGCATACCATACCCTTGGCCCTCTTTTGCTCTCCTCGCACTCAACTCACTCAGACTCCTCTCTTGTCCGGTCCCCTTCCCTCGCCTTACCTTACCTTGCCTCAACCGACCAGACCCCCAGACTGATCAGAGAGACTGGTGCCCACACACAGCCCTCTATTCCTCTTTTCGATAAGGCACATCGGACGATATAATGCAGCCCTTGCCCACGTCCGCGCTTTCTCTTCTCTGACCCCTTCATCATTATATTAGCTGTCCAGGGCCAACGGGGTTTATAATAAGTCAAGGGAAGATCCCGTGAGCTTAAACGGCGCGTGGCAACAACCAGTTGAAAAAGGATAGCATGGTTACCTCGACTTTTATTTCGTCTTAATAATTTTTTTCCACCTTACGCCAGCCAAAGGGAACCCATCCGTCTGGCCGTGCAGTCAGACAGCTCTCCACCAACGAGGAGACTAATTCTACAAGACGGCAACACCAACTCGGAACTTCTCTCTTCCAGTCTCTGTCATCATCAGCACCAGTATCAACTACCGCAACTACCAGCGACTACCACCAACCTTTCAAAATTCCTTCCTACGCCTCTCCCGAGATTCCGCAACCAACCGCGACCATTCTTTCCACACCGCCCAGCCACGAATGTTCGCTGACTCTGGACGGGAAGTCCCATCACCGCGACACCATAGCTCTGTCACAGGATCGCAGTTTGAGAGACTACCACGCTCGCGACCCCGCAACGTCGCACCAACAGCCCTCCCCTCTCCCGACGCCGCCCGAAAGGGCATTCGCTCAACCAATTCTTTCACTTCAGAGCCCGGCGACCGTCCAGAGCGGTTCGCTCTGGCGGAACCCATGTATCGGAGGCACACTGGCGGGCAACTATCGAGTAGGGGACTACAATGTCGATTACTCTGCGCAGGAGTCGCATCCCGAGCAGAGTCAGCAGCAACATGGTTATGACACGACGCCTTCCCATCAGCAGCACCATAGGAGTTCCATTCATCATGGCGCCGCCCATACGCCTACTCTCCATGACCCGTCGCCGAGTCACCATCCGCACCATCCAGGAATGCAGCAACACCACTCTCACCACCCCCACCAGGTACTAATGGATCCGGGGCACCAGATGGGACACGCGCGGCATCTTGGCCCGCCTCATTATGGTGCCCCAGGGCCGGTCGTTGCGCCCTTGTACCCTTCCATGACAACGCCTACGCAAGCCCATACGCCGCATGGAGCTCCTAAGCGGCCGAGGCCGGATGACCTCGACTTGTCCGTACCCGGAATTCCTGACCTGGAGCAGACTGACCTCGAAAGTATGCAACAAACACCACTGGGGGCTGCCTACGCACAGGCGGGGGTCCAACAAGTACAGGCTCCCACGCACCATCACCACCGGCTTCCTGACACGGGTCCTCCTTCCAAGATGATGCGGCACGATGGTGATGGAGATAGAGGTGGGGCTCCGAGCGTGGTAGGACAAGCTGGTATGCCCGCTCCGGCACCGAGACCGCGAGGCCCGAAACTTAAGTTTACGCCCGAAGACGACCAACTCCTGATCGACTTGAAGGAGAACAAGTCCCTTACTTGGAAGCAAATCGCCGACTTCTTCCCCGGTAGATCATCGGGAACCTTGCAAGTACGCTACTGCACGAAGCTGAAGGCCAAGACAACCCAATGGACCGACGAAACGGTATGCGCAAAGTTCCTCAAAACCTGACCTTTGGGAGAGAACATTTTCTGACTTGCCGTGCTCATCTAGGATCAAAAGCTTCGTACTGCTCTCCAGGACTACGAGAATGAAAAGTGGCGTATCGTAGCCAACAAAGTCGGTACTGGCTTCACTCCTGCTGCTTGCCGCGAACGCGCTCAGGAGTTGATGGGCGGTATGGGTGCTCCCTTATAGCATTCAATGTCTCCACCGGGAGCAACTGAGCCCCCGGCTGGAGACACCATCTACACGCAGCAGCTTCAGTGATGAAGAGGAGCTTGCCTTCAGCGATGATCTCCATTACGCGACATGGAACGATTCAACCCAACCAGAGCTTCCAGACCGATCCCTACGAACGCCCTACTCCGATGCTGATGCGGACGCGGACTGTCGGTGGGAAACAAGAAAGAGTCTGTAGCAGAGCATCTGTTTCGTTCCTGGTAACAGCTTGGGCTATCGACAATCACGGAGTATGCGGAGTCCAAAGATCTGCACCAGCTTCGCTTCTCGCGCATCAACCTCTGAGATGGAGGTCCAGATACCACCTCCCTAATTTCAGCCAGTTTTTCTCCCTCGATTACGGCCGAGGGGACATGGTTCTTTTGTTTTGCTGGATTCCCCATCCGCCTAATTCTAGAGATACCCCCGGAACATCACGGGTCACCTTATTCATACCTCTTTTTACCCTTCAAACATCGACTTTCGACTTCGTACTTTGACCGACTCTTTTTTTCGCTCCGAATCATGACACAACACACAACACATTAGACTTGGGGGGGGCACACACCGAACTACGCAATACACGGCCTTATGTTTTTTCGTCCCGTCCTTTTGTACGACTTGCTTTCTCGACACATGTCAACCCTTTTTGCACCATATAGGAAATACCAACAGCATTCTCTCTGCCCGAGAAGTGCTCGTGGTTCTGCATAAGATGGCGTGGCGTCTCGTGGGTGGGAAAAAAAGGGGGTGGGAGAAGCATTCTGCATACACGCGCGGTTCAGCATCAATGATGACGTCTGTTCTGAATTTTGTTTTTTTACACCCATTTCACTTCGTTCTCACCACACACAATTCCCTTGTTTCCACTTGTTACCCCCTTTTTTGTTCAAACCCAACAAACTTTTGTTCTCTTCGCGTCCGTTTTTACATTTTGTAGTTTACGTAACAGTTTTTTGAATCTACCTCTTCGCTCAACGGTCGTCTAATCGTGTCTGTAAATCTTGCCCGAATTCCCGACGAGCCGGGCAGCCCTACCAGTCCGTGAAACAGATCAACGGCCGACTAACAGACTAACGCGCCCAGTCCATGCCGTTTTGGACGCTAGGCAAGGCTGGACGGATGGATCGTGATATTATCAGGTACGTCGTACGGGTCCGGGGCTTGGATCCGCGGCGCAGGGTCATGAGTCTTGAACTCCCCGAGTTAGAACGTGGAAAGGGGACCACGTCGTGGCCAGTAGGAGCGAGTACGCGGCTTCCTCTGACCGGGCTGGAAGGGGGGCTAGAATTCCGTGCTAGAATCCATAATGGCTACGTTTTGGGGCAAGGTAACAGTGTCCATCTTGGGGAGGAGTGAACATTCGAGGACCACAAAGTGGCCAGTAATAAAGAAGAGCACGAAATTTGCAACGGCACTTCTCGCAGTTAGAACGCATCTAGACCTAGACCTCTACGAACCGGAACCCTCCGTCCATCCCCCTTCCCCCTCCCCGCTGTAAAAAAATGCGAGAATTACAAACTCGCATGCATATCACGGATTTCCACGAAAAAGAAGAAAAAAAGCTGAGATCCAGATTTGTGACGAAGATGGAGCAACGTGCATATGCCCACGCGCAAGCAAGCAAGGCAAGTCATGCCCAACATACACACAGTCACACACGCGCGCGTCGTCAAGTGTGTGTGTGACTGGGATTACGTTCAAAGCATAAGAGGGAAAGTAGGCCGCAGCAACAGAGGCCTGCCTCCCGTCACGGAATTATCCCCCTAGCGCGGGCTGGCCGTCTGTCTGTCTGTCTCTGTCTCTGTCTCTGGCAAGCGCGGCAGACCGGCCGGCAGGCAAGTATGCAAGGCAAGGTAGGGCGCTGCTGCTGCTGCTGCTGCTACGACTCAGTCGGTAGACGTCAAAAAAAAAGTCCGGGGAACCAATTTAGATAAACAAGGCCAGGCCGCGCCGGGGTATGTGTGGTTTATCGTCGTGGCTCTGTTGCTTAAAGCGCGGGATAGGCGATGTCTGCGATAGATTGCGCCGCGCCGCGTTTCAAGTCTGTCAAAATGTGGGCGAGGTGGCGGCGGCGGCGGCAGCGCATGCCAGATCTCGTTGACAGCGCCTTCTTTTTTATTTTTGTTTCCTCGCACTCTATCTCTGGCGGGGACGCGTTCGCCTGTTTGAAATGCCATAGAACTCGCGAGTAATTCTGGTAGGGGTAAGGGGGGTTTAGAACCGTAGAAGAATAGGAATGGGGGCCCTCGTTCAGCCCGCCGGCCCAGGATAAAGGGGAGAACCGTCAGTAGAAAGATAGGGAATGATCAGGGCCCCGAAGAGCGTGAGTCCAGGGAAGATCAGGAAAGCCGGTACTTCTTCTGGCTTCCCGGCACAGGGTAGCCACGTCTTTCGGGGCAGGTAGGCAGGTCAAAAGCAAGCATACTCAGGCCTGGACTGGAGGCCACGAACGGTGAACCTGACCGGTAGCAGGGAAAGCTGCCCGATTAAAATGTCCGTAGAGTGGGCGTCCGCTCCGCATGTGCCGCGCTGGGCGTGACCGATCCATGCGCTCAAAAGGACTTCCTTGTTTGATGGTGTTGTGCAAGTCCCAATCCATACCGTGAGCGACGTATGATCTGGATCGCCGCACAGAGAGTGCTCCAGTCGACAACGAGCCATTGATACTCTCAAGCACGACTTTGCTGACTTTCTTTTTTCTGTGTCCGTCCACGAATGTCGATTTGGTAGCGGCTCGTCGCTGTTGAAACACTCGGTTCAGGCTCGTTATAAGACACCAGGATTCTGATATATCCCCCCCTACCCCGTCATCTCCCAAGCGCGGCGGCGGCGAGAAACCCCAGCCACCCGTCGTCAAAAAGCCAAAGCCTGTGCTTCTGGGTCAGAAGAAAAAGGAGCGGTCAATCGTCTGGCAAACTTGTCACACGCCGTGGGTTCCCACAGGGTGCCATTCTCACGTCTCCCCCACAGGCAGATCGCTGTGATATGTGGTGCATGCACGCGAGGGAGGCGTGAGTCGCGTTCAGTGGTGACATTGGTGACAGTGACGTGACGGGTTAGCCCAGTCGAGGGAAAGCTCCCGCGTGCTACCGTATGCGAGGTGATACTCCCTCGCTGCATCGGTATGCCATATTCGAGCCCGAGGATGTATACGCAGAGAAGAAGACGACATCAGCCGTGAGTTCAGTCATCGGGACTCGGCGCATGTTACCCTCCATCACAACGGCCTGTTCCCCTCCATTCCAGAAGTGGTGTTGACGCCTGGGCTTCTGATTAATCGGATTTAAGCTTCAAGAGAGACAACAGAGGCCGCCGCTTTCCGGTGTGGGGGATCAGAAGACAAAGTGCTTTCCTTCCCAGCTCCACGGAACGTAGAATCCCAGATCTCGAAGAGTTCGAGAGCCGAAGTCAAACAGCTCTCGACCTGAGTGCATAAGCTTTGCCGACTCTGACCTCGTTTAGCCACAAGATGAGGCGCAAGTAAAGCGTCGCATGGTGCAGATCACGCAAGCCAAAACAAAACGACAACGTTGCTGTGGTCGAACTGACGTGCGGGAACCGCCGGTGGTCTCATGCGAAGAGGTCTGAAATAAATGAACAAAAAGCTTTTTTGTGTGTTCACTTGCCGAACCTAGAACGCTGTTGTAGTTGTTAGTTCCATAGCCATCTCGCAATTTCTTCAGACGAATGTCAATGGTTCGCGAGCTTCATGCTGAACTGGAAAACCGGCGCATGAGACGCCGAAGATGAAACTCCTGATGTGCGATTGATAATGGGCCATTTTCAGTCAACTGCCGGGCCAGACGGTAAGGAGACTCGATCCCGGAGCCGGGGGATGCTTGACCGACGTCAGACTAGGGATCGTCCCGTTTTGCTCATCAAGGGACCGCCATCACCGTGTTTGCGAATTCCCGCCTCATGTTCACGGCCGTCGGGCGTCGGCCCAGTGATGGCATGCTGAACTGAAGCTCTATCATGACGACAGCCCAAGAGAGAAAATTAGAAACGGGTTTGGCAGACACATCGTGCCGTGATCTAGCGCAAAGGTGAGAGTGAAACCCGGAAACCATTTCGGCAGGGAACCCTTGGTCTGGGTGTTCTCTCAGCCGACTCCTCCGTGCGCAAGTCCGGAAAGCTTGGGTCAAGCGGCTCGTCAACGTTACTCCAGCCAAAGACACCACGACTCCGGGCATTTCAGGGTTTCAGCAACCGATCGGAAGTCCTTCGGCCGTTGGGTAGGATAGTTGTTTTCTCCCCTGAAAGGCTTGACACTTTGCTGTTGGTTACTTGAAAAAAACGTACGACCTGGCCGCCGGCAACGCTTGCTTGTGGGCGCGATGCGGGTCAGCAATGCAATGTAACCACATCAGCATTTGCCTGCCCTGGTCGGGCCTTAGCCACGGCTTGGCTTGCCAACAAAATTTGCTCGGAAATGGGCGGAACCGGATAATGGCAAGCGGTGTCTGTAGTCCTCCGCGTTGAGCACCTGACGACAGTTTGCCTTCAACGTGGTCTTTGCAATGGCGGACTGTCGTTGTGTCCTGAATGACTTCAAAAGTGAAGTTGTCCGCCGTCTCCACATCGGGCTAACAAAACCCATCAGACAGGCATCGTAGAAAATCTCCGTCTAATATGCACCGGAGGTTTTTTCATCGACCCCTGCAGGCCAATCGGAGAATTGACGCAGTAAGACTTGTGAAATTGAAGCGCAATAATGGTTGACGACTCCGCTGTTCTCTCCACAATGCATATTGCTTCGTCCGGCGTGGAGGTTCGGAAGCTATCAAAAATCAGTAACTCACAGCTGCAAGCTCAGTATTCTCTGTTATCAAATGGCCTGGTGATACTATCCTCTAGTAGCTCTTGGATTTCGCTTCTGGTTTGACCGTTGGCATCCAGTATTTCCATGCTGTCGAGGCTTGAAATGCATGCATGGTGTGGAAGAAGCAAGTAGCATGGTAGTGCTGGGAGCGAGGACGCGCCGCTATAAGACAGACTGCCTGACTCCAAGATGAATCGAAGACCCATGCCGTCCTCAGATCGATTTATTCGAAATTGTTGAACGGCTGGCTCGCCAACAAACGTCCACACCTCCTGACAGATGGATATCAAGATTGCAACGCAGTGCGGCTGGTGCACAACCCGTTCGTTTGAGATGTAGACTCGATCGTTTCGATTCAAGCTGGCACTTTATTGTAGGGCCTCGTCTTGAGTCCTGTCAAACCTTGCTGAGGCTCAGTACACAGTAAGTAGACGGCTGATGAAGGCACCGTTGATAATTGGGGAGAAAATATGGCAGAGAAAGACGTCGAAGACTTCCGTACCTCGCCGAAGCACAACAAACATGCACTTCTTGTGACTCGCCCCCAAATTCTCGTGTCGCTGTGGTCATCGGTATCCGGTAAGCGGCAGGTGAAAATCCGTGAGAAGACAGAGTGAGGGGCGTTTTCTTGGACATGAGTTACCTGCCAAGGTCTTTCCATGAAGTCTGCAGCTCTTTTGCTTTGCTGGTGTTATACTTGACTCTGATATACCGGTATATCGACTCCAGTATGGGCGACTATAATATGGTCCATTAAGGGGCGGGAGGCACTCGAAGGTGGCAAATGAGTGAAATTTCATCCCCTGAGCTGCCCGTCCGCAACCGAACGAAAAAGCCGGGCGCCTCGCACTTCGAGGGTCTTTGGAGAAGAGGCGGCCATGTTGAAAGGTTGAAGAGGCTACACAGCCCGTCGCAAACTTGGGCAGCAATGACGATGATGGCGTGCAAGGTCGCAACAGAGCCACGCACAACAGCAGAGCTTCTGTTTCTCGAAAAGCCCGACGGCAACCGGTTTCTTGATTTTGACTCTGGTGGAAAACCAGCCTGTCCCAAACGAAAGTTATGCATTATCTAGCAAACGCCCTGTCATTGACCCCCCGCGAGTTTGCCGCGCCGATGGTGTGTGACAGGTCATCATCCACCGACCGTTGATGGGGTTCCCCTGAATCGTTGCTACCGCTGTCTGCTTTACCACATCGTTAGATGAGGGGGTGTATCAGCGAGAGACCGCGATGGCCACCAAAGGATTTGTGCTAAGATCACCCACAACCCTGTGAATAAGACATGGGAGTGCCTCCCGTTTCGGCAAAAGGTTAGGTGTGGTTCGGAGTCGCGGTCAGAAGGCACGCTTCTGTAACCCGTGAAAATCTTTAGGCGCTTACGGGGTCGACAGGGACTAAGTGAGAGAACTTTTGACTGAGCGACGCTGTATCAAGAACATCGCCGTTTTTGACAAGACCGATCAGAGTCTGATGACAGGCGATTTCCAGATGCTTGCCGAGATAGGCCGCCATCTCGACAAGCCAGCCGTTGAATTCGTCGACTTCGGTCGGTTTACCGGCGCGAACATCTTGCAGCATTGAGCTGGTGTTCTCCCTGACTTTGTGGCCAACATCGTAAAGCATATGTCTGAGTCGCGGCTGAGAGAAGCGCTCCAACAGGTCGTTGCGTACCTCATCTGTCTCAGCTGGCATACCGTCACCAGTGGACGCCTGAAGGATACTGTCTGTACTTGGGTCGTTGACCAGACCACGGAGAACACCGCTTGCTTCGTTTAGTAATTGATCCATCAATCGTTTGAGGAAAGCCCCTTCTTCTCCAGCGAACAGTTGGCCATTTTTGCAGCGAAGAATGGCTGTCAGCGGGTTGATGATGGAGTTGACCACAAGCTTCTCGAGCTGCAAGATCCAGAGATCGTCTCGTGGAACAGAAGTACCCCTGAGGTGAGGAGCTTGCACAAGTAATCCAGAGAGATAAGATGCACTGCTCGAAGTTCTCGGGTTCGGAAGAACCGGGCCAACTTTGACATCTGCTTCTGAGGCGTGAAGGCTCTTGAAACGACCCAAAGAAGTGACGCCGTGCGTCGTCACGCAAGCCAGCCAGTTAGGGTGTGTTGTTGACTGATCTTCCGAGAAGCGAGCAGAGTTGTATAAAGTTCCATGAGGAGGCCACATCTTGCACATGCCGTTCTGGGCAAAAGCCACTGTGGAATTCGCATTGAGATAGCGACGCACACGATCTACCTCGGGCAAAGCTTGGGAAGCTTTGGTGGTAACGAGAAGGTTGTGGATGATCCTGCCATCAGAAACTTCTCGAGATTGACCCTCTGAAGGTGGCTCCTCGGACCACAGCTCGACGTCGAAATTTGAATGTTTTTGGACGATGCCGCCTCGGATGATTTCAATGCCGGGATTTTGCTGCCAAGAAAGAAGAAGCTCCTTCCTATGAAACACAAGAGTAACCGGAGGTGGACTGGGTAGCGAAGCCAACGAGCTTGCAAAGAGAGCGCCGAGATTCCCTACACCAAGGATATAAACTCGCCGATGAGAGTCGTCTTGTCGGCGAAGAAGCTTAGAGTCGACAGAGCTACGCTCGGGGCGATCTGAAGATGCACTATGGCTCTGAACGTTGGATAGTCCCCATGCGTACAGCTTTGGTGCAGGCGTATCTCTTTCGAGGAGGGATTGAAGCCACTCCGGGGACATCTTCTGAGCGTTGTGCAGGGTTCTGGTGGAGGACGAAAACCGTAATGCTACCTGGCGAGTTGTGGAAATCAGGTTCGTATACGGTCTACCGCAAGGTATCATTCTCGAAATAAAATGGCTGATAAGAAGCCGAGAATCAGAATGCTGGTGTCGATGATGAAACTCGTCACAAGTAGTCGTGTTGCTCTTCAGGTACCTTAGAACAGCCAGTTGTTGACGTCGAATTGGTGAGGAGATTCGGGGATGTTCGGGGATATAGGTACAGTAAAAGAAAGAGAAGGGCAAGGCAATTCTTACTGTGCTTTCCAGCGCGTGATTACCTAAGGACGGGATTCACCATATTCAAACGTGGCTCAAATTGAGAAGGCGCCACGGCCGTGGCTGTACTGCCAGCTTCCCGACTTAACTCCGATCCTCCAATCACAAGCATTTCCCGTCAATTAAGATCCTTGTCCCGCACCTGACCGCGCGAAGGGTTCGCTACTGCCTTGCCGTGGCGTCATCGTTTTCTGAGGACGATCGACGTGAGCCTGAGCTTGACGCGCAGCGAGTGCGCAGCGGACCTTCTTGCAGATTGCAGTGACTCACTTGCTCACTTACGGCAGGCATTCAACCAAACCCTCCGAAACTTCACCATCACTTATCGGATCGCCGAGTCGCTGCCTGATTTCACAGCACCTTCTCCGGAGTCATCTCGGTCTCTATTTCGCTTGCCACCTACCTCCGTGAAATCGCCTGCCAACTTCCCATTCATTCCGCAGAGTGAGCATTCAAGAATACCCTGCACACGGTACCTACATCAGACTTTGATGGAAAGCAGCATCCGACATGGCTTCTGAATCCGAGGAGAATATCACCAGCAATGGGGCGGTAGCTGAGGAGGTCGATGCCTCCGGCGAAAACGCAGTAACATCTCATACGAACGGAGCAATGGATGAGGCCAGCTTTCTTCGCAATATCACAGCGGACATTAGAGATCAGGATGATTTGGAGCGCGATATCACGGCACAAGCAAATGTTGCCTTAATGGAGGCCGATGACAAGAGAGATCAGCAGCGTATCGAGAAGCTGGAATCCACCAAAGCAAATCTCGAGACTCAGAGGACCAAAGAGCGACAGAATTTAGAGAAGGAGCGCCGCAATCCATACAAGTCTCGCAAAATACAGACGCAAATCGATAAACTCGATCTTGAGATCGAGCGCGTTACAAACGACATTTCTGATTTCCAAGCCCGGATAGAGAAGAGACGCGAGGAGGCAGCAACCGCGGTTGATGAGACTGCTAAGAGCAAGTCTAGAAGGCTGCCCGGCGAAACCAACCGAGAGTACCTTGTTCGCACAGGCAAGATCACACCATTCTCCAATATTGGCGGAGAGCGACCTCCTGGGTTCGAAGGCGACTTAGCCGATGCTCTTGTGGAAGCTGAGGAGGATGCGGCGGAGGAGAACTTCCAGAGTGATGAGGAGGAGCCAAAGTCCCACCAGGTTTTACGCATGCCTGGTTTCGCTGAAGAGCCTGAACTCAAGCCCACACCGTCAAGAGCTGCCACGAGCACTGCTGAGAGCGAATTCTCTCTGCGACCCAGAAAGAAACGCAAGGTACAACAGGACGCTTCGGATGATGATTTCGAACCGGAGGTCGCAGAGTCGCCAGAAAGCCAGTATGCCTTGGACACTAGTGAAGAGGAGGCAACAGGTCGGAAGAGGAAGAAAGGCGCATCGAAGAAGAAAGCAACCCCGGCAACGGGAGAAAACGTTGTGGACTTGACCGGCGTGGATGACGGCAACGAGGCCAAGTACAAGGCTCGACTTGCAGATTGGGTCAAGAGACGCAGTCGGGCTCGCCGTCGACGCGCAGAGGCTGACGGCGTGACGCTGGCGGAAGACGAAGAGGAGGAGTGGTTCAAGCCATCGCCTGATCATCCTGATCATGTCTTCGGAAATGGTCTCAAATTGCCAGGTGATATTCACCCGTCGCTATTTGCATACCAGAAAACTGGCGTTCACTGGCTCGCAGAGCTATATGAACAAGGAGTCGGCGGTATCATCGGAGACGAAATGGGACTGGGCAAGACAGGTAAGCGTTCTCTTGCGGCGATGCCAATGGCTTGTGGCTAACAATCCGAAGTGCAAGCCATCGCCATTGTTGCAGCACTCCATTACAGCAAGAAGCTCGACAAACCCGTCATTGTGGTTGTGCCCGCGACGGTCATGAAGCAATGGGTCAATGAGTTTCACCGATGGTGGCCACCACTGAGGGTATCTATTCTGCATTCGTCAGGCAGTGGCATGATGAATCAACGCGAGGATGACTCTGACATTGATGATGATCTCGTCGGCGGAAGCAAGAATCGGGCTGCTGCCCGGAGAGTCGTCAATCGTGTGGTCAAGCACGGGCATGTCCTCGTGACAACATACGCTGGCCTGCAATCATACAACGAAGAGCTCCTGTCCCATTCATGGGGCTATGCGATTCTCGACGAAGGTCACAAAATCCGCAACCCCAATGCAGATATCACAGTTGCATGCAAGCACTTGAACACCGCCAACAGGCTCATTCTCTCCGGAACTCCGATCCAGAACAATCTGACCGAGCTGTGGTCACTGTTCGACTTCATCTTCCCGATGCGACTAGGTACGCTGGTGAGCTTCAGGACGCAATTCGAGTTGCCCATTAAACAGGGTGGCTACGCGAATGCGACCAACCTTCAGGTCATGACAGCTGAAAAATGCGCCGCGACTCTGAAGGACACGATCAGCCAGTATCTGCTGCAGCGACTCAAGATTGACGTGGCATCAGATCTTCCAGAGAAGACGGAGCAGGTTCTTTTCTGCAAATTGACACAGACTCAATTGACTGCATACGAAAGGTTTCTACGCTCTGATGCTGTTGGGCAGATCGTGACGAAGAAGCGGCCGGCCCTCTACGGAATCGACATTTTGCGCAAGATCTGTAACCACCCTGATCTTCTTGACGAGCGGTTGAAAAAAGACGAAAAGTACAACTGGGGAGATCCTCAGAAGTCAGGGAAAATGCAGATGGTCAACGAGCTTTTGCCGATGTGGAAGAGCTTCGGTCACAAGACGTTGCTGTTCTCTCAAACCAAGCTCATGCTCAACATTCTCGAGAAGTTTATCGGCAAGATGGATGGTGTCAGCTACCTCCGTATGGACGGTGATACGCCTATTGAGCAGAGGCAGGCTCTCATCGACCGCTTCAACCATGACCCATCGGTTGACGTGTTTTTGTTGACCACAAGAACTGGAGGCCTCGGCATTAACCTGACAGGGGCTACTCGCATCATCATCTACGATCCGGACTGGAACCCGTCTACTGATATGCAAGCCCGTGAGAGGGCTTGGCGGTTGGGTCAGACCAAGCCAGTGTCCATCTATCGGTTGATGACCTCAGGCTCCATCGAAGAGAAGATATACCACCGCCAGATCTTCAAGCAGTTCATGACCAATAAGGTGTTGAAGGACCCCAAACAACGAGCCAACTTCGACTTATCAGACCTCTATGATCTCTTCAGTTTCGGCGAAACTGGCCATAGCATGGCTAGCGCTGATAGAAGCAAGCTTTTTGAGGGAGCTGAAGTCAAGTTCAACAAACAGGAAGCTCAGCATGATAAGCATGATAAGCCCTCCAAGGATGCTGTGCCTATCTCATCCCTTGGAGCGAAGGCTGATGATGAAGTCAACAGCGTGAGAAAGCTGTCTGGCGTTGTTGCTGTGGAGGAGTTCCAGGAAGACAAAGGAGTTCACGACGAAAAGCGCATGACAGAGAACCTCTTTGCTCGGTCGGTTGATAGCGCCTATGAGCATGATCAAATCATGAACGGCAAGAAACCACAGGCAGACAAAGCCATGAATCAGTATGAGGCCAACAGAGTTGCCGCCCAAGCAGCAGCCCACCTTCGTCGAGCTGGTGAGGAAGCTCGCAATGTGCCAATTGGTACTGTTACTTGGACTGGCGAGGTTGGTGATGGAGGTCGCCCTGGTGCCAATAGACGTCGTGGTGGACCGAGTTCATCAGGAGTGTTGTCAGGTCTGGCTCATCGACAAGGGCTGAGCCAGCCCACCAGCGGAGCCAGCTCACGATCAGCGACCCCTGGTTCAGACAAGAATTTACGAGAGAAGGACTTCATGCTCCTCATCCAGACGTTCATTAAGCGCCAGGGAGGAAAGGTGCCCAGCAAGATGCTGGTGGACCACTTCAACCCCTACTGTCAAACGCCACGACAGAGTCAGGAGTTCAAGTCTGCGTTGGACAAGGTGGCTAACCTGAGCAAGGCCAGCACGGGTAGCACTGGTAGGGGCATTTGGTCGCTGAAGCCTGGCTTCAAATAGAGACAGATGGAGCGTGGAGGACGAGTGGAAACCAGGGAAGGAAGATTTGCTATTATGAGCCGGCGTCTCGGATTACAGGGCTGGGCATTGGCTTCAGAACAAATGGGCATAGAATAAGGTAGCCTAGATAACCATCATGAGATTAACAGTTAACGAGTTGTAAATGGGCTATGAGCTGTAATTGGCCTGTCTGCTTTCACATCACGTAGTTGGATCAGGAGGATGCACAAGTTCATGTGGTTCAGGAGCTACTCTTCAGTTCAGGCCATATATGGCGAGTTTCTATTCTATCTACGATAGATACTGTCGCCCGCAGCAGAAGGCATGTCACAGTGCGTAGAATGGGGACCAGGCTAAGCAGCCGTTCCCCGCGTTTTTCGCGATGCCACCCAGAAACCAAACAACGAGCACTCCTGTCCCAGAACCACCCAGGCCATGATGTACGGCAACCGGGCGCTCAGAGACGGCGACCACGGCGACCACCCTTTCTGCGGGTAGAGTCGGAGGGCGTGGGGGTAACGTCCTCAATGCGGCCGATCTTCATGCCGGAACGGGCCAGGGCGCGGAGAGCGGACTGGGCACCGGGGCCGGGGGTCTTGGTGCCGTTACCTGGAAAGGAGAAATCAGAACGGGTTTGTTCGCCGGACGGAACAGCGGAGTCAGAACTTACCACCAGTGGCACGGATCTTGATGTGGAGGGCAGTGATGCCGAGCTCCTTGCAGCGGGTAGCGACGTCCTGGGCAGCCAACATGGCGGCGTAGGGGGAGGACTCGTCACGGTCGGCCTTGACCTTCATACCACCAGTGACACGGCAGATGGTCTCACGGCCACTGGAATCACCCAGATCGTTAGCCATCTTGAACCCCCAACAATTGCGATTGATTTATAACATGTGCGCTCGCTGCATTCGGAGGCGCTTCCGAACTGCAGCAGAAAACACAGCGATGCGGGAGAGACCTACGAGAGATCGGTGACGTGGACGAAGGTGTCGTTGAAGGAGGCGAAGATACGGGCAACGCCGAAGACGAGCTCGCCTGCAATCGCGGGGTAGTCAGCGAAAACTGCATCTTGCACAAATTATGACGCCGCGATGTCCGCAGCACACTACGAACATCGCCAACGCGGGGAATCGTCAAAACTCACCCTCACGGACCTGGGGGCCCAAGGAGATGTTCTCCTGGGCGGGACGGGTGGTCTTCTTGGGAGGCATCGTGACTGCTGTGTTTGGCGAATAACTTCGGTGGTGGTTAGTCGGATGGTGCAGGAAGCTCTTCTCTCACTCTGCGCGCTCCAAGGGAAATTTCACAAGCGCATTGAAAAGTGGACGGAGTGCCCTGACGGGGGTCGGGCGGCGAAGCTCGGCAGAACGACGGGACAGGCTTAGCGCGGTGCGAAACCCTACCTAAGCGAGCTTTTTTTCCAGCGGGAGAGAGCGGTCAAGGTCGAAAATTTGTGCTGGTGGCCCCTGCGCCGACCCAATTTTTGCGCAATGGGAGAAACTGCTAAAAATCTTCGTGATCCCACCTCTTCTCCTCCGTTCTCCCTTCCTCTCGTTCAGCGACCAGTTTTCGACGACAACGACCGCCGACTACCACTAACCCAGCCCTCACAATGGCCGCCGCTACGTATGTCCACCAATGCTCCTGAAGCAGCAGCATACCCTTCCCTCCTCGTCGGTTTCGATGTTTTGCAGATTGTCGTGGTCCTCTCGCTGGAGACCGAGCTTCACCTCGTCGGGAATGCTCTGGCTCTCAGCTCGAACCCTCCCGGGCCTCTCCCTCCTTCTTAGCATGATCTGGAACATGGCTTGCGGATTGAGAGATGTTGCCTGGGGTGTTGGGGATGAACGGTCACTCGTTCTCCCTCAAAATCATTGCCGCATGATGGGCCGTTGGCGGTACTGAAAAGTCTGTCATGGAGCCATAAGCATCTGTGTGCATCTTTTCTCGAACATGGATGTGTTCGAGGCGTTGTCGGATGAGCGAAAGACAAGCAAGCCTGTTTCTATCTCGGAAGAGAGGGATGGCTCATTGCGTCGCCAGCCCACCGATCAAAGTCATGTCTTCGAGTTAGCCATAGCGAGAATGTCGCGCTTCAGCTACAATTCTCGCACCGGCGCTCTCTTCCATGCTGCTTGCAGTATGTCGGACTGCGTACTAATCTATGCATCTATAGTTCCGTCCCCACCTCCAACCAGATTCTGGTTCCGGAGACCCTTCTCAAGAAGCGCAAGTCCCAGGAGAAGGCTCGCGCTGAGCGCAACGCCGCTACCGAGAAGAAGAAGGCTGTAAGTTGATTCTCCACCTTGTCACTCGCTTCCCCCTCCTTCATGATGCATAACATACCTTCACGACTAGACTACGGTCGATGCTGTTGGAAATTAACCTTCTTTCGGGTCTGACACTTACCGGATTCAACCATTGATTTCAAGAACATACTGTCCAGAATCGTCTGCTAACATGTTCACTCAAGGCCAACAAGGAGAAGCGTGGCGTCATCTTCAAGCGCGCCGAGAAGTACATCACCGAGTACCGTGATGCCGAGCGCGAGAAGGTCCGCCTCTCCCGCGTGGCCCGCGAGAACGACTCCGCCTACGTTGCCGCCGAGCCCAAGTTGATCTTCCTCATCCGCATCAAGGGTATCAACAAGATCGCCCCCAAGCCCCGCAAGATCCTCCAGCTCCTCCGTCTCCTCCAGATCAACAACGGTGTCTTCATCAAGGTCACCAAGGCTACCACCGAGATGATCAAGGTCATCGAGCCCTGGGTTGCCTACGGTTACCCCAACCTCAAGTCCGTCAAGGAGCTCGTCTACAAGCGCGGTTACGGAAAGATCAACAAGCAGCGCATCGCCCTTACCGACAACGCCATCATCGAGGAGAACCTCGGCAAGTACGGCATTGTCTGCATGGAGGACCTGATCCACGAGATCTACTCCGTCGGCCCCAACTTCAAGCAGGCCTCCAACTTCCTGTGGCCCTTCAAGCTCTCCAACCCCACCGGTGGCTTCCGCCCCCGCAAGTTCAAGCACTTCATCGAGGGTGGTGACCTTGGCAACCGCGAGGACAAGATCAACGCTCTCATCCGCCAGATGAACTAAGTTCAGTCGTAGCGGCTGTGGGTTATTGAATCAGAAAAAATGGGGTTTGGCTGGGTTTGTCTAGTTACTCGGGCTTCGGCAGGTTTTGAGAATACCAAGGGTTACTTTATGATTGGCATGGTTGCACGGCGTTGATAACCACAAAAGGGAAATTTGTGAATTGATCATTTGACGACACCCGGGTTCTTCATCCCTCCATGTTCTATGAGTAGCAATGCAAACCTCTTTACGAGAGACGTGTATGTCCGTGATGTGTGATTTGTGTACCATGTGTCTCGTCCGCTCAAGTAAGGCCCTAGTGCCCAGTTCCCCAAACAGCATTGCGCCTCTGACGCCCTACTCTTTGAAACACGTCCTTCATGTGATATTATACAAGAAAAGTAATACATAACTATGCTGACTCACGCCCTCAGATCTTGATGTCAAAGCTGGTCCCGCATCCGCAGCTGCTCGTAGCATACGGGTTATCCGTGATCTTGAACTGGGACCCGATGAGCTCCATCGTGAAGTCCACCTTGCTGCCCTTGAGCAGGTCCAGCGACGGCTCGTCAATCACCACCTTCGGGCCCCCGAACGCCGCGCTCGAGGCGTCCGCGCCGTCCGGCAGGTACTGGAACACCGTGTCTTCCTCGCCCACGACCTGGGACCAGTCCTCGACGTTCTCGGTCCCGGGTAGCGTGATGAGGCTCATGAGGTACTGGAAGCCGTGACAGCCGCCGCTCTCGACTTGTATCCTCAGCGCCAGGTTCGGGTTATTGTCCTTCTTCATGATGTCGGCGAGGCGCTGTTTTCCCCCGGCCGTGTTAGCTATATCCACCCCAGACGAATCCTTATGGAGTACGGATCGCATCGCAGCGTACCTTGCCTGCCCTATCCGTGATCTCAAGTATCATCTCCTTTCCGTCCTCGTCCTTCTGCGGGTTGTATACGCATCTGGTCTGCCTCCTCGTCGCCGAAGCCGTGAACTTTCGAACTTGCTGTTGCACCGCGCTCCTCCGAGCGACCTTCTGCGTGGCCGTTATCCTCCGCGATGGGACCTCAGTGCTGCATCTTCGGCTTGCGCCGCTGTTGTTCGCGGGCGTGGCGGCGGCATTCCACCTCGGGATCAGAACCGAAAGTATCGGTGCCGGAGCCGAGAGCGCCGTCGGTGTGGTGCGGCGCGCGAGCTGGACAAAGATGTTCGCGCTCGAGGGCGCGTGTATGCATCGGAGCGGTGTTGCCATTGTGGGTTTCGGGGGTTGTTGCTGGCGCGGGACGGACGGACGTGTGGCGGATGTATAACCGGTAACTCGGTGAGAAATTTGAGGTCTTCCCGGGTAAAGGTAGGGGTAGCAGCTTATGATGTAAAAGGTGGTGGGCGGTAGGTGGCGGCAGTTGGTTAATTTTGGGGGGGAAACATTAGTCAGCCCGGGGAGCTTCTGGTCGTCTCGTCCAATGGTTGTTTACGGATTTCAACTCATCTTCGAGTTGGGCTTGACGACTTGGTTTGCCACTTGGTTGGTTGAGGGATCAACCGCTATGGTCGCACAGGATGTTTCGACACATCTGGGCGCAGCACTGGAGTATTTTCTGCCTGATGTCAGTTGACTCCGTGTTCGTTGGACGAAGAAAGCCGATGTCTCGGTCTTGAACGGCGTCGGAGCCGGCTCTTCGGATTTGTGGAGTACATCGGACGCTCCGACTACAATCACCGAGCATTGTCGTGGAGGAGTCAACATAACTAATTATGGCTAGTCTATCCCATGCCGTCATATGCTTTGGATTTGATAGAAGGATGCTTCTTAACGAGGCTGACACCATTATCATATAATGCAAAGTTTGGGTGGCAGAATGCTTATTATTTCCAGGGTATCTTGCAGACGGCCAACGTAAACCGTGACTTGTCCCCCTCTTACACACCGGTCCACTTTCCAAACTTGGTGTATCTCCTGTACATCTCCCTCAAAATAGCCCTCCCACTAGCATCCATGCTATCGTTCAGAATCTTCCTCACCTCAGGCGGCGTGATATCAAACACGGAGTTCATACCCGGCTCCAGTGCCTCGCGCACGTCACGCGGCACATCGACATCGAGCTGCATCTTGACATACGCCATAAGAACCAGATACATGTGCCTGCCGGCAGACCTCTTGGCCGCGTCGGTGGCAGAGTCAAGGGCGCTGAGGTGCTGAACGCGCGAGACGGCCGCGGCAGCGGGCTCGCAGACGAGGGTCACAAGTCGGGTGAAGTGCGCGGCGTGCTTAGCCCGTGTCGATGTTGACAATTGCTGCCGTGCCAGTGCACCGAGGAGGGCCTCGAGGGTTGCCACGAGGATGTGGTAGTGGCCCTCGAGGCGAAGGCGATGTTTCTTGATGATGACCTCGATCAGTTTGCAGAGCCACTGGTAAATGCTTGAGGAAGCGTCGAGGAGGTTGGCGGGGTCGGTTGCCACGATGACGGCAGCTGTGCTAAGGGTGGTCTCGATGTTCCACTGAGTCATGGAATTGGACTTAACGTCCAGGAGTTGTTGGAGGACTTCGGCAGTTCTGACGAATTCCCGAACAGATTTTGTTTTGGTGAGGTATCTGATCAGTGTGCCGTGTGCTGTTGCAAGGTCGAAAGTTTTGGACTTCTCCAAGCCTGTCGGTGCTTCTGTTCTTTGCGTCAGCGGCTTCCCTTCATCAACATCTTCAACGTCGGATCCAAACTTACCCGTCATTTGGGCGATGACGCGGCGGATCGCCAGCAGTTGTCCCTCAGTAGAGACACCAGTCTCAGCAGCGGAGTCCTCTTGAACGCCCTCGAGAAGGCTTTGGACGTACGCAACCTTGCTGTCGTGATCCATACCAGCAATCACAGCGTCAACGCAGTCTTCTAGAACAGATTGACGGTTGAAGTCGGCCAGGGGATCCGGTGCAGGCCCACTGGGGAGAGGGACAGCCACGGCGCTTGTGAAGAGCTGGTTGAATGATTTGGGCCGAGAGTCCGCGAGCTGTGACGGGAAACGCTTGATCAGGAATGACCGCAGCTTCCAACCGCTCAAATAACCATTAGTGATGGCCTGCTGGCTTGCTTCTTCCAACTGGGACACTTTGACCTTCATCTCTCCGACAACAGAGTCTGGCAGGGCTTCAGCCGCGTTGAGCGCAATCAGAACTCGATTGACCGAAGCCCTATCGAACTTCTGCTTTCGCCATGCCTTCGCAAAGTCACTCAGGGCTTCTTGAACCATATGTCCCAGTGTAGAGGCAGTCCCATTTACGTCAAAGACAGCAGACTTTTCCTTCGCGCTTGTATCAGGTGTTGCGACAGAGAGAAGTGCATTGACTAAAGTCATGTGCACGAAGGATCCATCGTTGGTGACCTCTTCCAGAAGACTAGAGACCTTGTCAAAGTACTGCGTACGGTACTCCTGGTGGTCGTTGATTTGTCGAACAGTGGCCGTCGACACGTACTCAAGAAGCTGCGACAGCCCTAGGGCGGCTCTCGAATCGCTGTTGCTGCAGGCTGTTGTCAAGAGCGCCGCGATCTTATGGAGGTCGGACAGTGCCATGTTCTGGTAAAATGTCGGCTTTTTCATGATCTTGCCGAGGAGGCCTAGAACCAAGTTCCAATCCGACGGGCTGATAGACTTCGCGGCTTCGATCTTTGGTATCAGAGTTTCCATGATGCGCTCCCTTTGCTGTCTTGTAAAGGCTTCATCGGGCACTCTTGAAAGCTCAACCAAAGCAGTCCTGCTTCGCTTGTCAGTCCAAGGATTGGACTTTTTGCAGGACTGGACGATCGTTTCAATAGTGTAGTCAACGACGCCAGCTGTCAGCTTTCGGTCCCGAAGGTTGTTCTCGTTAGAGAAGATGGCGTGAAGAGCGCTTGCCATACGCATCTCGCTATCGCTTTTGCCACCGAGCACTTGTTGCAGGTAGTCTGGTAAAGAGGTAGCCGATTTCGACAGAAGAGAGACGAGCCTCGAGGCAGTCAACGGGTACTCTGCGCAGAACTTAGGCACGTCTGCAGTCTCTGAAGAGGTCGATGACTCTAGCAGACTCTTCACATCGTCCAACTTCACCTTCTTCAGCAACCTCTCCACAAAAGTCGTAAGCAGAGAAACAAGATCGGCCTGGTCACGGCCATCTGGATGCATGGACAGCCAGAATTGGTAAGCGCACTCCAGCGCCTCACTGGTGTCCTCGTCGTCGAACTTGGCTTTCTGCAGTGCCTTCGTGAGATCGGAACGTACGCTTTCCCAAAGCTTGATAGATCCCTCATAATCCAACCACGAGACAGTCTTCGAGATAATCCTCCATCGTAGAGAGCGAATGTCAGCAGGGATTTTGCCAGAGGACCACGCTTTCAGAGTTAGGTCGGACAAGCGGGTGCCGACCGCATCAGCGTATTCATCCTTGGTAACTGCAGTGGCGATGGTGTTGAGGAAGATGAACATCGCAGCCGGGCGCAGCGTTTCCTCACTTTCGATCCATTCCAGCAGGTTGACCAGTTGCTTGGAGGTCAACGACTTCTCGATGCCACCGATGAGTGTCGCGTTGCGGTGTACCCTGGTGAACCATACTGGCCGATCGCCGGAACGCAAGGCCTTATCTTCAAACTTTGACAGCTGGCCAAACCACTTCTTCAGGAAAGTCGACAGATCGCGAACATTCTCAAACCCGGTTATTAACGATGCAATCAGCTCGCTCATAGTCTCCTCGTTGGCATCGCCGCCAGCTGCAGTGATTCTGTCGCAAACTTGGTCGAACAGTTCCTGGCCCTCCTCGGCTTGCTGGAAAACATCTGCATCGCATTTGGCGACGAGCGAAAGTAGGCGCCAATCGGTTTCGCTAGCGCTGCCAACGAGAGCATAGTTACTGCACACCAGGCGCAAATCTTCGAGAGAAATGGGACTCTTGTTGGCGATGGCCTCCTCAAGTATGGCACACATGACACGCGACTTTTCGGTACTAGACAGTTGTCTGTTTGCGCGTTCGGAGAGCTTAAACGCTTCTTGCAACCATGCCTCGTTGGCCTTTGTAGTTGTAAGTCCTCCCACAACCTGTGGGGCAGACGAAACCAAGCCGTAAAGAATTGGCACTGAAACAGAGGCAATACTCTGCACCATGCTGAATGATCGAGTGATGGTCTCAAGGTCACTCTTATTAAAGTATGCCGATCTAGCAGGGAGGACGAGATTGCGCTGCAGGAACTTCTCGAGGTCGCGCTTCCATAATTTCGCGACCTGGTCGTTGACAGCGGTCGCGTCTTTAAGTTTTCCTAGAATCGAACAGGAAGTCCGCGAGAAGTGCGTGGCTACTTCGAGAGCGTCGGCACTACCCTGAAGATGGAGATCCCATGTAGCGGAGAAGATTCTGGCCCAAGACTCCTGAGCTTCGAATGTCTCCGTTTCAGAGGTCGCCAGAGCCGAGTCGCAAAGAGACAGCAGAGGTGCGAGGTACTCGACGGCTTCGGCAGCAGGCTGTGCGAACAAAGCCTTGATGTGTTCCGCTCCCATCCTGTCGTGCGCGGACCACTGCGCTGCCGGATCCAATCGTGCAAGCAAAACCTTTAACGCCCCAAAGATGGCTTCACCAGTCGACAGGCAGCCTTCAGCGGATCTAAGGCTCTGCAGTTTGAAATTGGCGACGCTCGTTCTCTTCCTTTTCTTCGACTTGGAAGAGTCTGATTTTTCGGTCTCGGTGTCGGGCTTCGCGACGCCCTTTAAGGTTTGCTGAAGAACAGCCATAAACTTTCGATCGGCGAGAGATTTGGCGAGAGAGAAAAGCGGTACTCTTTGAAACGAGCAACCCAGAAGTCGCCATGTCAAGGGGAATCGTCGAACGGTTTCGGCTTCGTCATTGGTCGCCTTCATTGTCTTGAGGAGCCATCGCAAAACACTCTCCTCAGCAGCAGAGAACTGGCTCTGGCCGGTAGACGTGAGTTGTTTCCATACTCGATCGAGGTTTTCGCCGTTGGCTCCGGGGCCGGTCTGGTCGAGGGATCGCACTGTCTTCACCAAGTCCCTGTCTGCCGTCTTGGGCAATTATCAGCACGATAGTTGAGGCGCATTCGGAAAATTGAACTTACAACAGTCTCAGACGACCGGCTGGGACTCGCATCCTTCATTTCCACATCCATCGCGGGTGACCGGCCGAATTTGGCTTCAGAAAACGGGGATTCCTCTGGATTGGCGAAGGTGTAAGTCTGAAGTAACTCCCCGCGATTCCTGGCTGGAGCTTTCCCAAAATTTCGGGATTCTGCCGCCCCACCCAATTCGATGCGGTCACCGAACTCTTCACCGAGTCTCACCGCCCTCGGGTGTTCAACATCAATTTGCCGGGACTCTCCGAAAACATCACCCAAATCAATTCCACAGCTGGAGCTTCCGACCCGGATCAACACCATTGCGTATCGAGTCAATTGCGTGAGTATTCCCTGGCAGAGCTGCACCCCACCCCACAGATACTGAACAACGAGGTTCCAGGGCTACCGACGACGACCATGGCTGAGAAATCCGTTTCCCCTCCTCCGAGCGCTGTTGCGCGACCCGTCAGTGAGGCACTTCTCAACGAGAAGGTAGCTACCACCCCAAATCCTCGACCGACACGAGCTTCCGAGTTGATTCTAACGGATGACTATCTAGTGGGACCACTGTCTGTCCAACCTCCTCGTCAAGTCTACCCTCGGCCTCGGCTTCGGCGTTGTCTTCTCAGTCCTCCTGTTCAAGCGCAGAGCGTGGCCCGCAGTCATCGGTGTCGGTTTCGGAGCCGGAAGGGCATACGAGGAGTGCAACTCCAGTCTGAAGCAGGCCGCCAGGGAGATCAGGAAGCAAGCATAAGTTCCTTGACCGTCGAAACATGATCCGGCAGAACGGATACGAATCTCGAACGACCGGAAGATATAACGCTGTACAAAACCAACTACGTCACACGAGCACGTGAAACTCGCCGGGGAGCCAGAAGCCGGCGCGTGCCCCCCTTGCGATCACCCTTTTTGGAGTCGGCATTGCTAGATTAGGATGGGCGAGAGCGATGGGAATAGAGTCATTCTTCTTTGTTTGTCTAACCTACTTGTGCCCATTTCGTGCGTACTACAGGAACTCGAGGTCTCGAAGGCGTTGTGAGTGTGTTATGCCGAAGAGCTATCGAAGATGTGAAACGACGATTTAGGATGGGCTTCTGCAACCTTGAAGTCACTGGTTGTCTTCCTCCACCAGACCTTGCGGTTGCCACCGACAGCCATGACCGACGTACTGATGCGTTTCCCGCCCTCGGCCCCATTCTTCCGTCATCCTTCACGGTAGCTTTTGCCTCAGGCTCTTGTGAAGATCGTCTTTCTGGCTGTTGTAGGAGCTACGCCTAGCTTCCCGAGCTGGAGTTTGACCATGTGTCGCTGGCTGATGACTGACCGCCATTTACAACGTTTTCAATGGATCCCCGCAATGTCCCTCTTGGCCTGTCCTTTGATGACAGCGGCATCGGTAGAGCTTGAATACCGCTCCCGCATTCTGCACTGCCTAGATCTGAGGAAGATCAAGAGCAATGCGCCAATGACGATGAGCAATATCAGAAGGACCACGATCATAATGGCGATCCCCAAAGCTGGCGAAGTGGAATGGCGCACTTTGTTATGAATCTTCGCTTCTTCGTGGATTTCGTCGGCCACGATGTCTCTGGCGAGCCTGATGAAGTCCGTAAAGTCTGCATTGCTAGGCCCAGGAAGTCGAAGGCCAGCATGGCCGAGGTGTGGTCTGACTCCTCGGTGGATTGTGGGTTGGAAACGATCGGAGAGGTTTAGTTTGAGTGTGATGTTCGACATTGTATAATAGGGCTAATGATGCTATGATGAATGATTGCCTAGGTGGTGATGTGGGATTATTCTAGGGTGGCGGATGTTGGTTGGAAGGGAGCTGAGGCTGAAGACCAACGGGTATTTAAGGTTCTTCCATCCTTTGAACTTTCTCATGGCACCTGCTCGATGCAGTTCCGGCAGGAGGTCGTCATGCAAGGCAAACATCGGCCGATGGGCATCTGAAGAGAAGGAGCTGATGTGTAAGTCCGCGCCTGCTTCGTATGCTTGCGATGTTATCACCCCGTTAACTACCTACCTAGGTAGATAGGTGGAACGGAGAGACTGCGAACATCAGATCAGGTCGAGCATCAGTCGTTAAATCTCTTTTCCGCTGTTTTTAATTCGATGTGGGCTTTATATCTTTCTATTAACGACGAACCTCACTTTCATAGCGACTTACTTGAGTATTACAATTATCAGCCTATCCCAAAAAGATCCAAAAATACATGCAACACCAGGCATTCGCCGGTCGTCACCGACCCGACTACTACTCTGGCCCTCACTGGTTTATCGATGGGAGAGCGGACGGGATCCCGAGTTCTCCAGTGGGTGTGGTCGCATGTAACGGTTCAATTCGCGAGAAGCGGTTAAGTCCTAGTCTTTGGAAGCGGTTTGAGGGTAGCGAGGTAAGGTATATCATGCAACATGTGTGGCCGCACCCCAGATTGATGCATGAACTTACAGAATTGAGTCTTATAGTTGAAGTCAGAAAATGATAAGCGTTATTTTCCGTCTGAAAAAGTCTAGAGCTATCTCTAAAGAGAGAAATCCCTTCGGGTTGATTGTGACGGCGCGAAACACTACCACCGAACTAAACTCACGTCGCATGAAAGATCTTGTCGGGCTCTCAAGTTGAGTTCGTAATGTTGCTTTTCTCACAGCCCCGGCAGATTTATATCATTCTAGACAAAGGAGCTCCAATGGAAAAGCCTTGGCGATGATGAGGATGAGAGGATGAGAGCCTCAGAGCATGTTTCTTGCACGATGTGTTGCCATTTGTGATGGGCATCAGAGACGTGACCTATTCCATCGCTTCTGACAAGGATCCAGAAGCAAAATGGTACTTGAACGGCGTTTAATCCAATAACCTGCGAGTTATGGTGGAAGAGTCATTCTGACGGAATCGCGGTCGAAGGACGACTAAGGCACTGTCTCGGGTAGGCCAGCGGCACCTACGCGAAACTCAAATGAATGCAGTTAGGCAGGGCAAGATTCGGAGAAGTTTTATAAAGACTGTGCACGCAGTGTAGGGTGAATAGCCTGAGCCAGCGACTCTCCACGCCGCGTACCCCTCGGGAGGTCTGCCGCAAGGGCGGCTTTGCCCTTGGTTCTGCTTGCCCCCATGGACATACAACAACAAACGAAGGCACATTGCCACTGTGATCCTGATCAGTTATGTTGTCACACACCCAGACGGAGGCAGTGATACTCGCGTATCTGTTGTGTCAGGTCCCTTGTGTCACCACCATGCTGACGGCTGGGTGGGGTTTGAAACGGAATAAAAGGCTAGCTGTGCAGACTCATTTTATCTTCAGCGTCTACTGATTAACGCCTGTAATGTTACGAAGAAGGTGACACTGGAGTGGTAGCAAGACTGGATGATGGTAACACTGCCAACCAAGCACGAAAAATTCGTATTCGTCCTCAGGTGCCCTAGTCACTACATTCTGGACAGACAGGGGATCGCCAAGATGCCGTACGCCTCGAAGGAATCGATACTGATCGAAGCTGACGTGGACTAGCTGCAGTGCGTCTGCAAGGGACTCATATGTCTCAAAATTGACCCCGTGGATTTCTTATAATTATGTTGCTCCGGCACCTGGCTGACTCCCTGCGGACTCTTAGATCAGGCTTTTGCTGCCGCAAAGAATTCTTCGTCATCAACAAAGCATTCTCGATTCGAACATGAACAGAAACGTTCCGTATAACCCCAACAAACTTCCCACCGTCGTATCTACTCTCAACTACGGTTTCAACGCCTTACTAGACTCGCTGTCAAGAAGCCCTCCAGCCTTCGCTCCTCTTCCGTCTGCTCCAATCGAAGACCCAGATCTAAAGAAAAGCCGCCGATGGCTGCCAACCGGGTGGCGGAGGCTAGCACTCATGAACATCGTACTAGTTTCAGTATCACTTCTGCTTCTAGTCAGTGTTCTAGCATATGCTGCATCAGTCACCGGAGGAGTTGGACAGTCTTCAGAGCTACATACAACTGATTGCAAGAGCGCAGCTACTATTAATACCTTACTGCATCTGCTTATCAACGCACTTTCGGCTGGTATACTTGCATCTTCGAACTTCTTTATGCAAGTCTTGAACGCCCCCTCAAGACGGGAGGTTGATAAGGCCCACACCAAGGGAAGTTGGCTCGATATTGGGGTTCCATCTGCACGAAACGCTTTCAATCTTTCTTGGTTTAAATGCCTGGCTTGGCTAAGTCTACTATTGACATCAGTACCAATTCATATGCTTTTCAATAGTACTATCTTCCTCACAGATAATCGAATGGGGGACTTCCACGTCAGCATGGCAACCGAATCCTTCATTGGCGGCGGACCATACTTTCTACCAGGCGCCAGCCTGCTCACGATTACCCACGATGTTCTCAAAAATGGCACTCTTCATCCGCCATTTGACGTCATGGCCAATTACTTCTCGGCACAATCGACTGAGACCGCGAACGCGGCGGCCAATGCTTCAGGTTGGGAAGCGCTTGAAAAAAGCGATTGCGCAAATATCTATCAGAGCAAAAGATGTACCGGGCTGACAAAACATGGAAATCTCGTGTTGACAGTAAATTCAACTGGGTGGAAGAGGTCGGATACTTGGAATTTGTCTCCTGCTGGTGACGAAATCTGGGAACCGTATGTTCCACGGGAAGAGTTGAATACGCTTTGGTTCAGCACACAGTGCAGCATGCAGGGTACTATGAGGTCAGGTGCTCTGTCTTGCGAAGCGACTTGTGACTCGTTTTTCGACGAGTTATATCCAAGAGTCTTCGAATCATGGAACAAGTCAACAGAATCTGAAAACAACGATTTGTCCAAACGGTACCGGTACGAAAACATCAGTTCGCTGTACACAGATTCCGGGAGTCCTCCGAAATATGGGTCACAATTCAGGCTGACTGATCTCGAAATCACCTCTTGTCTCGTGGAGCCAAAAGACACCACTTGCACCGTTGCCCTTTCGGAGCCTCTGCTTCTCGCTATCGTCTTGTCGGTGTTGCTAAAGGTGGTCATTTGCATCTCTACGGTGCGATACATCGGGCCCGAGGAACCGCTTGTCACCCTGGGAGATGCTATGGCCTCGTTTATTTCCGTCCAGAATAGACCAGTACCCGCGTTTGGTTCCATCTGTCATAGTGATACTGGGGAAAGGGCACAAAAGATTGGCGAAAGCCATGGGCAACCATGTGGTACCCAACAATGGAAACGGAAACGACACCGAAGAGCTCACGCCATTTCCACAGGCACTTGGATCTTGAACTCTGCTTTTTGGCTCGTCAATATTGCCGCAATCGTCATTGCTCTCAGTTACTCAGCTGCTGGGGGTTCACCGCTGTAAGAGCGCCAGAAAGAATACCGGATCTCAATGACATGGAGATCTCAGAGTGAGACGAAATTGTGCTGACTGTTCTCAGAAGTTGGGAAATCGCATCAAAGACGAGCAATTTCTTAGCAGGTCAAGGATTCATCTCATCAATTCTCATTGCCAATATCCCGCAGTTATATTTCTCTCTTTGGTATCTAACATTCAACGCGTTGGTGACCCGAATGGAGATGGCTCGGGAGTGGGATTTATTTTCGATCACATATTGTCCCTTGCGGGTTACTCGGCCGAAGTAAGCTCTCTCACTGAATTCCAGTGTTCCTGGACATAAGACTAACCCGGTGTAAAGGGCCCAGCAAGTATCGACCTACCGGCTCCAACTGGCGTACAAATACAGCATTCCGTTGATTATTATCAGTGCACTATCACACTGGCTACTTTCGAACGCTCTTTTCGTCGTTTTTTCTAAAGGCAGTGAGTAAACCTGCCTTCATAATGTTGGACAAATTGGCAGTTCAGCTGACATTTGTATGAATCGAAGCTTACTATGAGCTTGTTCATCAGAGCTTTCACCATGATGAAAAAGCCCCGCCGGAGGGCATTACTATTCTCAGTGGAAGCTCATCTTCTCCTATTGCATATCAGGGAATTATTTGGTTCGCCATGGTTGTTTTTCTAGTCATACTTTCGAAGAGAGAACTCACCGGTTATATGCCAACAGCTGGGTCTAACTCTTTAGCCATAATGGCTGCTTGCCAGGTCTCTCCACTGGCGAAAGTCCCGGTGGTCTTCAACAGCGACCGAGCAGACAACCAGGGAATGGAGATCGAAGAGCTTGAACAGTCTGCCCAGCGAAGCGTGGCTATTGACGATAGCCAGGGGTGTGTGAAAGATATGGTCTTCTGTCTTCTTAAATGGGGAGAAGTCAAAATGCCAGAGGACTGGTATCTTCAGGGTGAAGAGAACGGACAGGATCCTGTACAACAGGGTCACCTCAGTTTCGGGACCGTGATGGACGACCCCAAGCCGCCAACTGAAGGCCGTTGGTATAGATAATGGTGGTAAAGGAAGAGTGAACGATCGATTACATGTGCCTATGCAAGCATGCGTTCATCTTCATATCATGGCAGTTTTCCACTACAGCAATTTGTATTGTCATCACAGAATAATTTGAATGGGCCGTGATGAGAGAGTTTTTGTCCCTGTGAGATACGAGGACAGATACTACATGAATCGCGAATTGATGTAAACGGGTAGAAGTATTAGAGCTGCAAGTTCATCACCATAAAACGGAAACAACGGACCCATGTAGCGGCTGACCCTCGGAATCATCATTGGGACTGGTGAGGAGGGCAGTATGCCATGCAGCACACTTGGCATAACACATTGGCTTGACGTACCATTTTGAAGAGATTTCCGTTGAAACACTCACAATTTGGTTTTCAATTAATGATTAGGGGTATCAGTCGCCGCACTAGCAGTCTTTTTTCTCCTTATGAGCTCGCCTTGGGCTTGGGGTACGTGGCAGGGTGGCCGTGCTTCTTGCCATAGTTCCTGCATTGTCTGAGCAGGTCAGGCAGCATGAACACCCAGACCCAAGAGGTAACCCAAATCATGACGGTGTCAAGGACCCAATTGTTCCTGAGTGATCCTCCAAGACCACTCCACTTCATCAAGCTTCCCAGGAACGCGACAGTGACGAAGTATTCGCCCTTCTCCAGACCCTTGATAGCCAATCTGGCAACCTCATCAGGAGTCTGAACGGGGTCAAGCTCCTCCAGCTGGTGCGTGATCTGGGGCTTGGTCAAGTTCTCGTTCTCCAAACCAGGGCTGGTGATAGTTCCGGGGAACACAACGTGAATCTTGACGTTCTGCGGGTACAGCAGCAACTCTTGCGACAGGGTATCCGCAAGGCCACGAATAGCCCACTTGGACGAAGCGTACGGCCCGTATCCAGCCACAGTAAAGAAGGCAACGACACTAGTAGTCATGATCAGGTGCTTCGGCTCGTCCTCGACGGGGGCGTCCACCGCAAGCCATTCCCTCAGAATGGCGTGCGCCATCTCCGCCGTGCCGTAGAAGTTGACATCCATGTTGCGGCGTGTCTGTGAGAACGGCGTGTCGATCCAGAACCCGGTGCTGGCCATGCCGGCGATACACCATACAATGTCCGGGCTGCGGCCGCCGTTCCAGGCCTTGACCTCCTCGAGGAGGGGTGCGGCGTAGTTCTCGAGGGTGATGTCGGCGGTGATGTACTTGAAGCGCTGGGTCGAGGGGTTCTTGGCGGCTGACTTGCACTCGGTGATCAGCTCCTCGAGGCGGACGGCGTTGCGGGCAACGAGGACGAGGTTCGCGCCCTTGGCGGCGAGTCGAAGGGCGACACTGCGACCCATTCCCTCGGACGCGCCGGTCAGAAGGATGGTCTGTGAATTGATTGTTAGATATGGACAAGAGACATGTGGTTCGCAAGAGGAAGGTAGAGTGAGAGCTTACCTTGCCCTCGACGGGCATATGATTCTTCCAGTTGAATAGCCCCATGGCGGATGCAAGGAGAAGAGCAGCAAGGCCTGGTACGGCTATCCACAAAGCTTGTGATGCGAATTCCATGCTCGTGTGAAGAGAAGAGGGAGAATTGGAAGGGCGGACGAAAAGGGGGTGCTCGAATGACCTGACTGAGCGCCCTCGGCTTGGTCGGTGAGCTGTCTTGAGGACGTACTGGCTACGATTGTTCAAGCTGCAAAGTTCCGGTTGGGGTCAGGTCCCCGAATGCTTCGCGAAATCGGCTTCCCGCGTGTTAGTGGGGCCCTCATGCCCCCTGGAAGCTTCATTTTGGGGCGCACGTCACCGGACCGCACGGCCGGGATGGGGCCGGACCCTTCGAGGCCGTTTTGATAGGGTGGTCAGCCAACAATAGTCGGCGTCCAAGCCTCAGCATTTGGGTATTAACAGCTGCTGTCAATAACCTCCAGGTAATGAGTGCTTTAAGATGCTCATTTAGTTGTGCTTTCAATTAATGGTCCCTGAAAGCGAGCATGAAGAACACGGCTAGGAAAAGCAGAGAGGAAGCCTCTATATCAGCTTTCGAAACATTTTCCTGGTCCTCCCAAATATTCAGGTAGGCCCATACAGCGTATCAGCTTATGAAATGCATCTAAAACCAACTGGGAGTTGGATAAGAGAAACTAGAGATTGTGTTGGTTGAAGGAAGGAACATGACACTGAGATGAGCGCTGACAGATTGGCCCCACTATCGACGAGCATTACCTCAGCCAATGGGCGATTAGCCAGGTCCACTAAAAAGTTCTGCTCTGAACCCAAGAACTTTTTTCGCAGCAGCGGCATCTCAAATCCGCCCCATCGCCGCCCGTCCCAGCATATCTCTTGCTAGCGACAACGTCCACCGCCTCCCTCGACCCAGCCCGGTGCGACAGCAACACAACACTTCCGGCGACAAACATGGCGAAGAAGAGAAAGGCGCCCGCGCCCGCGCGCAGCGGCCCCAAGGAGGTCGACCCCGCCGACGCCCGCCTAGGTCCCATCAACAGCTACGAAGATGTCGCCGATTCCGAGGACGAGTACTTCCTCAACCGCGACAAGATCATGTTCGACGAGGGCCCGCAATCCAAACGGAGGAAGAGGGCTGAAGAGGAGGACAAGTTCTTGGAGCACTCGGACGAGGAAGTCCTAGACCTCGACGATGGCGACTCCGAGGAGGAGGACACGAGGAAGGCCAGCCGCAAGTCCAAGAAGGGCAAGGCGGCGCCCGAATCCGACGAGGAGGCAGAGGAGGAAGGTGACGAGAACGACCCGAGCTGGTGGGGAGCTTCAAAGAAGGAGTACTACAGTGCGGACCAGATCGAGACCGAAGCCGATGCCCTCGAGGAGGAGGCCGAGGCCAAGCGCCTGCAGCAGAAGAAGCTGGCCAAGATGTCCGAGGAGGACTTCTTGTTCGACGAGGAAGAATGGTTGGACTCCAAACCCGACGAGGCGGAGGACCAGGAGGTTGTCACCGAGGTGCTCAAGGACATCGAGATCACAGATGATATGGGCCCCGAGGAGCGCAGGAAAATGCTGCAGAGCAGATACCCGGAATTCGAGCACCTGGTCAATGAGTTCCAAGAGCTGCAACCGCAGCTTGACATTCTTCAGAAGGAAGCCGATGGGAAGTCCAGTCAATCGCTGGAGGCGGTCAAGTACTGGATCCTCGGATGCTACGTCGCCGCTCTCGCCAGTTATTTTGCCATTCTCACATCGCCATCGCGCGACGATTCAGCAACACAAAAGACCCTCGACCCCGCGGAACTTCGCGACCATGAGGTCATGGAGACTCTTCTTGAGTGCCGTGAAGCATGGCAGCAAGTCAAGACCGTGACCCCGGTTCAACAAGTGGACTCAATGGATATCTCTGAAGAGGAATCCGTCGCCGAAGACGCCGAAGACGAGGCCGCCTTCGCTGCCGCAAGGGAAGAAGCCCGCAGACTCAAGAAGCTCGCAAAGGCCGACAAGGCCAAGAAGAAGGAAGCCCAGGCCGTGGAGGACTCCCTTGCCGACCTCGACGACCTCATCAAGCAGTCCAAGAAGAGCAAGAAGGCGAAGAAGGCCACCAAGGCTGCCGACGGAGACGACAACTCGGACTTTGGCGAGGAGGAGGTCCTCGACGCCCGTACCGCCGCCGACAAGGCCGCCCGCAAGAAGTCCTTGCGCTTCTACACTTCCCAGATCGTGCAGAAGGCCAACAAGCGCGCAGACGCAGGTCGCGACGCCGGTGGAGACCACGACATCCCCTACCGCGAGCGTCTCAGGGACCGCCAGGCCCGTCTCAACGCCGAGGCCGAGCGTCGCGGTCAGAAGGGTTCCAAGTACGGCGCGGACCTCGGCGACGACGGCAGCGACGAGGAGGACTCCAGGACGGCGGCCGCATTGCGCGACGACGGAGACGACGAGTACTACGACATGGTCGCGGCCAAGTCTCAGAAGAAGAAGGACGAGAAGAAGGCGTACCACGACGCCCTCGCGGCGGCCACCAAGTCAGACCGCGTGGTGCCCCAAGAGGTTATCGGAGAGGACGGCAAGCGCAAGATTACGTACGCCATCGAGAAGAACAAGGGTCTTACGCCGAAGCGCAAGAAGGAGAACCGCAACCCGCGTGTGAAGAAGAGGATGATGTACGAGGCGAAGCAGAAGAAGTTGAGGAGTATGAAGCCCGTATGGAAGGGAGGAGAGCCCAAGGGCGGATACGGGGGAGAATTGTCGGGTATTACCACCGGCATTGTCAGAGCGAGAAAATTGTAGGCTGCTTGGGTCGAATGAAACAATTGGAGTAACCTACAGTTTTCCAAGGATTTGGGATCATAATCAAAAGTTTTCATGTGTCAATTGCTGCAAGATCATTTGTATGGTGTGTGAAATGCTCTGAGTGAGGCTTGCAAAGTGCTACCTAGGGAGGTACCTATCTACCTACCTACCAAAGCTCCAAGACAGTTGGCCCCACCAAACTCTATCTGGCCAGAACAGCTTCATCTTCACACTATTACCTACTTTCACCTGCGACAAACCAACAACCAGGCAAGCGCAACGCCTGCGCGAAGGAGTTTACGACCCCTTGATATTGAAAGAACGAACATCGAATCGATCCGAACCTAATGCGCCTACGATAATACACGAATCACCACCTCCAAGATGGCGACCCCCGACCTGTCGACCCTCACGTCCTCCGCCCAGATCTTCTCCTCCAACTACACCCTGCCCCAGATCCGCGCCATCCACAAGTCCCTCCATGTCGAAATCGACGAGAAGGCCAGCCGCCTGCGCACGCAGGTCGGCAGCTCGTACCGCGACCTCCTCGGCACCGCCGACACCATCGTCCAGATGCGCAAGGACAACGACGCCGTGCAGGGCGTCCTGGGACGCATGGGCGGACGTTGCGGGCGCGGAGTCGTCGGCTCCAAGGTCACCGGTATGAGCAAGTTCGAGGCGAACATAACCGAACAGAGAGGCGGGAGCGTGGGTGTCGTCGCGAGGGCGAGACTGCTCGAGGCGTGCGCGCTGGTCATCGGGCGCGTGCTCAAGGGTTCTGGGGTCGGCGGCATGGAATTGAGCAGAGGAGACAGAGTGGTGCTAGCTAGCAAGATCTGGGTGCTCAGCAGACTCTTGTTGAAGAGCTTGGGGGAAGAGAAGACGCTGGATGGAGATGTTGGGTATGTCGTCGAGGCTGCGAAGAAGAGTCTGAGCGGGCTGAAGAGGAGGTTGCTGCGCAACATCGACGGACTCATGGAGAGAGCCGGGGACACCGTAAAACAGGAGGACGTTCTGAAGGCTTTGTGCGCTTACAGTCTGGCCACCAGCTCCGGCGCCCGCGATGTCGTCGACCACTTCCTCCGTGTTAGAGGTTCAGCGATGACCATGGCCTTCGAAGCTGAGGACAACGAACGACAAAGAGGCACAGCAGATGTTCTCAAGAGCCTGAGTCTGTACACGAAATCCCTGCTGGACGTTCAGGCCCTCGTACCCTTCAAGCTATCCGATGCGCTTTCCAACCTGAAGAAGAGCCCCTTACTTGCGGACGCATCTCTCAAGAAACTCGAAGGCCTGCGCTTGGACATGTACGAGAGATGGTGTGGGGATGAGATTCAATTCTTCACGCCCTTCATCCGACACGATGACCTGGACGGTCCTCAGGCGCGGGAGATGCTCTTCGGCTGGGCGAAGAAGGGCGGCGAGGTGCTCGTGAAGGGACTCAAGAAGACGATGGAGCGAATGATGGAGTTCAAGTACATCACAGAGCTTCGCACCGGCGTCTTACAGATGTGGATTCGCGAGGGCGGCAAAGCGAGGGGCTTCGACCCCTCCGAAATGCTCGACGAGCTGCGGGAGGCGATCAACGGGCACATGCTACACGTCCTCGAGATCAAGGTCAACAAGCTACATCTGATCGGGTCCGAGGTATCGGCGACATTAGAATCGTGGCAAGACGGTGTGACGGACCAAACTGTCGACCTTTGGAACACGCGCAGCTTCGACATCGACCTAATCAACGGGGCGGACCACTTCCTGCAGGAACTGGTCGCAAGGCTGCATGGTCGGAATGACTCCGTGTCCAAGGCCGTCAACGGGTTCCAGTCTTGGCGGCACATTATCGACGAGGTCGGTGAGGTGGTCGAGCAACTCCGCAGACAGCGCTGGGACAACGACGTTGATGAGATTGAGGACGAGGAGACCATTGAATCGCGACAGCAGCTGCTCAGTAAAGACGACCCGAACATGCTTCACGAGAAGCTCGACGCCACCCTCGCCAAGGCATTCAAGGACCTCGACGAAAAGCTCACGAGTCTTTGGCAGACGCGAGCAGAGGCTTCCAACAGCGGAAAGATGGCCATGTATCTCCTCCGTATCTTGCGAGACGTGCGCCAAGGACTTCCCAAGCTGAATGCAGTGAAGGGCTTTGGCTTGGCAGTGGTGCCATCCCTCCACGAGAAGCTCGCGGTCGCCGTCGCGGCGAAGCCGTTGCAAATCTTTGCAGACAAGGGTTTGACGCAGAAGGTGGTCGTAGGTCGGCCGCTTTGGGAGGGCAATCCTGAGCTGCCTACGCAGCCGTCGCCCAGGACGTTCCGCTTCCTGAAAGACATTTCGACGGACATGGGAGACGCGGGCATGGACCTGTGGAGCGGAGTAGCGGTGGGCGTTATGAAGCGGCATCTCAGGAAGGAGCTCTCTGCAAAATGGCACGAGGCGGTCGCAGCGAACGATGTGAAAACGACAAATGGCGACACAAACGGTGACACGAACGGCGAGAAGGCCGACACCTCCCCTCAAGAAACCTCAGAGACGGAAGAGCAAAAGGAAAAGACTAATGGAGAGGCATCAGCTGAAGAGGACGGCGAAGCCTCCCCGGAAGAAAACAAGGACGAGAAGGAAGAGGTCGCAGAGGAGGAGCCCAAGAAGGAAGTCGAGACAGCACCGGCTGCACAGACAGAGGACCTTGATCAACAACGGCGCGACCTCTTCATCCAATGGCTCTTCGACGTCTCCCTCCTGCGCTGCTATCTCGACGCCCTGCCACAGGACAAGCCCAGTGAGTTGAAGGACTTGGAGGAGAAGGTGTACGAGCACACAGGCCTGGATAGCGACGACGCCCGGCAGCGCATCGCCAAGCTATCGCAGGATTACTACAAGAAGACGAGCTTGCTCTTCGGTCTGCTCTCATGACGTATAGATACCCAGTTGTACCAAACCAATTCACACATGCGAGTAGAAGAGAAAGAAGACAGCCTGGAGCGCAGGAATGAAAGTCATGATCTAGATTTACACCTCTCCGTCAATTTTTCGTTCCAGATACACCAGGTGCCGTGACCCGTTACCGCTCAAGACCGACCGACCGGGGGATCATCTCAAAGCTTGTGCCTCTTCTCACCGCTCGCGATCTTCCGGAACTCCTCCTGCGGAATCCCCTTCATGAACCTCTCAATCCCCGCAAACACCTCCTGCGAGTTCTGCTTATCCATCGCGTCCATCTCCGGCCTCCTAATCAGCGCCTTGATCCCCGTCAAGCTGTCCCCGATCAGGTGCTCCCCGAGCCTCTCGTCGACCTCCTTCAGCACCAGCTCGCGGAACTTGGCGTCCTCGCCCTTGCCGCACTCCTCAAAGATCTTGTTCACGAACCCCGTGTGCAGCAGCTCGGCCGCCGAGATGCGCTTGCTCATGATGAGCGCCTCGTTGGCCTTGGAGATGCCGAGGCGCTGGACGAGCGCGCGCGAGGCGCCGCCCTCGGCGACCAGCCCCAGGGACGAGAAGGGCGTCAGGAGGAAGACGGAGGGCGCAGCGTAGACGAAGTCGGCGAAGGAGACGAGGGCCGCCGAGAGGCCGATGACCGGCCCGTTGAGGCCGACGACGAGGATCTTGGGGTGCGTGTAGAAGGCCTGCGTGATGTTCAGGTTGAAGGCCACGAAGCCCTGCAGCCAGTGCTTGTGGGCGGCCGGGCCGGCGGGGGACTCGCGCGCGATGGAGACGTCGGCGCCGCTGGGGATTCGTCAGTCTTGTGGTCTTGGGGCGGAGGCATATTTGTGACGGGCATGTCCGGGCGTCTTCGAAATCGTTGTCTCTCAAGCGCGCTCACTGAGCGCGATGTTTGTGAATTCATGGACAAGGAAAGGTGAGAGAAAGCTTAAGAATACTCACGCTGAAAAGTAACGTCCCTTGGCCGTCAGAACGGTGATGAAGACCTCGTCGTGGGTGGCGATCTCGCGCAGCTTCTGGGCGAGGTCGTAGTACTGCGGCTGGGACATGGCGTTGAGTTTGCGGTCATTGTCGATCGTGAGCAGCGCCACGCGGCCGCGGTACTCGAGCGAGATGACGGAGTCTTCGGGGCTGGCCATTGTCGTCTTTTCTCTCTAGTCTGTCTTCTTCCTCTTCTTCTCTTTTCGAGGATTCTCAATCTGTGCCTTCTAAAGTCGATGTATTACAGATAGATGTCTCACAACCGCAAAATGTCACTCAATTGAGAGGTGTAAAAAGTTACCCGGGTTCACCGATGAGATAGGTAGGCTAAGCTGTCGGTTTAGTTAAACACAAGCTGTCCAGGTAGGGATTGTTACCCCGGACCCCACAATGCACCGAGATGCCTCGGCAGACGGGGATGGTGCACTGCGGGGTGCTAGCGCAGCGTTGGATTCCGCCGCCGGTTTGCTCGTTCGGGCAAGGGGATCGCAAAACGTTCCTCTGAGCTGCAGATCGAGCGAATTCTAATGCGTCACGGTTTCCGGGCGGCGAGCTGATTACTATCAGAAGCCGCGCCTGAATCATGGCCTACTGATTCATGAACGAACGCAACAAACTTTTATTCATCATTGGTAAGTGGGTGCATCTGACCGTACACCCTTCTATGTTGTTTAGCGATGCAGTGGTATCGTCAACAGAACTGCAAATATGTATCTTGGTCAAGTCGTTTTGACAACTTTTGCTGTCAAAAGACGGCCAAGCAATAATCGGCATATTATCCCCATGTGCCCACAGAGAGCATGGTAGCCATTATATCCAGAAGCCTCACGCTTGCCGCATGGGAATCTGCTCTCTGACACCCTTCGACCTCGGTCGTACCAGATCCTCGTTGTCCTCAACGGCCTCCTAACGACGCTTCGGTGCAACGGATCTGAGCTTAGGGAACTGTAATGGCAGCGCCAGCTTGCCGATGTGGCGCGGCGGCTTGCCCTTCTCCTTGCTGGAGGACTGGACCACGCGGCCACCAATTTCGGAAAAGTAGTTGTTTATGTCCTTCTGCTCAAGGCGCAGGTCCTCACGCAGCGCCGCCGTGTCAACCTCAAAGTTATCAATAATGCTTGCGATCGCGCAGGCGTGTGTAATAACCAGGTCTTTGTGGAACTTGCGCCATTCTTTGCCATCAGAGAACTTGCGCCGGATGTGCTCGATGACGGCCTTGGGGGCAGGTGACAGCTTCTCCTCAATTTTGTCAGCAAAAGGAACCCGTTTCACGCCGCGCTGCTGTCCTGGCTTTCCACCCTCACACATTGTGAAGAAGAGGAACAGGAGGTAAAAGTAGCGCAGCAGGCGGATCTTCTCGACATTGCCCGTGTCCACGACCTTCTGGAGGCGGGTGGCAACGTGCTTGGAGTAAACCTGCAAGGCCTCGCCCTTCTTGGTCGGGTCGACCCAGTCCTTGATGGGCACGGCGGCGAGAATGTCGCGGCCGATAATTTCGTTGGGATCGTAGACGTCCTGGATTGCTTCGGCCTCGAGGTTGGCGCGGGGCACGGGCTTGGCCTGGTCGACAGCGGCCTGGAGCTGCTCCCGAGATGCCATGTTCTTGGTAACGCCCCCGATCTCCGCCAATATTGCCTTGGAAGCAGTATCGAGCTTCTGGGGTGACTTGTCTTTGCTTTTGCCCTTGTTGGGGTCGATGGCGTTGAGGGTGACGGATTCGATCGCCTTCTTCGCCTTTCTCGTACCGAAAGTCTGGCCAAGGTCGGTCTTGAGCGCGTAGTAGCTCTGATGCGGATTAGTGAGCGGCCAGGTATGAACACTTTGGACAAACAAACCTCGTAGTCTGCTGGCGCTGTCATGGCCTCGTCCGAAGCCTGCTTGGCCCGAGCCGTACCACGCACCACCATCTTCTTGGCCTCCACCACCTCGAGCTTTCCAGTCTTCGGGTCGAAGGCACCAACGTAGTGCTTCAAGGCTTGCTGCGAGTCGCTGATGCCATCATCTCTCGCCGTGTAGTCCATGGTCTGGTGGCTGTTGGAGTGCAGAATCAGATCCTGGGATACTGCGGGGGTCTTTTGTTTCCTTTTGCCGAGAGTCGTCGTTTCAGGCTTGACATATGGGCTGAAGGGGACATTCTTGGGTAACCGGACGCCGGGAGAGCAGGCTAAACAGCGAGAATCAGCAATGGGCGATTGAGGCGCTTAATCGCAGGATATCGTACCAATGACTGGCGGGCAAAGGTTAGGTCTCAGGATAGAGGAGATGGTGACTTTGGACGGCGCAGAGCCCTCCGTAGCGAGCTTCTTCTTCGTCTTCGCAGCGCCGTCGCCATCGCGCTTTCTCTTGCGTCCATGTGTGTCCGCCATGCTTTCAAATTGTGTTTGTCGGCGAACAATGGGCAGCAAAAGTCGGCCGTTTGGTGGGATGGGCTCGCAATACCGCTGGAAATATTTTCTGTACGGGCCTGGCGCCAGAGAAAAAAAAAATGTCGGCAGACCGGCGGTTGTCCGTGCGTCGCTCCAACTGCGATAGGCAGGCGGTGTAGAATGTCATGGATGAACAGCTAGGTAGGTAGGCGCTAGCCTCCAGGAAGCCTGGAAGGTACCTGCCGTAGCCGATGCGCCAGGCGACCACAGACAGCTGCTCAAACGTCACAGGCACAATTGGCGAAAATGCTCAAGAATTGATAATGTCGTGAGAAATTCGCGAAATACCTCGAGTATTTTGCAGAGCACATTGTCGTTTAACATCAAGCAGTCACAAGCAAGGTAGACTAGAAAAATGATTTCACTTGTGATCAATTGATTGTTTTAGGGAGCAATCTTCTGCCTTTCGTTGTCGTGAACGTCCTGATCCCGTGTCGTAATCCGCGTTGCGTAAAGGCATCATGCTTCTCCCGAGGTCGTCCTTAAACACTGCGTCCTCATCGTATCGTCATCCCGACCGCAATTGGCTGGTCCGCCTTCGTTGATTCCTGACCATGCTTTCCCGAATCCGCGTGCCCGATCATCCCGTCATGACCCCAAGTCCCGTAGTTCCAATTCGTGGTGAATGTAGACGTCTCGATTCGCCCGAGACAGACTGAGTCGCAGGTGACGGAAGCTGGCGAATGCATCTCCGTTGGGTGGATCGCATGGAAGTGTTGTATGTCGTCATCTCAGAAGATGGTCATGGTCGAGGGGAGGGGGGCGAGTTGTTTATTTGCTGCCAAGTTTGTCAGACCACTTCCATTGCACAAGTCAATCGAGTTCAGGGGAGTACTCACGAGCGAGCCCTCATCTTTCTTCTCTTGCGCTTGAGACGGCGAACGCGCTTCTTTCTCCACTTGGCTCTCATCGTGACCACGAAGCTGTTGAAATGTTAGATCTTGTCTCCCTGCACATGCGACTTTGCCAATGGCGCGCGCAAAGCGGCTCGAGCTCTTCGCGAGTCGTGCGCCTTGCGCTTGCCGATGACTGTTGGGTGGGGGGTGCTGCACTTACTTGTCCTTGAGATGAGAGGTGTTGGTGATGATGTTCAGCGGAAGGACCAGGCTTGGAGGGGAAGTTTTAGTGGTCGACACTCTCAGGGCAGAGAACCCTCCCGCGTCACGTGGGCTCTTTTTCGCGGGGCTTCCAAAGAAGTCGCTGCACCTGCCCTTGTGACCTCACAACTCCACCTTTTGGGCCCTGGGAGCTTTGACCAGGGGCTGCCGCCTCAAGGTCGAGGAAGGTACGTATTTTTCGACGGTCGTCGAATCCTTTCTGACGCTTCCTGATGAGCCGTTATCCTCGAATTCGCATTGGATTTATCTACCAGGTTCTGTGACTAAATGTATTGTACTTTAGCGCGGATTTGAGAAGAAACCTGAGAACACTTGATTTCCGGGCACCAGACGTGCCAGCCTTGGCGTTCACGAAACCGCGCCAATTGCACACAACAACTGGCGCGGTGGACATGGAAGCCACCGGGCGTATGCAATGACACAATTTCTTAATGGTCCAAAGTGATCATTGTGCTCTTTCTCGAGGCTCTCTCAATGTATCTATTTGTGGTTGAACTGTCTGTATTCGACCTAACTTCTTACGGAGGGATGAGCCGATGAGTGCATGATATTGGAGTTGACTCCATGTTTTTGCCTCATTGACTGTCAATATTAGCAGTCTCAGCAGGCGGATTACGCTTGTACCTGTTGACCTCTTTCCCGGACGAGCTTATCAGTTCAGCGAAGTTCTTTCCGGCTGTGAGAGGCCCATTCCCCATGTGCCATGCCAAGGCAACCTACACCAGCACGATGCTCTTTCCCATGCAGTCAAGGCGCTGCTTTTCCGCATCCACTTGACGATGTGAACTTCAACGTGTTTCACACTTCACGTTTCTTCTGTCAACTAAATTCACTTTGTTGTTTCACCATCATGTCGTCAGACCCCGACTCGATCATTCCGTACATAATGAACGACTCCTGATATTCCCAAAACCCGCCTGGGTAGGTCTCCGCGTTTGTTATTGTCCGAAAGCTGGCGGATGACGAAGCTCGTTAGTTCCCCTTGTTGCCGTCACAGGCCGTCCAGTGTCGTCGCGCAACACCGTGACTAAAGCGAGCACAATGATGAAGATGACGAGTAAATCCCAGAAATACACACCAACCAGGTACTGAAAAGTGCATCACTGGTATTTGGCAGCGCTCCGCCAAAGGCGTATAATAAAAAATGTCGCAGACCTTTGACTGGATGACTGATCACAACAGTGTCGTTCTCGACGATGCCGATGTTTCTCCACGACATCGCGAGATCTTCGCAGTCCAACTAAGCCTAGACTCTGTTCTTTTCTACGTCCGAGACATGAGCTCCGCCAACAGTACATTCGTCAACAAAAAACCAATCACCCAATCTGCAAAGACCCGCCTCCTTCCTCACGGCGATTTCAGCTTCATCGACGTCGGCGGGGTTTCTTTCTCAAAGGATACTGTTATCGCCAAGACTGATTGTGCGATGCTATTTTACTCTGAAGCAGCCACCCACCCAGAACAGCTCGTTTGCAAGTTTTTACATCGGGCGAATGCCGTACGATTGTATGTTCAAGAGTTTAGGAAGGAGCTCCAACTCCTTCGCAGACATCGTCATGTGAGCCAGACCTTGACGCACTATCCGCAACCAGCTTCGGGAGCTGACATTAATTAGAAACAGAGGGCACCATCGGCATCAGAGCCTCCATGAAACTGGCAATCTGATCCCGAACTCGATATCGTGCAAAACAGTCTCCAGATTGCTTGGTCTCATGAAAGAAGACTTGTACCTTGGAAAGACCACCACCGAAGCTTTACTTCAACAACAACCCCTAAAGCCTTTTATTGGGACAGCAAATCACTCAGCAATGTCTCGTCCGTACATAGCTCTGATCAGCAATCAAAAATCCATCCCGCTAGTTTGAACATTTCAAGCCTCGCCTAGCGTAAGCATAGCCTTTCTATGTTTGTTGGGTGGGAATGCCATTGGTAGCAGTTCTGGATAGCCCTGTTCTTCCCTCTTCATCAGCGGCATTATCATATTTTTGATCTCCTCTGCCAAGTTCTTATCGCGGCATTCCATATTCTTCAAATCAGCCTCTGCGACCCCCTTCTCTTCCGTAGTCAAAGGCCTCCTCCTCTCCGTGAGGAGCGCTTCAGCAACCTTGCCCAACAGCTTGCCGCCTTCACCCCTCTCATCCGAAAAGGTGACCATGTTATTCCGCCTCACCACCAGCACCCGGTCAACGCAGTCCTCCCCGTCGATCCACTCCGCCACGCTCATCAGCCCTCGGTACGAATCGTCATGGATCTTCACCGGCGTAAGCCGAATCGGCAGGTTCCCGCTGCCCGCCTCAGGCAACTTCTCGTAGAACCGGTGCAAGATGCCCAGCCTGCTCAGCGCAGCCGGGACCGCCATCACCACGACCTCCACCCGGTACCCCGCCTCCGCGAACATCCGCGCCAACTCCCGAAAGTCGTCCGGATGCCGACAGGCGCTCTCGAGCAACACGTCGAGCCGGCGGGAGATGGCCTCCGCCGCGGCCATGGCGAGCCACTTCCGCGCGTCGGGGCCGGTGGCGGGCGACGCGTGGGCGGGGTTCTCGGAGGACAGCAGGGCGCGGTAGGACGGGTGGTGGGCCTTGTAGACGTCTGCGATGAAGTGCGCGGGCGGGTTGATGCGGTTCATGGCGGAGAGGACGGCGGGGGCGGTGCGGGTTTTGCCGGCGCCGGTTTGGCCGACGATGAGCACCGCCAAGGGCCGGCCCCGGGTGGGGTGCGGGGTCAGGGAGGGCGGGAGGTCGGCGGGGAGGATTTGGGAGGTGAAGATGCGGCGGGACTCGGGTTCCGGGAGGATGTGGTGGGACAAGTTTGGCGGAGGCGGCATTTTTTTCCCTTTTGATGGGAGGTGTTGCTGCTGCAGGTGTTGTGTTACGTGACGATCGATGCGGGGTGGTTGCTAAGTATAGTGTAGGATGGATGAGACCTGGTCTTGGTCTCAGTCTGATGTTCGGATTTCTGTTGGTAGATGTTACGAAATATTCTCGGGTTTCCTTAGACGTCAAGATAAGATGAGTCAAATAGCTAGATGTGGAAGGTGGTTGAGATGACAGTTGATAGCTCGGACGAGCTTCCCCCACGCGATCGCTGACCCCACTGATGACTTCATCGGTCCTGTCACGGCTCTAAGTCGACGGCAACTTAACTTCAACGTCACCTCAAGCTGGAGGCATATTCACGCCCCCATTCTATCGCATCAAGACCACGAGGACTTTCTGTAATTCTCCGGATGCAAATCATCTGAAAATGCTACCCCAATGGCGTTGTTGGACCCGAGAATCTGGTTGAACCCCGGACCGGACCCGAGATCGGCAGTTCCGCCATTTCGCCCCTGTGGATCGGCCGATGTCAAGGAGCTTATTTTGACATCTAGATTTCCACCACAACCTCTTGTTAATTGTCAATATATTTATTTCTGAAATGTGTTCTATAGATGCCATTCTTACGAAGATGAATCAATATGATCGATCGCCGGTTTGAAGAGTTCAGACGCCACCAGGAACCACCACCGAACACGGGATGCTTCTGTATTGCCATCAACTCAACGGACCGGACTTTGAAGCTAAAGTCATGATTGACGTTCAACTGAGGATACAATACACTGCCGATTAGCAGGATCTTCGCTACCAAAATTCGATTTCTGCGTGCGGCTTTTCTTGGCGAACTCGGTGTAGGCTGCTCTGGGTCACCAATCATCCATTCATGTAAGCGGAAGGCGAAGCAAATGGATCAAGAGGCGACGCGAATAAAGTCCCAATGAGTTTTGGTTCTATTCTCAATACAATTCCGTGCTTTAAAGAGTCGAAACATGTGGCTCGTATGAACAGATGGACAGGTAAAAGTCTCAGCGCGAGTACATTTCTCGCCTCTGAATACCCAAACTTGGGCTGCAGTCAAGTTGAATCAATCTTCTTCAGTATCCTGAGATCCGCAGAGAGTTATAGATCCTTTGGACGTAAGTTGTGATGACCAATGCCGCGGCCGATCATCGTCGCTGACCTCCGACGCTCAATTCCGACCCCCTCCTTAAGGTGGATCAACATTGCCGTATCTTTGATCCCTGGCCGTCGCTCAACTCCATCTTCTCTATCAAAAGCGCGATTGCGCAATCGCAGAGGTCGATTGTGTAAGGATCTTATCGAAAGGCGTGGGAGGTCAAAAGAAGCACCAAAGGCCATGATTTGTCCGTGGTGCTGCGCGAGCAACGACAGGTTGTAGCCAGGTATATCTTGCCGCATGTCCAGCGACGGCTACTAGAGTAACATTCACCTTACATACTTCAGGTCGCATTGTTTCTTCCGCTCTCTATTGCGACACCCGCCATGGAAGAAGAGAAGAAGGCCGATCTGGCACCCTCGGTCCAGTCTGACTCCATGCCATCTGAGGGTGGATCATGGACTCAAGATGAAGAAAAGGCAGTCGTCAAGAAGTCAGTCACTCGCTCTAATCTTAACATTTTAAATGAAATTGACAAAACAACTGCTCCCAGGCTCGATTGGTACCTCATGCCCCTCCTCGTCGTCGGCTTTTACGTCCTCCAGCTCGACCGGACCAACATCGGAAACGCAATGACAGACACCCTAAGCCAGGACCTCGGCATATCGAACAACCAGGTCAACGTCGGCAACCAGCTCATGTTCGCCGGCATCGTCGTCGCGGAGATCCCCTCGAACCTCATCTTGCAAATACTCGGCGCCCCCGTCTGGCTCACGTTGCAAGTCGCCATCTGGGGCACCATCGCCCTGACGCAGGCCTGGTGCACCAACGTCGACTCTTTCTACGCGACAAGGTTCCTGCTGGGCGTGTTTGAAGGCGGCTACGTGCCCGGGTGCCAGTACATGCTCGCGTTGTTCTATAAGAGAGACGAGCTCGCGTTGAGGACATCCGTGTTCTACTTCGGCAATTATTCGGCTGCCGCGACGGGTTCTTTGATCGCTGCCGGCATTCTGCAGCTCGGGGGCAGGGGGGGACTCGCTGGATGGCAGTGGCTCTTTGTCAGTAAGTCGCGCCAACATTCTCCTCCTTTTCAGACGATGGACGCTAAAGCTAGAGAACAGTTGAGGGCACAATCACGCTCCTCATCTTCGCAGCCTTTGTCATCTTTCTCCCCCGCAGTCCAAGACACACGAGGCCGATCCACGGCTGCTTCGACCTCTTCAGCAGCAGGGAGCGCACGATCCTCAGCAACCGCATCCTGCTCGACGACGAGTCCAAGGGGGCCGATAAGGCCGACATGACGCTCAAGAGCCTGGGCAGCGCGTTCGTCGACTACCGGCTCTGGCTGCACATGATCCTCAACCTCATCAGCCTCACGCCCAAAGGCGGCCTCCTCATCTACGGCCCCACCATCATCAAGAACCTGGGCTTCTCCAAGATCAACGCAAACCTCCTCAGCGCCGTCGGCAACGTCCTCGTCATCGTCCTGTCCTTCGCCCTCTCCGTCGCCTCGGACAGGACGCGGCTGCGCGGGCCGTGGTGCATCGCGGGCTTCGTGTGGTCCATCGCCTTCGCCGGAGCGTTGTGCGGGCTGCCCCTGGGGTCTGACAAGTGGGTTCGGTACGCCATGTTCACGCTTCTGACGGGAGGCAACGCGCTGGCGCAGGCGATCAATGATGCCTGGCTCAGCATCAACTCGACCAAGGCCAGCAACCGGAGCGTCGGGCTGGCCATGGCTGTCATGGGCAGCAACCTGGGCGGGATCGCTGGGCAGCAGCTCTTTCAGGAGTCCGACTCGCCGAGGTATTCCAAGGCTTTTCTCGCAATCTTGCTGCTGTATGGTGCGTGTATTCCGAACACACTCGGACTCATGTACACGTACTGGAGAATGAACCGGAAGACAAAGACTGCTGGCGAAGATGACAATAGCGCTGTCGCTGAGAGGCGCTTTGATTTGTAGTCTGGGGCGGGTGGCTTTGACGATGGGTGCTGGGACGGAACAGAAGATATTTTGGTTCCTTTGTTCTGGGCTGTTCATATCTCAAAAGCCCTGCATGTCTTATACAACGTTCAAGTCCAATGACAGGAAGAACTGTGTTCTGAGAGATGCACTGGTACTGAGGAAGATAACTGTTCTGAAGCTGTGTTGAAGAATTGGTACAGAACAACTCTGCGCTGCTGGATCGATGAGTATTTGACGAGCCACGTCTGCCAAAGATATCGTGACCTATCCATCCAATTCGACCATCCATCCAGTTCACCGCTACCAAATCACCCACAAAACGTCGTCCGGCAGAAGAAATCAAACATGTGCCTCAGCATCAAGTACGTCTGCTCATGCAGTGCCCCCGTCCCAGACGAACCCATGGACGCCGGCGAGGCGTGCCAGCTGTCCATGATGCGCGACCAATTCGGTGACGATGATAACCGATTCAACATTTTGCACAAGGCGCTCATCCTCCACGAGACCGTCCCCCTGACCATCAACGACAAGATCAGAGACCACGTCTGCCAGACCGAGGGGTGTAGCTCCAACCCGGGCACCGAGTTCACCAGCGGGTCCCACCCGGACTTCGGCTCCATGGCGCGCTGCCCCGGCTGCGACAACGTCTTCTCCGTGGCCCCCGGCACCGTCGACGACCAACAGATGCCCGGCAAGGTGCGGCCGTTCCTCTCACAGCACCCCGACGCCCGCGTGCCCATCCTCGCCAAGCAATTCTGGCCCGGGTACCGCTGCACCGCGGTGAATGACGGCTGTCTCTGGAGCGAGCGTACTCTCAAGCGTGTAATGAACCGACTCGAGGCTGCCAGGGAGTTTATGGAGTGGAAGCCGCCCAGCGGTTTTCCCGGTAACCCACCTCCTCAGCAACTGGACGCGTCCGAGGAGGAGCAGAACCGTGGGGTCGAAGAGTCAGTGCCTAGCGCAACTAGGAACGGGCTGCCTTGGTCCGACGAAGACGTAAAAACACTCCTTAGCATGAAAGACGAACGTGTCTCGGATAAGGACATCGCATTTGTCTTGAGGAAGACCCAAAAAGCGGTCAACAGCAAGTTGAATAATCTTCGTAGAGCAGAAGAGAGATTGGAAGCTTCACGCTCGAGGGAGTGATCCGGTATTCGACGCGGTAGAGGTCATCTTAGGTTGATCTGGCATACGTAGTCCAATCAAACCACGGGCGACTTCATAATCCCGGGGGGGGTCCCTATTGGCGGACTTTTGTCCAGGGAGTTATCCTTGTATGCCGATGTTCAGTAGTTGAGCTTAGGAGAACGTTTGTCCGTAGAATACTCATATGACCGATTTACCCAGAGATTCAGCCAGACGGAGCAAAACCCCATGATAACGCATCGATGGCGGTGAACGGCAGGTCCGTCTCCTCTGATGCCGTGAACAGCGAGTTGAACATGAAAGCCTGGTCGTCAGCAGACTGTAACACGGGCAGACTACTGTCTCTGCCCAACACCGAGTTCACGAGGTTTTCGAAAATGTCCCTGTACGCCTGGCCCTGCGGGTACCGCTCGACCAGCGCCCACATGATCGACGAGCACGAGTTGACCGTGTCGATCCACTTGGACACGTCGACGCCGGCGGCCTGCTGCACCGCGGACGCGCGGATGCAGTACACCAGCGCGACGCCCGACTTGAACAGGTTGTGGATGTTGCGCCAGTAGAAGCGCAGCTCCCGCGACCGGAAGGACTGCTTGTAGCAGTTGATGCTGTCCGAGGCGTGCCGCGCCAGCGTGAAGACCTCGTCGTGCGAGACGTCGGGGAAGTGATGCGACGGGTAGTACATGTTGACGAAGGAGTTGTGGAGGAAGCCCTCGAAGATTTGCTGCGGGGTGAGCTGGCTCGTGTGGTCGGCGGACGGGGTGGAGGCGAACCATTCCTGGAGTCGCTGCGTCATGCTCGCCCTCCAGGCCGGCTTGTCCAGCGTCATCCCGTTCGGGGGGTGCTTCTGCCTCAGCACCGAGTAGATCTCGGACTCGAACCGGCGCGCTTTGATCAGATGCAAAGCCTGCGCCCGTCGCGGGTTGTCCTCCGGCTCGGGCGGGAGAGGAGTCTCGATGGCTTCGTCGGCAATGGAGAAGGGCCTTCCGAGTATGACGCAGAGGTTGCGCTCGAAAGTGTACGTTGCCCAAAAGAGCCATCTGCGCTCTTCAACCAAGGCCGGATCGAGTGCGGAGGTGCATCTCTCGCTGTGTAGGTCTAATTCGACCACCAGCCGCGTAGCGAGGCCGAGAAAATGCCACGCGGCGGTGAGATTGGGGCAGAAGCAGCAGTACTGCACGATCAGGAGCAGGTCGGTAAGGTGATCCAGGTCGCCGGTGCAAATCGCTGCGGGTTCCTTCGAGAGCAAGTGCATCGCGGCTGCGAAGTACACTTGTGATCTCTCCACTGGAACCGACGGATCGATTCTGTTGATTAGGAGTATGGCTGTGGCGAAAACCATCGACGCCCTGAATTTGACCTTTGTCAATGAAAGATTTGGTGTGTTTGAGGTGTCGTAAAGCGGTGCGATCGTGGCAGTGAGATGTTCCTTTGACGAGAGAACAGGTGAGAAGAAATCACAGTGCTCGAAATATGTGTCGATAAGTCGATTTGCTGCCTCGCCCCTGGGCATGTCAACCCGTGTCTCGTAAGGCAAGTCCTCGAATAGGGTGCGGTGATCCGATTGGAGTCCGGGGCGGGAGACCTTGTTGATAGGCCCCGAAAGGAGGGAGTTGAGCAGCGACAGGCCATTGTGGTTGATTATGGCGTTCGGGAACTGATTTGCCTTGAGGGAGTCGAGGACGATTTGTCCCACCAAGTCCTCATCCGCTTGGCTACTATGACCCTGCGAAGACGGTGAGTCGAAAACGGTGTGGCTGGCGGCAGCTGGGAAATCTAGAGAACTTTGCGTATCATTTATTTGATCTTGAATTCCGTGTGACATAAGCTGAGTCTCTAATTGGGCAATCCGGTCTTCCAAACTCTTGATGTAGCTGTCTTACAGTTAGCCTATCAATGCAGGGGCTTGAGGACCTTTGTGGGGTTCGCCGACCTTCTTGGTGCAACTCTTCCGTCGATGTCAGTTCCTACACATTCAGCCCCCGCACGCTCGCAATTCGAGCAGGCCGGGATGCGCTGGTCGCAGCGTTGCTTTCGAGATTTACACCTGTGGCAAGCCGTCACGTTGCTCCGGCGCACATTGGACCTCCGTTGCCCGGGTGGCATCTTGGCCCGAAGGTTGAGTATGGGCAGGCAAAGAACCTGCCGGAGTGTTTAGATCACCAAGCGGTAAGTTGTAACAGACTCGGCCTAGAAGATGGCAGGTCGAGGTGGCCGGGGAAGAGACGGCCTGAAGTCGGTTGAAAGTGGACCGGGCCCACTTTCGCTCACCTCCGACGCCGGCAGACTGCCGGCAGACGTGCTTGTAACCCCGGTTTTGCGGGGTTAAGATACCTATGGTGCAATGCCGGGGTCATGTAGAGGAAGGCTTCATACCGCAATATTTGTAAACTCTCATAGCATCACCTATTCTAGATATTCAACTTCTTCTAATGGACACGCAGCAGTAGCCAGCACAGTCTGAATGTATTGCTCATCTTGTAGTGATAATCGTCAATTATCATTCCAAATCTTGAATCACCCCGCTCTAGTTCCGCAGGAAAGACTACTGCATTAATTTAATGTCTGAATCTATAAGTGCCAACTCTACCAATTTCCCTCCTTCAATCTTGAAGATCCCAAGCCCTTACTCCTAAGAACAATCCACCTCCCCATCCTCAAAACACCCACCCGCACCCGTCACCCTCAACCGCCTAGGCAAAACCCGCCTCCAAAACACACCCTCCCCGTCCCTCTCAACCCCCTCCCTCCCGGGACTCGGACAAGCCCACCCCTTCGCGTCCCCCTCTGCAACCAGCACTCCGCAAACATCCCTCCGCCTCCCCTCCCTCGCCCTCGTCCTCAGCTCCCACGCGAGCACCGCCGCCGCCTCGTCGGGGACCCCCGAGTCCGCCGCGACCCAGTCCCGCGCCTCCCCGCCCGTGACGGGCCCCGCCTCCCCGGCCCCGCGCGGCCGCCGCACGAGACAGTCCGCGTCCGTCCGCCCGCACCGCCCGCACCGGCCCGAGGGCCTGATCTTCTGCTGGGCGAATTCGCACCGCGCGCCGGAGAGGACGCATTGGAGGCACTTGCCGGGGGTGCAGTCTCTGTGGATGAGGGTGGGCTTGGAGGCGGGTGGGCTTTGCGGGGAGAGGAGGGGGAGGCCGTCGCGGTATTCGAGCTTGGTCGAGATGGGGTGCTGCTGCTGCGGCTTGGGTTGGGGAGTTGTGGTTTGTTCGACTCTGAAGTGCGGTCCTGAATTAGGTTCGTTGGCCTGGTTCGACGACATTATTGATGTAGGCTTGTTGAGTTGCAGTGAGAGGCGGAAGCGGATTTCAGTGGGAGCTACGTGATGTCTTTATGCTACAGCACTCGGCGAAACATATCTCTATCCAGAGGAGGGGGACATCACCACATAAATATGCGGATTAGTCCATCTCCCATCTTTGTCATTCCTTGGACGATTACCTTGATACACAACAGCATCTGGGCCGTAACAAATGCGACTCGCGACAGTTGAGTATATGAACAATAGAGCAATAGAACAAAGATATAAACAAGACTAAGCGCATACCCGAACTCCTTCAAGGTAGAAAGCCTCGAGAGCCGAACAAATTGGCATGCAGGCAGAGTTGTTTCTGACATGGCTTTGTTCAATTGTTCTTTAAGCGCGCTCTTTTGTAAATTGTTGTACATGCGCTCAGCCGAGAAATCCAGCCCTTGCCGTTTGGACTGAAACTCCTTCTCGAACTTTTTATCATCTATTGTACAGGAGTGTATGCATACCACACTCGGCTCCAGCAAAAGCCTGCGGCCAAAATCTATCACGACTTGGTCGTGTACAGCCCGGTGTCCCAAACGACGAGCTTCCCGCTCCTCCGCGAATCCTCGTTGAAGAAGCCGTTCCAGCCCTGCCAGACCCTCGTGGGGGTGACGCCGAAGTCCTTTCCGGCGCCGGAGGCGAAGAACTCGGCGATCCACGGCTCGATGCCCTCGAAGCCGACGATGTAACGCGGGATCCGTTTGCCCGCCGTCCTGCCGGGTTCCGTCCGTGTCTTCCCGGCGGGCCACAGCTCGGTCGACATGAAGAGTTGGGGGTCGTCGTAGAAGCGGTCGGCCTCGTCGCGGTAGTTGGCGCGCTCGGGGGTGTTGGGGGCGGTGTGCAGGGGTGGCTCGCAGGTCAGGGCGCGGGCGTGGAGGGAGGGGTGGTGCAGGTGTGAGCGCCAGGGCGTTGTGTGGCATGGGGTTAGGAAAAGGGCGAAGAGTTCTGCTGACGAGTTGGCCGGCGAGGCTGTCGCGACTGTAGGAGAGGAAGTCGGGTTAAGGCGGGAGTAGGTTGTCCGGAGGTAGGCCAAGACTGTCAACGGCGCCGGTTGGTGGAGAAGGGTTAGGAAGAGGGAGAGGAGGGCATGGATGCATAGGGCGACGGTTAGGAGTTTCTTGTGGCGAAGGCGAGGTCTGGGGATGCCGGACTTTGTGGATGGAGTTGTCGTGAAAAAAGACGTCACAGAGGGCGCCGCGAGGATGTGGAGGATGGGGAGGAGCGGGTAGATGAAGCGGACTTCCTTGTGGGATATTACGGAGAGGGCCGCTATCATCACGTAGACTGTGCCTGCCAGAGTTTTGAGAGCGAGGGAGCGGACTTTGGATGGAGTTGAAGGAGGCTTGTAGAGGGAGATCAAGACGAAGGGGAGGTATGCTATGGATAGCAAGGGCAGGCCCTGGGAGAGATAGTAATGCCAGTCGTTGCGGCCGTAGAAAACAGCGAGGGACTGGGAGATGTTGAAGTAGAGCCACGTATAAGGCGGGAAGGCCCATTCACCGAAGTAGAGTCGGTCGGAGGCCAAAGAGAGTGCAAGTGCGGCGGTGCCGCAGAAGAGAACTTCACGCACGAGGATGAGAGTCGTGGACGGTGTGAGAACTGAGCGGGTGAGTAAAGGCCGGCTGAGCGTGGCAAGTCCGATGGTGGCCCAGATGAGGATGTTGGTTGGCCGGAGAAGAACGGCGATTGCAGCGAGGAAGAGAGAAATCCGGAGGTTCATGAGAATTCCCGGGGTGTGGAGGATAGACTGAGCAGGTTTGGGGTTTTCCTTTACAGTTTTGCTTTCACCGAGGAGTTCCCACGGCCAGTAGTTCAGGGCCGCAATGGTGAGGGTTGTCTCGAGGGAGTTGGAGAAGGTTCTGGTTGAACAGTACCACTGGAAAGGACTGAACATGCTCATGAATAGCTATGAGGTCTCAGTACGAAGTCTTCTGATCGGATGTCTTGCTCTTGGTGGGTGTAGGCAAATTCGACTTACAGCGAACCATGAGGTGGAGCTGTCTGCTCCGTAGATTTTGACAGCGAGCTGCCAGGTGTACCAGTCACCGGCGGCGGCGAAGACGGCCTGGGCGGCCTTTGGGGCGGCGAGAAGAAGCCATGACTTAGCAGCTGCCGGGAGAGGCTGGGCTATGAGATCCGCGAGAGAGTAGACTCCGGCGAAGACAGCGGGATGGAGAGAGGAGCGGAGTTGGTACTTCCATTCCTGGACACAGTCAGTATCCACATCTGCCGGTATTCATTACACCACACAACAGAAATATTTGTGATGAACGGAAAGACACTAATCGACTTAGACGACAAATTGAACGCACTCACCCATGTAATCCACGCACCACTTCCCTCGCCAAAAGCCATGCGCCATGCGGGTTCGAGGGCTTGAAAGTACTCATCGGGTTGGAAAAAGGTGAGGACCCACCAGGCGTTGAGGAGACGGATGACGAGGAGCTGCCGGAAGACGGAGGGCTTGTTGTGCTCGTTACGAACTGCCTTTAGGAGTTCGGGGGCGGGCGGAGAGCCGACAGAAGCCATTGTGGAGACGCGCTTGGCACGGTCTCACGGTACTTTTAGGGGGGAGAGGTGGCCGGCGGCGGCAGCGGCGGACGGGGGGCCAGCGGGGTCGAGGTCGGAAGCTATTGCGTAATCATCGGACGGAGCGGCGAGGCCGTTGTGAGAGGTGATGACGGGGTTGATTCGAGTCAGGAGGACGTCCGAGGACGCGAAGGAGGCGACGGGAAATAAGTGAGAGGCTTCGTGATGGTGGTGGTACGTGCTGAGGTGTTGTGACGATTTCCGAGAACGTGTCCTGGTCTATTCGTCGAAAAAAAAAAACCTGGAAGGATTTGAATTTTGATGCCGAGATTGAAAAGTCGTGAAGGGGGGGCACCGGCGTGTTTCTTGATCGCTAATGGAATGTCGAGACGAGACTGGGAAGACCTGATGGATTTCTGCATGAAGAAAAGAGCGAATAGGACGAGGTCATGCCCCCCTAAAGATGGCACTGACAGGCCGCCGTCGACCGCTAAATCGACAAGACACCTACTGTGAGGTGTGAGGTGAAGACCACCTAATCCAAAACCTTGATTCTCAGGCATGCTGCACTAAATAGAGAGGGTCCACCTTTTCTCGGCTTCAGCGGACCCTCCTATTGGATCCTTAAGCTGCCTCCATATTAATCGAGTATCCCATTGGCTCCGAGTGGCGGGAATGGAAATACGAACGTCGTTATTGGGCGAGACCGCCTCTTTTTGACGGGGAATCGGATTGTCTCTGTCGTTCCCAGCTTTCAATGCCATTCTTCTGTCCATTTCTTATCAGCCAATTTGTCCAATGGCACAGCTTTGAATTATATCTTGTTCGACAACCGCTGACGTGCGACAACGAAAGCAACGTCCAAAGATTACAAGATTACAGATGATATGATAGCTTAGATAGGCCTATCTGGTTGGTCCAACGGCACAAGGCACACCGGAGGACGACCCCGTTATCGGCCTCCCGTCTTCTTTCCTCTGATTCCCCTCTTCATCCTTCTTCCCGGCCCCGCCAATCAACTCGTCCTTCGGCAGAAAGTCTGTTGGTTGTCTCTGTCTCTGCTCTTTCCGTCACCTCGACATTCCAACCTCATCCTTCTTTCGTACGACACAACAACCAGCAACCAGCTGTTCCCCCCCAAGACCGTTATTCTCATTACGAGATTCTTACACCGGTCGCCGCTTTCCCTCGGCCGCATTCGCTTTTTTCCCACACGCATTGGACCACACCTGGCGGCCATGTGACCCGACCTGAACACCGGGATGGTTTCCCTAACATGGCCCCCTCGGGCGTCATCCTGCCCACTCACCCACTTGAGCCGCTTATACCTGCGCTTAGGGGAACATACCTGCACTTAGAGGCATAGCGGCCTGCCTCTGACTCCGACACCAAGAGTTTGGTTCCAGGTCATGGTCATGGTCCGGGTTCGCCTTCACGTTTGACATGCCATGTCATGTTATTTTTTCCTCTTCTAGTCCAACCGTTGCTGGCTTTTCGCCAGAATCCTGTGCGCTGATGCCCGCCTCCGGCCTTTGTTGAAGCCTGGTCGTTGCCGCCGCCGCCGCCGTCGCCGTCTAACCCGACGCCTCAGGTCCTTCCCGCCTTCCATGGCCGTTTTCTGCTGTTGCTTTCCTGAACCATGTTCCTTTCTCTCTGCTTTAGTCAAGCTCCCAAGGGTCCCAAGCCAGCAGGGTATAATTAGCTAAGACCCCGCGATTTGCCCCTCGTTCCGGCCTTCTTCCTCTTGATGTTTTCTCCCCAAAAACCTTACTCCAACAGCCACTTGTCCCAAAGACACACTCTCTTTCTGGCAACACGAATTCATGACCCTGAAAGCCAATTGATATCCCAGACCATCTGTTATTGTTCCCCCAATACTATCCAATACCCAAACCAATACCCAATCTCCCCAATCGACTTACACCATGGCTCCCCACGCGAACGGCGCCGCCCCTCACTCCAACGGCAACGCCTCGCCGTACCACGCCTCGTCCACCGACAGCGCGATCAAGTCCGAGAACGAGTACGCCGCCCACAACTACCACCCTCTCCCCGTCGTCTTCTCCCGCGCCAGCGGCGTCCACGTCTGGGACCCCGAGGGCAAGCAGTACCTCGACTTCCTCTCCGCCTACAGCGCCGTCAACCAGGGCCACTGCCACCCCGAGCTCGTCAAGGCCCTGACCGACCAGGCCAGCCGCTTGACCCTCAGTTCCCGCGCCTTCTACAACGATGTCTTCCCCAAGTGGGCCGAGAAGATCCGCGACGTCTTCGGCTACGACATGGTCCTGCCCATGAACACGGGTGCTGAGGCTGTCGAGACGGCCATCAAGATCGCGCGCAAGTGGGCGTACAAGGTCAAGGGCGTCGAGCAGGGCAAGGCGCTGGTGTTTTCCGTCAACGACAACTTCCACGGCCGGACGGTTAGTCTCTCCTCGCCCCGGACCGAGTCTGCGCAAAAGCTTGAGCTGGCATACTGACTCTTATCGCAGATGACTGCCATCTCCCTCTCTGTCGACCCCGAGTCGAGAGACAACTACGGACCCTACGTCCCCAACATCGGCGCCGTGAACCCCTCCACCGGTAAGCCGATCCGCTACAACAACGTCGCCGACATTGAGGAGGTCTTCGAGGCCCACGGCAAGGACACGGCGGCCATCATCATCGAGCCGATACAGGGTGAGGCCGGCGTCGTTGTCCCGGACGACGACTACCTGCGCAAGGTCTCGGAGCTGTGCAAGAAGCACAACGTCCTCTTCATCTGCGACGAGATCCAGACCGGTATCGGCCGGACGGGCCGCATGCTCTGCTCCCAATGGGCCGAGATCAAGCCCGACATGGTGACCCTCGGCAAGGCCATCTCCGGCGGTCTGTACCCCGTCAGCTGCGTCCTGTCGAGCAAGGAAATCATGCTCGTCGTGGAGCCCGGCACCCACGGCTCGACGTACGGCGGCAACCCGCTCGGCTGCGCCGTCTCGATCCGCGCGCTGGAGATCATGGAGGAGGAGGACCTCACTGCCAAGGCCGAGAAGCTGGGCAACGTCTTCAGAGACGGCATCAGGGCCTTCAACTCGCCCATCATCGAGCTGGTGCGCGGCAAGGGCCTGCTCAACGCCGTCGTGATTGACGAGTCCAAGACCGACGGTCGCACAGCGTGGGATCTGTGCCTGCTGTTGAAGGAGAAGGGCCTGTTGGTATGTCACTCCCCCTCCCCCACTTTCCGATATCGACGATCACTAACGCCCCCGGAATAGGCCAAGCCCACCCACGGAAACATCATCCGTTTTGCGCCGCCCTTGGTCATCTCCGAGACGGAGCTCCGCAAGGCGCTCAACATCATCGGCGAGGCTCTCAAGGAGCTGCCTACCGTCGAGAAGGCGGCGCACCACTGAAGTAAACGACAGAGCTTTGGTGTGATGTGACCAGCGCCGGCGGGGAAGTGCGCCGCGCGACCAACGACGAGGAGGACGCGGGGAAGTTGGTGTTCCTGTCACACGACTGTGTGTGGTGCGTGCGTGTGGTACGGACTGTCTTGTCAGATCTAAGCCGGGATCCAAGAGGGGTTCTTGGGGAGGGGTTCGTTTCGCATGATCTACCCTGATTTGGGCAAACCACCCTATCACGGCGTTGTTAGGAGCATTTCCGGTCGCGAAAGATTCTCTGATTTGGTGTGTTTTTTTGGTTCCTTCTTTTCTGCCTTGGAAGAAGAAGCGGGGAAACAAAAAAAGAGGATTTTGCTTTTACGGCGCGGCGGTCACCCGCGCGCGCAGGCAGCATTCTTGGATCATGGGCATAGCATCAATCTTCTTCATCATACGGTTCGGAGCATTTGGCCTACCCAAGGCAGACATATACCAGATACATATCGCGCACAGACGATCCCCGAGAGAAAGAGAGGGGTGAACTTTTGGAATACATCGGTAGACACGAACATGCGAAATATACAACAATGTGAGACGTAGCGTTTGGTTCGATCTTGTTGTGTTTGGTGAGACTGTCATGGGTGTGGATGAAGGTGTATGTATACTGTACTGATTCGGAGTCTTGCATACGCATGTCGGTAGGCGTTGGACGGGGGAGGAGGACACGTCGAGCTGCAGCCGTCCATCAACACCTACCTCCCTTGCAACCCACCCATCACCGCCGTTCTAGGCCCCCCTTTATTTTCTCCTCTCTTGAATTGTGTGTGTGCCTCCAGAACTTCACCTTACTTACCTTACCTCACCCAAGACGAGCTCTGGCTTCCCCACGCCAGCCAAACCTAGCCTCGTCGGCCGTAGAGGTTGCGGCGCGGGATGAAGGTGGTATTACAACTCATCTTCTATTGGCTAGTGCAATGGTTCTCTGCGAGCTTGTCGTGAGTGTTGCTGAGGCCGTTTTTTTCATTCGGGGGTGAGTCAGACGGGATGATGGGATGGCTTGGCGCGGGTTGTCGAATGGCGTTTGCTGTGAGAGAACGGTGATTTGACCCAGCGAGCAGGCAGCGATGACTGTGCCTGGGGTTTCTTGCGTGGGCTTCAGGTCTAGGAGGAAGGGGATATGGCAGTGGTGAGTAGGTTAACAGGCGTTTGTGATGACTGTTGCTGGGGTTTGTTCTGGGACTCCAGGTGTTGTGTTAAATGGATGAGTGTAAGATGCTGCTCACTCATTCACTCACTCACTCACTCACTACCCAAGCTTGCTTGACTACCCGATTTCAAAGTGACAGCGTGAGTCTCATTTGTAGATCAGTGGCTCAGAGTCGGAGTGATTCTGCGTGACTTGGAGAGTTTGAGATCTACGGATGCGGTGTTGGTCGCACATGGGAATCGCGTAGATGCTCCTGCGCCGTGCCACGGATTCACGAGCAGGCGAAGCGAACCATTCACTAAAGTGGCCTTCAAGAGTCTCAGACGTCGGACATGGCGGTTGGGCCCGATGCTTGGTTGATTGCGACGTCGCGTCGACGGGTACCCGTGTGTCGTTGACTTCATCAGTAGGACCGGCGGGAGTGTAGCGGCGGGAGATTGCGGCTCTTGGGACACCCTGACGGTCCATCCCGTCTGTGTCCAGGTGGAGTAGGTCGACTCTGTCGGTGTAAGGGTCGACATCTCCTCGTCGAACGGCGTGTTTGGAGTCCCCATGCTTCATTCGCGATCACCAATAGTTGGTGTTCGTATACACCCTGTCGAAGCCGTCGATGCCTAGACGTGAGTCCAGACCAAGTTCGTTCCCGGCGACTGGCCTGCTACATCCCGGGTGGATGATGTCTGCCTCGTCATGAAAGTGTCTTTCCATACCATCCCTTGAGCCAAGGAAGAAACGCTTGTTCTCCTGGATTTCGCGTCGCACAACGTCTCGATAGCCTCTTCAGGCGAGAGCTTGTGTCCGTAGGCAGAACACCTAGATGACGTAGACCGCGGGAGGCTAACGATACGGGCGCTTGCAGTGCTCAATCATGTAGAACGCCATCTCAAGCCATCAGATGTGCGCGACCCCGGACGACATCGCGTGGGTGGGACCTATGACTCCACGACCCCTTGGCGATGAGGAAAAAGCAAGCGCGGTTGACGGATGGATGAGTCGTACTTTGGCGACACGCTTGATCAACCCCAGGTTTCTTTGGGATCGGCTACTCGGCCTGGGCTATTCGTGGTCTGAACTCCAGACGCGACGGGATGACAAGTGGCGAGATCGCGGTTGACCGACCGTTGGTTCCCACGTTCCCCAGGCTTTCCATCGTCGAGCCGCACGCTTGGTGCCTTGGTTGCCCCGTAACACGACCATCTCACCCCGGGGTCGAACCTCTCTGAACAGGCAGGTGTCCCACTCGGTGGCACGGGTGATTGGCTCAATGATAAACTGGGGGATTCGTCGATCGCTGCGGTCGAGGCTGTCACTTTTGTGGTGAGGCTGTCACTTTTGTGGTGACGCTAGGACCTCGGGTGATGCGGGCATCCACCTCTTTCTCCAAGGGGGTGGGCAGCTGGAGCTCTCGAAGCACGCGGGGATGGGTCCCCGTCTTGCGTGTTCAGGGAGTATCAGAGAGGAAAGATCGCCAGAGCAAGGAAACGGTCTAGGACTCTTGTGACCGCTCGGAATGTTTGCTCCCATTGCTCTAGCACTGCTAGCCACGTCTTGACTGGGAAACTGCAATGCCCGGTCGACGATACAATGGAATTGTGAGTTCGCTACCACCTAGAAGTACGGAGGCGAAATACTGATGGAACGGAGAATGGATGACGGCTCCGAGGAGGCGGCACCCTGTTCGGATTGCCGCTTTGGGGCAGCAAATGGCACTTGCAGGGGGGCTGGGCGCGACAAAGTGTCTTGGATATGGGTTGCGCCGCCAATGTCAGTTGCCAGGCACAGAAAGGACTACCAAGGGAACTGCCTTGGCTCTTCGAGCATCTCGCTCCGGGCCTCGATATGCAAACGCACAAGGAGATTGTCCTGTGGAGTACGTGCGATTCGAGACCAAAGTCGGTGATGTCAACGGGTTTCATGGGACCCAAAACAGGGTTTTTGACGCGTTGAGAGAGTGAAGCCTGGGGCATCAAAGGGACTGGGGGACGTTGAGAGTCTGGACTTGTTGATGACTTTGGGCTCGAAAGTGGTTCGTGCGAGCACTTTGGTAGGGCATAATACAGATATGTTAAAAGATGGGAGAAAACGAAACGAGAATGACTTGCGTGCCCACGTCGACGGTTGCCTATGGCCGTCGACAGATAAGCACTGGCGTATGAATTGGGACGAGAGGACGATAAGAGAGCACAACCACGCCATTGAACAGCGAACGATCAAGGACTCGGAGATGTGTTGGCCTGGGGCACTTGTGCGTCGTCGTGGTTGCCAGTGCGGCACGGTACTTTGCGGTAGTGGACGTTGGCGAGAGCAGGGGGGGTGGGCGAGGTTCCTGTTGGCTGATGAGTTGTTTGAGCCATGCATATTCGAGTAAGGCAGTTGCAGTTTATTTGATCCCCGAGGCCCCGATTATGGTGACATTGTAGTTGTCGTGTCGTGTTGATTGTCGTTTTGGAGACGTCTGCGTGCTGTCTCGTCCCATCAGACAGGAAGGAAACCGGAAAGCCACGGTCAGCGCTAATACTTGACACGATGCGTAGACTTGAAGAAACGCAAAAGTGGACAAAGTCGTTTCCTGCCGATGGAGCAGACAGGGCCGTCCAAGGTCGCGATCCGGTTGGCTGGATGAGTGGCAGCTGGCGCCAGGCAGAAGGACGAGCAGCCTCATGAACAAGGTGACTGGCGACCTGACTTGGCGATTTGTTGAGAGTGCGAGCCTGAGGCCTGAGAACCTGCGAGGTGATGTACGTAGTAGTGTAGGATGCTGGCATGGGGTGAGGCAAGCAGCAGGGCGAACCGAAGCCAGAGCATGCGGCAACCTTAGTTAACGACGTGCGGTGATATGAGGTGAGTGAAGGAAGTGTCGTTTAACCATCTCAGTCGACGAGAGTGCTGGGCTGCAGAGGACGTGAATGCGCAAAGTTCGTTGCAAGTATGGGGCTGGCTTGCGTTTGCCGTTAGTCAACATTGGACCAGATGTCGATTGGATCTGACAAGGGGTGTTGTTTGGACCAAAACCTACTCCGTACTTCACAGTACGCAGTGAGGCATGTACTTTGTATGTTTCGAGGTGATGGACCAACAATGACGAGACTCGGTTGCAGTCGACTCCGGAAACCACATGGAAACCATCAGCAAGTCGACAAGACTACAGCTCCAGTTCGCTTTGACTTTGGCTGAATTGTGGCCGGGCGGGCGGCAGTGGAACGCAAGATGGCGCGATGGCGCCATGGCTCAGCGGGATGATGGAACTCGACGTTGGAAGTTGCGGTGGCTTGACATGAGGCAGTTGGGTCGTCGAAACGATTTAATCCGTCGTCCTTTTTTGACATGGTTCGTCTTGGTGACGGGAGACAGCTGGCTAGTCGATGTTTGTCTTCACATGAGAAGCGAGGATTCGTCTGTCTGGACGCACATGTCTGCCCTGTTGTATCCTGCGAGAAGGAATACGATAAGGATAGCGCGGCGTCTATCAAGGTCCCGTCCCGTCGAGTCGACAGCGAGACAACAGATCGATGCGAGCGTCCCTGAGTGTACCGTCGATACAGTGCTCGTGCATTAGGTAGTATCCGCGGTAGGGGGTAGAAGTACCGGTACTTCATCTTGGCTCAGAGCTTGACGGAAACGCCGCGTATCCCACTGTCGAGTACCTTACTGTACGTGCCTTGGGCATTTTCTGCGACCGGGTGGCAGCGCAGTGGCAGGTAGCAGCGGAAGAGCTTCATGCGTTTGGGCGTTCTGGCGTGCGTCTGGAAGGGCGGGTGGAATGAGTTGAAGACTTGTCATTCGTCCCTTTGATCGGTGAGGTCGAGCCTGCGGTCTCGTTCCTAGCAGGCTGTTGGGTATCCGGTAGGGTGAGGTAGGGTGAGGTAGGTGGAGAAGGTTCCATCTCAGAAAGCTGCTACAGGGGAGAGAGGGTCGCTAGAGTCATTCAAAGTGGTGTCAAAGTGCGTGCATTGAAGTATCCGTAAGGTGTGCTGGGTTGGAGGGAATTGTTAGTGAGGAGAGAGGGTATTGGGGGAGGGGAATACCCTGGCGGAGGTCGGGAGAGACAGCGAGAATGAGATGGGGAGAAAGTTGGAGATGGGGTCCCAAGGTCCGAAGACCGGGGTCTCTGTCACGTCGACGACGTAATGATGAAATGCTCAGAAGGGACGAGCGGCCAGGCGAAAGGTGTTCCAGCAGAGAAAGTGTATCGCCCTGCTTGGGCTGCAGAGCTGAAGCTACCCGAGTCCTCTGTGAACACCCGGTCAGACAGTCTCTGTCTTTCTGTCTGGCTGTTTGTCTTGATCAACTGTCTTGCCTCGTGAAATGGCTGGAACGGGATCTGAAAGGTGCAGAATGCCGTACTCTGTCTGGTCTGCGTGTTAGATGGAAGACTGGCGCTTTCCCAAACACGGAAGTTAGGCGAGCTCGGAGGAGTGGAGGCAGCAGATGCAAACACCGAAACGGCAGCGGCGGGAAAGGAAGAAGATACCCTTTTTTTTTCTCCATCACTGTTGCGGCAACAGTAGGAATTAGCTGCTGCGTTAACTTGAGGTAGGTAGGCAGGTAATTAGCGGCAAATAGAGACAAGTAGAAAAACATGGGAAAGACTGGAAGTGCCTGGCAACAGAAGGAAGAGGACGTGAAAGTGCAGGTGTCTTATCGCGATACATGAGCCTTATCGCGCCATGATGGCATTTTAGTGCTGCAGCAGCCAGCACCCCTACTTCGCTTCCTGCGTGACCGAGACCGGACTTGTACAGCCCAGGTATCCCTCACCAATGACATGCTCGTCCCACCACCAATAGGACCCCTGACCAGTGACCACGAGGATACGAGCGGGGCGGCTGCTGTGCACCTGCATTGGTTGTTCCGGAGCGGCAAGTACCTACCTAAGGTACCTATGGTGCAGAGGAACGTACCGGGCTGATACTGATACTGAGCCAAGATACGTACCCTGAACTTCTCCACATCGACCGCTGCGCAGCGCATCACGAGCCCCGAACTCAAGGGTCACTCAGGCTGTTGTTGCCGCCGCTTTGCTTGTTGAATGTGGTCACTGGATGTCATTTCGAGGAGGTTGCCCTGCCCTTTTTTGCTTTCTCACGCATCATCTTGATCGAATCACATCACCCGCGACACAGCTGCGCCTGCTGCTGCTGATATCCCTTTTTCTACCCCCTCTCCCTTTCTTTCCCCCTCCAAAAAGACATCAGACAACCTAACGTAACTCAAGTCCAGATCCAACTCATAGTGGACGACGGTCTTTTGCGTTTCCTGCTGTCCCACCCGGCAGCATCACATCGCATCGCATATCGCTTTCAATATCCACCGCTGCGCACATCCCGGTCCATGGGTGTGTGTGCTACGGCCTACGGATACAGAGTACTGCTAGGAATACACCACAACAACAACCAAGGGTTCAGAGCAGATCAACACCCCAAAAGTCTACCTACATGCCCTGATGCCTTAAACTACTTTGCGTCCTGCCAGAACAAGAAGGGTCACACACTCACAGCTCCCTCCCGTCTGCCAACCTGGGACTATCATCTGGCGCTACCGTGCCGCTAAACGTCGAGGTGCTACCCTTTATCGCATCGCATCACATCAACCATCCACATCCACTTCCACGGGCCACAAGGTGTGGTCTCCACGCTGAGGTGCATCCACCTTGTCGCTATCTAATCGGCCTTGCACGTCTTATCCACTCACTGTCCCGGTCGCTACCTTAGTCCCTGGCCCCATCCCATCCATCCTCGTCACTTGTCTCTGTTCCTGCTGCACCTGTCACTCCTCCTCGGCGCGTCCCTTCATCTATGCCCTCTCTGCCCTCGTACTTCTCTTCCGACCGCCATATTTCTCTTCCTCCGTTCTCGACCTCGACTTCTATCTCGACCGCTCTCCCTTCACCGGTCCTACCGTTCCCTCCCCCCGTCTGTTCCACACCCACGACCTCCCTCGACTTCTCTGCCCTCTTCCCTCTTCTCGCTTTGTACAAAACACACCGACAGTCAGTCAGTCATACTTCCTGGCCCTCCCGTCGTTTGTACCGCCGTTTGCTTTCTACACCTCCCGCTTCGCCATCAGGGTACAAATCAAGTACAAACACTTGCGTCCTTGATAGCTCCGAGTCATTAACTTGACCTTGGACCTTGCCTGACTCTTGTTCCAAAAAGGTACATTCCTCCAGTCTTTTGCTGCAAACTCTCCCCAGCACCTTTTCCCAGAGCCTCAAACGGCTGGGTACTTCCATTCCCCGGGCTAGCTTCTTGTTCTAACGCTCACCGTCCATCTGTATTAGTCACAACTCGATACCCTTCCACGCCTCCCTCTTAACCTCCGATCGCCGCTCTACCCAACCAACCAACATAAACCGCAACGCTCTCGTCTTTCAGCCGACCTTGGCCTCTCTCTTCTACCTCCCGGTTGTGTTGTCGAGACGATACCGCCGCCTTCCTGCACTCGCTGCCCACGGACGTCACGACGGTCCCCGCTTCCACCCTTTGAGCGCATCCTCGATTCTGCATCGACCTGGTGCGCGTGCACTCCCGACCTATCGGATAGCTGCCGCCCTTTCTACGGTCCCTAGCTATCTTGCCGAAGCGACACACTCAGGGTTCTGGTCGTTGCTCGAAGACCGGCCTGCTTCCTTTGTTTCTATCTCGACTATTTACACAACCATTTGACCATCTCGACCCCAACGACGCTGCCTGCTCCCACGAACCTGAATGTGTACATGACGCCGCCACACGCCGCCGACGTCTTTCGCATAGCATAGGCCCCGGCCTGAATCTATCCTCCCCGACTTCGCCCCTGTTCTTGACAACCTCAACAGGACATCAACATGGCGGACCGGCTCCCGACCTCGTCTGGGCGCAGGCGACGCGAAGGCGATGCCTCTATCGGGGATTTTGTCATCGGTGGTGAAATTGGCAAGGGCAGCTTCGCCCAGGTATATAGTGGCCATCACAAGGTTCGTGCGCTCCTACGCTTCTCTACAGCCTTCTGAAGGTTGGCTTCTCCTGTTGCGCCGAGGCGTATGGATGAGGAGTGGCTCATACCTCAAAGATTCAAGGATCTAACGTTTGTCTTTTCAGAGTTCCAAAGCTACCGTAGCTATCAAGTCGGTCGAAATGGGACGTCTGAACAACAAGCTCAGGGAGAATTTGTACGGCGAGATCCAGATCCTCAAGACCCTCCGCCATCCTCATATCGTCGCTTTGCACGACTGCGTCGAATCTGCGACGCACATCAACCTTGTCATGGAATACTGCGAGCTTGGTGATCTGTCTCTCTTCATCAAGAAGCGAGACAAGCTCAGCTCTCATCCTGCTACACACGACATGGCGAGAAAATACCCCGTAACGCCCAACTCGGGCCTCCACGAAGTGGTCACACGCCATTTCTTGCAGCAGCTCGGTAGCGCCTTGAAGTTCTTGCGCGAAAAGAACTACGTCCACCGAGATGTCAAGCCACAGAACCTGCTTCTTCTTCCGTCGCCCAGATTCAGAGACGAACACTCTCGTCCAATCTTGACAGGCAGTCAAGACTCCCTGATTCCGAACGCCGGCCTGGCCTCTCTACCGATGCTGAAGCTTGCGGATTTCGGTTTCGCTCGCGTCTTGCCCTCGACCTCGCTTGCCGACACTCTTTGCGGATCACCATTGTATATGGCCCCCGAAATCCTTCGGTACGAGCGGTACGATGCCAAGGCCGATCTCTGGTCCGTCGGCACTGTGCTTTATGAAATGATCACCGGACGCCCTCCTTTCCGGGCTAGAAACCACGTTGAGTTGCTCCGTAAGATCGAAGCTGCTGAAGACCGGGTTAAGTACCCCAAGGAACTTGTGGTCAGTAAGGAGCTGGTGAAACTCATCAGCAAGCTTCTCACGCGGAACCCCGTCGAGCGAATGAGATTTGAGGACTTCTTCAATGATCCCATCCTCGTCGGCCCAATTCCTGGCGTGGTTGAGGACGATATCCCTAAGTCTGAAATCAAGGCCTCAAGAGACCTTCGATCTCTCGGCAGGTCAGACTCGACGTCATCGTTGTCTCGGCGATTGTCCCTCCGCCGGCAAGCTGAAAATGAGGCTTCGCGGGAGGAAGGTGAGCCACCGAAATCGCCCCGTGAGAAACCTCTGAGGTCCCCCAAATTGTCCGGTCCGAATGAGGGTCGTCCTCAGCAAGGGGCATCTGAGGCCCCAGCCCGTGTTGGCCAGACACCAGTGCAGGATGCTGGAGATGGACTGGGTATCCGACGTCCTCCTATGCCTCAGCCTTCCACTTCAGCACCTACCCGAACCCACAGACTCTCTAATGCGTCGCTCAACCGGCCTGCCCCTCGGGCATCAGCTTCACCGCCGACTTCGTACCTGAACGAGAGAAGGCTTCGTCCAGTCACCGAGAGGAGCATGACAGAGCAAGAAAAGGCAGCTCAAGATGTCGCTTTTGAGAGGGATTACGTCGTTGTCGAAAAGAAACACGTGGAAGTCAACGCCTTCGCGGATGAGATGGCAGCCAACCCACGTCTCACATCCATATCGCCCAAGACTGGCCAGATGATTCGCCGTGCGACGCAACAGGGCCCTCCGACGTCAACTACCGGAGCGGGGCGCGTTCAGCCCTCCAATGCTGTCCAGATCGCGCAGGGCAAGGGGCGTTCAGGACATGATCGCCGCGACTCTTACGATGGCAAGAACTTCTCTGCCAGCCCAACAACTCAAGGATTCATCGCCAAGGCGATTTCGGACGCCAGTGTGCGTCTCTTTGGCTTTAAGGTGCCACAGCACGTCCTGGGAAGTAAGGGTGCCTCTCCGCCGTTGTACAGCCCCTTCCCCGCATACCCAACACCCTCAGGCCCGGTCGGCCTTATCGGTGATGGCAAGCAGAGTGCCCCGGCCGATGATGATGCTCGGGCCGTGAAACTTATTCAAGACTTTGCGCACCGCAGCGACTGCGTCTACGGATTTGCCGAAGTCAAGTACAAGCAACTGTTTCCCCTTGCCCCGTCGATGGATCACGGGCTGGGTGGCACGCCTGCAGACCAAATCACCGATGAAGAGGACGGTCTCACCATCGAGGCCGAGGTTCTCCTATCGGAGGAAGCTTTGGTTCTCTATGTCAAGGCCCTCACGCTGTTGGCTAGAGCCATGGATGTTGCAAGCCTGTGGTGGACACGAAAGACGCGCGGCGACGTGACGGGTGTGTCTGCGGCCGAGGTGTCGAAAGAAACCCACGCCCAGCGAATCAACTCGACCGTGCAATGGGTGCGAAATCGCTTTAACGAAGTCCTGGAGAAGACAGAGATTGTCCGGCTGAAGCTCATTGCTGTGCAGCAAAAGCTACCTGACGACCACCCGAGCCATCCTAGCAACCACGGCGGAGAGTCTGCTTCCTCGGCCACGTCTGGGACGAGAGATGTCTACCTTACGCCGGGCATCAGCGCGGAGAAGCTCATGTACGATCGAGCCCTGGAGATGAGCCGCACAGCAGCGATTGACGAAATCACGAATGAGAATCTTGAGGGTTGCGTCACATACTACGTCACGGCTATTCGCATGCTTGAGGCTGTCTTGGATAACGATGAGGACACAATCAAGCGCAGGTACTCCGGTTCGGGTAAGGAACTTATCCGAGAGGAGGTATCTAGCGACCTGGACAGCGATGACCAGCAGGTTGTCAATCGGAGTAAGTGATCATCACTCCAAAGTCACGAATCATGCATCTAACAATTCACAGTGATCCAAATGATTACCGGCCGCCTGTCAACTGTCCGCAAGAAGATGGCCATGATCGCTGAGGCATCGCGATCTCAACAGGCTGCCCAGCTGCCTGCACGTAAGCGGAGCGGCGACGTCACGCCACGCAGTGTGCCTTCGTACGCCTCCTAAACGTTAGAGGCGGCACACCAGAGTCGTGGTCCATCTTGACTGGAACGACCTAAAAACAACACTTTTTGCCTCACGGCTTACGAACATTTGCTTTACAAGGACCTGGAGGATCCCTGGTCAGTGGATCGTGGACGGTGTTTTCAGAGATATCCACCAGGGGAACAGGTCTGCGACCTCGACTTTAGTTTCATACATCGGCGTTGGGGAATGGAAACCGGAACATCATCGGTCCATGTCATTTTGCTTTTCATTCATGTCTATTTTCTCGGCGTTGGGAAATCGAGACGGCGAGGCTTTTTTTCTTCCGCGGAAGCGGAGTAACTTGTATTTTCTTTGGCTTCCACACAAGGGCAAGGAAGGGGGATCACAGGACCTTGAACCGGCATAGCAGCTTGGCTTTCATTGTGTTCTTCTCATGCCAGGATGGCCACGGAAGGATGATATACGGGATATGGTTATCCTACTGAGAAGGCGGAGCGTTGGACACGAACGGGTGATTGTTGCATGCCCTTTGAGGTACTGCCGGCGGACATTAGATCCGCCTGACTTTTAAGTAGTGTCAAAACTGAGAAAACGTTCCAGCCATGACTTTGCTTTTGATGATATCATGCCAATGTCGTCTGCGGCTATTCAGCTTGAGGTGTTAAATATTACTCCTAGATCTGTGTGCTTAGAATTTTTGGTCATCTCTCAGGATCTTCTAGGAGATAGAGCTAATATCTGATGGACGTCGGAACTTAGCTTAAATCGCCGGGATCAAGTCCAGCGACCTTGGAGTGCGCCCTCTTTGGATTCCGAGGGTGACGGATTGGACCTTTTGCTCTTGCCATGCTCCCCGTTTCTCCCATGACGTTCTGGACCGTTTGCTCAGTCTAGTGATATTCGTGGGCGTGAAAAACCTCATTTGGCATTGTACGTACCAAGCTATCTCTTCTGATGTGTCTGGACATCGGAGAACTGTGGTTCTGTCGAGATGGTGCCTTTAGGACCGGTGACAACAGGAGCATGGCAGTTTTTATACAGGGACATACATATGCATGGAGGCATGAGACGAACGTCTCGTATGCCGTAGTCTGAGATGATGACAGAGTTAAGAAAAGATAGCGGAGATTCTGATGACCTTGTCGTGGCATAGACGGGCGTTCATGATGTTTGTTCACTCCCAGTGTCCTCTCGTTCTGTATTCAGGGACTGATTTGATGCTGCTCATTCTAGTTGAGAATTGTTCGAAATATTCTGATGCATACTCGATCTCGTAGTAGCTCCTTCCCCCATGGGTATTGTTTTGACACCTACGGGACATAAAATTTCTTCCCATTCTGGTTCAGTTGATGTTCTCACTAGCAATCTTTTTTTTAAGCTCCTTCCATCTTTACGAACAGCTCCAGCTCCTTCCATTGCTCTTCAAGCTCGTTCTATATAATTCGTTCTTCTTCCTGAGCCCTGCTCTTGTATATCTCTTCCTCCACCAACCACAACACCACCTTCCTTCTCACCTCTCTCACAACATCATTCACCCCCCATTGGACCTCATCCTCTTCCAGTTACAACAACTTTAAGTATATCTTTTATAGATATCTTTCTTCCGTTGCCAAAACTCACACTCTACCAGCTTCCACACCTCCTCTTCGTCTCTTTCAAGAACATCCTTCTTTCCTGTCTGGGTCTGTTCCTCCCCCAGCTTCAGTACTTTCCCATCCCATCATCTCTTTCACCAACATCAATATCACCTTTTTTTCTCTATTCAATCTTCCGCTTCACCAGCTGTGGAAACTTCCACCCAAAGTACCTCTCCAGCAATAGAAACTCATTCAACACCCACACTTGACAAATCCCACAAGTCAAAATGGTCAAAGCAATTTTCAAGGATCTCGTCATCGCAGCTGCCGGTCCCAACGAGCACAAGATCGAGGACCTCAAGAGCTGGGCCGCGCTGCGCAAGGGTCGCTTCACAGAGAAGATGGACGGCGACGTCACGCACCTTCTCTGCACGGATGAGCAGTTCAAAAACAGGAAGAAGAATGAGAGAAGTAAGAAAGTCCTCCTCCTCACCTACTCATGCGCGCCATTCCTTTCAAATCACAGCTTCCTTTTTCATACATTCTCAGATGAAAAAAGAGTTACAGCTGCGCTAACCATGATATCTTATGTTGTATAGTCAAAGAGGCTCATAAAAGGGGCAAGAAGGCCGTCCACGTCGTTCACATCGACTGGTTCACGTTCAGCTGCACCGACAACAGAAAGCTGCCATTCAAGGACTACAACTTCAAAGCCACCATGGAGAAAGAGCAGGAGAAGCTCAAGCAGCAGCAGGAGGAAGAGCGCAGGATCCGCGCGCAGATGCTTCAGGCTTATTGGATCGACCCTGGTAGGTTCACAACCCGACCTCCAGCTCAGGACGTCTTCTTTTGAGGTTTTGTTTCCTCTACTAATCCCTGATCTGCAATAGATCTCTACCATGTCTACACAGACAAGAAGCACTTCCGTCACGAGGTCCAGCTCTTCAGAACCTTGAGGAACGAAGATGGTGCCCTTCACGAGAAGTATGAGCTCTACGTAAGTCCCACAAACCAAACAGGGCCAACCCGCCATCAAGATACTCTTTTCAAAGCTGACCGAAACACCACCGTAGCTCTTTGAGTCCCACGCCATGCCCCGCCTCTACTGGTTCGGCGTCAAGCTCTACCAGAAGAAAGACGACGGCATCTGGCGATCCCGGGGCGTCGACCGCTCCAGCCCGACCCCGGACGTCTTCATACCGCAGTTCGACAAGTTCAAGGCCTTCTTCCGGCTCAAGACCGGATACGGCTGGCGCGAACGGGTCCTCAAGGCCGGGACCGGAGGGGAGACGGACTTCAGCTACACACCTCCCGTAAGCTCCATATCCCGACCCTCGGAAACTCCTACCCAATCTCCCTCGATTCTAAGAGACAAACGCGCTAACTTCTGAATGCCAGACCCGCGGAAAGCCCGTCGGCACCAACTTGACCGTGTTCTATACCTACGACGAGTCCGTCCGCTTCAACGTCGAGCTCCGCCTCGCCTGGGCCGAACTCTTCGACGACGAGCTGCCCGCCGATTTCAAGGCCGAGGTCGCGATGAAGGGAATTCTGGAGGAGGACGCCGTCAACCGGGCTGGTGCCTCCGCCGGTGCCACTGGTGGCGGCCCGGACGGAATGTGTATGGACGTCGTCCAGGACGAGTCCTCCTTCGCGATGCTCATCCCCGACGGCACGGTTCAGCAGGAGGATTGCGAGATGATGGACTCGGACGGCGGCGGACAGGGAGAGTTGGGCTCGCACTCCGCTGATGAGTCACAGCAGACCGTCTCGGAGGATGATGAGATGGAGGGCGGCGAAATGGAGATTTAGAACGGGCGGCCTGGATGAAATGCGCCGAATCTTGGGTTTGGGGAAGGGCGTCGAGATGTGCTTGGACAGGCCGAAGGATTCATACCAGCCCGAGATAACTGCACACGAGTTGATTCGACTTTAGGGACTCGAGATAGAAAGAGATACCCAGAAATTTGCTTCTTTTCACAAAAGATTCCATTCTCGCCCTTGACGCTGATGCAATAAACCCCTCCAAACCCCCCATCCTCAGAACGCCCCGAAAACAGCAAACCCAGTAGTAAGCCTCAAAACCTCAACTTGGGCATCACAAAAACCAACAACACAAGCCCGACCATCAACCCGTACACCCACGCGTACAGTATCATCCGCCCCCACCACCCCTTCCCCTCCGTCATCTTCCGCAGCGTGCCCATCCGCCTGCTCGCGGCGTCCATGCCCCGTTCCGTCCGGTCCATGCCCTCGCCCGCCCGCGCCACCACGTTCTTGTCCGCCTCGAGCGCGCTCGAGAACCGCTGCGAGCTCGCCTTGAGCGCGCCCGCCATCTTGAGGATCGACTCCGACAGCGCGTCCTGCTCCGCGCGCTGCTGGTCCAGCAGCGCCTCCGCCGTCGCCGTCGTCGCGCCCGTCGCGCCCGAGGATGTGGATTTGATGGTGTTGCTGCGCCGCGAGGCGAAGAGGGCTGCGCGCGCAGTGGCCGTCGCCGTCGCCGTGGATGTTGATGTTGGGGACGAGGGCCGCGCGGGGCCGCGGGGGCGGAGGGTCTGTGATGTAGTCGTTCCCGTTCCTGTCTGCTGCTGTGATGATGATGATTCCGACGTGACCGCCGCCGGCGCTGGTGTGACGGGTTCCGGGAGCCTCGGTATCACCTCCTCTTCTTCTCCATCTTCCTCGTCCTCCTCGCCGCCGGTATCCTCCGTGGGAACGCCCGTCGACCGACTATCCATGCTCTCGCTGGGCGTGGGTATGATGTCGGCGAGCACGTCCTCGCCGTCGTCGGAGCTGTTGTTCTCGTCGTCGTCGTCGCCGTCCTCGTGCAGCTGTTCGAGGTCGTGCATGCGGTCGACCAGCCTCTCGAGCAGCTCCCGCTGGCGGTTCAGGTCGGCCTGCATGTCCTGCCTCCGCGGGAGGAGCTTGACGTGGAGGGCCTCCTGCTCGACGCGGGTCAGGAGGCCGCGGGCGTATTCGAGGTTCTGAGGCGGCGGTCAGTTACTCGGTTGTCCTCTCTCTCTCTCTTTTTCCCTCCTTTGAATGGGGGAAGGAGGGAGTCTGCTGGCAGCGACGATAACGTACCGAATTCAACCGCGCCCTCTCGAACTCGCTCGCGCGCAACCTCTTCTCGCGGTCCTGGTCGGCGTGGAGGATCGTCTGGTCGAGCCGGCGGAGCAGCTGGCTCAGCTCCGCGGCGCCGCGTTCCGGGGACGAGCTGGCGGGCGGCGCGTGGTGCGTCAGGGATGATAACCTCGCCATGGTTTCGCCGTTACTCGGTGAGTCTGTTTTCTCCTTTCCTTCTCTTGTTTTTCTTTTCGGAACTGTCTCGTATCGGAGCTCTAGGCCAGGCCGGGATCTTTTCTTTTGCGCAACGACGGACGGGAATCGTGGATGGACAGGGTGTCTGAAGCTGATGATGTCGTCGGGTTGGAGGGGTGGACAAGCCACGGTGGCTGAAGCTCTCAGTGCACGAGGTGGATGCACGGACCATCTCTTGGATTCTAATTCTATGGGGGATTTATCGCACGTGTGGAAGTTTCATCTCAACATGAGCAACTGCAATCTAGGACTTTCGTGAATTCTTCGTATAGAGGGCATAGTCTCCACGGATCGCCTGAGGTAAGACGTTCATACATTACAGCATTGGCAACAACGAGTCCCGGCTGCCAAACTGATACAAGGACGCCTGACGACTCTCTAGTGTAAGCCCGTTCAAATGTTCGGATGGCTCCAGGTGACGATTTGCTCGCACTAAGAAAGCACCTTGTCAAGTTGTCGATCCCACTCTGGGGTAGAGAGAAGAAGCATGTCCTATCTCCTCAGACGCTCCTTGTGAAACCATCCGAGGCTTGCTTGATCATCGTCTTACCTACCAGCGAAACACAGCAGGTCGTTCATCCATCCAACTACCTATGGAAAAAAGGTCTGAGCTGAGCCGAGTTCCTTTGCTGGCTGACACCAAGCAAGGCGAAAGCTTGCCGAACGTCCGTCTCTCTATTACTGGAATAGATTGTTGTTCCTGCGTGTACGACTTATCGGATGATGGGGGGCACATCTGCGTCTCACCGAGGCTCGGATGCTTGCGTGTTGTCATCCTTATTTTTTGTGTTATCGTCGTGTCTGCAGCGGCATGTTCTCTGTTTCGATGAAGAGGCTAAATGGAAGTGACTTCGATGAGCAAGCCGTGTTCCTTGCCGTTTCCTAGGGGCTGGATTGTAAGTCAACGCCAGAGACATTCCCAAGCCCCCCCAGGATTGCGGCTCAATCCTGGGCGTGGCTGAACCTCCCAAGACGCGACGACGCCTTGGGCTATAGTTTCTGTGCACAAGAATTTTGCTTCGTTATTCCTATACCAACGTCGACCCTTGCTCGCAGTGTAGTTGCTTCCCCCCGAGGGAGATTGGGTGGTGTGGTAAGAGCCGCAAGGATATCGTCGCTATCTCATCTTCAGCTGGCATCTTTCAGGCACCATCGCCACGCAGGGCAGCTGGGAACCACGGAGCCAGGTCCGATGTTCATGAATCTTACTTCTGAGCATTACTCCCAACCTGAAATTTGCAGGCGTAAACCGGTGCAAAGATGAGGCGAAGTCAGGAACCGATTAGTCACGACGTATTGATGCCGTGCCGGATGCTGAGTAAAGTCGAGGATCGTCCCGGGGGGCAGGATTCTACGGGTGCCCGTGGCCCCCGATTCGTGAGAGTGCTTGCGTCAACCGTCAGCTTGGGTTGATCACGTTCAGAGCCTGTTCGTTTCGACCCATGACAAGATCGCAAACCATGCGAAATTCGCTCCAGCTTGGCAAGCTCGTGGTGCCAAGGTAGCTGGCGTCACATGAGAGCACGTTGAACTGTCATCTCCAGAAACAGGCTTCACCCTTTCTCGTGAGCGCCGATCATCGATGGAGGTCCACGCAAACGCACGATCGCCCCAAAAGACGGTTCAAAAACCATGGCAACTGAACCACATGGGCGCGCAGCGTTGGCGATGTTCGTATCCCTTATCGTCAAGTTCCGCATGACATGTGGCCAAGTTTGAGAGCCCGACTGCTCCGAGCCTCCACATTTCTTTCCAAAGCGCGCAACGACAAGTCAGCGCCGTGAGAAGAAAGAGAGATAATGATGCAGAAGGTGGTGGCTATGCCCTCCTTCTTCCGCCTTCTACCCCGCGTTCGTCGTCAGGAATAACAGGTTCGGATGTGGATTTTCTGCTGCCTATCATGGAGGGGAAGTTGTCATGGTGCATCTGGGTTCGTATGGGCGCATGGTTGCTATCCATTCAGCCCTGCAGACACGGGATAAATCTTCCGTTTCAACAATTAGTCTGTTTCATTTACTGCAGGTGTATTGCAGATTCCTGTAGATCGATTCATCTTCAAACCATGGTCTTGTTGTCTTGGGGTGGCTCCCCCCGCAAGGAAACAGCCAGGTTGTTCGACACGGTCTATTATTGACTGATACCGCTACCGAAACTAACATTTTATACTTACTTGTCGACCGCTTTTCGACCCCTTTTCGACCCCTTTTCGACCGCCATTTCGCCTGGCACCCGTCCGATACATCGCTCTATAAATAGGAGGGCTCTGGGACCGTGATGGTTGAAGCCATTCATAATGAAAAGTGTATATACCTATTGGAGTTTTGGTGATTTTTCTTTATATTGAACTGAAGTTAAGTCTTCTTATATGAGTGCTAAGTATAGTACTAAGTTTGTTCATCTTGTGGTTTACCTACCTTTTGTTGCTGGGCCCCATAAGGGTTTGCCTCGCTACAAGTACCTCGGTCTTGTTGTCTTGTCCCAAAAAATGTGACGAGAAGCAGTCTTTGCTACTGGACCCAATGTGGCCATTCAGCGACCAGATGACGAGGCTCTATCGGTCTGCGCCACATCTCATTCGGCCGACCGGCCGCAATGCGCAAACAATGAACCAGGAAGTTTCGTCATGCCCAAGTGATGGAAGAGGCGATTTCTGTCTTCCTCCCCGCAAATCAAAGTCTGCGGGAGCTACACGAGACTTGCAGCTCTAGGCTTGTTCTGTATTGAGGCAACACACATTCTGACGTGGGAAAAGTTGTAGTGCGTCCCTGCATGAGGGAGGGTTCTGGTGCTAATTATGGATACAGGATGAACCCAGTTTCGGCTGTAGCAGTTCATTGACGGCATTATGAAGGGTCCTCTCAACAGTACGTACATCGTGGCGTGGTGGTCGCGGGCGGCAGAGGCCGATATTGGACGGGAGCGCGGGAGGTAACAGAAGCCGGAAAGAGCATCGGCGCATCAAGCTCTTTCGAGGCCTTGAGGCCGTTGACATAAACTTGGCGGAGACGGTGGCATCGTCGTCGAAGTCGGAGATGCACGACGTCATTGGGTAGCTGTGGGGGTGGAAGCTTGCGAGTGGGACATCTCACAGGCAACTCCCATAAAGATACTTGCTAGATACCGCCAGATGGCTGGAAACACCTCTTAATTGTAAGTCGCGAGGGTGTATCTGGGAGCCACCAGACCCGCCAGTCCCTGAAGATGGACATGTAAGGATCAATTGGTTGGGCCGATGGATATTCGGCAAGATCCAGCATCTGGGCTTTGTGGAGGTCGTTTGGGTTGGATTGAGATGGTGTAATTGGGTGGCGCTGCGTCTCTGCGTCCCTGAGGTCAATTAGCGAGCAGTGACTCATGCTTGTTTTTGTGTCGAAGGGGAATCCGGTCTGTCGTCTTCACTTGTTAGTTTTCGGACGTAGCAGAAGGGGGTCCTGAGTGAGCAGGCGAAGCTGTCAGACCAGTTGAAGTCGATAGGTTCTTTGGTTCTTTGGCCGATTGGTCCGCTGTCATGTTCGGGAGTGCAGGCCGGAAGAGCAACCCAGGGGCTGGGAGGCTAGACTTTGCTCGCCGCAGGTGAGAGCTGCAGGCTGCTGCTTGGAAGTGGCATGGTATCTGGCCATGGTGTCTGGGGTGACCGGCCGGGCAAAGTCCTGTCTGGCTTTCTGATCCAAGATGGAGGTTCTTGGATTTCTGATGAAAACCTTGGAGGAGACAGTACTACCTCGGACAGGACCGAAGGAAAGGACGTCGGAGGTTGAGGGTTTGGTTCTCGACGTTGCATTGTACCGAACAGAGGTACATGCGGGTGTCAGGTAGAGCGCGCATAACCTGAGCTCGAGATTCTGTTTCTGAGTGTACGTAGTGGTAGTGGCCTCTGCCCTACGAGAGCGCCATGTCGCACCAGCACCTTGAACAGCTTACTGTAGAACCTGGCTGCGTTGACTGCGTTCTTGCTTGGAGAACCAACGACGTCGATTGAGAGGCATGGCGAACACCGGTACATTTCATCCGGCAGAAGGCTTAGCTCGGGGTTGGACCAAAGATCGACAGCAGCTTTTGCCCTTTTCGAGGTTGGGGCTTAGGCCGGGCCAGGGAAGAGAGTGCGACCTGGGACCAAGATGTGACGAGACGGTCCTCATCAGGCGAAAGAAGAACCCAGATAGAGACAGAAATGATGTATTGATGTGGTGATAGTAGCATCGACCGAGCTGAGCAGGGTCGATCAAGGCAGGTCTGAGATTCGTTCGACACGGGCGGCGAGAAGGTCCACCGGCCGAAAGCAGGGTAAGGTACGCGGAAGTGAAGCAGGATCCAAAGTCCGATATGTGGAAGCATCGAACAAAGGAACAGTGATCAGTTCTGTCGTAAGTCGGCGGGTGAGACGGTGGGCTGAATGAAATGAAACATTGAGGGCGATGAATCGACAAATCGGTTTTTGATGATGTAGGAGGCACGTCGTTGTTGTATTTGGAGATGGGAATATTGAATGTTGCATGATGCGGCTGGGGTTGCGAACGAGACTTCCCGACATTGGAGAATAGGAAATAGGCAAAATAAATTGCTTACTGGCCTGAAGGAGCGGAAGTCGCGTGCCAGTTGGTACTTTTTGCTTTCTTTTTTTGCGGTTGCAGTGGGAGGGAAATGATCGAGAAGGAAGGAAGACCCGGGGTGCGTCTGTCAGTTGCCGTTGGATTGGATTGGACGAGGCAGGCAGATGCCAATGCAGGTACCTCGGCGGCGCATTTGCCTGGCTCTGAAATTTAGCTGGTGGTTGTCACTGAGTTGTCCATAGCATGTTTGTCGGCTCGAGCATTTCCGGGCTGACTTCTTGGACTTTGGACCGACGCGGGCTTCCAGCGGGATGTGGGTTTGTGGGAGATGAGCATGGTGAATTCGAGATCTCTGGATCACGGCACGAAGACGGCGGCTTGGGAGGGAGCAGCACAGGACAGCGAAGCTAACACGAGTCTCGACTCCAGCATTTGGACAGGCATTGACGGCGGACGGGTGTAATTTAATAAGACGGACTTCTTGATTCGACGCTTGGCCTTGAATGGTTTCCAATGGTTTGCTGCACACAGGATGACGACGGGAGATTGCTCCCTGCGACTGTGTTTGTTTTGCTTCTCATATTTGTTTATTGTTGGATGTCGAGTGTTTTCTTTTGTTTACTGCGTCCAGTAGTTCTGTTGTATTTCCGGGAGCCCCAAGCTCCAGCCTCGGGAGCTCGCAAAACGGGCAATGACCATGACCATGGATGAACCATCTTCAGCCACCTTTCTCTGGAGGCTGTGACCAGGAGCTGAGCCCGAACTTGACTCGTGAGACTTTTGACGACGTCGGTCAAGTCGTCGGAGGAGAGCTCAAGAGGGGAAGAGGGGCCTTGTCGGCATCGGAGGTTGGACGTGATGCAGATGACAGACTGGTAAGCATCCAACGAGACGCACAGCAAGCAGCACAACAGCATGCAACAACGGCTTGTAAAATGCAATAACACGATGGCGATGTTCACTCTGGCAGTACAGTACAGACGGGAGTCAGAGTACCCGTATCCGCAGTGACTGCCCTGAGTGGCTAAGTGGCCACACCTTATTCTCCTTCCTTGCCGTGCCGCGTGAAAAATCTCTGCCCGTGATGGACGTGGAGTAGCATGGAGCATGGAGCACGGGAAAGCCATTGCCATCTCTCTAAAAATTGTTTATTGATTCAAAAATCCTACTGATGGCCCCACGTCTCTGGTCAGTCCAGCGAGTTGAGTGTGTGGTCATTTTGTAGCGGCAGGGCCACCCCTTCCTGTCTCTGGGCCCTACCCTTTCCTCGTTAGGCTCCTTCCCTCTTCTGACTTCCCCCAGAACCCAGGAGGCCCAGGTGGCCCAGGCGAATTCCCATTCGATCCTTCCTGGCGTTGACCCACAAAGCCAAAATGTTCAAGCACCGGCAGGGGAGGTGCGAAGGAACCTGCAAGTTCGTGCCTGCCTAAGGTATCGCATCAAGGTGCCTTCCTCACTTCTCGGTGTAATACAGCACCTTTGAAAGTAAAAGTGAGGTTATTCAGCGGTGACCTGAGCCTCAGTTTTGAACAAATGTTGGAGTACATGCGCCTCAACTGCTCCCAAGTATCTTCTCCGCTGGCCGCAGCGTGTGAGTGACTCGACGCACAAGTCATCAACCCATCCCATCTCTCCCGAATCACCCCGTTGCCCGCCGCCCGTCTTAGCATGCCCCTCCCCTCCTCGCAGGGCAAGGGCAGTCCACTGTTCCGTTCCGCAGACCGCCCAAGGACCGGCAGTGACCAGGGCGGCACTCGAACAGAGCCAGTGACAGCCCGGCAACAAACTTGAACGTCCCACGTCCCACGTAACTGCGCAGCAGTAGCACACTTTGTTTGCTGCAGCTACAGAGTCGAGACTCGTCCCTCTCTCCACTCGGGAGGGCCTGGGCTGCACTCTTGGACCTCACGGTAAAATGGGAAAACTGCTAGTTTCCACATCCGCTCCCACTCTCCGTTCCCTGAGCCCTCGTTGCCCTCACTCACTCACACTGCAGTCTCACTCTCAGAAGTTCGGTCCTCACTGAGAGCGCCCAAGAGAGTGTGAGTGTGTCTTCTCGCCCTCAATACTTTACCAGGCCAGCCCTGCCCTGTGCCCTGGCCCTCCCGCCGGGATAAGGGCAAGATACCGTGGTCTTCCCTGCTGCGGTTTAGGCCCTGAGAATGAGAACGAGAAACTGGAGTCTTGAATGCTGGCAATGGCACGGGATGGGGATTCGCTACGCATTTTCTGAGCCAGCCACCGTGACTGGATCGCCATCTCGTCCACCGGCACCGGCACCCCTCATGCTCATGCTCATCCTCGCTTTCGGGGGTCCCTGGGGTTGCCCTACCAGAACACCTGACTGACGACGACCCTGTCGAGACAAGGGACTCTGAAGACTCTTGAGGTCATTCGTCCCGTATTGCTTGTTGGGCCTATTGTCGCCCCTGTGGTGTGTACTGGTGCTGTTTGATGGCACTGCTTCTGTCGTCAAAGTGGTTTGGATGTGGTGCTTCTGTACAGATAACCGTGTCCCATCCAACATCATAGAACAGACATGCATGGCAGGACATGGCATCAAGCAAACACCAGATGATATACTGGATGGCCCTGATATTGCATAACTCGTTTTAGTTGTTCGCACTCACCTGCTCTATCATATCTTGCAGATTTACTTGGGGGAATCAATATGAGATACTCCCATATCAAGTCAACCTGCACCTGCAGAGAAAGGTTCAATAAAAACAAAAGGGGAAATGGTCTGGACTCGTTATTAGCACTCTAGCACATCAGTGACGACAACTCGCACCACACACATTGTACACCACCTCGTTTATAATTAACTTGCACTTCACATTGCCTAACATTACTTTGCAGCACCTTGCATCTCCCCTCCAGACCCCAACCCAACAGCCAGTCACCTTACCTCGCCTTAAGCACACGGGCACCTGCGCCCGGCCTGGACCTTGACCCTTACCTGGACCTGGACTTTGCTCACTGGCTGCATTGGCATTCCATGGCTTTACTAGCAAATACCTAGAATTGGATCACATCTGTACCAGCAACCACTGCAGCAACCAGCACCACCAGCTCCAGCTCCAGCTCCAGCGTCCCCCTCTGCCGCTTTCTCATCTGCTTCGACCTCTTGCTGCCGACCGTTCACCTCGCCTAGGTACCTACCTACCTCACCTACTGATACCTTACTCACACCTTCCCACTCGCTTACCTTACCGGGCTCCTATACCTTATTCTTCGCCTTCACCCTTCTTTTTACGACCTCGCCTCAAACTCTCCCCCAAAAATACTGCATCACTTTTCCTCGTCATTTTCGCGGACAATTCTTTCTCGCGAGGACTCCAAAAGCTGTCCCGTCGCGCGTATCAATCGGAAACGTCACTCGCTTTCATCTCACTCGATCGTTGAAATCCCACTAAAAGCGCAGCTCTTGTCTTACCGACATCCGCCGCACCCCCCATTCACCAGCTCCGCATCATCGTCGCCTGCCACTCACTGCCTCTGGCCAGCGTCACCTGGACTACCACCACCTACTCTACCTCTTCAGACGCTCTTTCGTCATTCGCTTCCCCCCTTTTTGTTCGGGCTACCGTCAGAACTTCCTCCATGACACCAACACTACGGTAGAAAAAACATAAGGTGGAAATCCCAGATCGCTGCTGGACTGCTGCTCTATTCGACAAAGGAAGATTCGCGCGCCAAAACAACCCCACGTCCAATTACCGCCTGCGCGTCGCAACCCATCCTAGCGCATGTTCACACCCAATACCTTCCCAGCAACCTAACCCAGTGCAAAACACCACCAAGCGACAAGGCGAGCCGACCGACCGACCGACTACATCTCCAGGCGAAACTGGCTCCGGCGACCCTACCCACGATCGCTGGATTTCAATCCTCCGCTCATTTTCCGTCGCCACTATAGACGTCCTTCGTCCATCTTCATTCACCACGACCGCAATACAGACGCTGCTTCAAGACGATAATCGAGCTCCGACCACCTGCGCCCCGTCATTGCGATGACGTCCGCCGCCGCCGCCGCCCCAAACCAGGCTTTCCAGCCTTCGAGCACCTCGACCGCGACCGCCGGACCCTCGACCCCGAACAAGAGAGATCTGAAATCGTGGTGGAAGGGCTTCAAGTTGCCCTCAAAGCATCAGGAACACCATGGTAGACACCCTTCTACTTTCGCATCGCAACTTTCGCCCCCAGTCCAGCCCCTCTTCAGTGAAGATGTCGACGACAAGATGGATACATCGCCCATCCCGCTCAGTCGTGTCCTTGTATTACAAGACGCATACATTATTGAGCCAGTCGATCCTCTTCCGCCCAGATTCGTCGCTTCAAGTGATGCGACGCCTCCTCCCACCACCTCCTCCCGCCTGGCAGGCGCGATGTACAGGATGTCCCTGTCCATCACCCAGCCTGTGCGCCAATGTGCCAAGCGGATCCGCGCAGCTATGACTACGTCTTTTACTACAGAAGCTAAGCGATCTACAGTAGAAAACCGACCCCACGGCATCTTTGGCGTTCCTCTTCGCCAGAGCATCACCTACGCCAATGTCGCGATTTCGCTCGTAGACGAGAACGGAAAGAGTTACATTTATGGCTACGTACCGATCGTCGTCGCCAAGTGCGGCGTATTCTTGAAGGAGAAGGGTGAGTGCGCGCGATTTACACAAAACAACGCCTTGAGCTCACCTGTACTGCAGCAACGACGGTGGAGGGCATTTTCCGCCTGAGTGGCTCCGAGAAGCGCATTAAGGAACTGAAACAGATTTTTGATTCCCCTGATCGCTACGGAAAGGGCTTGGTGTGGGACAACTACACTGTTCACGACGCAGCCAACGTCCTTCGACGATATCTCAACGACCTTCCCGAGCCTGTTGTGCCCCTGGACTTGTACGAGAAGTTCAGAGAGCCTCTGCGCGGCGCTACGAGGCAAGCGGTCGGCGATGCTGAGGGTCCCCAGTTCATCGAAAACTTCGACGAGCAGGCCGCGATCGCCAAGTACCAGAAGCTCATCACAGAGTTGCCGCCATTGAACCGCCAGCTGCTCCTCTACATCCTGGACTTGCTGGCTGTTTTCGCTGCTAAATCGGAGGAGAACAGGATGAACTCCCAGAACCTTGCGGCCATCTTCCAGCCCGGAATGCTTTCGCACCCCCAGCACGCAATGGCCCCCGAGGAATATCGTCTTAACCAGCATGTTCTCATTTTTCTGATCGAGAACCAGGATCACTTCTTGATCGGCATGCAAGGCACGGCCACTGACGAGAAGACAAAGCAGCTGATCGAGAAGGGTACGCCCCCACCTGCGAGTGGGCCAATCACCCCCAACCCGAACAGGAAGTCGGGTCTGGGTCGGTCTGCTTCCAACGCGAGCGCGGGCGCCGAGAGCGTAAGGAAAGACGGCATGCTTCGCAGGAATCGATCGACGTCTTCGCGACACTCACATCACGATGGCTCGACGACGCCGAACAGCCCCGCGCTCGCACCGACCCCTAACAGCGGCCTTGGTAGGAGCAACACGGTCCCTTCCAAAAGATCCCCAGCTCTCCAGGGTGGCCGATTCAGGCGTGACGCATCCCCCATCCCGGGATCGTCCCCGAGGGAGCCCATGATCCCGTCAACGACAGAGGAGCTTGCCGAGGTACCCGATCAGTCTCCATCAGCCTCTACCATCTCCCCTGCGCCCGCCGCGATTGGCACGTCCACCTTGGCTCCCAACCCTACCGGTACGGCAGGAAGGAGTCAGGAAAGGCTACTTGATCCGAACGAGGCCACGACGCCGGTCAAGGAGAGGACTCTTCCCAGCATCTTCCAAAGATCCCCAACTGGAGAAGGCGAGAAGAGGCAACCCAATAAGCTCAAGAAGAAGCGGATACCAGGAAGCTTGAACCCTAGCGCGCAAAGTTCCGCCGCGTCTTTGCCAGGTACGCACTCTGCCGCAGTTTCGCCCAACGTCGAGGCCCCGAATCCTCTGGAGCAGGTGGGCGGTCCAATCCCCGAGCATGATACCCTGCCCATCAGAGAGAAATCCTCTGCTGGGGACACACCATCGGAACCCACTCCGCGTGCTTCTCAAGTCCCTTCAACCAACACCCTGCACCCAGAGCAAACCCTCAAGGGAAAGAAGTCACCACCAACGTCCCTTCACTCATCCTTCAATGAAGGTTCTGACATTGATCAGACTGAAGAGTCCATCATGACGACGTCGGCGGAAGCGATAGACCAAGAAAAAGACAAGAAAAGGAGATGGAGACTGTCCCGTCAGAAGAACGACGGCCATCCGTCGGTGACGTCGCCTCGCTTGGCATTCGGATCCAACGACAACGCTGATGTCAGCGTTACCTCGATTGGCAGCAGTGGGTATAAGCCACGCAAGAGCTTCACTGGTGAAAGCTCCGAACAAGGCATGCATAACTCAGATAGTCACGAGTCCGGCAGAGATAAGGATGGCAAGGACGATTCTAAGGGCCCTATCGGTTGGATTAGGAACAAATACCGAGAGGCCAAGGAGAGTGCCGAACAAAGGCGAAACAAGTCGCCGCCGGCAGATAGGCAGTCCTCTTTGGGCGGCTCTAGCATTATGTCAGGTCGAGGCAAGAGCTTGGATATCCGAAGGGAGCCGGAGGAGAAGGCACAGCATCCGGCTCTGCCGTCATCTCCGCCTCAAGCGCCGGTATCTCAACCGCCGCCGATTCCAGCGTCTACGCAGTCCCAAACTGCTCACCCTCAGCCCGCCCAGCAGACAGCTCAACCACAGGCCGCGCCCCAGGTTTCTCAGCCGCAGCAAGCTCAGGCCTCGGAATCACAAACGGCTCAACCACAACCCCAAGCCGAGGAATCACGGTAGTTACGACGACATTCGAATATCGAACATGATGAAATGGATTGGTGTTTTGGCAAGTCTGGGGTCTTTGGACATGATGACGCACGTTAGGGTTTGAAAGAGTAAACAAGAGGTGTAGATGGAACTCTTTACCTTGTTTTTTTTCGATTGTTCGCCTTGATATCATCATACGGAGGTATGCGTGTGAATCATGATGTACGGAGTTGTTCGCTTCTGTGGTTTGGTGTCAGCGAAGCATTGCCCACGGGCTCGCACGCATGAAGGGATCATTGTCAAGTAGGCGTTGTCACATGTAGGCAATTCCCTAACGTTTATGGGATAGGTATTCATGGTCTAGGAAAAGAAAAGACTTTCATATTCTTCGACTTTGGCGCAATCCGTGGTGATGCCTGTAGTGGTGCAGAAGAGTGGTGGCCTGTGTTATAACTGCTTTTCATCGAACGGCGAGGTATGAGTTGGCCTGCGACTATCACATTGACGGCAGACTTGCTTGAAAAGATGGACTCTTAGGTGGTCTATTGCGGAACATAGGCCATTGCTATCGCCGCCCTCATCGCAACTATGTTTTTATTTTCTCCTTCTCCCATGCACCCCTACCTGAAACCCTTCGCGTTCTTCACAAACGTCCTGATCTTCTCCAGACTCTGCTTCCCGTCCTCCTCCACCCCGCTGCTCACGTCGACACCCACGACGCGGCCGCCGTACTCCCCGACGGCCTCGACCGCCTCGACCACGTTGTCCGGGTTCAGGCCGCCCGCCAGGAACACCTGCAGCTCCGGGTCCCGGGCCAGGACGTCCCTGACGCGGGAGACGTCGAGCAGCTTGCCGGAGCCGGCGCCCGAGTCCAGCAGCGGGATCGTGTGGTAGCCGCGCAGGCCCAGGCCGACCGAGTCCGGCTTGAACGCCCGGATCACCGGCACCGGGATCAGGCTCGCCCACTCGATCGGCTCGTTGCCGTGGAGCTGGACGATGTCCAGGTCGAAGCGCTTCTGCTTCTCGAGGACCTCGTCTAGAGGCTGGTTCTGGAAGATGCCCGCGAGTAAGGGGCGGGTGTTTGATAGTCTGGATACTGAGGCTGTGAAGTAGTCCGTGGCCGACTTTGAGGGTATCCTCGGCGTCGCCGCGGCTGCTGCTGGTGGTGTGGGCTTGAACGAGTGGACGGCTTCCGAAATGGCCGCGGCCGTCTCGTCGGATATGCAGCGCTTGGCGCCGGGGACCAGGCAGATGCCGACGAAGTCGGCGCCGGACCGGACGGCCTCGAGGGCGGCCTCGGGCGTCCTCGTGCCGCAGATCTTGACGAAGAGGGGTTGCGTCGGGGCGGGCTCCGGGTCGGCGGCGGTGCCGGAGCACAGTTCCCTGATGAACCTCGTGGTGTCGGGGGCCCTGACGATGGCCTCGCCGACGAGGATGGCGTCGATGCCGTCCTTCTTGCACATCTGGACGTCGGCGTGGCTGTTGATGCCGCTGAGGGCGCAGATGACGGTCTTGTCGTCGACCATGGCGCGCAGCCTGCTCGTTGTGCCCATGTCGACCTCGAAGCTCTCGAGGTTGCGGTTGTTGACGCCGATGGCCTTGGCGCCGAGGCGCAGCGCGGCCGTCATCTCGTCGGCGTTCTGGACCTCGACCAGCGGCTCCATGCCGAGGGAGAGGGAGTAGCGGTACAGCCTCTCGAGAACGTCGGCCTCGAGCATCTTGACGATGAGGAGGACGGTGTCGGCGCCGGCGAGGCGGGCCTCGAGGATCTGGTATTCCTCGAAGATGAACTCCTTGCGCAGGACGGCGGGGCGGTTGGGCATGCCGTCGAGGACGCGGCGGACGGCGCGGAGGTCCTCGATGCTGCCCTTGAACCACTCGGGCTCGGTCAGGACGGAGATGACGCTGGCGCCGGCGAGGGCGTACTTGCGGGCCTGGGTGGGCGCGTTGATGTTGATGTCGAAGACGCCCTTGGAGGGGGAGGCGCGCTTGATCTCGGCCATGAGGGAGACGTCGAAGGGGGTCTGGCGCAGGCGGTCGACGAAGGGGACCTGGGGCGGCGCGGCGTTCAGGTCGTAGGCGGCCTGCAGGTCCGCGGGCCTTTGGGAGGGGATGAGCTTCTGGGCGGCGACGGATTCTTTCCTGTGGGCGTAGATTTGCTGCAGGATGTTGTTCTTCTTGGCCGGGGCGGCGGCGGCTTTGGAACCGCCGTTGCTCGTCGCGGAGCCCTTCTGGAGCTTCGCGTTCTCCTCCCAAGTACCGCCCTGGAGATGCAAGAAGTTGCGGAGCATGGTGCGGCCCTGGGCGGTGAGGATGCTCTCGGGGTGGAACTGGACTCCCTCGATGGTGTACTCCTTGTGACGAACACCTTGAATGATGCCGGGGGATCCATCCGGTGCGGCGACCCAGGAGGTGACCTCGAGACAGCTCGGGAGGGTGACGCGGGTGCCGGCGAGAGAGTGGTATCTCGTGACCGGCAGACCCTGACTGAGGCCGGCGTACACGCCCTTCGCATCATGGGTCAGCGGCGAAGTCTTGCCGTGAAGCCATTCCCCCGCGGACCCAACCTCTCCGCCGTAGACGTCAAAGATGCACTGCTGGCCCATGCATACCCCGAAAATGGGGATCTTGCCGGCGAAGTGCTTGATGGCATCGCGACTAACGCCGGAGTCGGTCTCGGGGTGACCTGGACCGGGGCTGATGATGAGCTGGGTGGGCTTCTTCTCGATGAGTTCTTGGAGGGTGATCTTGTCGTTTCTGAAGACGGTGACGGTGGCGCCCTCGAGGATGAGATATTGGTAGACGTTCCAGGTGAAGGAGTCGTAGTTGTCGATGAGGATGAGGTTGGAGGCCGTCGGGATCGGTGGTGACGGGTCCGGGTGGTGGGGTGAGTGGTCGATGATGTCGAGGGACGGCATCTTGAAGGTTGTGCGCCTCAAGACACTGGCAATTGAGGCAATTGAGACCTCAGCTGTTTTCCACTTGCGTATTTCCGAGGCCCGTGAGTTTTGATTTCGGTGAATGAGAGGTGAGATTAGGTGAAGTGAGTCAACGGGATGGTTTGCAATGTAGGTAGATGAAAAGGCGGTTGAATAGAGTGAAAGGCCGTACAGTACGTCGGAGATCAAACCTTACTGTACATGTAGCGGCAAGAAAGCGGGAGATGACAGTGCGCATTGGGTCCGGAGGCGAGTTACTGATAGCTGCCCCGCCGCTATCGCATCCCGGCTCCCCGGGGCTGCCTATTTAGTCATGTTGGCAAACCCCAGACTGCTTAAGATCGTTGTTCGTACCTTGCAGAAACAGCACTAACATGCGTCCTGCATAGTATTCCTCTTATCAAGCGTGGCTATCTATTACAGTTTTTCATAAATGTCAAAAATTCCACGCTGTTCGTTACCTGAGAATGATTGTTTAGTTTCCTACAACGATGGCGGTAATTCCTCTTGCATCTACCATCCATGGGCACTTGGCATCTGCAGGTTGATCGGTACGTACCGAATGTCACAGAGAACGCGCTAAAACGGAACAGGCTAGATCGGTTTCCCGGAAAAACCAAGGAACTGGAGCTCCCAAAAAAAGTGAGCTCTAGCCAACCACCATCAGAAAGGGCTGCAAAAGCATTCGCGGGTCCAATTGCTTAGGCGCGTCGACCTACTTCTCAACTTGCATCCTAGGCAACCCAGCTCATCGCAGCTCCGCCTGATGCAGCCTGGATCCTGATCGCTTCGCCCAATCGACCCCCCGCGGCAATGGCGAAAGTGGTAGACCGTCTGTATCTTCCTCCGTTGGAGGAATGTCTCAATGGAGACAACATCGTAATGTGGGTATCCTCAATGTTTGTTGACTTTGATGCCCAGCAACTGACCCCCAAAACCCAGCTCCTGGAAGCTTGTCGCGTCTGCGCTGGCCGATAAGAACGACACACGAAGAAAGACCAAAGCTGTCGTACAGTTCCTACAAGACGACTACGTGCGATCCCTCATTAAAGACCCGGCGACCGCCTTTGCGCCGCCCAGCGATGCCACCAAGACCGATTACGAGACCAGGACGGCGGCCATCCACGCTACGCCCCAACCCAACGAGAAGTTTGACGTCAAGGTTATCAAGGAGGATGCGCAATGGTTGAGCAAGAACGCCAAGGTCAACCTCGTCTCGGCACTTCGGGCGACCGTGGTCGAGTTCCAGTCGCGGCCGGCGAGCCATCTCACAGGGCCCCTTTCTACGCAGGATGCTGTCAACTTGCAAGAAGCCGCTGGAATCTCCAACGTCCAGTCGTCCTCCATGGTGCCACTATCCGGTGCGGCGCTGGATGCCGAGACCATTTGGGCAGAGTTCGAGAAGGAAGAGACCAGGCGACAACGGATTTTCCATACATACCTCACGGAAAGGCGCTATTTCCTGATGACCGCCGCCCTGGTCCACGAGAACCTCCTCTACGCGCAGCCGACGACACAGATTGCCGCTGGCGACGGACCATCAACGCCGCCCAGATTACTTGCCGCGGAGGAACGCCCCAAGTACCTTGCCAATCTGCTGACGACCTACCTTCAATTTATTACCGAGTCTGCTGGTCGACTAGCGGAGGGCTTGGGATCCGTGGAGGACAAGAGCTTGCAAGGAGAGGAAGTCGAGATTGAGTGGATGAGGACAATTCTCACCGAAATTGTACATGCCCTGTCGGTTGTCTTCCAAGCTGTCGACGGTAACGGCGATGATTTCGTACCCTGTGGAATTGTCGGACAGTGGTTCTCCCTGATGGATGGCTACGGGTTTTTCACCGGGATCTCTGCGGTAAGTTTGCGAGCTTTCTTCTGTGGATGCCACTAACATTTTGCAGCCGAACGACAACATCGCATCTCTCGTGATGCCCCTGAGATCTCTCATTTCAGCGATATCACTCAAGCTTCTCAATCCTTCACGATCTATTGAATGCTTGTTGGAGGAGGCACCGGAGTATCGCGGCGACGAGGATCCGTATATCACCGCACCATCTGTGCTTGAAACAGTACACAACGCAATTCTGGCGGCCGCGAACGCTGACTGTGAGAGTCAAAGCCCTGTGATATTCGCTTGGACTGTCATCGCTCACCGCATGTTCGTGTCGCATCATGAGCGAATTGAAAAGAGAGATGCTCTGCAGAACCAGCGATCCCAAGAGACGTTCGAGGCCGGTGTGCTTATTCGACCAACAGTTGGCCGCCGGCTCTCTGCTGGTAGCATAGTGTCCCTTGACGGAAAGTCGTTTGACATTTTCCTCACAGGCGCGGGCCTCGACAAGGACATGCAGGTCATAGAGCAGCTTGCAGTAGCTGTCACATCGAACGGGCGAGCTTACGAGGTGGTGTCTGAGATGGCACTGTCCATCGGTGCCTCGAGCGAAGGGGCCTTCTCATCACTCCTAAGCTCTAGGGTACGACTGGCCTTTATCGACTTCCTGAAGGCAACCTACCCTTTCGTGGGATACCAGTCAGACTCAGTGACATCGCTTCTGTCGGTTCTGTCAGCGGGCCAGCAATACTGGGACCTCGCGAAGCCCGCGCTCGCTCCTCCAGACGACATTCTGGCGGAGGTACTCCAGGATGCTACCGTTCTGGAATACTACTTCCATCAGGCACTGAACCGCTATCCCTTCGAGTTCCTGCCTTTCCTCAACATATGCCGTGCTTTGACGAACTGCACAGTTGCCGACGGCCGATCCGATGTTGTGGTTAATCTTCTTCGCAAAGCCCCAACACTCACCTTCATCCTTCCAGACGACTACCAAGAATACGAGCTGGCACAGGAAGAAGATAACACCAACACATTCTGTCTTCTCGAGGATATTCCTCTCTTTACACCTGCGACGGCATGGAATCGCAGAACCCGACTGGACGATGCTTTTAGGATACCCGCAGAAACATACGGACGCTTCGTTACAGACACTGGGCGTGTGGTCCTGATGGAGTATGAACATTCTGCCCTTGCTCTTCTGGGCAAGAGGTTAGAAGTCCAACTTGCGCCAGAGACTTACCGTAGCGAACTGGACGGGTTTCAGCCTGAAGAGACGGCGGAGACGATTGCGCTGTTGTCCACCCTCCTCCGTGCTGAGGTGCTGAAGTCCGAGCAGCAAGGTCTCTCAGGAGAAGACTCCCTCAAGTCTGGGCTGGAGCTATTGGAGGAAATCGGCAAGCACATTTCTGGTAACAAGGACCTCGTCGCTGTTGTATGCGAGACCATGGATGTCTACATGCAAGACGACAAGGCGACGGATGGAGAGGGCATCACGGTGCTCAACTCCTGCGTCCAGTTCCTACACGCAATCTTGCCTCTATGCCCGACTAGAGTATGGTCTTACCTGGCTCGTTGCGAGCTTCTCAACTCCGAAGCTCAAGCTGGTAAACTGGCCAAAATCACGGGAAACCTGGACCTGGTTGGCGATCGCTTCGAATTGCTTCTTTCTGCTGTTCGCCTATTTGGCAGTCTTGTTGACAGTGTTAAGAGTAGCGCCGTTCAACGAAAGTCGGGCAACAAGCTTGTTGGGCGCCAGAAGGTGTCCAATAATGTCTGGCTTGGTGTGTCAGACAAGGTGCTGGGCAAGGTCAGTTTGGCAATTGCCCAAGCAGCTGTAGACGTCTTCGAGACTTCTTCAACCTGGCGATTCTCATCGGAACTGCACCGTACCTTGCTCATTCGCTGGGTCGTTCCTGTCATGGACCGCATCATTTCTCATACCTACGGAATGGGTGACAAGGAGAACTCGGAGACTCTCACGGCATGCTTAGAACCCGCAGCTTCCTACATCATCGATTCCTTCCTTTCGCCATCAACTGGCTCTCTGAGGTTTCAGCCACTCCTTGCTACCCTCGTTAACGGCCTCCAAATCCCCGATTCGACCCTGTACCAAGACAGGCTAGCTTCTGCGCAAGAACAGCTTATCTCAACTCTGAAGTTCACCACGACGCTGCTCCGTGTTGCTAGCTATCTCGAGCGACCATCAGCAACTTTTGAAGATCACCTCTTCAAGACGTCGTCAATTCTCGCGAGGTTGTGCGCGATCTGCGAACAATTCCGGCGACCCTCACTCCTGCTACTAGAGGCACTGGTGCTCAGTGCAGCCAAAGCTAACGACGACCCCCCGTCACTCCTGGGCTATCTCGGTCCCCTATTGTCTCGGTCTTTCATTCAGGTGCTGTCACGACTTGACAAACCATTCCTCGTCAGTGTGGATGTGCAAACAACATGGAAATTCTTTTCGACAATTGTGCAAAACCGTCAGACGTGGCTCTCGAACTGCTTACTGACTGGCAAGACACCGAGAGATGCCCAGAAGGGTGGAAAGAAGGACCCCTTGTCCACGCCCCACTCGGTTCTTGCGACCGCGTTTACGAAGCTCAGGAAGATCAAGGAGCTGGAGATCTCCGAAGCTCTCCGCATCCTCGACTTCGTGGCATCGTCTCAGAACCACTGGCCGTGGACCATCTTCACAATGCAGAAAGACACGGCCTTCTTGGACGCGTTGCGTCTGTACGTCAAGGACCTGAGCAGCTTCACAGTCACAAGCAAAACAGACGCTGTCAAGGCTGCCATTGACGCAAAGATGGCGGCGTACATTGCTGAAATCTTTGCCATGCAGCTGTACCATCTTCGTCAAATGGGCGGTGCGGACGCGTTCGCCAAGAGTCTGGTGACAGATCTTGACTACTATCTTCGCGATGGTGTTGAAGTGTCTAGCTACAACAACTCATTGCACACTAATTTTGCAAAGAACTTCACAAGCAAGTACCCAGGGGTTTCACTCGAGGCCTTCAAGCGCACGTCACTGAGGCCCGGCGAGCTCGGGAGAAGCTATTTTTACGATTTGGAGAGTGCAACTGAGATGTTGAGCTTTGACCCCAGCTGGCACGGCCGCCGCAACAGTGGTTTCCGCAACGAAATGGGCATCGCCAACGCCAACCTGTCGCTCGTTGACGCCCAGATTGTAAGTTTACTGTTCGTATGCTAGTTCCTATGCTGATCGTTATTAGTCACTGTTCCATGCTTGGGAATTCCTGTTGCTCGAGCTAAGCAGCAGCCTGCCTGATGACGACACCATCGCCAAGCAGATGCTTCAAGTTGCCCAGCAGTGTCTGGAGGCGAACCGATCCAACCAGGGACCTGAGAATATCTTCATGCGCATCGTAGAGGAGCGCGCTGACCTGGGTCTCCTGCTTGTCCAGCGTCTCGTCGGCCGTCCCATCTCATCTCATGATGTCAACCAGCTCTTGGGGACGCTGTTCACCATCGTGCAAGGTGTCGAGGAGCCGTTCAACCCGGAATCAATCTCGTACTACCGCACCATGTTGAAGACCATCTACGTCACCTTGCGCGCCTACAGTGCAGCCGAGAAGAAGTCTCTTGGAGCTTCGAAGAACGGGGGTGATGGGTACTCCGTCACTCTGACCCAAACCATTCTGAATCTCTTGGACAGGGTCGTTGCAAAGGGCTTCCGAACTCTCGTCACTCTCGTTCACGACAGCGAGGCTGCTGTCGCTCCCGAAGACTTGGCTCTTCTGACCGCCATCTTGCAAGCTTGCCTGAACATGCCGACCGTCGACCAGTGCCAGACCCAGATTATGAACATCATGGCGTCTTACGATGCTATGCATGCGGCGACATCACTTTTCTCGTGGGCTGATAAGCTTGCCGTGAATGGCGATCCTATCTACGGCGAGCTCAGTCTACTGTTTCTTTTGGAATTGTCGACACTGCCAGCAGTCGCGGAACAGATGGCATGCGACGGGTTATTGAGTCATTTGACGTCAGCGGGTATCACCAATTTCATGCGGCGCGGCAACATCTCTCCTTTCTCGGAAGCTGTTGGACCTCAAAGATGCTACAGCGTGTGGGTTAAGGGTGTACTGCCCCTGCTGCTCAATCTTCTCACCGCGCTGGGCGGCACCGTCGCTCCGGAGATCGCATACGTCTTGAACCAATTCCCACTCTTGCTCAAGTCAAGTGTCGATCGGTTCGAGGCTCCGGGTGCGAGCCGGACCGCATCAAGAGAGGCACCACACTACGTGACGCTTCTTGCTGTTTCAGAGATTCACTCGCTCGCCCTCTTGACGAGAGTCGTCGCCGCTCTTCGATCTGCCAACAATCGCGACATCCCCGAGGTCCAATGGGATGCGGCCTCGCTGCTCGAGAATCTAGACTTCTGGCTCTCAAGCCGCAAGTTGCTCCGCGACAGACTCCTGCCTTTGGGTCAGCGCGAGGTTGAGTGGAAGGGAACCAAGACCGGCGCTTCTGGTGACAATGGACAGCCCGAGAACCTACTCGAAAGCAAGGTTCTATCGCAATTGGAGGCGGTCAGGGACGTGTTGAGCGAAGACTTGGAGGAAGCTTAATGGAGACATACAGCGTTGTCATGAATGGGGGGGCTACCCAGCCAAGGGAATGAATTGGAGGGGCTAAGATCATAAAACAGGCTGGCGTTGATGTGTACAGGATGAACGTGTACATTTTCCAGCTAAAACATACTTGCTGGTTCTCATTTGGTGTAGAATTAAACCAGCGGATACCCCAGCTCCTGGGAACAAGACTCATTTTACGCAGATCACGTTTGCAATCGTGACATGAGCACAGAGACGTGATGTTGTTTGGAGTAGGATTTCTTTTTCGTTTCCCCAACATATTGTGGTGTCCTTTACACCCGCAAATGCCATGCCACGTCTATCGACCGTCCTTACAAATATTATACAGAAAACCTCCATCGCGGGTGCCAATATCCACCAAAATGAAGGCAACCCTTCGGTGTTGTTTGCCAGGTCCACACAAGACTCACTCGCGTTGGCGGTCTCGCATCCCACAGGGCCTCCAGCCTTTCTCGGGTCGTTGTGCTGGATAGTATTACACATGCGTGCTCTTCTCAGCTCGCCCAACATAACATCCACATCTGGAATATCTTCCATTTCTTCTGTGTTTTTTTTTACATCTTCTCCCTTAGGTGGTCATAATCATCCCTGTCCCAGAGCGTTTACTGGTTCTGCTGCATCTGGGCCGTCATCTGGGCGTTGTGCTCCTGGAAGCGCTCGCTCAGGCGCTGCTGGGAGAACATCTGCTTCTGGACGCAGCGGGAGATGCAGCCGGTCTCGCGGGAAGAGAGGGACTTTGAGGTGAAGTCGTCGATGCAGGAGACGAAGCAGTGGTCGACGAGGTTGCCGAAGAGCTGATCGCGGGGGGTCTCAATGTCAGCGTAGTTCGTTTCCTTCGAGGGAGCCGGCGCATCCAAGAGGTGTCTAAACTCACGTTCATAAACTCCTTGACCTGGCGCTTCTGCAGTCTCTGCTGGAGCTGAGCCTCCTCGGTCTTGGTAAGGCTGGTGAAGGATGCTCGTTAGCCCGATTTTCCTCTCATAATTTTGCGATCCCCCTGGCTAGAGATTGAACATACGCGTCCATTGTGGTTTGTGGTTGGGAAGGTTCGATCGGGTGTCTTCGAGAATCGGAGGCTGTCGTGAGGTTTGTTGATGGCGGGAGATATGTTGCTGGACGATGACGATGAAATTTCTTTGGAGATCGACTTTCGGGACCGGGACTGCACTTTGCTGCTCCAGCATGCGCGACTGCAAGAAAGCTTGCTTTCCCCAGTTTTTGGTGTTGACCAATCACTGGCGAGATTTGTGGTGTTGATGGAGTTGCGATAACGATAGGCCTTTATCGAGACTTGAGATGCTGTTGCGGTGATGTCAGCCCGGTTAAATGCATTCTGAGTTGGGTAGAGTTTCGTTGTGCCTACCTACCATAACATTGTTATCACTATTTCACATGTTCTTGTCCACATGGCCCTGAGCCTATTGATATGCATCTCATTTGGTTAGTCCTATTAGATATTCTGGAAAGGAGACACTCAGAACAAAATCAAGAGTATACCAAAGTCGCACCTGCAATGCACCTTACCTAAGCAAGTGTCTAAGTGAACTTCTGGACCGTGCTGCCACACCTTTGCGAGTGGGACCGAACATCAGCAACCAACAGCTTCTCCCGCCTCAACCAACAGAGCTTTCGCAACGACCCCCAACTCCTCCTCACCACCACCACCATTATTCCAGCCGTCAACAGCTGCCCACTTCCAACGCCACACATCATCGCCAGCCCAGTTGCCGGCACTATCTTCGTGGTTCATATCGCAGACAGGAGCTCCTAGCGGCGCCTTGTCTTCTCCCCGAGATACCCCATGAGTGCCCGAGGCGGAAGCCGACCACCTCCTCGAGGCCGTCCAAACAAGGTGACAAAGGCCGCCGCCACCACCGCGGGCCTCAAGCGGGACCCCGTGGCTCTCGCCCGAGCCAGCGCCGTTGCCGCCCGACACTCCTCCTCCGTCGTCGACCACCAGCTCGAGCAGCTCGCTCACGATGCAGAGGCCGAGGCCGAACACGAAGATGACGACGAGATAACCGCTCCGCAGCCCCACCACACATCCCAACAGCACCAGCAGCATCATCAACAACAGCAACATCACCACCAGAACCCCTTCGACCTCGCCGCCGCCGGTATCCTGGCCAACGGCCCTCCTCCCCCCGACGCCGACATACATCCCGACCTGCACGGCTTACCGCCTCAGTTTGCTATGGAGGCTCCCATGGGCAGCCACGGAGGTGGCATGAACCGGACGGCCGAGGACTTCGCCTCCGAGAGCGGCTACGGCCAGCTCGTTATCGACAGCGCCCTCGCTAAGCGGTTGGCGAACAACGAGGGTCAACGGCTAGCCGTGCAGCGACGTCAAGACCAGAGCCTCAACTTGAAGCGACGCAGCAATGTCGAGGCCCTTCTCGCACACGTTTCTGGCCAGGAAGCCCACAGCCCTTGTAAGAGTTGTCACAAAGGATACGGGCCGTGGAATGGTTGCGTAGTAGTGAACGGCCAGATGTGCGGCAGCTGCGCCAACTGTTGGTTCAATGCCAGCGGCTCGCGGTGCTCCTTCCATGGTAAGGACATACGGGACAACCCTAAGCAAAACACGCGGAAAGAGTTAGCCGGCTAACAGACGTTCCCGTAGAAAACAACCTGCCTCAGCACATGCCAGCAATCCAGCTGCAGCCGGTGCCGGTCTCCGCCAATGCTAGCTTCGCCGGCAATGCGCCGATGGCTCCCGGCATGGCCCCCGCAGGCCCCGGCGGGTTCGGGCAGCCAGGCGCCGACGCTTCGGTCGCTGAGCTCGCCAAGGAGATGTTCGACAAGGCCACGGCGGCGATTCGGAGCAACGACCCCCACGTTCGATTCCAGTTCCGCATCGAAACGGCGGCGCGGGAGCTAGCGCAGGCTAGCGCCGAGTATGCCGACTTTCTGACCCAGCAGGGCCTCGACCTGCAACAGCATCCACAAGACGCTGAAGGTTCCGTTCCGGACGCGGCGATGGGAGAGGACGACAACGGCGCTTGAGAAGATCCCCCGCGATCCGCTTCTCCTGATCTTGCAAGTCTGGATTCGGATGCCCTTTTTGGCGATCATGAAGTGTAAATGACCCGATGATCCGACTCTTCGGATGATTGGGTGACAAGCTGGGCACCGACTCGCGGGCTACCAGCGTCTGGCTCCGATAAAGTCGGGCCGGAACGTCTCCCTCTCACGATGCTGTGGATGACAAAGCTTCCCAGTCATCGTCGTACCACTTTACATTTGGGAAGAGGAGGGCTTTGGTGTTCGACTTACTCGCTCCCCCGTGGCGTCTGCGAACACATGGGGAACCAACAGGACCAACGCGAAAACGATCCAATGACGAGAGAAGGGACACAGACACAGACATTCGGGGGGGGGCTTGGGATTCCCTGCACAGCACCAAGCAGGCATACGGCCGGAACAGAATAACAGCAACGGAATTTCATCATAGTGTTTTTACTGGTTGACCTCGTACCTAGGCGCGCACACATACGTATGGCGTGCGCGAGAGCTGGTCTTGACAGCTCCTGTAGACGAGGCTGGTGGGCGTGCGTGCACACAACTTATAGATTGATACCAGGGTTTACTAGCAACTCATTCCCATGTTCATGGACCTCATTCGTTCGTGCAACAGTACAGCTGCAATATATCGTGAATCAGATCTACCGCGCTGGCTGGTTGGACCTGCCTGGTTGTGCTGAATGTCGTTCCTTGGCTGACCGCATCGTTTCAGACCAGCTGCTCGTTCCTCAACCCTGACGACAGTGATCGTATCGCGCCCTGCGTGTCGGCTTCGCCCCAAAGCCTCAGCTGGAGGGCCAGCTAACAGGTCACTCTCCGACAATATTCCGGTCACTTATATACCACGCCGCCGACGATCCGACACCCTCGACTCTCACCTAACCCGCCCGCATCGTCTGGACTCGTTACGAAAAAAGGCCTCCAGTGTCTCATCATACCGCGTCGCCTGCGTCTTCATACTTAGCTGTTCCCGTTCAAGCCCAAAACCTCGAGTCTCGCGTAACACCACCGCCACTGCGTTGGGCAGGCGGTCCGTCTCCTCGGACTCGGCTCCAATATCCCGATTCGAAGAAAAAAAACTCTCCTCACAAGCACAGCACCGGGTTTGCCACGGGGGCAAGAGGGAAGAAGTGGTCGCGGAAAAGCCTATCTTGTCATCATCCCATGATTTACACTCGCGGTGTGCTTGAAGTCAAAAGGGAAGAGGGAGGGGTAGAGAAGGAATGGAAGTCGGGATCCGAGAGTGAGGTAAACCCAGAACTTCAGCCCAAAGAGAGAGATCAACGACACACACTGTCCTCCTCCCCTGTACGCAAGACAAGAGGGGGAGAGGGGGAGAGATGGTCCCCGATGGTCGACGTCGTTTGGTAAACCCCGAAAAAGCCTATTTCGAGCACACCCCTATCATCATCATGTGCCTCTTACAAAGAAAAAAAGTCTTATGACCGAAAATTCAAAGTAACGACTTCGGCGATGGATTAAAACGGGCAAAAATAATTGGTAACTTCACCTACGATGTTGTATGTGTTCCGTTAGACGTGACAATCAGTATGAAACGGTAGGACGATGACCCCACAGACGGCCCTCCATCCAACTCTATCTCAAATCCATCTCCGTCCTTGATTTCCACGGCATCGTCTCCGCCTCTCAGACTCGTCAGCCTGGGAAAATCTGGGAAGAGGATCCGATGTTGCGTTTCCAGAATTCTCCGACGTTGCCTGGAACCAGCAGCACACTGCAACACCGAAATCCTGCCCCCGCATCTCTGCGAAATGAAAGGGGACCTCAAAAATGCAACACAACCAAACTTCGGTACCATCAAATATCAACGTCCCACGAACTTTGGCGCGCCCAATGATGGGATGGGGAATCGGTGGTGGCGCGCGAACGAAATTCGACAGCAGGCAGGTATAATACATCCTGCGACATGTTTGAGAAATTCGTCAGCGGAGACGACGAAGGGGGGCCAAAGAAAAAAAAAAGAAAAAAAGAAACCATACACCCCCATTATCAAACACCCTGTTAATGAATATCAGACGAGAACGACCAACACCAGCAACCAACAACCCCTGCCCATAACACACAACACAGAGAGATCCTTCACACCCGCACCGTGGAAGACGGAGCAAAGTCGATCTGTCACTGGTCACACACACACACAGGCAGACGCTGGGAAAGGCGCAGCCAAAACCATCCAAAACAACTACACCGCGAATCCCTACCGACAATCATCCTTCAGATCACCCTTTCTCGACTTCTTCAACGTCCCGTCTTGCCGTCCTGCCTTGATCGTCAGTAACTTACCGTGTCGTCCCGTCTGGAGTTGCTTGCTGCGCCACCTCCAGGGAAATCAATCTCTAAACACAAGCTCCCTCGCCACCGCTCTTGCCTTACCTTACCTTTGCTTGCTTGCTTGCTATGTGACGTCTTGCCTCTTCCGCCCCGAAGGTGTACCCTTCCCCCGCCCAACAGTGCGCTTCAACACCCGAGTCCGTCTGGCCCGTCCATGTGTGAGCTCGCATGTGCATCTATGTCCGTGTGATCAGGTAGCCTCAACGCCGAACCGTGTCCGCCCCTTTAAACCTTTGAACCCCCCCCCCCCTCCCTCCTCCTTCTCGTCCGTCCGTCCCCCGAGCTTAAAATTCTACTTCAGACCAAAAGCGGGCGCCGGAGAGGCGGGAAAGGGTGAGAGGAAAGTGTGTGTGTGGTGTGTGTTTGCCCGCTTACACAAGCAGGAGGGACCCTTAGGTCATCGACACGGGCAGCAAATCAGAGTCATCCCGAATTCCGCGCCTAACTGATTCGTTCAGCCTTATGCTTGGGTTGCGCGTACATGGGAAGACTAGGTTGGAAATGAAAATGGGAAGACTGGTTGGTGGGGGAGAGACATCGGTATTGCGACGGAAGCGGTGCGGAAGCCGCGAACGGTGTTGGACGGAAGACGGAGACGGACGCCGGTGCCGGACGACCTGAGATGGCGTCAGGTCTGGGCTGGTCTTTTCTTGTCGTGACTAAACGTTCGATCACTCGTACCCGGGCGGTACAGATCTCACTGGTAGATCTGGGGAATAAGAGACATGTTCGTGAAATGTGTAAACGGACTATTGCCACACCCAGCAGAGGCTCCTACATGTGCTTCTCGAAAGCTATATACCGAGAACTTGGGAACACGCGATACAATACAAGCTGTTTGATGGCGAGGTGTGGAATCGTTGCCACCTAATCGGCGCGCAACGTGAGGAATAAGGAGACTTTCGTAATTAAACAGAATATTTAACCACCTTCCATCCATCGGACTCTCTCAAATGCATTCAAGTTCATTGCTTCTTTTCCTCTCGCTATCCATCCGTCCGGGCGTCCGTCTCTCTCTCTCTCTCTCTCTCTCTCCGTCTCCTTCACCATCCGTCAATGGATGGGTTCCTCGTCCCGCCGCGGTCCGTCTACTGCTGTCACAACATCATGTTTGATACAGAGCTACCTCCCCAAGTTTCCCCCTATTCCTGAACGCGGACCAACAAAGCAGAACCAAGAAAGTGTACCGCCTAATCTGTGAGGCAATATACCGGGGGATAGCCGAGGTGTAGGAAGAAAAATACAGTCGCGTAAGTAAGGGAATCTGGGGAAACCGTCGGGTCGCCGTTTCGTCGTCGTCGGGAGGAGAGTGTATTTCATGAGCCAGCCTCCCACGACGCTGTCTGGCTTGGGTCATGCAATTAGAAGTAAAGGGTATTGTTGAAAAAAAGGCAAAACGTTTTGGGTGTTTAAATCAGACCGCACAACCGCAGGTTCTCTTGAATGATGATGTCTGTTTGTTGTGTTAGTCTGGGTCCTTTGTGTGCTTTGTGCTAGTGCCATCCCGGTCTGGGCTAGACTCACCATTCACTGCCGCCATGACGAAGCGGATCTGAGTTGTGTCTGTCGCGCAGGTGAAGTGCGTGTAGATTTGCTTGGTCTCATGCTGGTTCAGGCTGACGAATCGGTTCAGAATGTAGTCGCACGCCGCGGCGTAGTCATCTCCACCCTCATAGTCGGGGAAGTAGTTCTTCATCGGGCTAACGGGGAGCTTCTCCTTGAAACGATCGATCTTGTTGAGGAACAGAATGATGGATGTCTTGATGAACCACCTAGAGTTGCAGATGGAGTCGAACAGGGTCAAAGCTTCTTGCATACGGTTGACAGTCTCGTCCTCGAACAAGAGCTGGTCGTACTCGGAGATGGCGACGAGGAAGAGGATGGTGGTGACATTCTCGAAGCAGTGGATCCACTTCTTTCGCTCTGATCTCTGACCACCGACATCGAACATTCTGTACGTCAGGTCGCCGATGATGAATGTGGTTTCCGTGATACCCGTCGTCTTGACACGCGATCGCAGGACGTCCTGGTCGTTGGGCATGTAGTCGGGGGCAGCGATACGCGCAATGTTATCAAAGTAGCTGGGTTTGTCAGCAAATGGCGCTCACCATCCGAGGACTCGGTACTCACTATCTCGCGGAGTCGTTAAGCTGGTATTCGCGAGAACGCTTGAAGCATTCCTGTACGCCACGGTCCTTCCACAGAGCCTCGATGGCACTTCCAACTTCGGGGGGGAGGACGTCGCCTTCGATCTGAGCGGGTTGCATGAAAATGGTCTGGACGTGGTACTCCATGCGCTGGTCCTCGAGCGGCAGCTCAAGCGACTCCATGGCCTCGAGAATGACGCGCATCGACTGCACGGTGTTGCTGAAGATGATTTCCTTGAAGGATTCCCTCTCGTCGCGCGAGTAGCCACCCTCGTGAATCAGCTTCATCTGCTTCAGGATCGTTGACTTTCCGGATTCACCAGCACCTGCGAAAAGTTAGGAACAATAAACCGAGGATCCCGTGGATAGTCATCGCTTCGAAGCAGCAAGATCCACGGATTGGCGTTCAGGGTTCAGGGTGCGTCGGCTTACCCAGAAGAAGCATCTTGATCTCGTTGCGCTGCATCATCTTGTCCCTCTTCA